GCGCTCTTTGATCTTAAGATCCCACGGTTTGGTAGCGGTTGCTCAGCTTGTGCAGTGCCTGCTGTGCATGTGCATATTTGTGTGTGTGTGCGTCATTACCAGACTGATTTAATCCTGTTAAATGTTGTTTTAACCGTAAATTATTTCAGTGTTTAAAGTTGAATGTCTAATTTCAACATTGAGCAAAATTTACAATTCAAAACTCTATTAAATAAGAGAAGCAAAATTAGCAACATGTTTTATAGTACATGTACATATCTGACTGTATTTATACATAATGCAACAGACAAGAAACAGAAGGCTGGTTCTTATTTGACACTCTCATAGCAATCCAAAGACACCACTGTGATTCTTTCATTGAGGCTAAAAAGGAGAAATCAAACAAGGAAACACTTAAAAATACACTTGTCTTAAGATGCTTTACATGCTAATGTTGTCAATGCAAATGTATGTAGATTCAGGGTGTTGAGATACAGAAAAAAAAACATTCCAGATTTTACTTAGTTGTGTTCTGCTCACAAGGTGTGTCTTTTTTTGTCATTATTTGTCATTTGCGTCACTCGTAAGTGTGGTTTTCAATGTACTACTTTGTATATTGTACAGGTTTTAAATGTGTAGCTCACAGTAGACTGGGAATAGACCTGTGGTTATTCAGGTTATGTACTTAGAGTGAACAGAGTATGTAAACTGAATCAGCTGACAATGGTTAAAAGCTTGATGCATTACCACTAAACCACCCCCAGTGAAAATTTCTCATCTAAGGCTGAACTCTGACTATAGAAGTCAAAAGCTCAAATTAGTATGGGTAGAAAATATACATTAGAGTTGTTTATATGCACCTCGATCTCATAACAGCATATGTTTCCAACTTGAAGTACACCTCCCCCTGCTGGCAGGATATCAAACAACTCAGACTTCTTTAAGGAGATTAGCAGGGTGTCGCATTTATAATTACTCAGCGCTGTTACATCGTGTGAGTTTTGACAGCCCACTAGTTGGCTGTCAGACTACACAAGACATTAATGTAGTGCTTTGTATTAACAAGGAATGATAAAAATTAAGTGGCTCTCGATGAAGCTGCAGTACTGGAACAAAATTTTGGCCGAAGTAATTTTTGCCTCTAATTTATTTTGGCTTGTCAAATTTAGTTTAACTAAGAATTTGACTAACCGCTGAGTTTCTTCAGTTTTGCTGTCTCAGTTTGAGAGATGAAATATTAAGCTGATGACTGGACTACCAGGACACTTCAGTGGATTGGAGCCACCATCAGTGATAAAAGGAAAAGAGGAAGACATGCTTTATTAATCCCCTGAAGGACATTAATTCTTTTCACTCGGTTTTGGAACATGCGTCACACACTCAGACCAGAAAGACACACAAGACCACACACAATCTTGATGGACATGATGGAGAGATGTCAGAGCGAGGAGGCTGCAAACACTTAAAGAGTTGCTGCTTTGCCAAGGGGCACCATGGCAGAGATCTAGACACCAGTTTTGACAGTCTTTGTGTTTATTTTTCTCATCACTGCCCAAGCTCCTGTGTCAAGGAAAACTTCCACTCACTGCATCTTGTGCTCTCGTGCTGGGACATCTACTGTTTGTAGTCCATTAAAGGAGGCTAGGCCTTTTCATTGTTAAATTGCAAGGCTTTTAGTCAGTGAGATGGATTCAGATTTTTATCAGTATGAAAAATGTCTGACCAAAAGCTTCGCCGTTGAAATTGAAATCTGTGATGAGGGAAACTCGGCTGAAGCTTCTATTCTTTTTAATTGTATCGTTCAGAGTTGTGGGACACTCATGAATGAATTATGACAGCACCTCAGGATATGGGACAGCTATGGTCGTTCATAACTGACTTATTAACTATTCATACTTTCAATGGGAGCACTTGATCGGATGGTGACAAAAGTAGTGATATAAATAAGAGGAGAATACATTAAACATAATTGAGTGATGTGTGTAGCGTGCGTCTGCATGAAATGATATTGGGATGTTCAGTTGATCCGTGCCTGGCACCCTGACAACCTTGCAACTGGAAAATGAAGGAAAGCGTCCAGAAGCAGCGAGCACAGCAGCAGACTGTGACTCATACAACTATTTGCATTTGTAATTTGCCAAGAAGGCTGTCCTCTGGACATAAGTTTAATCCTCTGATGTTTGTGTGTATTGCTTGTGCCCGGGCTTTGCACTTACACACACACACACTGAAGACATATTTGTTTTATGATGGGGTCTGTACGAGGCATGAGGATGAGGGTGTTGTAATGGCTGTCTAGCTCTGAAATCACATGCTGTAAAGTTAGATGGCTTTTTTTATCATTCAACCTGCAGCAGTGTCTAAAATTTTCAGGAGAATTGTCTCAAGGTTTAAGGACTTTTCTCACCCACAGCTCTCCCTATCTTGTGTCCTTGAGTACTCAGCAGTGTCGTCAGCTTCTTCTTGATTCTTTTTTTTTCCCTCTTTGTTCTTTTCTCTGTCTATTTCTTCTTATAATGTAGCCATGGTAATGCAAAGCAGTTTCATCCACTCGCACATCCACGCACGCAGTTTCAGCTAGGAAGTCACAGGATGAAGGGAGGGCAGGGTGTGGGGGATGTGTGTGTGCATGGTGACGGTGGTGTCGGAGGGAAGTCAGCCTTGAACCAACCAGCCCGAACCAAGAGAATAATGGAAGAAGAGCTGTGGAAGATAAAGAGAGATGGCGAGGAGAAGGAGATAGTGAGGGGGTCCGTCGCATTTGCACCTGAGTCCTCCCCTCATCACACAACCAGCTGACAGGGGATATTTTTATCAGCCTGGCAGTGCTGAGAGGGAACAAATTCATTTGTAAAAAACGTACTCCCGGCCCTGGACAAGATCTCAGTGGGATACACCATCGCTGGCTTTCTGCGCTATCAGAACAGGAATCATTCATTCTTATTTATGCTCCTGTCTCAGCACTATCACGCAAAGGTGGCGCACACACGGCCCTGCCAGCTTGTGCGCAACGGAGCAGAAGCTGAAAAAGGAAAAATGTGTCCCCTTTGTCTGAACCCTTCTCTTTACTTTCTTAGTACAGATGCTTCTCTTTGTAGACCGTAATTTTTTAAAATTCTTTGTTTGGTCATTCTTCGTCAGGCCATTCGTGTCCAGGTCAGTAGGATGACACAGCATAAGTGTGCGTGAGAGTGTGTAAGAAAGAGAGAATGGGAGCATGAATAAACCATGGCCTAAAGTGGTGTCACTGGGCTGCTTTGTTGGCATGTCGGCATCGCTCAGGAAAAACATGGCTGTCTCTGGGGCATTGTCTGTAATCCAGCATGTAAGAGCTGCTGGATGTCTCTCCTTTATGTAAGTAGTCCCAGAGTCTCAGACATCATCTTCTTTGCATACAGTGGAGGAATAAATAGTTTTACAGCAGTATTTTTTTGTTTTAAGATGATTATAAACATTGTTTGAATAGACTAATCCATTCTTACCAACAGCTCGCAGTTCCAATAGGTGTTGAATGATCGTGCCTTTATTTCCAGGATTAGTGTTGAATGCACCTGACATTAAAGCAGCAAATAAAATAGTCTTTATCCCCAGATGCCATGCTAATCCCCTACTCTGAGCAGTTTGTTTGGCGTCTGAAAGAGATGGTCACGTCTGGAAAAATACTGTTTGAGTTTCTCAAAACAGCACGGTTTCATCTCATTGTGACACAAATACCTCAGTGTGCCAAGCCGACAGATAGATGATCCAATGCAGACGTTGTAATTGAAAACACCGTGACTGGTAGAACAATTAATCTCCCTTTCACTGCTTGCTTCAAATTTCCATGGAGAAATACTTCAAAATTCAGAACAGATAAGAATGCTATTGATTAGATTGGGTGGGAGGACAGGCAGGGAGGTGCAGAGGTTCTCCATCACTAATCTCCCGGGCTGTGACTGCATCTAAATAACCTGCAGAGAGGGATAAACAGGCGCATCCATCATGGGACGGCTGGTGCAGACAGTGATGGATGCCTCCGCCCTGCACCACCCTCTACCGCACCTCTCCCTCCTGGTCAGGGATAGGAAGTGACACTGGCATTCATGAGAAATACCTGAGTTAAACTGGGCAGGAAAATGCTGTCTTTAGCGGGGCCGTGATTGAAAGATTCAGGGCAGGCTTTGTGTGTGCGTTGGTGTGAGTTTGTAGATTCGTCCCCTGTCCTCGGTCCTCCTGTCTCCTTGAGTTAGTAGGATTATCTGTCTTGATAGATCCTGTTTGTTTTGTCAAAAAGAGGAGATTGGTTTTCTGGGGAGTGTGCGTGTGTGATCTCGCTCATATATGCCTCCTGTGTGCTGGGATATAAATTGAATTCAGTGCGTTCTCTATCTGCATGTCCGTGGTGCACTCTGAGCCAAATGCCCTGTGTTGTCTGGACCCACTGAGCAGTGTTGCCCACGCCAGCTCTCCCCAGAGGTGCCAGCCTGATAGATATGGTGTGTGTGTGCCAGGCTGTGCCTTCCTTCCCCACCAGAGCAGCATAAAGATTGATCCCTCGTTCCCTCCCATTCCTTTCTCTCTCACTCCTCTGTGTGCCTCTGCCTTTATGAGACTGTGAATAGGTGAAGCCCACAAGCTCCAACAGATGGTCAGAGCTGCCGTGTTTTACTGTGTTTATCTCTCTCTCTCTCTCTCTCTCTCTCGCTTGCTCGCTCTCTCGCCACCCCCAAACCTCTCTCTTTCTCTCTTACACACAAATACACACAAACACAAATTCTACTGCTTCATGAATGAGAGCCCAGAGTGAAGATAGAGAAAGAGGCAAAGTTGAATGTGACAAAGAGGAAGATAAGAAACTGGAAGCATCACTGGATAAGAGAGTCGAAGAAAAAGAAACAGGAAAGGAAAGTGGAGAGATACTCTGCCGAAAAAGGGAGTGAGGGCAAAATTGAATTGTAGATTGAGGGAGCCTCTCTCCTCCCTTTTACCCTCCCTCTTTTATTTATCTCATGTGAAACCACGCCTCCCTCCTTTCACTTGTCAGTGCATCTATAACAGCGAGCTGTCTGCACCGGGCTGTGTGGGGGGTGAGACAAGCTTCTCACTCAGCCAGCACAGGGGGACAGGATCTGAACAGTCTGGACCGAGCTGGATAATACTAGACTGCCCAGAACAGGTGTGTGGATTTGTGTCTGTGCATGTGTGTGTATGTGACAGATGACGGGGAGAGAAGCGCATGTATTCCTCAGTGTGGTCGCTTGTTTCTCCGCAGGACTTGCTTCCAGAGTAGCGGTTATAGAAGGTACAGTGCTAGAGCTTTGCCCTAGTTTACACTTGAATGCTCTGATCCGTTCAGTTTGCCTCTGAGATTTATGCAAGGGGTTGCTAACAGCGCTTCTCTACAGGAAGAGAAAGATAAAATCTCTGGTTCTTTGGGTGCACTGGACACTTCGGAGTGTGAAGCTTTGAATCAGAGCGGTGTGAAGACAAGCTGCTGTTTATCTGGAGGAACAAGTTGGTAGTCGAGCTGCCGACATGTGCTGCTTGCTCGGCTGTATTTTAGATGTCTGTTTTCCATATTGTATGTCTTTATTGTACGCTCTAGCTTTGAGTTTGGCATGTAACAGGATACAGTTGTTTCCAATTTATGAATTGATAACTTAATAATACTAACCATTTCAGCCTACACAATCATTTAATATGGACTCCGCTTCGTAATTGGTTCCCTTTGTCTTCCTGATCCACAGTCTGTGTTTGGAAACTTTAAAAGACGTTTTATAGTCGCACTTCTCTGTATTAAGTCAGACAAAGATAATCCTGATCCTATCCGCATCAAATGTTCGACTCAAACAAGATGAGGAAACAAAATATTCAAGAAGAAAATGATTCAACTGAAGACAGGACCAGCCTTTTAAAAGAAAAAAATAATAATAATCCCCTCATTTGGGATCTTTTGATGAACCAAAGATACACAAACCATGCAGTGTTCATTTAGAAGTCACCATCTCCATCGTCACTGCTGCAGCCTGAATGGCTCAAGTCTTTGAGGCTGTTCCCAGTGAATATACTCACTATCAATGTTTTGTCAATAGCTTTATGGGTCAAAAGGCTGTGTCATCACCAAGCGGTGGCAGTTAAAAGGAACGGAGTGAGGAGGGGGGGGTTAGGCACTGACCTAGAGGCTGAAATATTCATGACGGAGACAGCTGAACGCCCTTTGCTGTTTGTAGCGATATGGGTGGATGGATGAATGAAGTGAGGAGGGTTTGAAGGAAAGTAAAGAAGCTTCAAAGATCTGTTCTTTTAAGCATTTATTATTTATCACAACGCACTCTGCCATAGAAGCTCTAACCCCCACATCAACTGGCCTCTTTTCTCGCTAAGATGCCAGTGGACTAAAGGAGGAGGCTCCGACTGAGTCTACCTGTCAGCTACAGTCCCCCGGCACATTAAGACTGCAGCCACATGGTACACACTCTGCTCACACACACACACTCACAAACATACACACACTCATCCATGTGAACAGAACATTTTGCTTTGTTTTTATATTCACACCCTAACTGCACAGCTGTCAATACATCTCTGCACTCTCTCATGTGTAAACCAGGTGTACACACAGTAACAGATACTAATTTGCTTTAAATCTAATACACACAACAGGTCAACTCCCTCTGAATACATTTCTGCTTATATTCCTACAGCACACACACAATGCACACTCAAACATTTCATTTTTCTCACATTTGTCCCAAGAGTTGATTTTGTTGTCCAGGTTTCAGCAACTCTTTCTGAGTCATATGAGCAACAACATAAACAAAGATATTCAGTAGGAGTGACGACCTTGAGACCTGTTGATGTTGTTTGCAGCGGCCGTGCTGTGAATACATAAGAGGCCATGTGGGACTCCCGGCGAAAATGGGGCGCTTGGCACGCCGTTTGTAAAAAATGAGTGGAAAATGTGCAGGAGGGCTGGCGATGCAGTTGAAGGGAGACTACGGCATGAATATGTATTGTATGCAAATGCAGCACGCCAAGGTTCTTGACTCAAGCTGTTGATGAAAGCAGAGGACATATTCCCCCATCCTCGTTTAAGAGGCAGCGCTATCGACAAACCCATTGTCCACACAGCCACATCTCTGGCCACAGGGGCAGCCTGGTGACAGGTGGCAGATATCTGTGACAGGAGCCAAGGTGACACTGCTTGACTGTCTCTGTGGGCCCGCAGGCTGCCTGGGCAGCGCCAGTGTCTGCTCATTTTAACCATGTCTTAACCTTTTGTGGTTAGACACAACAGGGTTACAGAGCAGGGGCCTTAAGCTAATGTCCTCATTTAGCTTTTTTTAAACCATCCAAGGGTTATAGCTTCTTCCTGCCACTGATAACCCTTTATTATCACACTTTTTTCTGTATTTGCCATGCTTATTTCTCATTTTACTAATAAAATAATAATAATTAATGTACCAGAAATACCCCCTGTGCCTGTAAATCCCTTCAGCAGACAATAAAAACATTTATCCACAATATAGTAATATATCATATTTTTGATTGGGGTGATCTGAATGTAAAAAGTCACGGGTGGCCAAATTAGAGCTGCTCTATAAATTCAGAGAGGTCAGAAGTAACATTTTTGCCTTGGGCGATAAGTTAAGAAGGAGTGAACAGCAAAGAGAAGAAAAAGAAGACGTTAAGGACAGAATTGGAGGACTCCTTCAAACATGTAGCCGACTTGAGTGGGAGAGACTGTCACTCTCCCTCTCATTCATGTTCGCCAACATTACCTATCCAAAAGATTTGGTTGCATTTCACTGCTCTGTGAGGCAGTTGTTGCTGTGTTGTATCACCTGCTGTGTTGATGTGTGTTACTCAGTAATGGAGTGTTTCTGGCATGGTGCACTCCGTGGTTTGTAGCTCGAGCTGCAGGTAATTAAAGCTGACTTGTGACAAACACTGGATTCATATTCTCCAAAATTTTAAACCTTAGCTGCAGGAAGTACAGTCTCTTCAAATTCATGACAAGTTCTAATATGATGAGAGGAAAACACACACACACACACACACACACACACACAGATGATGGCTATTAAAATAAAAACTTGATTCACACCTAGAGAGGAGTGCTGTAGTCAGAAGGAATGCTGTGAATAGTCAGGTGAACGAGCAGATCTACAAAAAGACGATTAAGCATAAGAATAACTATTTTATCCTTATTGTAATTTTTTTTGTTAAATATTTATTAATTTTTTATTGTAAATTCAATACTAATACAATAAAATTCAATACACCTTTCAAATAAGGTGTAATATTAACCAGTCAGTGTAGACTACCATTCAAACTGCAATCTAGATGCATGACCTCTCACTCATGATTTAAGACTTCTTAAGACATTTTAAGGCCCTCAGTGGTTTATGTCTAATTAAAGACTTTTTAAGAGATTTTCAAGCAGTAGTACTGACAGATGGGAAATATAGAATTATCGTACTAGAGACCCAAAATCATCGTATTTTTGGGAAAATTATCGTACACCTGTCATTATTAAAATATTAATCTTATTGGCGCATGATAGTCACATTTAGTCACTCTGTTTAGCGTCCTCCAGGCACTCACGTTTTGTGGCTACAGTTTTGTAGTCATTCGCCACCCCGCCTCACATCTCTTCACCTCCCGTTTTTCACCATCCTCTTCAGCAGTGCTCATTTTTCTCAACTGACTTCCCGACTGAGAATGATTGACAGCCAATGACGCTCGTTGTTCAGTGACAAACGTCACTCAGACTACGATTGGATGGAAACATCACGTGATAAAAGATGCCTTCGCAAATAGAAACTGGAAACTAAAGTGTCTGGCAGACTGAGATACTCCCACTGTGCCACATATTTACGACATTGTCAGATTATTGTACATTTAACCCTTTTTCTGGGTTATTGATCATACATCGTGCAGAGGGCAAAATTATTGTACAAATACAATGATTATCGTACACCTGGCAACCCTGCTTTTAAGGATTCAGGGGAATCCCAGAAAAACAAACGGAGAGAACTTTGTGTTGAGTTGAGATAAAAATCATACAAATATGTCAAACCTTTGTCAATAGTTGTTATTCACAAAAATCTTTTTAACTTTCTTCTTTTGGGTCTTGAAAACGCTTTTTTGTGGGCACCAGCTCTGATAATACCAAAACACAATCTGCCAACTAAGATGAGGAGATACAATGAACTGCATTGATAAATCACATAAACCCGTGCATTATGAAAGCTTACTGTCTGAATGAATTGATAGAATAGAATAAATTGATTTTATTTGGCTGAAACTCAGCTTAAAACTTGGAAAGATAACTTGTGTTACATTACTTCACCCACACACAGGGCTGCTTTGGAATATATTAAAAGTAGCCTGGCAGTAAGAAGCACTCTGGTGTTCACTCTGAGTCCCTGTTCATCTCTATGTATGAGCTGCTGTTAACAGGTCCTAAGACGAGCCGGCATCAGGAGATCAGTGCATAAATCTCGGAGCTGCTGCTCGTCTTTGCTCTAATGATGGAAAGGCACAGGGGCGCTTTGACGACTACGCTCAAACACTCCTCTCCCAACAGCAGCAGGCTGCGGTTGATAGGAGTGCATAAGGAGAAGCACGTTGCAACGTGTTTATGAGTGCATGTGATTCTGCATATGTTTTCATATCTCGTGTCTCCGTGCTTGTTCCTTTGCCTTATCAGCTCAGTATGCACAGGGTGTGAACGTGTGAGTCCCAGTGTTCAAGTCTGGGCGACTGTTATGTGCAAGTGCAATCCGATTTCAATCTCTTCGCTCTGTGTTGCAGGGCTTGTGCAGCTGAGGTGCCCTACGGAGAAATGTAATTATATCCTGCTGGCCACAGAGTACAGGCTTCACTGCCCTATCTGTCTCAGGAGAGACAGCGGCTATAGCGGCCCCTTCTCACTTGCAATATCAAACAGCCGAGCTACTATATCACCCAAATTTGTAATAAATCCTTCCTCCAATCTCCTCCTCTAATCAGTGTTTGGATCCTGAGGTTATCAGTGGCCTTATGCTACAGTTTTGTTACAGTTGTGAATTATTTATGACCGAATTAACTACAGTTGCTAAGAGCACTGATTGGGCGATTTCGGAAGCCAGCCAAAACCTGACTCGAGTTCAAAGCCAGTTTCCTCATATACTTTTCTGCCTGATAAGCAAAGTCTCACCTTCATGAATGTAATTAACACCATACTTGATTTCATCTGCATTTTAACCACCTGAGTTTTGAGCGGAACGATCTGCTTCATATTACTTTTATCTTATCTTTCCTGCCTTGTGTGTTTTTTTCGATGGCCGCATCTCCTCCGCTGACGCTATTGGCTCTGTTCTCAGAGGTGTGCGCAGAGATGGTGTCCATTAGTAAGTGAAAACAAACAGACACACCCCACTCTCCTGGATTTAGGCAAACAATCAATGAGAGCACTCACATAACAGCAGTCTAAGTGGCCCATTGATGTTGTGATTAAATGAATACAGGATGCAGTGGTGATGACTTGACACTCAACCCCAATAAAACCGATAATTTTCTATTGTGGAATTCTGTATTAAATCTGAGAAATGAAACCAAACCTTCCTCCCTGTTCAGCCCTTGAACAGTCAATATCAGTGAAAATGATTGGGAGGAATGGGAATGGGAAGCAGAGCTATGAAAATTTAAAGACGTCATTAAATAACGGCTTGCAAATGAAGCCTATCACCCTGTGTATCACTCTTCCACCTGTTTCATCGTGCCGTGTCTTTGTTATCTCACGAAACCAAAACATCTTTGTGTTCTTCTGTTACCTGATTAGCTCCACTCAGTCTTTTATTTCTGTGCTTTTCACCCCCTTCACTTTATCTTCAGCCAGGATACAACTTCAGCTGCTACCCCCTTTGCACCTACACCCCTCCGCATGCCTTTCCCTCAGGGTGTAGCAGCCATTGTGGAGCCTAATATAGTTTATGGAATTACAGATCTCTGAAATTGAATTTTTCACTCCACCAACGCAGTGGGATTACAGGTTTAAGGATTGGTGCAACACTGACCTGTTATTGAACTGTTTTTTTTTTTTTCCCACTGAGGATAGATCAAGAAATGGATGCCTGTCTTTCTCCGCAGCTCCGCAGGAGAGAGACAGGCAGAGAGGCGCATTTCTTGTAACTTTGAATGTTCCTGGCAATTAAATGGATATTGAGTCAGAGAGCTTTTTTGGCTGTTAAGTCTGGATTCCTCTTACGTCGACCACTCTCACACACTCCTCCTCCTCTTCCTCCTCCTCCTCTGTCCTCACAACTCTTCCCTGTGTTTGATCTAATTCTAATCTAATGAATCTTTTGATCTTCCTCGCCTGACACCCAGACACATTGCGAGTTTCTACATCCAGAGTAGCTCAATTAGTTCTAATCCTTAAAATCTGGCTGCTGGTGAGGCGAGTGATTCTCAGTGATATGCAGAGATTTGGGCTGTCTACCCCATGCTTCTGTTTAATGAACTGTGGGATTCCTTCACTAACCTTGATCCTTCAGCCCCCCCAAAAAGCTACCTTATCACAAATCCAGATCAATTCCACCATTATTGCTCAGATGTGACCAGGCATTAACTTCGGCTCGCTCAGAAGAGTAGCAGACGAAAGTGAGAAATGGAGTGAGAGTGCACTGGAGACGGGCAGCGTGGTGAATGCAACATTAAGATGTTGGTAGAAAGGGGGTATTCATTAGTAGAGGTCCACAGTGGCGGCTTGGTGAACTCTTAATTGAAGAAGAGACAGGCCTTGGGATGGGGGATCAATATGGGCAGAGCCAGGGTTCCAGCCCACTGAAATCAATCAGCCTGGAGCCCCATGAGGAGGTTGTACTGAAAAAGAAAAAAAAAAAAAATCACAGCCTCAGACTCCCGCTCGCTTACCCTTTCAGTCAAACTTCATCACAATCAACAGATAGACAGCTCATTCCTGCTCATCTCTATCACAGACTGATGAAGTGCTCTGGTTGTTTTTTATTTATTAAAGACTCATTTGATCTCGCTGTTGGCGAGCTTTAAATTGACACTGCATTTTTAGTCTATCTCTGCCAAGAACAGGGGATCATTGTAACTAATAAAACATGATTCATTAACGCAGGAGGGCTTTATGGAAAGGAATATTAAATGAACCCCTGGCATATTTTTACTCCTTCGCTAAAAATAGTCGCTTTCTCCTCTTCTTCCTCTTCATCTTTGCATGGGTAATAGCCATCTTTCTGCCCTGTCACTTTTTGATGTATCATCCTCTTACTCACATCAAGGACAAGGCCAGGTGTCGCATTTTCTCTGAGTTGCCACGCTTGTCACACTGCCTTGTCACCCACAGCCTGTTCCAATCTCCTGCCTTCCTCCACCCCCTCTCTGCTTATTCATATTAAATCTGTCACTCCTTTATTTTGGCTAGACAAAAGGAAAGTATATCACTTTTGCCATTTGCAGCCTGCGGTGTCTGCAGAATTCTGCAAGTTTATGTGAATGTCATTGTTAGCCAAATAAAACCCTGTCAAAAAATGATATATCCTCTGTTTTGTATTGTTGTCGCATAACTGAAATTCCTCCTCCTCTTCCCCGTGTCCTTGGCTTCAGATGTCTTTGTCAGTTTTGTGTTAAGCTATCCAGGAATATGCTTCACTATGGCAAAACAGCCTTGACAGAGGTATCAAACAGTTTTTTTAGGGCTCCAGATGGACCGGCAGACAGACAGACAGGCGCAGGTGTCCGGCCTCCGCTCTCTTTGATGCCCATGAGTGAAAAGCAGCTGGGGTCGGAGACATGCCTTGGCGAGGAGATACATGTGGGCTTATAAGGTTCTCCAGTTTATTCTTAGCCTCGCCGCCTGTGATTCAGTGTGTGTTAGTGTGTGTGTTCGTCACCGAATCGTTGGGTGCGAGCATTTCACTAGAGACCCCGCTGTAATATAAGAAGCTGCATTGGTAGGGGAAGATTAGAGCCAAGTTTTTATGGGGTGGTTATGGAGATGTCATAGCGGTTATGCTTGGCTCAGTTGTTTGGATGCTGGACGCTGACACCTGTCCAACCAGAGCATGAATCAGACAGTGTGACTCCGTTCAGCGTGTCTTCCCAGACAAACGCAGAACAAAGCCTAGCTTAGAAAATCCTGATTAGAGTCAGGTGAAGATGTTGTGGCAGAGTTAAGAAAAGCCCTTCCTCTGTATCTCAGCTGCTAGTTTTTGCACTAAAAGGATTTACTCATCTGCCCGACTGCAGTTGAGCACCATTCATAACGAATTACAAACAGACACTAATTATCACCATAATACACTCCAAAAGTCCTCAAGGGTTGGAAAGTAATTATGTTTAAAATTAGACAATTTTCACACTATTATTTCCAGCACAGGTCTAACTAAAACACCTCGTGAACGACCGCCGGCCTCCTCAGGCGGCACAGTAGGATTTTTATCTTGTGTGATTCCATGTACGTAGCAACGAGGCTCATAATCATGTTTACCCATATCCTACGGTTCACTGCACTGTTTTGTTTGAAACAGATGTGTCACCATCCTTAGGGCATGTGGGGGAGCATCGGTGACAGGGAGTGGTATCTGGACTTGGCTTATAGTGTCTGTGAAAAAGGACTGACACTGGTGGGCGTCAGGCAGAAATGACCAACATTATATTCACGATTCAGACCCTGAAAGAGCTTTTGTTGTTGTTGTTTTTGTTTAAAAAAAAAGCTGTGTTAATATGAGCGAGTGTTTTGAGCTTCAAAGTTGAGGATGCATATGTTTCAAGTATTCATCCACTCTGGACTTTGTTTGCTTTCAGAATTTGGCAGCCAGAGGCTGATTCCTGTGGGAGAGGAGAACATCAGAGACAGCTTGTTTAAAGGAGAAGGTAAGGCTGCTCACCTTTTACATGTTGTGCAAGTGAAATCTCTCTCTGTCGTCACTTTTCTCCACAACATTTTCATAAATTGAGTTAAACTGCATATGTGGATTTAGGGTCATGTTTTGTTGCTACACCTCCTGTAGGTGTTTAAATTTCTTTTATATGTTTCGACACAGAGTTTCGGTAAAGTGCAAGATTTTGTTTGCACGTTTCATCATCGAACTGTCATCACACAGCAGCCTGCCTTTCTATCTTTTCACCCGTCAGTCCTCCAGTAGAGATACAAGTAAGGCTCTGATTAATTTTTCCTGTTTCCATGGATTCTGCAGACCCAGGAAGAAACAAACAACACTGCAGGGCACAGTTATCATCAGCAGTGTGGATAGATTCATAACCTCCAGAAGCAACTCGTGCATCACACTGCTTCACTCAGTATCAAACTCACATCACCTCATTTGAGCTTGCCTGCCAGTGATTAGCATTTCTTTCTGCACCAACAGGAATAAGGAAGGAGGAGGGTTATTGTTGGCTCCACTGAGATAGATTTGATGATCAAAGAGATCTGTGGGTGTTGGAGTTGCGCTGTGACCACAGCATGTACCTTTTGTGACTATCAGTCCAACGAGGCAGTAACAAAGAGAAGAGTGAGAGGAGATGCGGGGAGTTGAGTGAGGTGAGGCTGAGCAAAAATAACTGTGAGAACTAATGAGTGAGCAGTGACAATCCCAATGATTGAATCAATGATGGGAAGAGATCCTTTGGTCTGAAAATCAGCACTTTATAAAGCATTTTTATAAAGTTATTAACTGTCTTTCATAAATTTGATTTTTTTCTTCTTTTTTTTGCAAACACTCTTCACAGAGGCAAAAAGAATTTGCATGATTTAGACACATCATCATCAGCGCGGTGTTGCTGCCATCCTGTTGGCTGTTTACCAGTTACATCCTTGTGCTGCTGCTGTGATCAGAGTCATCCTGTGCAAGCAGTTGGATAGCAGCAGAGGAAGCAGCTCTCAGCACATGTGGCCACATTATGTACACAGCTGTGCACAGCTGACTCATTATCACTTGCAAGAACATCAGTATGTGACTAGTCTGCTCTCCTTTTAGATTAACAAACAACTCGCTGCGAACACGTCCAAATGCATCTTTGAAAGTTGAGTTTTCTGTTGTGAAAATAACACGCCTAGTTACATCGCTTTCCTTTGCAGAGGATTTAAAGTAGCTGAACTTTGATATTCATCCTTGTCTCTGTGAAACCACCAACGGCAGGCAGGTGAATGATGTGCCTTTGGTAAGCTATTCTGTTTGAGGACTGATCTCCACTTCAAAACCCCAGCGTGAGGACAGCATTCACCTCTCTTTTTCTTCCTCCTCTTCCTCCTCTTCCTTCAGCAGTGCAGGATAAAAACTGAACGCCTGCAAGAGAAACTCTTCAAAGGCGCAGTTCATCTGTTGGGTGAAGACCTCATCAATTTAGTTCTCTTCTCTCAAACCACTGTCCTTCCATCGAGCTCGGGTTGTTTATGAAGTGAGTGATGCGATATTTCTTTTTCCTTGCAGATGGTTGCGTAAGGGGCTTTTGATATCTTGAGGGTGAAGAAGGGATATTTTTCTCTTAACACTGTAGGACGAGCTTGTTGTTGGTGGCAAATTTTTCTCAGACTGCTTCCTCGCATCCTCCCAGGGGAATGCATCGCACATTGTGGAGCTTGATGTGCGTTTTCCTCACCCTTATTTTCCACATCAGCAAGATTGGACTTCTAGCTTGCTTCCATGCCCCAGCCTGCCGTCTACTCAATGATTAAAAGTCAAATATTAAAGTGCTCTGTTGCGAGCTCGGCCTAATTGATTCTTTCCGCCAGTTGCACTCAGAATGGGCTGACAGCAGGCGATACCAGGCTTTGTCAACATTGGGCATGCTGCCTGACGCTCAGGACGGCACCCCAATAAAGCCCCCTGTGAGTGTGCCAACCTGGGCGCCACACACAGAGAGGCCACTCTGCTCTCAAAGCCAAGCTTTATAGTAACAACACAGAGAAGCAGCTCATTCTTTTACTGTGTGTCAGCTCCCATCAGTTGGCTGGGAAGTTGGTTTTCTGTTTGTAAGAAAGTGGCTGGCTGTGAAGGAAGTGTGTGAAACTGTGAATGTGTGTGCATCTACTCTTGGAGGAAAAAAAATCTCTTCTGCCCACTTGCGTAACCACTCAGCTAACTTAAGCTATCTGGGGCGACGGTGCTGAAAGGAGGCTTCATCTGAATTCCAAAAAAGCTTCTCTTCTTCTCCTCTCTGCAGCTCTCCTGCCGTTAAGATAATTGCTTTAATAGCTTTTAATCTCAGCTATGTTTAACAAGGAGCTTACCAAGCGCAGGATGACACCAAGTATGTCATCAGTGTTCATCCTGTAAAAAAATAACAGGACATCTGGCGCACATCTTTTGATCATAGTGTTTTGCCCTCTCTTGACTGCAAAATGGGGAAAATTAATTGAATCTGTTTTGCAGTAAAACAGAGTCCCTCTCTTTCTCTCTCTCCTCTATAAATGGAGGCAGAATATCCCTGCCCCCCTCCTCTCCCATGAATTTACTGGCCATTTTATGCGTGTCTTGAATGGGCCACACTCCCTATTTATTTTTAATGTGCTCCTACTTTACTGTTAGGAGAGTGAAACAGAAATCTTGGTGGTATACAATGCTCATTAAGCGCAGACATTCATCCACAACGCTTTTCTCATGAATCTGATTAACCTTTTGGTCCTTGTGATCCATGGTAAAAGGTTATTGGCGCCCATTAATCCTCCTCTGGTTGGAAAGCTGGGTATATCTCCTGTCCCGTCTGATGCTTTATGTTCTATCCTAGCGGACGGGAAGGTTTGAAGGTGTGTGGGGGTGGGATGAGGTCAGAGAGCCGCCCAATGGCACAGTAATTACTCTATTAGTGAAATGGGGCTGCGTTCTATGCTCTGACACAGCACTAATTACAACACAAGGGTGATGAACTTGATCGAGCTGCTGCTAATTCATGTTTAATAGAAGAAAGAGAAGAAAACTGGAAAAAGAAATCAGCCGAGAGGGTGAGCTGCATGCTGTCAGGTACACACAGAGGAATTTTTTGTTCAACCTCTTCCCAACATGTACCTTTTTTCATCCGTGCAAATCCGAGCATTCAGTGCCTGAATATTTTACATCACATTTCAGTGTGACTGATCAGCAGCACAGTCGGGGAATAGGCAGCTGCTTCACTGGTAAAGGTCGCTGAAAAGTAATCACAATGTCCTCTCCCCTGAGAAGTGAGCAAGGTTTCATTTCTACCTCCATCCTGTTACTTCCCTGCTGTAGATCCCAGGGGGGCGCAAAGACTGAGTGGGGGTCATGATCCCAGCCACAGGGGGGCTGACAGCTGGTTGCCTGTCTGGCAGGGGCCTTATTGAGGGCTAATAGGAGAGAGTCAAGTCCGAGAGACCACTGTGACCTTGGCATGAGCCTTTAGAGGCAGGTAGGGGGGAGTAAGGTATGAAAGGTAAAGAATCATTATAAAGAATGACAGGTACATAGTACAGCCCTGATTACATAAGAGTTGGGATGCTGTGTAAAGTGTTGATGAAAACAGGATTTGACGGTCTGCAAATCATGTAAAGCCTTCATTTAACTGAGAATGGTGCAAGGCAATGAAACAAATGTTAAAACTGGTCTTTTTTATTGTTTCATGAAAATTATAAGCTCTTTTAAACTTGAAACCAGCAACAAGTTTCACAACAGTAGGGACTGAGGCAGATTGACTACTGAGTCTTATCACCTCTTATTTTAAAAACACTCTGGTTAAGGACCGAGAAGATCACTAGAGTTTTGAAAATGAAATGGTGACCTATTCTTGTCTGATACAGGATTTCAGATGCTGAGGAGTTTAAGGTTTACTTTAACATTTTTTTGTGTGTGTCAGAATATACCAAGTGTTTTGAATAGGTGACAGGTTTGAACTGCAGACAGGCCAGTTCAAACCCCAGACTACTACTGAGCCATGCTGTTAAGATCAGTACACAATGTATGATGGCATTTTCTGGCTAAATTATTTGAGGTCTTCCCTGAAAAAGGCGTGTCTTTGTGCAAGTATATGTTGCCCGTAAACCTATATCTTTAAGCATCAATGGTGCCTCTCCAGATATGTACACCAACCATGACGCTGGCAAATATTCAGCCCCGTGGGAAAGCTTTCCACCTCTCCTCAGTCCATCTTGAAGGGTCATGTTTCTGGATCCATTTTATAAATGCTTTCTCTTTGTGTGGCACAGTTTTTATCTGCATCAGTGGATGCAGGGACAAACAGGCAATGTTTTTTTAATGACATTTTGTTCCAGTGCAGTGATTTACACTGCAGAGGCATGTCTATTTTTAATGCAGTGTCACTGGTGAACATTAATCAGACTTGTTCTTTTTGTACAGAGATTTCTCTAGATTCTCTGAATCTTTTAATATTATGTTCCATAATTGATAAACTCTAAAAACTCATGGCAGTTTTACACTTCTGAACATTATTCTGGAGTTGCTGAACTGTATCCACACCCAGCCTCTCACAGAGTGGTGAACTTTTTACCATCTTTCTTTTGAGAGACTTCGCCCCCTCTCAGGAACTCTTTGGCAAAAAAAAGAAAAATGATCATGATATATTTTGTCATATTGGCTGATCTCAATTATTATCACGATTATTTTGTATTTTTTTAAACTGGCAGTTTTAAAGCATTTGTACTAAAAACTAACGAAACTAGAGATTAGTTCTACATTTTATTAACATATTTTTAACCCAAAATAAACAAATGGCCCCCTCAGCGATAATGCAGATGCCTTAAAATGTAGCCATTAGAGGATGTAGACGTAGATGATACGATTGATTGCTGCTTTGGTCTGGTGGCTGCATCGCTAGTTGTGGCTAAAATGCTAATGATACCTGTGCCATGGGCAGTGGCAGGCTGTACAGACTCCGCTCGCATTTTCATGCTTTCCGCATAATCACTTTGGAAGTACTCCATCCAGTGATTATTAAACGGATAATTTGTGGTGTTGCCGGTTTTGAGGGCACCGACCGCTGATGTATCTTGCACATCGGCTTAATTACTCGACGTCACTTTGGAGGTAACCGAACCATGGTACCGCAACACAACCGACGTTGAGTAACTTTTCTTCTCAACAATGGCATCTTTTGGAGGACGACTCAAAGTCATGGCTGATATTTATTTTGCTGCCCTCAGCTTAGCGTTTAGCTCCACATTCGGTCATTCTGTTTACTTCTCCTGTTTACTTCTTCGGCAACTTACAGAGGTAAACAGGAAAAGCTCCAATTGGTTGTTGCTCACAGCTGATCACTGTGATCGAACTGAAATTTATCACAATCATTAGTCACGATCATATGATTGCCCATTACCAGTCATACCTTGTTGCAAATAAATATGATTTGTTTAAAAATGTTCCTCCAGATGTTTTAGCATCACTCAACTTTGTCAGTGTTTGATACTCCCCGTCACAACAGTTTTGAAACATGTTGCTAGCATCAAATTAAAAAATGTGCACAAATTCTTCAAAAACTATAAAAGAAATTCAGTTTTCACATTATATCTGATGTCTTTATGGTATTTGAATTGGATAAGATATTTAGATGACGTATAAAATATTAGATTCTGTTCACATTTTACAGTGCATGCCAACTCTTGTGAAATTGGAGTTGTACTTGAAAACCCTGAGTTATTTAACCACAGAGAACTTCAGTATAAGCAAGAGGTTTACGCTTAGTCTAGTCTGTGTGTGTGGCTGGATGACTCATATGAGGGTGTATATGTGTGGATGTGTCAGAAATGTTAATATATTTCTTTGATTTCTCCTGAAAGTTTTATTTTCCCCAACTCTGGAACAACAAAGTATTTCAGCAGTTCTTCACAGAAATACGCTGAAAATAGTTTTTATCATGTGAAGCATTGATAAATAATTCTGTTTGAGGCAAATGTTGGAGTTTGATACCTGCATGCAGACTGAGACTGGACATGTTCTTCGTTTTACAAGTCAATTACTGTGATATTTTCTAACTGAATGATTTTAGCGACTGATTGTAACTGCTCAGCTGTTGACCACTTAGTCACAGTTTGTCATGGATGCACTTGTCATCGTATTTGTGTGTGTTTGTGTTTACTGTTCTGTAGCCATGAGTGTGGTTGCGTCCCTCCTAAATCGGTGATACAGATCAAAAGGAGGTCTTGCCTGCAGGGACAGCCAATGAGCTCTGCCCACAGCAGAGGGGGAGTCACTACTGCTGATCAATCTGAGCTCTCATTAAAAGGCTGCCAAGCCCTTTGCAACCTGATACAATATCAATACTGTAGCACCACAGAGGGACCTTGTGAGCTGTTAGGCAAGCTGCTGGCATGCTTAACTGTCATTACTGGGTGGGCAGCATGCCAGAGACCCCCTTCATGAGCCACTTAGGCTCCCCCCACGGTCCCAAACACAGGTCAGTGCAGACGGATGGGCTGTCTGGGCAGCTGTCCCGGGGACGGGTAGAGGGAGATGGATACGGACCTGTAGAGGAGGAGACAGCCTGAGATCCCCCACAACAAGGACTGATGATGTGGGCTTTGTGTGTTGACTGCCCGCAGTTACGCACACATGGCTGCGGTTTTACCTGAGGCTGGATTGTTTATTGTGGGTATTTTCTGTGTTGGTCTTTTACAGTGGGTAATTACGAGGACCATCCCACATGTTTTGGTTTAGCCGAACAAAAGACAAAGACTTTGCAAAGAAAAACTGTGTCTGAAGTTCTTGGATGTGTGTACATGTTCAGAAAAATCAGCGCTGCGTTTTGGCAAATAACTCAACATTCCTGCTGGGAATACTAGTGCGCAGTGAGCGAGTAGCTCATTTCTGAGGAGAACAAATGGGGGGAATTTAAGTGGACATATAAAGGCTGTGTAATTCATATCATTGTGTGGAGGTCCCCCCTCTGTGCTCCAGTCTTAACCCCCTGTGTGGTTTTGATAGGAAAGGGAGGGATCAGTTTGTGCGTCCCTAAACCCCCAGTAATCCGCTGACAAAAAGGCCAGAAGAAAGCCATCAAGTAAAGGTGGGGGGTTAGGACAGAGAATGGGTGGAGAAAAGAAGTAAATAAGTGGTTCTGGCCTCTCTAGCCCCCATGGGTGTGCTTAAGACCAGAGAAGATGGTCCTCATGGTAGCCACAGATCTTCATATTCTGAGGGTGAAGTATACCTCTGCTGTGAGGGGCCTTTCTAAGTTTTCTAGAGCCATTGTTTATCAGCTGACTGAAAAATTCCTGAGTCTATAGGAATGATCGCCTCTGCTGCAGCTGAAGTGTAACTCTCAGCAACAGTATCGATTTATCTGGACTGGCTGTAATTTATTCAGCGAGCGGGCGACACTTGTTTACTGAAAGTTGAAACCAATACTGTCTATAATCACCATTAAGTCAGAGACATCAGAGTCCCAGTTGCAGGTGCTAATTAAATAATGGTGGTGAAATGGCTTGTGATTATAACAAAGATAAAGATTGCGGTGTATCTCAATCATTTTTCTCTCGTAAAAGTGGTTTTCCTAGCAGATCATATTTTGAGTGATGGTCCATTTCTCATTTGTGCTGCAGTAACACAATGTCACCCAGAAGTCACTTGGCTGCACCGAGGTCTCAGTGAGGTAGTTAGGTCGGCGGAACAATTGGCCCCGACTGATTTGTATGTAATCCATTTAGCTGAGATGTGACACACTGTAGGGGGGCTTTGCCTTTGGTCAATAAGTGCCAATAAGGAACAGCCATCACTCAGCAGGCTGCCCTGTCCACCAGCTTGCTCACTTGTTTCAGCTGTCAACCCCTGTCCCAAAGGAGCTGGCAATTGTGCAGCTCTTTCGGACGCTCCACAAATGGCTTTCCCATACAAACCTCAATAAGACAGGAAAGGCAAGGACACCGGTGGACTGCAAAGCAGGCTCATTTCTCTCCAACATCTGAAGTGAAAACAGCCACGTATTTACAAAACACCATTGACAGTTCCTCATTCTCTCAGTCTTAAACCCATGGAGGTGGAGCTGTGGGGGTTGAACCCGAGTCAGGGACAATCGAGGCTCTGTTTGTGTTCTCTCTAACACCTCTGTGTTCTCTTTGGGCTCCCTTGGAGCGTACTGCAGGCTGCAGAGGAGGAGGGGTAAATGCCTTGACCCCGCTGTGGACCCTGACTGAAGCTCCCCACAAACCTACAGACCACCACGCAGGCCCCAAATGCCACCCGGTTGCCGGTGGTAACAGAGAGCAGAGCAAAGTGGATGTACATTAAAGAGATAAAAGAAAAACCTGCTTCTTTGGAGATGAAGACTGATTCTTGTCACCCGAACATCCTCGCTGCAGCTTGTTTGATGTTGTTGTTTGTTGTGTTGCTGAAATCCAAGCGTGTTATGAGGATTATGTTGACTGAGTTGGTTTGTTTGACCTGGAGGTGACAAACAGGCAGACAGTATCTGTATGATGTCCTCCTAAGGCAGGTGGAGCCAAAGCATTTGAGAACAATAATAAAGGATGCTGCTGCTGTTGATTCCCCTTACATTCAGGGATGATTAGCTATAACTGTTGTTCTCGCCTTTAATGTCTTCTTGTTGGTGAGAGAAGTTTGAAGTCAGCTCTGCAGAGTGTGGGTGTATTTATGTATCTGTCTGTCACTGCGCTTGCATGTGTGTATGTTTGTGTTTATGTGTGGTGTACATTTATAGTCAAAAGAGCAGACACAGGGAGTCTGTCAAAGCTCTTTGTTCTCCAGCAAGAACACATTATGACTGGGCCTTTTGTCTGAACTGACACCATCATGCAGTCGCTTTCTTTTTCGACTTCTCTCTCTTTTTCTCACCCCTTAATTTTGTTTCAGCAAACTATTCATCCGTCATTCCATCACTCTCTCTCCTGATGAAACCATTTTAAGGATAATGTGCCCTGTGGATTATGGAGTTGAGGAGGTAGAGATGTTTTCTTTTTTTTTTTTTCCATCCATTTGGGTATGGCCCAAGCCCTCACTTTGTGAGGAAGACTTCCAGAGTATAGCGTGACTACCAGAAGATGACGTCTGAAGACAGAGTGTGTTTCATTAATAATTCATCAGGTTGTTTTTTTATTTGCCTACTTCCATGCAAATTTTCACTTACAAACTGCTCCATGACATTAATATTTTACACAAACAATGTTCGAACTCCAAACCTTAAAATCCACAAATTTAACAAAGTATGTGGCAAAAAGAAGGTGAACAGATGAAGATGGCACCATTACTGATAGTCAGACCAAACACGGTTTGTAGTTCAGCTTACCCTAAAGGTAATATAAAGGTGTTTAGCTCCTGTCTTCATGCAGCCCAGTCATGCCCTCCCAATAGACGAGAATTTCTTAATGGACTCTGGTTCTCTGGTAAATAATGTCAAACTCCCTCCAGGATAGTTGATCCTCTTCTTGGGCTGGAAGAGAGATAATCTAATGATGGTGTTTGTGTGCAAAAGAACTATTTCTTTCACTGCTAGAAGAAACTCAAAACAAATGGGACCTACATGTCAGATAAGTCGCACTGTGTTTCTTGTGTATATGTGTGTATGTGGGTGTGAACATGTAAGAGCTTTCCAGCCGCAGCACATCACAGCTTCACCCTTTTTCTCAGGGCAGCAGACTCACTGCAGGATTAATGAAGTGTTAAGTGCCAAAATTACACTCATTTATATTTCACCATCCAGGCAGTACATTCCCCATGTTTTTAAAGGTTAGGGATGAATCTAGACAAGAAAAGAAAAAACATAAATGTAGAGGGAAACACTTAAAGGGTAACTGCAGAAATGAATGTTTCACAGTCAAGTCCTCTCATTGCAGAAGAAATCTCATTTCCTCACTTCTAAAGTCTAACCACTGTTCTTTGTGTCTGTGTATTCAGACAGAAAATTGCTGTGCAGGTTCAGACTGTCATCTTAAAATGTCTGCAGAGTGCTGAGCTTATCTAAACCTCCGGGAAATCTAAATTAAATCTTCCCGGTGAATGGGATCAGCCTCTGCATTATCTCTTGTCATCCTCAACTATTAAAGTTAGTTATTAGGAAGCGAAGTCACATTTGTCATAAGGAAGTGAAAGCATGCTTTTCAACTAAAAAGCGCTGTCGAGTCAGTGAGTATGGTTTTAGAGTTCTCAGGCGGGGACTCAAGAGTTCATGTTGACTATGCCGACCACTGGAGGAGTCATTGTTTCAGGGGAAATGAAATCATCAATAATGTATTAAGGATCTTGTAGGTTGCAAAATGCTAACAGCCAGCGTGAAGTTATGAGAAATGAGAGTTTGCTTGCTGAATTGCAAAAAAATAAAAAATACTCATGCTGACATTCTGTACCAGAGCAATGTTTGCACAGCACAGAGAGCAGCATGTGGCCAATGGCTTAAGAGTCTGAACCAACGAAGAGGCTTCATTTTCTCTGAAACACAACAAGGTTGTGTTGGTGCGATGACAGTCTGCCCCTAAGCTTTACATGTCTTGTCATGATTAGTTAAGGGTACAAGGCCTCCTCAGATATCTCCAGTACATTGCCTCAGTCATCATCTGCGAACAATGCTGCAGTGGCTGCAGCCTTGTCCTCGGGGGCAGGTGCACAGACCACAGTGCAGTATGTCCAATGAAAGGTTACAATGTTCTTTCTAATCCAGTCAGATTTCAAGATGAAACCTCTTCCGACTTCTTTCTCTGGTTAGACAAAAAAAGGGCTCTCTCTGCAGGGATCCTTACCATCATAAGTACAAGCTCTTTAAGGAAACATACTCTGATCAGGTACAGTTGCCCACAAGAGGCCATTACAGCCAGTTTTGCTGCTGCTCGCTGAAATTACTCACAAGAGCACATCCAAATGTAAATCTGACTTTGGCTGCTGTAACAGCGCTTGGTAGCTCTTGGTGATTCCTGGTACCTCTCGGACTCTTTGGGTTTTCTAGGGTGTGAGTGTTTTTCACTGTCCTCAGAGTAAACTACACTCACGTTCTTTCCACAGATTGTACATAGAATGGACACCGTCTGCCTCCTCACTGGGTGAAGCCACCCCGGGAACAGCACCCTCTGATGACGTGCTGCAGTATATGTCATAAATCCTGCCTCCTCCAGCAAAACTTATGGGGCTGTGGACAAACTTAAGAAATTTATAACACAGAATATACATTTCTAAAGTTTATTTCTCCCCCCTGGTTGCGATGTTGACATGTAGTTATTGTAAGACCGGTTTGTGCTCAAGTCCCCTTTTTTTTGTGCAGCTCCATTTTAAAAAGTTATTAGGGGGTTCAAGTTTTCTATGATTGACACTTGATACAGCCTATGCGCGTACAAGGATTGCCTAGCTCACCCGGGGATTCGCTGTTTGAGCCGAGCGTCATCACAGCGATTCTCTGCGACTCTCCCGTCGAATGCGTACAACGCTACTGCACAATGTTGGCTTTATGGAAATGGAGAAAAAACGCAGAATTACTGAGAGCTTTTTTGCTTCAAATCCATATACTGGTAGAAGGCAGAACCAAGTTGTCCATAGTATATACAGTCTATGATTCTTGCTCAGAAGTTTCAAATACAAGTATATCATCACAGTACTTTATTTGAAATGGCTATCATTCTGTGGATGTGATAGCCTCCACTTAAAGCTGTTATCGTCAACGGTTTTAGAAATAGCTCACATAAAGAAGGTGTAAAAGGATCCTCTTATTCTGGTGAACTCACCTGCAATGATTTTCCACTCATAGACGTGGTGACTTTATTGAGCTTGAAAGCGAGTTGAAGTTCATTGTTTGTGTAACTGCTCACGACTCGACTGTGTGTGTGTGTGTCTGCTCATTCTCACTGCCAGCATTGTGTTGTGTCAGCTTAGAATGATTTCGAAGAAAGAGCTCTTGGTTCATTACCTGCCCAGCATCAAATGCTAGACAGGCACATTCTGTAGCAACAAGCTGGTGAACACAGGGGAGAATTTAACGGCCTAAGAAGCAGGTATTTCCCTTTGGAGCTGAGAAAGACCACAAATAGAGCCGAAAGAGAGTGAACCCCAGTCACAAAAAACCCAACCTAAAATAAATGGTGTTGCACTCTTTAACAGCTTGATGTGTAAACTAAGAAAGTGTAAAGAAGTTCTCCATGCAGACTTAGATCTGAAACACCATGCAAATGTCAGATTTTGGCATTGTGTGACAACAGATGCTCGTCGTCCACACAGCATCTGTCAAATATGCACTTCTAATATGTCATCTAAACAAACCACATTGCTTTCAGCTGTGCACAAGAGACTGGCTCAAGGCGCCAGAGACGGAAGACTATTTCCTGTTTTCCTACGTTTCTACTTTGTAAACAGAAAAATGTTACAGCCTGTGGTGTTAATACAAGTTGGGACACACACTTCCGTCACGGATGTGGGCACCGTTAATGCAGCACCATCTCCATTTTATAAATCAAGCCAGCAAGCTCTTTGGAGGGAAAAAGCAGAATCAAGTAGCATTTTTTATTGGACTCTCCCACTACCTTGGCAATGTCCTGTAAGTCAGCTGCCACTTAATTTTATCGTTTGAGGAGGAATCTGAACTTAATAAATGAGCTGCTTTCATCGCGTCGAGGTGAGATCCAGAGCTTTGATGTCAAATTGGCTCAAGACATTACTTTGGTCTGTTTTGGACACTCTGACAAAAGCATAACGTAATCCAGGTGATTCCTCTGCTCACACTCAAATGGGATTAAGCAAATTTATATGATAGGATGAAAGTCGATACTTCATAAATATCAGCTTGGCTATGAATTGTTGTGAAAGTTATTACACCCACTTTAAATCAGGGACAACACGTGATGCTGCTTTTATATAACTAACAAACAGCACATAGTATTTTCATCAGGAGTGACAAGTAAACCGAGAAACAAAGATTTATTACAAGAAATGTAATTATGACTTGATAAGAGGGCTTTGGCACTTGAACTCTACTGGGGGATTTTTGTAATCAACAGTTGTTGGCTCTGAGCAGCAGCGTGATGGATCCCCCTTGAGTCAAGACACCAGGAGTGGTGGTGGTTGACGGCTACGCTGAGACCAGGTACAAAACACATGAAAACAAGTGATGGATGAAACTGGTGATTCTTGGATGGCTGCCGGAGAGGTGGAGGTAAAGGGGTGTTTATAGCAGAAAGGAGGAACAAGAAATAATAATAATAATAATTCATTTTATTTGTACAGCGCTTTTAAAAACACTCAAAGACGCTTTACATAGTACGTAAAATTCAAGATAATAAGACAAAGACATGAAAACAGTAAGATGAACAAAACAGTTAAATATTAAAAGCAATTTTAAATAAGTGAGTTTTTAAAAGGGATTTAAAAGTAGTGGGGTCAGGGCAGTGTCTGATGGAGGGAGGTAGGGAGTTCCAGAGGGTAGGGGCAACTGTGGAGAATGCCCGATCCCCCCAGGTTCGGTGCTTGGGCCGTGACAATGGGGTGAGAAGATGGGCAGAGGAGGAACGGAGGTTACGGGGGGGTGCATGAGGCTGGAGTAGGTCGGTGAGATAAGAAGGGGCTTGATGATGAAGGGCTTTGTGGGTGAGAAGGAGGATCTTGAACATGATGATAGAGATGATGATAACCGTGAAGCCCAAACAAGACAGTCAAAAAATGGTTTTACTTGACCTGTAGTAGGGCTGGACGATATGGGAAAAAGTTTATCAGGATATATATTTTTTTCATATCAGTCGATATCAATATACATCACAACATAAAAAAAAATCACTTGTCAATCTTAAATGTTCCCTGTTACTCCTAAATGAAATTTAACAGTGCTTATTGGTAGCATGTCTTTTGCAATACAATAAAATACTGCATCTGACAGGTCTTTGTGTGTCTTTGACATTTTGTCGTAAGGCAATGCGCTAGAGGAAGTGAACTGGTCGGCTGTTTCGGCTGCACAGGTGCCATGGGCTCCTTGCTCCGCTCGGGGTTTGTAACCTTTTGCATTGTGCATGCTCTGCCGCGTGGCACTGCTTCAGGTGGTGAAAAAGATTTGAGGTGTTCCCCGACTTTGCAAGAACATGTACTTGACATAATTTGCAGTACACATTACTCTGCTTGATGTCCGACCTCAAAAAAAACAAACTACCTCCACACCACTGACGTTTTCGTGGCAGTGTTGTGGACAATGTTATCATCTGTTGAGCCTTCATCTGCATTTCTGTCGGGGGTAGCACTCATTTTCTTTTTTTCTTACCAACAGTGCTGTCTATTTTACGTGTTAAAGTGCTATAGTTGCGTGTAGCTGCAGCCTGCTACTACACAGTTGTTTGCTACTTGATTCTAGTTGACCCAGAGCAACTCCTTTTTTCAATGACTATTTGTATAGTCTACCAAAACATGGCAGGATGCTGACTATTGAAAAGCATATTGACCATGTTTTATATTGATATTGAGGGAAATTAATATTAGATATACACTCACCGGCCACTTAATTAGGTACACCATGCTAGTAACGGGTTGGACCCCCTTTTGCCTTCAGAACTGCCTCAATTCTTCGTGGCATAGATTCAACAAGGTGCTGGAAGCATTCCTCAGAGAGCTTGGTCCATATTGACATGATGGCATCACACAGTTGCCGCAGATTTGTCGGCTGCACATCCATGATGCGAATCTCCCGTTCCACCACATCCCAAAGATGCTCTATTGGATTGAGATCTGGTGACTGTGGAGGCCATTTGAGTACAGTGAACTCATTGTCATGTTCAAGAAACCAGTCTGAGATGATTCCAGCTTTATGACATGGCGCATTATCCTGCTGAAAGTAGCCATCAGAAGTTGGGTACATTGTGGTCATAAAGGGATGGACATGGTCAGCAACAATACTCAGGTAGGCTGTGGCGTTGCAACGATGCTCAATTGGTACCAAGGGGCCCAAAGAGTGCCAAGAAAATATTCCCCACACCATGACACCACCACTACCAGCCTGAACCGTTGATACAAGGCAGGATGGATCCATGCTTTCATGTTGTTGACGCCAAATTCTGACCCTACCATCCGAATGTCACAGCAGAAATTGAGACTCATCAGACCAGGCAACGTTTTTCCAATCTTCTATTGTCCAATTTCGATGAGCTTGTGCAAATTGTAGCCTCAGTTTCCTCTTCTTAGCTGAAAGGAGTGGCACCCGGCGTGGTCTTCTGCTGCTGTAGCCCATCTGCCTCAAAGTTCGATGTACTGTGCGTTCAGAGATGCTCCTCTGCCTACCTTGGTTGTAACGGGTGGTTATTTGAGTCACTGTTGCCTTTCTATCAGCTCGAACCAGTCTGGCCATTCTCCTCTGACCTCTGGCATCAACAAGGCATTTCCGCCCACAGAACTGCCGCTCACTGGATATTTTTTCTTTTTCGGACCATTCTCTGTAAACCCTAGAGATGGTTGTGCGTGAAAATCCCAGTAGATCAGCAGTTTCTGAAATACTCAGACCAGCCCTTCTGGCACCAACAACCATGCCACGTTCAAAGTCACTCAAATCACCTTTCTTCCCCATACTGATGCTCGGTTTGAACTGCAGGAGATTGTCTTGACCATGTCTACATGCCTAAATGCACTAAGTTGCCGCCATGTGATTGGCTGATTAGAAATTAAGTGTTAACGAGCAGTTGGACAGGTGTACCTAATAAAGTGGCCGGTGAGTGTATATTGTTATTGTTTTATCACCCAGCCCTAACCTGTAGTTTGATTTCTGCTCTATTTAGCAGCAGTGGGGTTTATTACCTATACCGCAGCCGATCAGCAGAGGGAGCCCTGAATCTTTTGCACTTAAGACATCCAATTTAATTTACAGCCTAAGATGACCTCTTGTACAAGCAAATGACTCGGTCAGGAGTAAACAAAGCATTTTTGAAATTTTCCTTTAGATTGAAGAATGGCTCGTATGGGAACACTATCAAAGATTCTGATGGTGGAGGAAGCTTAGCATTTAAAGAATGACGGATGTCGACCAGCAACAAACTGTGGGTGCCCATTATCATGAAAAAAGCATTCCTCACTGTATTGAGGATTGTGGTCCCCTCCATCCACTGACACATCCTCGGACTATGCACACATACATATGAGCACATACACACATGCAAGGACAAACTTCCCTCAGAGAAAGTTGCTCTCATATAGATGCATGCCGTTGCAGAATTTGCATGTGAATGCAAACTTTTGTTAGTTAATTCAAGGGTCCTTGGAGATTTTGCACATTCTGTTCAGAGAGAGGCAGGCCAATGGGAACAAAGTCACACATTAGCAAAGCCCTGCCAGCCTCAATTATGACCAAAGGGACTGGTTCGATAGTGTTGTGAGCCACATTCAGAGCTGGATGTGTCTAAACTTTTCTTGGCCACTTTCAGCACCGGAATACAGACAATGGCAAATTCCTGCTTTGAGGCTGACACAAGAAGGATGTGGAAGTTGCCTTCTATCAGATCTTCTTCTATTTTCATCCGTTCTATATGGTGGATTCCGTCTGTAAATCTAGTTTCTATTTTGAAGAAAAATCCATCTGCAGTGAAAGTGCTCTGGTTTTGTTCTCTCCACACTCTGTATGCCCAGAGTTTTTTTTTTCCTTTCTCACTTTTTCCAATCACTTTCTTTTTATCTCTCACTGTTTCTGAATATTGGTGATAAAGGATCCAGGAGTCGGTCTCCAAGCTTGTTGGCACTCTCCTCTGTATATCCAATGCGTTATGAGACACAGCTGATTAAATTGCAAGTGTATGCCATGGCTCGTCCTCCTTCAATATGTAATAAATGTCTGAATTTTTTTCCTGGGTTTTCTCATATTCTGTCTGTGTTGCGTGCCTTCACGGCGGCTCCAGATTGGATGAATCAGACTTAATGCCTGTTTTAAAGCCCAAGGTGTTTTATTTAAAGGGAAAAAAAGTACATTAATGCCCGCGCTGAGTCGTTGGAAGATTTATCAGGCACTCTCCCAGCTTTCCTTCTGCCTCGCTTCAGCGAGAATACTTTAGGTACAGATGTGTGTTGTTGGGCAGTGTAACATATCTGTCTGTGGAGATGGTGTGTGTTTTCATCTCTCTGCTCTTGCCGTCGTCTTCACCATCATGCCCGTGCTGTGACATGGCCAGCTCTGTTGTCACTGCATTTATAATTTAGCCATTTCAATAAAAGATGGACGGCATTAAGTTTTTATCCGATGATGCAGTGCTTCTGTCTCTTAGAGCCTCTTTACAAGCGAATGACTGATGAGCAAAACTTTCCCTCTCTGTTCTGACTTCCAGGCATCACTTGGCATTAGTATAACCCGAGATGATCCTTGTTCCTCCAACATGCTTTTAGAGTCTTATTCCGTATGATCTCATATTCAGCTAGTCTACTCCCCAGCCCTTCCCCTCCAAGCCCCAAGCCTTTAATGAGTTTTGCTGAGAGTTATATTTACTCATGTTGTCTTGTGCTTCTGTCTAAATGGCAAAAAAATCCTCTTTTATTCTGTGTTGTCGAGCTGAGTCAGCACTGTCGTTTCGCATCTCACTTAGAGCAAAAAGCTGATGTTGGCAGAGCTCTGTCAGGAAACAAGCTTTAAATCATCCCAGTTCACTGAAACAACCTTATTTTATCTGAGACATGTTTTTTGAGACTGAGATTGAAATGTCGTTTTTTTGTTCAGTGGTTGTCCATCCATGTATGTTCTCGTATTTTGAGGCTATAATGGTTTCTGTTTGTTTGTAAATTACAGTTTCCGCTCACTTTCTTCTTTTGTGGTTTCATGTAGCATCTGTCACCATCTGCAAAGATAAACAATACGTGTAGATAAAAGAAAGCAGTAGAGAACAAACTGTAAAGAAAGGACTAAGTGTCAGATAGAGCTGATAAAAGCCTGAAGATCCAATTAGTCCCCGGTATCAAGGGAAGGGGAGGCCTCCCGAGGGTAGTGTCAGAAAATATCCAGCATATCAATAGAACAGCATTTACATACTTGGCTATTGATATATCAGTGGGTAAAATCGAGCTGGCTGTTTTCCTGCAATTCAGGACTATATTTGGTGCTCCCCACTGACGGTTTTGCCTGCATAGGCTCTCTAACAGATAAACAACTTATCAAAAGGAGGAACTGTATCTTCCTCACAAAACAGCTCACTAAAAGAGGAGCCAATGGTGAAGGACCATCTTAATTTGAGCACACTGAGTCTATTCTTTATTCACTGGAGATGTCCTGGAATCCATTTTAGTGACAGCCTATTCACAGCCGGTTGCAGACAGAGCAATTTAAATTTGTCTTTCTTTGATTTGGGTGCTTCATTTATTGTGGATTTCCACATTGTTGATGTCTTTTTATTTTTTTTGCCATAAATGAATGCCAGCAGTGAGAGAGAAAAAGACAAGAGCAAAGGAAAATTCAAACAGCCCAGTGTGCCCAGGGTCGGAGCTCATGAGCTCATCCAGGGGAGAACCGCAGGCCTCTGGGAGTTTGAAACCTAAGCAAACACAGCTGCCCTCGTACATATTTAAATGCGTTTGTATGTGTATGTGCTCACTCACACGCACATGGCTTGTATGATTGTGTGGAGGTTGTTGGCAGTTTGAGGAACGTGAGACCGTGGAGGAGGATGGACGTGTGGGTTTTTGGAAAGAGCTAAATGAGCAAAATCTGGACAATGACTGAGGCGAGAAAACAACAAGCTTTGTGTTGGACAGAGGAGCTTTTCTACTTTTTCCTTGAACTTACTTCATCTCCTCTATAACAGGAAAAACGTGTCCTCCTGTTTTTAATAAGTCCATCAGCTGTGCATGTCTGCATGTGTTTGCAATGTATGGTGTGTTATCTGTTATTTGCTTCTGCTGATCCCCATGCCGAGCAGTATTCCAGTCAGTGTTGTTGCTAAGGAGTCGAAATCCCAGGAGAGAGAGGATGCTGATGTGTTGTTGTTGTTGTTGTTGTCTTCCAACAGGGTTTGCTCTGGCTACCTGCTCCTTAAAGACAGACAGACAGACAGACACACACACACACACACACACACACACACACACACACACACACTCTCACACACACACACACAAACCCAAGCCCTCTCCCATCTGACAGTGGAGCATCTCAGCGGGCTCACTGATGCTGCTGTTTGTGAACTGTGTTTATGATTCTGATCACTGGTCTGTGTTGCCGCTCTGATTATGTGCGATGATTTGTCAAGAACAAAACCCCTCTGATAAATAACATCTTGTGTGTTTATTCTATTTTTACTTATTTTATTGGATATTCAACAATCAAGTTCAGATAGCCAGGTGCTGCAGATAAGTGCAGAACATTATAAAACATAGACGTAACTTGTTGTTAAGGAGGAGGTGTCTTCAGGCAGATAAAAGGACTTTGGGGGCAGTTATGGCAGACTTATGGCAAACTGCATGTTAAGATTAATCACAGAAACTATCTTAGGCACACAGGACTAATTGTTGGGTTTTACTTTTTTGTATTTTTACCGCACATCTGGAGGCAGTTGACTTTCATTTTAATATTTCCTGCTTTCATTTTTTTCATTTTTAGGTTTGTTGGTATATCTCAGTGTGCGGTCACTCAGTGGTCTTTCATGACAGTGATTTCTGGTGTTTAGAAATGGTATCAATCCGTCCCCTCATGTTGTTACTTGCTCATTGACCCCTGTTTTAATTTGACTTCTCTCATCTCCTCCTCTTGTCTCTCTCCTTCACCTCTGCCCCTCAGGCCACCCCCACTCCACCTCCCTCATATCCACCCTAACCCTCTCAGGGGGTGGTGAGTCCTGAGCTGGCCCTGGGCCCAGGCCCATTAGCCCCAGCCTGGCAGCCATGTGCTCATCACCAGAGATCATTACACCCAGCAATGACACCACTCTAATGCATCATTAATGATTGATTAACGAGCTGAGCTCAGCCCAAACGGGTGCATTTGTACGGAAGAGCACCCTGTAATGGCTGTGCAAGGCTTGCATCTGCTATTTTTCACCATGTTGTGTTGTGTGTGTGTTTGTGCGTGTGCATGTGTGTGTACTTTATTCTTATCAGTCTCCCTTTGTGTCCTGTTTCTAAGGTTGAGTGAGGGAGCTGCACACCCACAAAGGACTGAAGGGGTGACTGCAGGGTGGCGCGATGGCAGGGTGGGGGCTCTCCATCCCTCTCCCTCTTTTTCCTCTCCTTCTTGTTTTGGTGGGAATCCTTCCTGAGGTCCAGGGCTCTGGCTACCTTTCCGGATATCGCCAGAGGTCGCGGCTGCAGAGGGACCGCCACATCCGCAATGTCCGACCCAACATCATCCTCATCCTCACAGATGATCAGGACATAGAGCTGGGTAAGACACGCTCATCTCCTAATCCTGTCCTCTGTATGTATGTGTGCGTGCGTGTTCACTGTTTGTTTGTGCATCTGGCTCTCTCTGTTTGCTCTGTGTCCATATCCCATGGGTATGAGTATTCTCTCTGTGCGTATCCAAGAGCATCAGCAAGGGAAAGTCAACCCTAATGCTTCCTCCTGGCACCATAACAACTGGCTCACTCAAAGTCATGTGCTCCTGTTGCCAACCCCTCCATTGCTGGCAAGAAGTGAGGGCGGCCTATGGCTTCCATTGTCTGAGTGCCAAACCCTGGCCATCTCCCTTCCCGCTTAAGTCCTTTTGCGGCGTATTGGACTGGAGTGGCTGCATAATGGCCTTGGTGACACCCTTTGTCCTTCTGTGATCGCTGGTGAGAGGGCTCCCATTGAAAAGCAGGAATTTATGGTCAAGCATCTGTTTTCCCAAACAATCGCCAGTGCCTGAAAAGCTTTTGGTACACGGGAATCCAAATGAGTCACACTTTACTAAAAAGATTTGTTTCCTTGTTTTCTTTTAGCCCATGTGTATACTGGCGTTTACTCTTGCCCCCCCATGCACAACTCGATATTTTTGCCGGTCTGGTTACCTCTTGTGCGTGTGTGCGTGTGTTTTTTTTCCTCCTCCAACTGTTTTATGTCCCTCTGTGGCCCTTTCATTTCCATCCTGTCCTTGGCCTTTGAATCTCCTCTCACCTCACCTCTCCTCCCCTCCTCTCCACCCCTCCCTTCTCTCATTCTTGCACTACTTTCTCCCAGGCTCAATGCAGGCTATGAACAAAACCCGGCAGATCATGGAGAAAGGCGGCACGCATTTCTCCAACGCCTTCTCCACTACGCCCATGTGCTGCCCCTCTCGCTCCTCCATCCTGACAGGAAAGTACGTGCACAACCACCACACCTACACCAACAACGAGAATTGCTCCTCTCCTTCCTGGCAGGTCCATCATGAGCCACACACCTTTGCAGTACATCTAAACAATTCTGGCTACAGGACAGGTAAGCATCGCAAGTGTGGAATACGAATGTCAAAGTGCATTTAAGCAGGTCAGCCTGTGCGTTGATCTTCAGGGCAGGAATTATATACTGCTCCTCTTTTCCTCTCTCAGCATTTTTTGGAAAGTATCTGAATGAGTACAACGGCTCCTATGTGCCCCCTGGCTGGAAAGAATGGGTAGCACTGGTTAAGAATTCTCGCTTCTACAACTACACCCTCTGCAGGAATGGAGTACGAGAAAAGCACAGCAGCGACTACCCAAAGGTATTTTACAGTCCATTAGAGAGATGTCACAACCACTTTCACAGAAGGACTGCATGGCAGTAAAGTGGGATGTGCAAAAAATGAGGAGTTTTTTCATTGGTAAAAATAAACCGCGGAACCACGGGGGCTTCTCTACAAATAATCTGCTGATTCAAGCATCCTGTTGCAATTCATCGACAATCGTTTTTGTTCTCAGCAACAACAACAACAATGTTTGAGCTAGTTTTACAGTTGTGCACAGGAAGATTTTTTGTCCCCACATAGGTCTTTAAACTAATGTGCAAAACTGACAGCTCTGACATCTGCTCTTTTACTTTGTCACTCACTGAGTGTCTGATGGACAATGTCTGCTGGCTCCACAGGACTACCTGACAGACATCATTACCAACGACAGCATCAACTACTTCCGTATGTCAAAGAAGATGTACCCTCACCGCCCTGTCATGATGGTCCTCAGCCATGTCGCTCCGCATGGCCCGGAAGACTCTGCTCCACAGTACAGCGCGGCCTTTCCCAACGCATCGCAGCACATGTGAGACACTGAGCGCCGTCAGGGCGCCCGAACACACCCTATGATTAACAAAACAATGAGCTCTCGGCTGCTTCGAGATTGGAGACATACTGTGACAGCAGTCAGTCGGAGCCGGGCTCACTTGTACGATTAAATCCAAATAGATTTGATCCACATCTCTGTGCTCACATATGAGTCACCCACACATCCACGTCTCTCTTATTTGACCCAGAACGACACACATTTCATAATCCTGGCTTGATCTTATTGTTCACTGCCTGCAGTGTGCTCTTGGCAGCCGAGCACTTCCATACACAGCCAGTGTTTCGCTCCAGTTTATTTGGCATGTGTTGTTCACAGTCGTGTTACCACGGTAATGAGTCTCGCTAATTTGTACCATTTTGTCAGTCGTGATCAAAGAGGGGTATAAATCATTTACGTGTAAAGCATAAGCAAAGATTTAGGCCCATGTACATAAACAGGCGTACACGCCACCTCAGCCTTTGTCTTTCTGACCCGCCATGTTCCTCCTCAGTGACTGACTCGTGATTCTGGCTAATGGTAGAGCTGCTATTGGCCTCCAGAGACTGATCCCAGGAAAGTAATGAGACTGCAGTTACTTTGCCTCCCTTCAGCCCCCTCACGCCCTCCTCCTTCCTCTTTTAATCCCCTTGGCATCATTAACCTGTGCCACGCAGGTTTTATACATGGAATATTCTCAAAATTCAGCCCCAGTGTCTTTGTACAAACTTTTAATTGCTCTTTCTCCATATATTTGCTCTCCCACGGGGGACATTTTCTGAGAGTGCCTCTCTGTCTATTTCTCTCACTCCATCCTCCTTTGCCCTTATCAACCACATAAAGAGAGAGAGAAGCTGTAAAAGTCCTGCACTCCTCTGGTGTTAACTTCTCTTCACCTTGGCACCTTGCAGACACATCTTCACACTGCAGTAGAGTTTCCACTGTGGATCAGGCTGTGAGACATTAACATTTTTAAAAGTCAGATCGATTAGCTCTTAATGTTCAGTATATTTTTTCTCCTTTTTTCCCCATTAGCTATTTAGCTGTGTTTATTCTCAAATAATTTAAGCCCCATATGCCTCGCAGTTAATTATTGATCAGATTGTGCTCACTGTGTACAGACCTATCGATTGCATTGCTTTGCATTTTCCATTGTTTATTTAAGCTCTAGTTTAGCAAAGCATAAACACTTTTCTTGCTACTGTGTAAAAAAAAGAGCAGGATGAAACAGCAGGGCACAGGCAGAGGATATTGCACCTAATGCACGGTCTAAGTGTTCATACGCTGACAGATTTACCCTAACCCAATTTACTGCTGTGGAATATAAAGATGAAAGAAATATAGAAAAGATAAAGCAGCTGGTCAAAAATGTTACTGTGACTGAATTAACGTGTGCTGTGAGTTCAGGGCTTTGCTTTTTCTCCTTTTTACAAAGTAAGAACAACCAAGAAATTAAACATTTAAGTGTTGCACTATCAGTTTTATATTGTTTTCTATCCTCTACTTCTCTCAGAACCCCCAGCTACAACTACGCCCCTAACCTGGACAAACACTGGATCCTACGTTACACAGGACCTATGAAGCCAGTCCACATGCAGTTCACCAACATGCTGCAGCGCCGGAGGATGCAAACCCTGCTGTCTGTGGACGACAGCGTTGAGAAGGTACTCAGGCGCAGAGCGAGGCGGACATATGCTTCAAAAAACACAAAAGAACTCATAACACACTCATGCAGTCACTCACACAGACACACAAACACACACACACACAGACACTAACATTTTTCATCTGACAGTTTCAAGTCCTGAGAGATCTGTGCTTGTTCTGACTGGGACTCGATAATGTATTCACTGACACACTTGGTGAATTGTTCAATTGCTTTTCCTTGAAAATGGCACCGGAGACCTGAGCTTTCAAACATAAAGCATTCCTTTTCACAGTGTGCTGAGTGCTTAATGAATTATATCTGTCCTCGTAGGTGTACAACATGTTGGTGGAGACGGGGGAACTGGACAACACCTACCTCATTTACACCTCAGACCATGGATACCACATCGGCCAGTTTGGTCTGGTTAAAGGCAAATCTATGCCGTATGAGTTTGATATCCGGGTCCCTTTCTACATAAGAGGGCCTCATGTGGAGCAGGGCGCAAAGTGAGCGACACTGTTATTTTTATAGAGGCGCTGTATTTCAGGATAATTCGCTGTACGTGAGGTTAATTCCTCTTATTACTGTTTCCCTTACAGTAATCCTCACATTGTTTTGAACGTTGACTTGGCGCCGACACTGCTGGACATGGCAGGTGTTGATATTCCGGCTGAAATGGATGGCAAATCTATACTCAAGCTGCTGGACACGGATAGACCAGTCAATAGGTGAACACGCTCATTCATTATTTTGCTCACTTCTCTTCTCAGTTAATAGACTCTTTGAGGAGTAGCAGATTAGGAGGCTGTTTCAACAAACTATTTTTTCTTTTTTTTTTCAAGCTTTTGAGTCAAAAAGTTGTTTCTACAGGGACAATTTATGTTATATTGAGTATCTGTTCTTGGTTACCTTTTGGACAAAGTGAAATCTCAGGCCAAGTGCATCAGTGCCACCCCCTCCTGGAACAATCAATCAATCAGTCTTTATTTATATAGCACTTTTCATACACAGCAATGTAGCACAAACGCTTTACACAGCAAAGGCAAAGAAAAGAGAAAAAAAAAGAAAGAAACAAAAAATACCTGGATTTACCCCAACCCAGTCCCTCATTCCCACCCCACAATCTAAACGCAACAGAAACACGTATTAAAATGCATTAACTTGAAAGGGCTCAATTTCATAGCAACAGGAATATTTGCACTGAGGAAATGCTGTTTTAAAATTTCAGATAAGGAAACACTGGAGGTTAGGTTAAAATCTAAAAACAAAGTAACATGAGATGAAATTAAAAAATAAATAAATAAAATGAAATAAAAACAACGGTAAAAATACTCAAATAAGAGCAACAAAATAGCTCAATAAAAGATGATCCTGTCATTAAAGCTAGAAGCGATAAATGCTAAAACACTTCAACAAAGTTAATGATATAAAATTTAGTTAAAAGCAAGACTAAAAGTTCGGTTTGGTTTTAAAATCATTAGGATTAGGTGCAGTCCTCGGGTCTTCAGGTTAGCTGTTTTAAGATGACAAGGGTGAAATTTAATGATGCATGCTTTTCCACTGTTAATGTTACAGAGTGTGCTGTCAAGATTTTTGATTTTGTTTACTCATTCTTAGGTTCCAGCTGAACCGAAAGGCCAAGACTTGGAGAGATTCTTTCCTGGTGGAGAGAGGGTATGCTTTATTGATTGACCTTTTCCACCCAATGTTCTCATTCCAGGAATTTTCTTCTGATGACATCTGTCTCCTTGTCTCTGCATGGTAAAAATAATTGGATGTGTTTTCTTGTTCTTTCAGGAAGCCTCCGCACAAGAGAGCTGATGGGAAGGAAATGGCCCAGGAGGAGAACTTCCTACCTAAATATCAACGCGTGAAGGACCTGTGCCAGAAAGCCGAGTATCAGACCTCCTGCCAGCAGCCAGGACAGGTACCTGATCAATTCAAGTTGAGACAGAGACACCATCAATTTTAAAGAGACCATTTTTTGGTTTTGGCTGGTTGACAACCTAGCTTATGGTTGACAAAAGCAGCCATTATACTCTGAGGGGTCCTTTTTATGATAATTAATGTTTTAAAGCAATCATCATGAAGGTCTAATTATAGAAAAGAAGTCCTTAAATCAGACAATATTGATTAAAAGGTTAACTCCTCAATATTATTATTATTAAACTGTTGATCTCAACATGTTTTGCTAATACGTCTACTGTTAGAGTTCTGTGTTGTAGAAATATGTTTAAATATGTACTATAATGCATAATGCAGCTCTGCAGTACTTAATGCCTGAAGGTCTAACATCATGAAATGTCTCTCTTCCTCGTTTCAGAAGTGGCAGTGTGTGGAGGACCCGACTGGCAAGCTGAGGCTGTATAAGTGCAAGGGCATGGCCAGTCTCTATGCCCCACGTATGCAGGCTCTGATGGCCAGAGGTGCCTCTCAGCTGTCCCCGACATCGAACTCCGCCACCTGTAACTGCGCTGATGTGGGCTATAAAATGTCTTTCGTGAAGCAGAAGAAGCTGCTCACCAAAAAGAGTTGGTTTCTGCCGTCACGCACACTAAACATTGCTCTGGTAGTTCTTAATGGATCTGATTTAGTCAGGAGTGAAAATGACCGAGGATCTGAATCGTCCTTGCAGTAGTCTGCAAAACAGGAACATTAATCTCAAACCAAAATAACCAGCTTTTGAAGTATTCATGAGATGCAGCGTATGTGTCTGTGCTGCCATCAAGTGGTGGATTATACAAGTGCGCCCTTTATTATTAGGCATTGAACAATAAAAAGATTATGTTCAGAGAAATGACAGCACTCTCACTGAAAACAGATACTTACTATCAATTTTTTATTGCAATGCGCTGCTCTTAGCTCGTCAATGTCACAGACCTGACAGACATGTTTCCTCTCTCTCATCTTCAGAGATGAAATCCAGTAAGGCTGTCTCTAGGAGGCGCTGGGCCCGCTCTGTGTCCTTCGAGCTGGATGGAGACCTGTATGCAGTCGACCTGGAAGAAGGTTATCAGCCTCTAGGCTTCAGGAACAGCAGCTGGGCCAGGCACAGGACTGGAGCTGCTGGGAATGAAGAGGACAATGAAGAGTCCAGTGGGATGGGGGTCACTGTCACACCCACAACCGGTGATCAAGTCACACCGCCAACTGCTTTGAAAGTCACCTACAGGTGCTTCTGTCTTTGTCCGTCTTCTTCAGTGTGCAGTATTTTAGTGATACAATGAAAAATCTAATTTCAGTCGATTTGTTTTGTTTGTTCACATTTAAAGTGTCATTATTTACATTCTGCAGGTGTTCTATTCTTATGAATGACACAGTGAAATGTGATGGAGGCCTCTACAAGTCTCTTCAAGCATGGAAAGACCACAAACTGCACATTGAGCATGAGGTGCTGCTCCACTTTCCTCCTTTCTTCCCAGAAAACCCATTTCACAGATTCATTGTTCCTTATAAAGTATAATACATTTTGGTCGTCTGTTCTTCTGTGATTAGATTGAAACCTTGCAAACCAAAATCAAGAACCTGAGGGAAGTTAAAGGTCATCTGAAGAAAGTGAGACCGGATGAATGTCAGTGTGACACCCCCAGGTGAGAGTGGGTTTGAATCACACTGTCACTGGCATAGAGATCATTTACATTCGTTACAGTTGTTTTTGTCTTAACAGTTATCTGCTCAAGAATAAGGAGACTTTCAAGCTCAGTGCAGGGCGCATGCATTCACCCAGGTAAACAATTAAACTGTAAAAAAAAACTTGATTAATATTGTTGATATTCTTTTTCACTCATTCTGCATTTTTGACGTTTGCTTTTATCAGAATGCCCTCGAAGCAGAAGACTCAGTGGCTGCAGAAGGAGCAGAAGCGCAGAAAAAAATTACGTAAATTCCTCAAAAGGCTCCAAAACAACGACACCTGCAGCATGCCCGGCCTCACTTGCTTCACCCATGACAACCATCATTGGCAGACCGCCCCCTTCTGGACAAGTGAGGAATAGCATGCAAGAGACTGGAATATTAGTTTGAATTCCAAAATATTTGCAAAGCAGATACGGTAAAAACAAGTTTGTATAACACAATTGTGATGTCCCTTTTTCCAATCTTGCCCCTCCCTTCCTCACCCACTCCCCGCCACAGTGGGTCCATTCTGTGCGTGCACCAGTGCCAACAATAACACCTATTGGTGCCTGAGGACCATCAATGACACACACAACTTCCTGTTCTGTGAATTTGCTACCGGTTTCCTGGAGTATTTTGACCTTAACACTGACCCATACCAGGTATCTCAATCATACACACACACACACATTGTAACACACTGTTTAAAAAGCGAGCAGATAGTCACGATAATAGATTCCAGGACATGATTCATGGCACTTTCCTGTAAGCACAGGGATAGAGATTTTTCCTGTGTTTTCCAGATATTCCCCACAGCTTTCCTATGCTGACATCTTGTCTTTATTGTTCCTGTAGTTGATTAATGCTGTCAGCACCCTAGACCGTGATGCTCTAAACGCAATGCATCAACAGCTCATGGAGTTACGGGGCTGCAAGGGACACAAGCAATGCAACCCAGAGAAGGGTCAGTAAAATATGTTCTCATGGCAAACATGATTAATGACAGACGATCCAGCAATGCAGCTTATGATACCTCTGGTTCCTTTCAGGAGGAAAAGAACGGAATTACTTCAGTGAATACAGGTATTTTCTCCTTCCCTTTACAACACAGCTGATTACTTTGACAAACTCCACAGATGGAATTCATGTTAGACTTCAAACTCTTGGAGGTTACAGCCTCCCAAGGGTGTCTTTGGCTATGTTTCTTCTCATTGCAAGTCATCTGCAGAATGAAGGAAATAAAATACTGAGATGTTGTGCCGAAAATGAACCTCCTCAAACTCTCATAGTTCCTTATTGTTGCAATGAAGGTCTTCAAATCTTGGAGAAGCAGGAGCCAAAGAGGGTTAAAACACAAGCCTGCTTTAGAGCTTCTGCTGTTCCCCTTTGTAATGAAGCCTAACTGCTTGTCTCTGCTGTGCCTGTGTGTGTGTGTGTGCGCGTGTGTGTGTGTCTCTTGTGTATTTATACCTGTTTGTTGTCTCCATGCACGTGCATTTGCCCTGCACGTGTATACGTGCTGTGCATGCTTCAGGCCAGTTCACCGTCGAAAGAGGCCAAAAGTGAAGAAGCCTTCCTCCAAATCGCTGTGAGTTTGTCATAACCCATCTGTTCCCTCGTAGTGGGCCAAGCTCTCCTCCTATCTCTATCCAGAATTTTCTAGCTTGGTCAGATGATCAAGCAGCATGTCTCCCTGTCATCCATTCATTATGATACTGTACTCATAAGCTTACAGTAAATTTCACTTCCCTGCATTGCAAAGCTGCACCATCCTCCTTCTTAATGACTTACACAAGTCAAATTCAGTACAGCAATGCAGATGAAACATTGTCTCTATTTGTCGTGTATAAGTCTCGTTACTGTTATTTCTTACTTTTCTTAGTAGGATCAGACCACAACTGGAGTCATGGTTTCCAGTGAAAGCCTCAGGAGGCACATTTGACTAACACTGTTTGTTTCCTCTCCGCAGAGGCCAGATTTGGGAAGGTTGGGTTGGCTAGCTACCAGCATCCCACAACCCAGCAAACTGGCCTTGTCTGGTAATGAAGGAGAAGGAGGTGTGAATGCATATCCGAGGACCTTGACCATACTTCGATGGACCATAACCTGAGACACTTCTTTACTCAAAACTAAGTTTGACTCCTCAGATCACTGCTCTTATACTGTCACTTAAAAGAAGGACAAGCTGAGAGGAAGTGGTCAAGACCTTACAATCGTCACTTCAACCTTCAGACATATTTCAGCCAAACTCGATGTAAACTGGACTGTGTCAGGACCATTACCATTAACAGGATGCTGCGAATCAAGTGGAACTGTGTGGCATTCACAATCCATTGAGTCTAATAATGTACATAGTGTATCAGCTTTAACCTCTTTCATATCACATTGGTCTAAGTGCAAACATGAACTGTTACATGCCCCCCCTGCTGCTACGCAAAGATGTCATGGCCGAATGACGTCTCTGTGGCACAAGCTGATTAATGTACAACAAGGCATATTTCCTTCCTCTGCACCAATGTGTCTGCACATGGAAACAGTACGGACTTGAAAAAGAGCCAATGGTAACAAACTCTTTACCGTGATCTTTTGTATGATAGTTGATTTTAACGCAGATGAATGTCCCTCATTAAGTACCATCCTCCTGAAAGCTGTGAGTTGTGTGTGTTGACTACAGACTGCCCGCCTTGATCCAGTCCACTCTGCTGTCAGTCTCATTGGAAAAGGATTACACTAACTTCTGTCTCACAATGATACAATCAAAACCTCCAGAATCTTTGACCTCTGGCAGAAAGTCTCACCAGTGACTGCAGTTTTACTCTTTTGTCTTGTCAGTACCACACTGTAGAGGTACCAAATAGTTTGTTCAGCTTCCTATACATGGTGCTACGGGATAACACTACAGAAGAAAAATCTTGCTGTACAGTACAGTATGTATTTGAATGTATGTTGTGCAATTAATATAAATGTTTACAATATTTTTTATAATACAGAAGAAGCAGAACTCATTGTATGAAAATGAGCTGACAGAATGGACTTAACGGGGGAAACGTAGCTTGAAGACTTGTATTGCCCGCTATTGTACGTTTGTCCTTTTCTTATTTACATCAGAAAAGCACTTAAAGGGTTCACTGTGAACATATGCGCCATGAACATTTAGTGAAAATATTGTTTACTGTGTGCAAGAGGAACAACACAACAGTGTAATACTTATTGATGTGAATTTCAGCTACCTGCCTTTGTAAGCTTCTTTGATTTTTTTTAGCAAGTATTCCCATAGACCTGAGCGCTGATAGTAACTGTGAATAAAGTGTTGTTTGATCATACATCCTGTCTGACCTCTGAGTTTGCGTGGTAGTTTGTGTTTCTGCCCAGCAGGTGTCTCTGTCTGCTTGTCCACGGGCCAGCAGCAGCGTCCACTTGAAGTCCACTACAAATCCACTTTTTGTTATCTTAATAGAGATGACTGTCTTTCTCTGCTTTCACACTGGCTCTGTGGAATGAAATTAGGCTGGAAAATAAACTTATCACGTTTCTAACAACATATTCAAATATAAATCTATTTATAAAAAGTATCCTACATGCCTGTGGGTCACCAAGTAACCACGATTCACCTTAGGGTGCCTTACAAGATGACAGGTAATAAATTATAAAAACATATTTTTGGATATTTACTAGATTTCAGTGATTAAGACTTTATCGACGAGAAATAGATAGGTACCTGACTTGTCCGGCATCAATTTCCAGTGTTAGTTGAGAACAAGTGTATAGATTTCATTAAATTGTAATGGAAAAGTTATATAGAGGTAATAATGTAGGGGAGAGTGGGGTTAGATGAGCCATTTTTCATATTTTTGATCACTACATCAAGGCAATCATAGTTTTGTCTCTAACTAGTTTATCTGCATATATTTGAAGATGTTGTGCATCCCTGCAAACCAACAGAATGAGTGTAAACAAAACTGTCTTGATAATATAACATGCCGAAAAAAGTGGTCTCCTATGGTCAACTTACCCCGTGTATGGGGTTAGTTGACCATACACTCTCCACCCCAGCCCTCCCTCACCTTCACTCTCCTTTTAAATAACAGTCACTTCTTCACATTCATGTGTATTTTTTATCTATTATACACTATTCAACTGGTACAATAATTCTTTTTATTATTATTTCATATAACTGGTAAAAAGCTGTTTTATAAAAAGCCATTTCAACATGAGAATGTCTTTAAGTGATTCAGAACATTCACAGCTTTAGTGTTGAAAAGAAAAAGTAACACATTTCAACAATCTGAACTGAAACTCTGATCCTCTCATCAGACTCCTTTACTTTCTCAGTTGAGTTACTGGCTTAACTTACCCCAGAACTACTATGATGACTTTATTAGTCCTCTAAACTAAAATGGTGGACTTTTATGCTAGGTTTTTAACCCCATGTTGTCGCTCTCAGATACCACAATTGATGTATAAAACAAATTTAAAATGATCTTTTTTGGTCTGAACACAATTCTGATAAAATTTATGACAGACTAAATTCACTTTCAAGAGTGAAAAATGTCTTTTTTGAAATAAATGTCTAACCTCTTCACCTATGTGCCTCTAACCTTCACAGACTTCATGAATTGATGGCCATCTCCTAAATATTTGGTCACATTATCAATTTCTTTTACCATTTCCAAGCAACAGGGGGTGGCTCAACTTACCCCATACTCTCCCTTACCTGTCTTTTGTCCGGCATCAATTTTCAGTGCCAGTTAGTCAGATTTCGTTAAAATAACGATGGAAAACGTTACACATAGGTTAAAATATACTCTTCCTCTACGTTTCCCAGACCAGTCTTTGAGTAAGGAGGGCAGTTTCAGAGCTGTCAAGTTCCCTCGACGCCCTAGTCTCTGCGGTAGTTCATGTCATGTTTGTGGTTTACTTCAATCACTCTCTTGATCCAGAAAAACTGCGCCAACTTTGTTTTGCTCTGGGTTAGGGTTAAGGTTGGTGTTAGTCTCGTCTCTTTCCAGCCAGTCGGGAGGGAACAGAGTGCGGGGGTGTGGTGAGGCGGGGAAAGGCGGGGGTGAGGACTGGGCGACCCTCATCCTAACCTATGACTCACGTGCGAAGGCGGAGACTCCATATCGGATTCACCGCCGGAGGAGGACCGTCCCGTACTCACTCCACGGACCGCTCTGCAGTTACTCTGTGAAAACAAGCGTACACTCACTACCAGCTAAACATTGTTTCAGTTTTTACTCCTTCTTTACAATGTGAAGAAAATGGCCGGGACCAGGTGAGTGAACTTTAAACTTAATTTCATAGTTTGTCAAAGTGAAGTGGAGAGAGAGAGTTTGGGAGATAAACCCGAGTTGTTGCCTCGCTATCAGCTCGCGCCGACAGTAGTTGAGGGCGGCCAGCAGCAGACAGTGAACACGTTAGTCTGCTTTACTCAAGATAGTTACATGATTGAAAGTTTCAAGTGTGTATTTACGTTAATACAGTCAAAATGTTAAGTTAGGGTTTTGGGCCAAAATGTAGCGGGTGATTGAGAAAACAGAAATTAGAGGAAATATGTCTATGAAAGTTTGATACATAATCTTCCAACACAAAGCGAGTAAAGTAGATGTAACATTGGAAACTAGAGATGGTTGAAGAAGTTAATGTTAAGTTTTACTTCAATTATCTTGTTTTTTTATTGTTTGTTGTTTCTTTTGTGTTTTTTTTCCCTGAGAGATAGACAGGCTGACTTTATGTCTTGTGTAAATGCATAGTTTATTCGTTTATCTGTGATGGCCAATCTTAAGATTATCTACGGTCTACTTTCTGTCTGGACTAACTTGGCTCAGGTCCTTTGCTGTGGTGTAGAGGCCACTAACCTAAACGGAAAGCAAATGTTTCAAAGTCCATGTGTTGCTGCTGACTTTATTGGTTGATGGTGAGTGATCTTTTTTAAGTTCAGCTTTACTGGTTTGATCTCAGCATGTTGTTTTGCTCAGCATCTGCATCAAGTCTGTAAAAACTTAGTCCTAACTTTCATGGTTTCCCTGAGACAAATGGTTTACTGAACTGCTCACAGTCTTATTTAAAGCCACTCAGATCTAGTCAGAAGATAGGCTATTTTGGTTCTCTTTAAGTTTTCCTTCAATTGGTTGGCATGCTGGCCTTGAAATGCTTTCTAGATGCTTACTATGACCTCTTTAAGAATAGACGAGGTATTTTTTGTATGTCCAGAGTTAAAGTTAGGAGAAACCAAGGGTGTCTTAACACTCTTCCTCCTTTCCATGTTTGCACCTTCTGTTGAATACTTTGCCATGGATTTTGTCTGACAATCATGCTGCCCAGTCAGCTGTACTTAGCGCAGCAGCCTGGGGCTATTGGTTTTGTCACGCCATGCCAACCTGACTTCCGGGGTACAGTACTTTCACCACCTGCCAGCTGGTGCTCATCCGATGACTGCCTGCGGTGTTGGTGTTGTGGTGCAGGCGTGCTAACCACTCTTTCCTTTTGCCCTGCATTTTTATCTGACCAGCAGTATTCATGATGGACAGAGCGGGCAGGGTGGTGCAATAGTTGTTGCTTCCTTCCAAAATCTTTTCAACAACCAAAAAGCTCACAATATGAGGAACAGGAATGAAACTGGGATGTTTGAGCTTTTAACAGTTGTTAGAAACAAGCACAAACCATACCATGATGATTGAAGATCCTGTTTTCTGTCAAGGATAAAGCAGGATGTCGCTTTCACAGAGGACTTGACCGTTGAGTAGATGAATACGTTTGCTTGTTGAGAGGAATTAATCATTAACACCATGCCTCAGAAAACTGCTCGCAATGTCATGGTAATAACCTATGACTTTAGGTGATTTTATTACCGAAAGCTTTCAATCGAATTTTCCAGTTTCCACCCCTCCTTTTCCTGCTTTCTCCACTGTAATTCGAGTCACATCCATTTGAACCCAAACAGGCCTTTTTTATCTGACTTTAATTCTCTGTGGCCCGCCACAGTAACTCCATAATGAGGTTAAGGTGATTTGCCCAAACACATTTATCTCTACCTGTTCAGCCAGCCTTCTCTATCTCAAGCCTTCTCTTCAGCAGAGATTAAAAACTGGGTTAAACTCCTGGCCCACACTGGATTGAACTTGTCTTCAAAGTGCCGGTCATCACTCTCTAGTATTACAGGGGATAACAACTTGTTGAACAATGATATCCTCAGATAGGCTGTAACGATGAACAAGTCTTCGGCTTACGAAGAGTTGAACATGATTATATGATGCTGGAGCAGAGTGCATAGTAACCTCAAAGACAGGAAAGGACTTGGGCGAGGCATGACAAGTGTTTGGGACTTGGCCATATCTAGAAGAACAGACTTGTCAGAAATGGACTAAAGTATTCATGTGTGTGTTTAAGTTAGTGTAAAATCACCTTGATGCGAAGGCCTGTTAATTTTGGTAATTCAGAATAAGCCATTGATATGTAAGGCGGTCCCCTTACCCTGTAGGCCGCCATCTTGCGGTGCCATGTTTCTACCATCGCACAAAAAGCACAAACTTATAAAAAACAGTTTTTTGAATCTGGTGAATAGCTGTTCAAAAATGTGAAATTTGGAAGAGAGAGAAGAAAAGAGTGTTCGCTATGGACAGAAATAATATAAAGTGATTGTTTTTCCTTTTAGTAACTCAACAAATTGAGGATCAAGCATTTGAAGGAGCTTCTTGTCCTCAAAGGCTACCATTAGTTTACTGATGGTAGGGGTGAGCATGGGGTGTATCTCAGTGTGGAATCTGACAGATATCACTAAATATCCCAATTTCTTCACACTGAGTTATCTCCCTCCTGTACAACCTCAAAAAGTCACTTGTTATGAGGAAATATTAATCTGTGCATATTTAGTTGATCCACAGGCCTTGATTGCATCTCAGCTCATAATCCCAGTGCCCCCCTTTAGGCTCAGACAGACCCAGCTTTAACTTCTTCACCAGTCTGCTCTGCTTTTGAAAGCCTGGAGGGCCTGGTGTCTGCTCCTTGACTTCCTCCAGAGAACAATCTGGATGTTTCTTTCCTGTGTGGTTCCACTGACCCCCCACTCACCCTGTTACTCTGCCCTGAGATTAGACCCTGGCCTCGTTTGTCATGTCAGCAGGGGAGGAATCAGGGGTAATGCTGCGGTCCAGTCCAAAATGAATTTACAAATTGGGCAAATGGGTCAGACTGAAAAATGTTATTTTGGCAACACCACGATGACTCACGCTGAAACTATTCATTTTTGATATGTCTGACCCGAAATGATCTGACAACATAAACTTTGGACAATGAATTTGTAGAGTTATTAAGCACAATTACACCCTAATAGGTTCATTCAGTCCTCTTGTTTGGACAAGTGACCCCATTGTTCAATCTCTGACAGCTGGTGTACTGGACAGAAAGGCCGGTCTGTGAGTGGTAAACACCCTGATCCTGCCTCAGCCCTCTTCTGCACATGTTCACTCTCGTCTAAAGTCTTATCTGACCTGAAAAACACCCATGTGGTCTTCAACTATGGAAAGGGGTGGATTTAAGGGAGGACAGGGACTTCTGTTTGGTCAGGCTTACCCCTATAAAAGGCAATTTATTGGCTGAGTAGTGTCTCAGACAGATAGTGACTGTTGAGCAGGGTAGTAAGGGGGCCGGAAGTTCCCAGCCTGTCTACTGAAGGCTTCGGCATTCGTGGGAGAGGAGAGGATGGTGGGACGCGACAATACTCTCCATAGAGAAATCACAGAGTGCCGCTTCTCTTGAGTTTGTTTGTAGGCGGATTACAGCGACGGTATCTGAAGTTACATTCAAGACTGCCAACACAAAAATGTTCTGCTGGATTCGGTGGCGAGGTAGGCTTTTATTATCCGAGAGCTCATGAAGAATCAGTTTGTTGCCGTGAACAGGGAATGGATTCACTACTGCCATGTAAAATTGCTTGTTGGAAAGTAGCATGGGAACAACAGGCCTTGCTGAAGGTGGCTGAAGGATCTTGCGATATCCAGTCTAATCCAACGCCAACGGAAAGGGGAAACTGTCTCTAGTTCTGGATTAGGACAGCTGTTGAAGGAGGTCACCCCAGACCTCCTATACATGTCCCAGGCTCCTCCCTGCCACGTCTCTCATTGGCTCGGCCCCCCTGTGTGGAGGCAACACAGAGGGTTCTCGTTGAATGAGGTCTGCCTGTTGATTTGACAATAGCCTGTATTGTGTGTGCCATCAGAGGCAGCAGAATAGGCTGAATTTCACAAGCTTTGTAATGCATATGGCTGTTAGTCATCACAGGACATTCTTGTCAACTAGGTAACCTTTTTTGTGTCCGCACAGAGAGCCCAGAGACTTAAAATAGCAAGAAACTACCAGTCAGTGCAGAATAATTGAATAGGCTCTGTTTTAATATGTGTGTCTTTCACTCAACAGAGTCCTTTATGTTCTTGGGGGTAAGGAGCAGAGGTTGGAATTTGCAGAAAGCTTCAAAATAAAAGCCTTCTGCATTTTTTGTCATGGCCGTTTTTAAATAGACCACACGGCTAACAGTGGGACTCAGTGGTTTAAGCCATACTTATAGCACATTGAAACTGGACCATCTGGTTCTTGCTGTGTTATCATGTGCAGTCACCCTTGTGACTCAGCACTGCCAATCACGCTCTCCGCAGGGACTGTGACACAAATAAAAGAGTTGATTGATGGTGCACTCACTCATTATTCTGTGATCAAAACAAATCTGTGATGTTGTGGAGCTCTTTCAGGTGAATATTTGCATTTGATTTTCATAAGATTGGCAGAAAAAGCAGGATTTGCTTTCAAGGTTGTGCATCCAGAGACGGACCCTGAGCCTGCACTGTAACTCCATTGTGTTTGTTTTAGGTCTTTATTGGACAAAAATGTCACATCAGTAGCAACAGCTTGGTAGTGTCTTATACACGTGTGTCTGTTGGAGCAGACTCAGCTGACTCCTGCTCTGTTCATCTCTATCCTCCGTCCTCCCCTTGTTCTCTCCGCCAGGTTGTCTGGTATTGAAGTGCTACACCTCTCCTTGGGAACCCTCTTTGCTGGCTCCTGGGTTGACTCACATGAGGCCAGCTCAATCATGCTTGACGTGTCTTTCTGTGAAAGACGACCCCCATACTTGTTTGCCAATGTCAGCACACGACGAGTGAGGAATGGATACCGACAACTGTTGCTGTGGGATGGGGGCTAAAGGGGAAAAAAGGAGGAGGGGTGAAGTCGAGAGAAAAGGGAGAATTCAGTCTGAGGCGGTGTGGTTTCATCAGGAAAGGTGTGAAGCAAACAAATGTCAAGTTTTTTAGACCAAACCCAAAAATAAAAGAGAAATCCACCTAACTTTACCTCTCTTAGTTTGAACTTAATTTTACTTTTACATACTCATCAAACAACCACAGAGTTGTTGCTTGTCTGCTTTACTTTTCCACCCATTGTAACAGGACAGATATACTGTATTTTAATGAGGCCACTGTGACATGATTGGCTGATTGGACCATCACTCAACAAGCCCGTAAGGTAGTGAGGAGAAGCAGTTATTGAAATTCCTGCAAAACTGGATTATTTTAATCCTGTTTGTCAAAGTTTGGCAAAAGATCAATCTTATTTACCCCCAAACTTTAGGGAAAATGTAATCATTTCAGTTTTACAGTCCATTTTTATCAATGTAGTCTTCACAACAGGTAGGATTCAGAAACATGTTAGTAGGACATCTGTGTACGTGGTCATCAAAGCCTAATAAGGTAGCTCAGGTTCTGAAACATGTATTTTCTCCTCAAACCTTTTGCTTTATCTGATTCCTTTGGAGGCCATAATGAAGATGTTAGGTCTAACCCTCGGCAGAGCAAGTCTTCTACATAGGAAATCGTTGTACTGATAGATAAATCCAGCAATGGAGAAAAAAAGGATAAATGAGACAAGCAGTGTGCAGCCCTGTGAATCTTTTGTTCAGTGCACATGCTGTTAAAGCCAGAGAACAAGATAAGTATACAGCATCTTATCCCCGGGCATTAACTTTATGAGGGTTTCCGTGGAGATAAATGCTGCCTCTCAGAGGTCCATTACCATGTAACTGACTTAACAGACTTAATAAAAGTTTATTTTTTGGTAAATCTGAACACACACTCCAACACAAACAGGGGCTCAATTGTGTCATGAATTTTGCCGACCTCTAACCTTGGTGACAGGGCAGGAACGGGAGGTGTGAAACAAAAGGGACAGGAATGAGTGTACGACAGGTGCGGGGCTTTTCTCTGACATCTGAAACATGTGCATTCTCCCTCTGATTTTTCTGGACACACGGGGCGGAGTTTATCTGAGAAACGAACCCACATATACGTCTCATCCCAGATTTGTTTTAAGCAGAAACTGTGGACTAAATGGAAAGTTCCAGGGAACAACCAATCAGGTTTGAAAAAACGGAGTTAGCATTGTAAAAAAGACCAGATTAACCCCTCTTAAACCTTGTATATCATCTGTACTGATCATGTGATTCTACACACACACACTTAAACAAATATGTTTAAAAAAAACTGTATGGTGGACTTCATGATCTTAAGACACAGAGATTTCGACTGCAGCTAGGGTCTCAATAGTCCATGCGAGTCCCTGTTCCTGTTTTACAATATTTAGATAAGCAGGTTGCCTAGCAGCCACACTGAATAGACTTTTAACATTAATACCTTAATCAAACAGAAGCCTGCTCCTGGTGTATCACTCCCTCTATTATATTACCGCACAAGTCTCTGCTTGCTTTGTGAGTGTAAACCACATGCAGTTTCTCATTGTTACTACATTTCAATGGTTTTGTACCTGAGAAGCTTGGTGAGTGTGTTTCCCTTTCTCTCTACCGAGCAATGACTTCTTTAAAAGCCAGGATCTGAGGCTGGTATTTGAGGTGTGAGGTGTTTTACATCTCTAAATAGGAAATAGCCGAGCTGTAAATAAACAGGCCAGTGTGGACCTTGGCACTTGTTGGTGGACTTGCTGAACAGAGCGCTAAGGTTTCCAGGATGAATGGTCGCGACTGTGTGAGGACCCAGCCAGCACAGGTCCACAAGGGACAGTCACAAAAAAACAGCTCAGAGTATCTGTTGTGTGAAAAGGTGAGAAGTCACTTTACAAAAGCAATGGGGGTGTAACTGGCTCAACGGTTTGTTGGTTATCTCACTTCAACAAGTTCACGGGTAAGTGAATGCAGTTATACAGTGTTTAGTTCAGTATATCTGACGGGATCCTATCAGTCCATCAGAAATGCCACAATGGCAGCCAAGCATAAAGCTGCATGTCAGCCATTACCAGATAATCTGATGAAATAGTCCTGCCTCTGTTCGCTCCAAACTTTACTCTCAACAGAGGAAACATCCTTTTTCTCTCTGTATCCTTTATCTTTCTTGACAACATCAACAACCACACCAGTATTCAAGTTTGTTTGAAATGCAAAGCAGGACAATGACACAAGGCTGCTCGTTGCCCTATTTATAGTGTATGTATTGTCCAGTCCTCCATGTTTACCGCGCTGGGAAAAGTGCCATTTACACTTTGGCGTTGGCTTCGAACAATGGAGCAGATTCCATGAGCTATATTCTGTTGTTTCCCTCTCTCTGGGAAACAGCTCTCAGTTCCAGTTATTTTGGGAGCTGGCTGTAAAATTGCGGATGATGGATGGAGTATTTCTCCTTCAGGAGGAGACCTCTGGCACATTGGGAATGGAAGAAACAAGATGGTGAAGAAGGTGTGCTCTTGTGCACGTCTGTACGAATGGCCATGTGTCAGTGAGTGCCTCTTGGTCTCAGAAGCAGGCTCTGTTTGCAGAGATTTTTTTTAAAAGTTGACAAGCTATATTTTTAGTCACTGTGGAGTAAGCATAGGGTACTGAAGCGTCTCCTTGACCCACATGGGCAACAAAAGCTCTTGTGTATAGAAAAAAACAGGGTTGAGTCTCTCACAGACGTCGTATTTCATATAAGTTGTTAAAGTTTTTGACCTTCCTTTGAGATATAGAATTATGTAATACCACTTGGTGAATGATAAAGCCACTTAAACAGAGAGTTAGCCCTATAAACAAGGGTTACTCAGAATAAAGCCTCATTTTTTTAACAGAATTTGTGAAATCACAACACTCCTCCTCTGTCTCTCTGTGTTTTCACATGTTTACTGAAAGCTCCCAGGACTGGTTTGAAACCACACAAACTCCTAACACAAGTCTCCGCTCACACAACTCGGCTTTGATTAGATTTGAGTTCCCCCAGGGGTGAATCAGGTGCTGTGCCCTTGAGTCACAGGACCATGTGTGTAAGTTAATTTTAGTTCAATATAAAATATTTCTGTTGGAGTTAAACTTTGCTGTGCCGCTGCCGACTGCATTCCAAACCATTTATGAACATTTGCAGCGTGAGGCAGACTGCCCGGGCTGTTTGGAGTCATGCGCCGGCTTCTTAAATCAGGGAACTGCCTGAAGCTAAGTGGTTTGAGGTTCACCTCCATGGTGTTATAAGCAGCAGGTAATCTCTTTGCAGATATGTACAGCACAAGCAATGGTTAGTAAGAATCAGCATGTTGTTTTTAAACACCGAAAATCACAGTCATATTTATTTAGAAGTAGAGAGATGATATGAGTGAGGATGACAATCAAATGTTAAATAAATGTGTGATATGCTGCGTTCGAGTAGCCTTGGAAGTCAGATGTTGGAGCTGGGAATGACGTCACACCGAGTTACCAGCGTCAGAAAAGAGCAAAATTGGAGGCGGAAACAAGATGGCTACATCTATGAAAGTTATTTGAGCGTTTGCATTGTCCTTGCTTGTATTCTGACAAGGCAAGCGCTAAAATAACTTGGCAGATGTAGCCATATTGTTTCCGCCTCTGATTTTACTTTCGTCCAACTTGGTAACTGAAACGCTGGTAACTCGAGTGTGACGTCATTCCCAGCTCGGACTGCTGACTTCCGAGACAACTCGAACGCAGCAATAGTCCCTGTAGAAGACAAGTCCCTGTGTGGTCGACAAACCCATGTAGTACAATCCTCACAATTTGTCTGGCTACTCCCAAAAGTGATGTTCCAGGAATTTCAGAACCTGAACACCGGCCGGTCTTCCTGCTTATCTGGTCATGTCAACAGAGCCCAGCAGGCTTGCTCTCAAGTCTAACTGCTGTTTATTTACCCAGAGGGAACAGTCCTTATGCAACCACTACACCCCGTGCTGGTTAACTCGCCTGCCCAGACCTCTACAGTTGACCCTCCAACCCAAGTTTCTCATTTGATGTTGAGTATCCAGTCCTGTTAGATTTACTCTGTGCAGCTTTCAGCAGAAATATCACGAGCTGCTAGACACACAGCCTCTCTCCGTGTTCATAAGGGACTGATTTATTTGTCTTCAGACACAAACAGTCCAAACAGGGTGATGACAAACACAGAGCTTAATAACAAGGAATGCAGCATGGAGGGATCAGTTTCTTGGTGTGGGAAGGACTCTTTTGAGCAGTTAAAGGATGAAGGCTCTGGTATGTGTGGGGTGGTGTTGACTGTTTGGCCCCAGCTTTGAATGCCCCATTATTTGCAAGGCTGCCCGCCCATGAAGTGTTGCCGATCTAATTAGCCTGAAAGTCATCATCTGATAGTCGGGACCTCCCTTTGTAAGAAGTCAGACTGCCGCACTACTCTGCAGCTCTGAATCAAACCCCTCCAGACGTGCCCAACACAAACCATTTTGACTTTTATTTACACCATGTTCCTTCATTTTCTTTTGAATCTAAGTGGGTTTTAAAAAAACTCTGAAAAACACCTACATGTTGAGTCCTCTGTGGTTGGGGCTCGTTGCCTGTTCTTAGGGATTTAACCAGATGGCTTCCCAGCATTGAGCACTGGGACACAATATGGAGAAGGTCCTTATATCCTATCCACGACTTTTCAGTGTTATGGGGCTGTTAAATTGACCTATGGGGAGTTTGAAGCTTGTGCCGGCAGCACATAAAAACAGGTTGGTACTTTATTTTTGATTAACAGGTACATGAAACGCTCCGAGGCTTTGCAGTTAAAAAGGAGAACAGCTGTTGAAATAAACAGGCTGACATTGTAACCCTGGCAGACCTGACTGGTACCAAACTGCTCTGTGTCTATTTCTGAGGCTGGGGGTGCACACAGGGTTGACTTGGCAGGCACGTGGGTTAGTATCCTATCCATGCTGATCATCACAGGTAGCCTGGACAGCACACACATACCACAAATAACCGTGACAGAGAGAAGAGAGTGTTTTTTTTTGTCTTTAAAAAGCTGGGGAGAGATCCAATCCTACGGTGGATTTTGTTACTGAAAATCCTCCCTATTGGCACATTACTCTCAAAGCTACTAGGCCAGACTTTGGTGGGATTTTTAAAGAGGAAAAATGACCTGGCCTTGCCAGGACCCTGAAGTGGTCATTCGGAGAGACTATAAAGGAGACTTGTGAATCCTTCCTCTGGCTCTGCTGTAGAGCTCTCCTGTGTTTGAGACTGAGGAAAAGACTCTTGCTCGCCTTTTGCGGTGTTTCTGTTCCCACATGGATTTGCTGGCACAGTTTAGACTTGTGTTGGGGAACTAGATCAAAGGAGACATAAAAGCGCCCGCTAAAGGGGAGCACGACCTGCATACATAACACCAGCAGAGCAGGCTGCAGTTACTGCTTATTTGTCAAAAGTTTATTGTCCCTGAACTTTAATGTGCAGCTACAGCACATAGTCAGTCATGTCATGAGGTGTGACACTCAGGAATATAGTGTCCTATCATTTTTCTCGGATCCAGTTCATGCTCTAATAACATGTAATTAGCGTCCTCTCTTATCTGTGCCTTAGGTGAGTGTACTTTTCTATAAACTGGGTTGTCTTGTTCTCTGTATCTCTTCCTGCCTCAGTCTCTTTTTGCACCGCCCCTCTCCACTGTCCTTTTTTGTTCTCTCAGTGTATTGTGCTGACCTGGCTGTTGCCACTCTGTGATTGTAGTTAAGCTCGCTGGTTTTTGCGACAGTAGCACTCTGAGCGTATGGCTCTCTTTTGGCCCAGCTGACTCCATGCCTGGTTCCTCACTGAGAGTGTCCACCTGTCTCCTTATTCAGGAAACACACACACACACACATACACACCATCACTCTTTCTGCTCTGTTGCCTACCATTGAGATGATATCATCAGTTACACACACACACAGATACAGATGGATACATGTAGGGGACACAAACATTGACACTGTCCCCATATGGGCATTTCTGGGCTCCTCAGTCTGTCAAACAGTGTGAGTTGTTTACTGCGTGCCGAGTTGATTAGTACTCAGGCGTGACTGCAGCCTCCAGTGCTTCATCATGTTCTCTTTTAAAATAAGCTGTTTCCTTTTTCCACTAAAACTTTTTCTTCTTTCCTCTTATCCAGCTCTGATTGGGTGGAGATCCTGGAGCCTCGCTCCCGTGAGCGTATGTATGTGAACTTGACCACTGGCGAGTGCGGCTGGGATCCTCCCCAAGGTGTTCCTGTTCGCCAAGCAGATGGTAACCAGTGGTGGGAGCTGTTTGACCCCCACAGTGGCCGCTTCTACTACTACAACTCAACCGGGCGGCGCACAGTCTGGCATCGACCCCAGGGAGCAGATATCGTTCCCCTGTCTCAGCTCCAAGCCATGAGGCGATGCAGTGAGGCCAAGCGGGCTGCAGGGGCCGTGGACAGGCATCACCACGGAACGACGGGGAGTATCAGCAGTGTAGGAAGCCAGGGGCCTGAGCAGGACGGAGACAGCCCTGTCCCCAGACCTGTGGAGACCAATGAAGAGGCTGCTAATGCCAAGCTGGACCCCGCAGTAGACAGCAGAATGCAAGGAGATGGGAGCAGCAGTGAATACAGCTCAGAGGGCAGCAAAGACCCACAGAGGTAAGCATGACTAAACCCCCCGGTAGCTTCTACAGTAAGTCTGGAAAAGGATTTATGCTTAATCATTAGTGGATCATATTACCAGGAGAAAAGTGAGGAAATGTGATAGCAATCGCAGCATGCGGCACCGTGAGGCGTAATGGCTTTCAAATGCTCCAGCTATGAGAATTATTTTGACTTTTGACCACTGAGACCGAGCTCAAACTGTTTTTTTATTTTTCTTCTGACTTATCTGAACATTCCATATGGTCTCTGTTTCCATACTTTCGCCTGCGAACCGTGCTCAGCCATTTCAGCAAATCGCTACCAAATGGGAGAACGGTCAGTACTACTCCAGAACAGGACACCCCCCCCCCCCCCCCCATGCTAGGGTTAGCGGTGCAGAACGGCCTTTAACAGTAAGTCATTCAGAGACCCCATCACATGCTCTGCATTGCGGCCTCATCCAAACCACCATCTCTTTCCTCAAAGCTAGATTCCAAACATGCCACGTCTGTTTCCCCTGGCACACGGCCACTAAGGCCGTCTTAGTGTCCTTGTGTGTGCACACCACCACCTCCTCTACCAGCCCGCTCTAATGTTCATTACATTTTCCTAAAACAAATCTAGGCTCCAGGCCATCAAAGACTGTAATGCCCCTTATGGGTGCGAGCTTAAATGTGCATGCATGAGAGGCATGTGAGAGTGTTGTCTGTGGTTAATAACAAGCAGAACCGCGACATTCCAGCTGCCTATAAACAAGGCAGACCCTGCTGGTTTTCAGAGGCTCTGCTGCGGCCACTTTGGCTCTCGAGTTCCTCCTGGCGCCCTTCTTGTACCTTAGTTTAGGCGTTAGGAGGTCTCCCCTCTGACCCCCGGTTCCTTTGGGATTACGAAAATGGAAGGGAAACCAATTGGTCCGTCATGGCTGGAGGTCTTGTTGTGTTACCTCTGGTGTCTGCGGAGAGTGTTAAAACTCCCCACAGGGTCCCACTTTGCCCCAGTGAGTCAACCTTTCCCAGAACCTTAGCTGTCCCACTCTAAAACAATGGCCAGCTGTGTTCCTCAGAGGAAGCACAGGACTCTGGTCCACGGAGGCTTGATACCCTACTTAGCCATATGGCTCCTCACATGCTCATCAGCTTTCATCTCTCAGCAGGTAATAAGAAACCAGCTCAAAATGCGGAGAGGGGGTGGGATGTGACAGCTCAAAATGTATAAAAACAAACTCGGAGTCATGCTTGTCTTCAGTCTCGGGCTTGGCTCATTGATGATGACAAGGATCAATAAGTAGGAGCAAGGGAGAGAGTTCAAATCAAGAGTCAGAGGGGTCATATTGTTGGGGGGTTAGCTAGCAGAGGAGAGTTTAGGGTTTTCATGAGGTCCTCTTCCTCTTTTTTTTGATGTGCTACTCCTGGTCTGAACTTATTTTTAGCTCATCACAGTTATGGGGTATTTCGTAGTTTAGAGTTCCTCAAAGTTTTGCCTGAACTTCTCTGTCTATTTCAGAAATGTCTTGGCAGGTTTTTTGTTCCCATTTCTCTCAGCGGAGATGAAATGTTATTAATTTATGACCTTTTGGAAAACACTGCTGGCCTTTGTGGAGATGGGCCAATCCCAGTTCATCCAACATCAGTTTCCTTTTGTTTCTCTCTATTAATAAATCTGTTCATAAGAGATAGAAGAGTTTCCACACAACACGCCCTGTGTGTGTTAGTCTGAGGACTGGTTATTAGATACCACTTCCTTTCTCCATGTGTCTCGCCCATATCTTTGTATTTGTCTGTGTTCGGGCTTATAAAAAAAAAAAAAAAGCATGTGACTAAGTTTTCATGTCAACCTCGGTGCCAAATCTGTTACTCATTGACAAAGTTTTATCACATGTCCTGGGAATTTCAGGGTACTTTGAGGCTGTGGAGCTCGTCAGGGAAGTACCGTGATCTCCAGGGGTAAACATGTCAGTCACATAGAAAAGCAAAGCTAACTGATCTCTTTCCCTGATGCAGGACCTAAGGTGTAACACATCAACTAGCTTGTAACACCTGCATCGAGTTTTACTCACCTTTCAATACGTGTGCCTGTGTTATTGCCATCAGGCAGATAACATCTGCTCTGTGTTTCACCTTGGAAGGTGTATGATCTGTGTGTGTGCCCGTCTCCTCTGTGTGTGGGCTCCTCTCCTCTGGCCTTTCAAGTTACAGGTGACCTGCTGAGTTTGAGTGGATGTTTAAAGTCTGCTGAGAACGCATGACAGCATGGTGTAAGAAAACCCAGAGGTGACCTGAGGTGGTTCACATCAGGGTCACAGCACTGCTTTTGTCTCATGGGTTGGCCTGGGGCATATAATGGACCACTAAAAGGAACAAAGAATCTCACTTAAAACCCTGTTGTCCCACAGGGTCAAATGAGAGCTTTCTCTGAGCAGGAAGTCTAGGTATGCTGAATAGAGGAGAACACCAAATGGCTTGTACACTCCCTCTCATTTAGCCCTGTAATGATATAGTGGAGAAACAGTTTTCATTTAAGGCAGTCGTGCTGACATCGGACCCTTAAACTCGCCTTTCCTGATTGTTGGGTGGCTTTGGATTTCTTCACAAAACCTTAGAAATTCTTAACAGAGTTGTGTGCATCGATACCCTATCTGACTGAATCCTGTCTGCCTTGTTTCTCTGTTTATTTGTGTGTAGTTGTACCTGTATGAAAGCAAAAGTCTCATTTTAAGTAGAGAAATGTACTTTTTAATTTCTTTAGTCTGGTTATTCAAGAGATTCTGAACCACAGTAGTGGAAAACCCCCTAAAGTTGTCTTATGACACAACCAGCTACAACAAAAGAGACTTTTTCCTCTTTCACTTTCTGTTTTGTGGAATTTTTTAAACAAACCCAGTCAAAAAACCAGAGCACCCAAATCTCCAAAACAAAACTAGTTCCCCTCTCACGTGCTTGTACTGTCTGGCTGTGAGTCAGTCAGGAGAAATCACCAGTATGTTTATTTAGCAGACGGGTAGATAGAGTTTGAATGAGTCACACAGTGTCTGCATGTTAACCGAGAGAGCGCAAACCTCACAGCGTTTCATCTCCCGCCACTTTGAGGTCGTGGCCACAGCATTTTCCGCCACACTAGAAAGACTTGTTTTATCTCGACACTCCCGGTGTGGTGAGCTCATTTACAGCTCCTCTCAGATGGTTTCTAAGTATGTCTGTAATAATAAAGTTGTATGTTTTTGTGAAAAGGTTGTACTCGGGGGGGCTTTGATGCTGGTATGTGCTGTGGTCTGGTAAGCGGTGACAGTATCCTTTTTTTTTTTTGTCCCTACACTTTTTCCACATGTTCCACATTTCACTGTCTCTCTCATAAACTTTATAGCTTTCTCAAGAGCTGGATTACAGAGACAATTTTATATGTCTCACTGAGGCCATGTGCCCCAAGCCGTTTCTGTTTTATTTTAGATTTCACTAAAACTCCTTAAAGTTGAGCTGGCTATGGCATCACGTGTGAACTGGCCTCAGGCATGCTGCTGTTACTGCCTCCGCTGACTTGCAGGACATATTGTGAGATGGATTTTTTAGGGCTTTAATAGAGTTTTTAAGTGCATCTATTTCTACCGGGACATTATTTTTTAGCACTATCTTTTTTGTCACTGCCCTTTATGTTTTCTTGATAATGTCCCTAAGACAGGGTACGTTCTTTTCTTCCTTTTTTTTTCATTTTAAATCACGTCATGTGAATATTATATTTTAGGATCTGATCTTACAAATAGAATCAAAGATATTCTTAGTGGGTCCAGAGGCGGGTCTCTCTGGAATCTAGTTGGGTTTGGCCTCTCCTTGTATCTCCGAGTGGCTGTTTTCTTGCCCAGCCCAACACTGCTCATAGGGTCAGGCTTCAGGAGCTGCAGAAATGCACAACTGGTAGACATGGAGTCTCAGATGAGGGAGGTGCGTCACTTCAGCTGTTGTGGGACAGCTGGCTCTCTGGAGGTGTCTGACAGGAACATGGGGTCTTCAAACCTTGTGTCAAATCCCAAAAGGTCTTTTTATGGATTTGTTTGATGTTTTTCATGACTGATTGTTCAAATGTGAGACAGAAATTAACATCTGTGTGGAAAAACATATCATATTGTCCACTTGGATTCAACATTGTCCTCAGCGAATCTTCTTTGTCTCTTAAGCTTCCTTCCTCCACACGGATTGCAGTCATCTGATTGGTTTGTTCTCTGAGGTGTTTGCTTTGCAGAAGCCTGGCCTGTGCGACCTCATTTCCTCTTCCTGTCCAGCCAATGTTAATAATAACTCCTGTTTTTCAGACCCCACTACTCCCGGGGGGTATATTTAAGAACTTCCAAATCCATATCCCTATCCGCCAAAGTGACTCAGCTGATGACTTTTCCAACAACGGTTATTCCAGGCAGGAAAGAAAGGGGAGACAGAACATCTGCTGACAGCAGAGACCCCTTCTTATATTTAGCTGGGTTTGGAGATGACCGGCCACAGCAAGATCTATGCTTGACTGTGCTCATGGGTGTGAGACACAAGAGCTGCTGAGACTAATTGAAATTTGCTGACCTTTAAGTTGATTTGAAGCCCTACAGGCCAATCCGATTATCCTGTTGGCTTCCTAAAGGGGCCTCTAACCTCATTTTTTTTCTTACATTTCTCTGTCAAAGTAAAGGTCTCTCATGCTAGCCCCTGGCTCTGAATTAAAGGGTTTTAAAACTGCCTACGTGGCTGTAGCCGAGGTATGTCTGTCAGGGTCTCATCGTGTGTGTTTGACATACAATTAAGTGAGCTTATGTATTTGGAAACTTGCTGAAAAAGAAGTTAAAGTTTGAGATAATTACTCTGGTTCTTTTAAACATTGATAAATAGCTGTGCATTATCCAAACTCTCAGCTCCCATTCAACAAACACCTGACAGGCAGGCTACTAGTACACAACACACCCTTTCCAAACAACCTTCAAAGTTGTTAAATAAAGTCCAGTCGAGTTGAGTGTTATGTAAGAGCGTGTCAGCTTCCCCTGACTGTCTCTAGAGGTGGAAGACAGCTCATTCAGGTTTGGCCTCCTCCCTATCGTCTTTCTCTCCCCCCTCCTTCCCCCTCTATCAGCGTTGTTTAGAAAGGCGTCTCCGTGACGATGGCACAGCCATGCATTGTGGGAGGCTCCACACACTGCCACAGAGGCCCCTGAATGAGCCCTGAGGAATGCCATCCTTCCCGCTCATTCCCTTGCTGCACTCTCCCACGACTAATCCCCACCCCTTCTCATTTACACACACTCACACCCTCCTCTCTTGTCTCCTTGGCCCTGCTCCTCTTCACCCCCTGCCTCTCCCACCACCAAATCCTCTCCCTATTCCAGCCCTGTTTTTTATTTTCTCACCATTGTACCGAATTTGTCCCTCTTATGGCCCATGGTTTGTAATCATACTTTGTTTGCTTGACCCGGGGTTAACTGATATGCGAGTGTTGTTCTAGCTGTGTAACGGGATTAGAGGCTTTGGATACAGATCGAAGACACTGCAGAGCCTTATTGTTGGAGTTGGCTACCAGCCCGCATGTGACCATGGCGATCATCACACCAAACTCCCCGCTGGCTTCCAGCATGATGTGCCAGAGTTGGAAGGGATGAACATGCTAGACCTTTGCAAAGCCAGGCAAGAACAATGGAAGGCAGACAACAGAGACAAAACCTGACGAAATCCCTCTGTACCAACACCGTGAGCTGGACTAAGCAGGATGCCGTACACAGGCCAGGGATTTTGTTCAGCCCCTGAAAAATAGTCTGGATGATCATCCTCAGAGAAGACGGGGTTTTATTTTGCCACAGAGATAAAGATAAAGTCTGTTTTGGGAGTGTAAATGCACTAAATCTGTGTATAAGCTCCCTATAATCGAGAATTAGCTCAAACTTCCGCCCTGGCCGCAGTGTGTGAACATTACATTAGGTATTTCCTGTTTGTGCTGCATGCAGGGAAGTCCTCCCTCAAACCTTCCAGAGGACCTCCACAGACAGGAAGTAATGGTCACTACTATCTCAGGGTCACTGCCATAAAGTACGTCATCAACCCTCTGAGAGCCTAGAGGACAGATTCATGGTTTCTACTGTCGGCCATCACATGAACCCTCAGAGATTGTTTAATATGTGTGTGTGTGTGTGATTTGTTTGTGGATAATGGAAGGGGAATTTGATTATTGTGGTTTCATGTGTGAGGTCTGCTGTGCTCTGAAGCTGTCTCATTACAGGAAAGAGCCTTGATGTTTCACGTGTGCGCGTTCCCTGCCGTAGCGAACTGGTGCTAAGCTATCAGCTGCTGAGGTGGGAATGACTTTGTATCACTTGTATCACCACCTCCTGCTTGACAAGACTCAAAGTGAGAAAACGAACACGGTTTCAAAGAGTGCAAACAGTGGCTTCTCATGTTTACAGCTGTCACCTACCAGCTCCACTCTGTATAACCACGCACACTCACACTTGCTTGTAACAACTAAACAGTACTGGTTTGGGGTGAGTCCCATCCATCAGAGGTTCTTGTCTTCACACGTGCTCGTCTGTGTGTGTGTGTGTGTTATTTAGGTCGTAAACGGTCCTGATTGGTCTCAGTCAGGTGGGAGCCTTGGAGCATTCCCAGCAACAGAGGTTGTGGCAGCCTGGTGCTCTGCCAAGTGGCTGCAATCCAGCTGTTTACAGGCCCTGCCTGAGTGGCGAATCTGTAAGACCGTTTGAAGATGAGAGCCTGTTTACATTCAAACTGCTGAGGTGGTGTGACTCACTTTATAGACGTGGGTGGGGGGGGGTGAAGGCACCGGGTCCTCAAAAGAGAGAGAGAGAAGGCTGAGCTGCAGCTAGAAGGACTAGAGGAAGTTTGCCGTTGGCCTGCGACCTCAGGGGAATTGTTTCAGCATTGTTCCAGAGAGATGTGGGGTGGAAGGGGGGGGTCACTCCGCCTCCTTCCCTCCTCCCTCTGCGTCCTCTCTGTTGCAGCCCAAGTCTCTCAACTGAGAGCTCTACGGAAAGAGAAGCCCTTAAAGACTTGCTCAAACTCTGCAGTGATCTGATTGTATGTTTGGATTAACGAGGACAGGAGGTGATCAGCTTTGATCTGATTAATGAACCCGCTGAATGTTAGGTAGAGGTTGGAGTAAGGGAAGGTAAGTGGCCTTTGCCTGCTGTCCAAGTTATTTACCTGTCTGACCCTAATCTAGAGAAGTTGTCTACAGAGCTTGTATATTCGGGACTGCGTCACATGTCGCTTTGTCCATGGATGTGCCATAATTCCTGCTTTAGACACACAAACATCGATTTAAGAGGGCAAGGTTTTGATCAGTTAAGAAAGGAAAAGTCCTGATTGCTGGGGAAGATTATGAGGCGACTGCCGCCGAGTCAAGGGCAGTAGACCAGAGCAGCGTGACCAGATTGATGGCAGATTGTTCAAGTTTACTGGGATTAGAAGTGGGCCATCGGGTTTGAAGTTAACCCAGCTGCTCAACCAAAAGGAGGAGAATTAACCTTTGGACCCGAGTGAAGATCTACTTGCCCGTGAACTACTTGCCAGTTCTTCCATCCCTCAGATCAGCCTCTTTATCTCAGTGCTGTTGGTTTGCTATCCAAGTGTTCATTAGGTGTTTCAGAGGCCACCTTTGTATGAATGACACCTAAGGTAGCGACTAAAAAGCACTTCAAACACCAACATTTATTCTGTGCGCCAAAACTTAACATGAACCGGCTGTCCAGGCCTCTGAGTTCAACATTTACACAGTTACTGTGAATGGATTGATGTGAAATGTGCTGTATTCAGTCACCTCTTGCTTTAAGGAGCTCAGTTGTGTTACACACACTGGAGTTATTGTCTCACGGCTTTAAAGGAGGCTATTATGACTGCCAGTCTAAAAATGGAGTTTTTGGAGGTCAGCAAAATGTTTAGAAGAATTTGTGGATTGCCGATGATTTTCCCAGGCTGTCCTCTGTGGCATTTTTAAAGTAGATGAATACAGGGAATGACTTCAGGTCTCTGTATTGTATTTGATGATGCTTTTATTGTACTGTCTGTCGATTTTTAGGCAGTTAAATAGACTGAAAAATGTGTTTAGTTATCTTGCACAAAGTGAACTCTCCTTCTTCTTGTGTTTCCTCTGTCAGGGATGCTCCACATAGATGGCAGCCTGTGCCTGGATCCAAGGCTGCCATGTTGGTGAAGGTGAACAGCATGAGCCGTAACCAGCCTGGCCCAGCCTTGCAGCAGCAGCAGCAGCAGCAGAACATCCAACACAGTGCACAAAACAAAGCAAACACATTCACACTGCACCCCTCTGGTAGCAAGGCCCAAGGAGGACACATTAGCTCTACTCAGGGATATAAAACCGCCCCCTCTGGCAGAATGGCAGCTGACCCACGTCAGGCCCATCACCTGAGAAAGGCCAGCAACGGCAGCTTCTGTCTGGTGACATCAGACGGTAGCCATCCCAGTCCACTGCTTCAAAGGTCTCAGACCAGCACACCTCGCCCTCTCTCTCCCCAGTATGGTTGCACTGCCCCAATCTATGACGAGCCAGTTTCTGAGTGTCCCATATATGATGAACCCCCGATAGACATGGAGGTAGAGGGAGCGCACCTGTACAACGGACAGCCTCTGTCTCGCCTCACGCCTACTCATAGCCTACAAAAGCCTAGACACCTCCAGCATCCTGGTCCTGCCCATCCAGGATCCAGACACAGGAGAAGCCCTTCGGCCTCTGACTACAGTCCAGCTGGTCTGGAGTGCATTAAGCACATGGTCAATGTGGACCCCAAACAAGGGCTCCCATCAGGATCTCCTTTGCCCACACGGGCCCCTTCCCCTACCTCTAGGCAGGATGCCATCTTGACCCAGCCTCAACCGCATCCACAGACCCAGGCCCACTCTTTGCCCCAAATTCGAAGTCAGATTAGGGACAGAGAGGCTGGGCCCCCTGGACCAAGCACACTGGACAAGAAGCAAAGCTGGCGTGTTCTGGAGGCCACTGTCCAGCGGGCCATGGAAGCCCGGCACAGCAGGCAGAGCAGCCAGGCCTCCCAGGACTTCCCCTCCTCAACCCCCCAGGCTACCGCAAACTACCAAGACTCTGGTTACTCCACCGGCCCCTCCCCAAGCCTGAGGAGGAAGAGCAGGAGAAGGGTGGGAGCCGGTGGGGGTACAGGAGGCAGACCAGGGTCAGTGGGCAGCAGCGGGGAGCTGTGCGCCCTAAATGAGAGACTGATGGCTGAGATGAGAGAGGTGGTGAGTCGCTCGAACACTATGAGGGAGGTGAGAGCAGGGCTGGACCCAGAGATGGGGGAGAGGGTTGCCATACCCCGGACACGCTCCCCTGTGGACTCACTTAGGTGGTACGGAGGGGGAGGAGGAGGGTCAGCAGGCAGGTGTGCGTCAGGAGAGGACATCAGTGGTGCACCTCGATCACTGAGTAGGGCAGGTACCCACGGCAACCCAGCGCTGACCCCTTTGGAGTTACCAGGCAGACAGAAAAGGACCTATGAAAAAGTGGACACTTTGGAAATGAGTGTGACTAGCCAGGCCAGCCTGTCTTCCCCAGAGACCCCAGGACCGCCCTCACAGGTAACACTCTCCTGATTTTGTTTGTGTCTGTGATGCACACACACTCAAAAGGTGTTGATGCTTATTGATAAGAAGATAAACACTGATTCAGACTCAGGTTATCCGATGTTATGATACTCTCCAGTCTGATGAAGAGCTCAAGTGAGACTTGGAGTTAGTTTACCCCAGCAGGTTTGCCTGGATTCAGTTTTGTTTGGTCTGGACATGACCTAGTGTCTCCCCCAGATCTCTATCAGATTAAAGATAAATGCAGTCTCACCGTGTCAAATGAGGCCAGCGCACGTCTTAATGAAACATCTGCGCGTTACGGCATCTTTTCGTTTGTGTTTTGCTGTGATTTATTTTGTCTTCTCTTGCGAGCAGAACCAGAGATGGATGGATGTTTCACTTGAAATATTCCTTTTTTTCTATCACTTTAAAAGGCCAAATCTTAGACCCTGTAGAGCATAAAAACTTCATTTCCTATTATCTTAACTTTGCAGAGCACTAAAACACAACATACATCAGGGAGCTATAGTTATGTATGTATCTTGACGTCAGAGGTCCTGTAAAAGGCGCACATGATCCAGTATGAAAGAGCTTCTTGACATCAGAAAACAGTTATATAAGAAACAGCATGTGGAGCCTGTTTGAAGACATAATCTTAATCTCCAAATCCCCTCTCGTAACAGAAGCACTGCCTGTACCTCCATATATTAAAGCACTGTTTTCAGAATCAGCCACAACATCGCTCTGATAATAATGAATGGTTGATTCAACAGAGAGCTCTGGAGAGAAAACAGAAAGGCCGATATATCTCTTTGAAAAGAAAACCAAACCTTTTGGGAGTAATGCCTCTCAGTCTGAACTTTACATTTTGAGGGTCCAAATGTCTCCAAGACATTAGGCAGTGGGCAGGCTGGTCTCTGCTGACTGTTATGGCTTTCGTCCCAGCATTACCTGTCATCTTCTAATTCCCATCCATCTGCCAGGCACTGCAGGTACTGTATATGCTCATGCCAGCTCTGTGTTTGAGCATCTGGGGCCCATGCCAGGCAAGAGAGATTCAGGACATGGTTCCCCCTGGTCAGGAAGGAAGACCACTGCGGGCCATATGGTCTTTGGCAGAGAGAGAGAGAGGAGGGGGGGAAAGAGGGAGGAAGTTGAGGCAAGCTGGTACCAAGGCTTATCGGTACCACTGTAGCCTTAGCATGTTTGACAACAGCCAAGAAGCACTGAGCGGGCCCCCTAAGTCTGTCCTGGAATGTTTTTCAGGCCCGCTGTTATATCACCCACACAAACACACACACACACACACACACACACAGATTATGGTTTGCTTTGAGCAGGTCTACTCTTACATATTTGAGTTTTTTGTTTTGCTTAAAAACTTTTAAACTTATTCAAGGGATTCACTGAAACTCTGAGCTCTTCTTTAAACTAAATATAGATATATTTTCTAAGAGATGTACGCGTCTCAATGTTTTACTGTTGTGTTTAAATCCACAGTATGACTACATTACCCATCTGTACAGTGGTGTTATAAACTTAAAGCATGATTTATACAGCGTACGTCTCAATAGATCAACATAAAACTGAACCTAAGAACTAAATCATTTGACCGAGAAACCAAAATCTAAAAGCTGGCCTTCATCGCCTCCATATAACATCAGGGTGTCATTAGAAAGACATGTCATTGAGTTTTATGTTCCACTTGTAAATTTGAGTTCAGATTCAGGCTGGAGCTTCATGTTGTCTCTGGATCTTCTCAGTATTTATCTGGGTTTCTGGTTTTCTCTGTTAAGGGAGGTCAGATGCTCATTGCAATCATAAACTCCACCTCAGGGATCAGTGGGTGGGTGGGGGCGTGGGTCTTGTGAAGAACATTGGTCTAGTCTTGCAGGAAAGGGTAGTCTGGTTTAATAAGAGGCATGCATATCTGGTAACCTGCTCTTGAGGTCAGGATTTATGGGGGTTCAGGGACATTTCTTCCCTGGTACTGGATCTTTTTCTTGTATTAAGACTGCAAGAATCTCCCTCGAGCACAAGCACTGCAGAGCACAGTAGGTGGAGGCCAGCTGCTAGTGTGACACAGTGAGGACTCTGCACCTGTACACACACACTTTGTACCTCTTGCCCCCCACACACACACCTCCTCTTCTGTATTACTTGTTTTCACCGTCTAATGTCTGTCTCTTGTCCCCTTGCAGACCAGCACCCTTGAGCTGCAAGCTCAGCTGGAGAGCAGAAAGAAAGACATGGTGGACGGGCGAACAGCGTCCCTGGGCCCCCACCGGTCTGCCAGCCATGACAACAGAGAGAGTGGCGACGGGGCAGGAGAGAGAGCGCGAGGATCCTCCTACCAGCTCTCTTACGCCACTCTGCGGCAGCCCCCGCCTCCTGCAATGGGCATGGAGGACTGGGCCAGCAAACACCTCAACATGCACACTCAAGGCCTGTTCCGTCGACGTGTCTCCATCGCCAACATGCTGTCGTGGAACCGCGGATCCATCAAAAAACCAATGCTGGTAACCAGCAACCGTGCCGTGAGGAAAGAGGCCTGTGAGATGTTTAAGCTGGTGCAGGCCTACATGGGAGACCGGCCCTCACGTCTGGACCGCCGTCACTCCGCTCTGCTCATCGTCACCAAGTGCTGGGACATGCCAGGACTACGGGACGAGCTGTACATACAGCTGGTGAGACAGACCACAGGCAACGCCACCCCCAGGAGCTTGGCGGCAGGTTGGGAGCTGATGGCTGTCAGCTTGGCCTTCTTCGCACCCTCGCCCAAGTTCCGCTGCTACCTGGAGGGTTACATCCAGAGACACACAGAGCCAACCAGCGACAAGAAATGTGAGTTTCAGACTGAGCAACAGGGTGGGTCCCCTTTCATTCTTCTGCACCTCCTTTTGTTGTGTGTTTGTTGACTAGTTAGATATTTAAAAGTGTTTTTGGATAGATTCACATCCTTTGCTTTCCCTCTCCATTTCCCTGTGGATTTTTTCTCTCTCAGTTAACCATGAGAAAAAGTACAAGACAAGTTTTGCAGGCCTTGTGCTTATCAACTAAACATCAGAAGTTTGACCTCAACCTTTTTTTTTTATAGTGACCCAATTCATACTGGAACAGCAGGAACTAAAGCTGAAGAAGAATTCAAAGTCCAGAAAGAAGCGGAAACAAAACACAGACGAGGAAGAAGGTACATTTCTTGATCCTTTATTGCTCATCAGTCCAATCTACCGCTCCAAGAACTTGGGTCTGTGTTTCTCATTGGAAGAGCTAATCTGTTTGACAGAGCACAGTAGGTCAGGAGGAAGTTCAAAGGATGTTTTTCTACTCCCGAATTCAAAGTCTAAAGTTTGCCACCAGTGCACGCCAGTACAAATTGAACATACCGCTCTTTGTGGAGTGGCTGTGCTGAGTGGGATGGAAAATTCAGAGCTGTGTTTGTCAGATGAGTTACACGCTGATGTCCTTCCAGACACAATGAATGGGATTCACAGAAAGCTGAGGAGAAAAAAAACATGTAGGATGAGAAAATGAGAAATGAGAATGCTCTGTGTGTTAATACAAAGGGCCACTCTGTGACTCACACTGGGGGTCTCTCACCAGTATCGTGTCAGAGAGCCGTTTTAGGGGGACACCTCATTGGCGCGTGCCCTCATTAGAGCAGCCCACACTGCCAGCTCTTATGATGGTGTTACAGTAAAGTCACCCAAGCATCTGGCAGCAGACACCACAGCACTGACCTTACTCATTGTACTCGAGTGAGTCAACCGCGGTGCTTTATGTTCGTAAAACTCTGACTAAGAGTCGGTGAGGGAGCCTTCCAAACATTTCTGACTAACTGCAGAGGTCTTTAAAGAGCGGGATCTTGATGAAAGCACAGGAGAAGAAGGAGAAAAAAAAGTCCTTCATGTACAAAAACAGCGTTCAGAGAGCTGCTGTTTGCTTTGATGGATAGAGGAACTTGGACATGTGTGTTTTGTGGGACCGGAGCAATGAGCAGCTGTGAGTTACAGCAGGAGGAGTCACATGTGGGAACTGGGGGCCCTCTGGGCTTGGAAAACGACTTCTTTTGGTTTGAGGCCCAGAATTGTTTGAGCTAGTGCTTGGTTTGTCTCATAAACAATAGCAAAGACGGGACTGGAGATGTCTCCTTAACCTCTTTTAAGGTCTCCCTCGGAGTGTTTTTGAAGTCTAGTTTAGCTTGCGCAGACAGGTGCCACTATGGTGTCTGTCTGGTACAGTACACTCAAGCTCCTAATGAGATCGTATTTCTCTGGGGCTTTGGTTGCCTGGTTGTTGCTGCTTTCATGCCATCCTGCCTGATGTAAATATAGACCACCAGTCGTGTCTCAACCCTCTCTCACAGCAGCACAGGAGCTCTGCACTCTTGATTTTCTCCGAGTTAGTGCAAAGCCTCCGTGTTGGGAGTCTTGGGAAAAATAAACTCTCTATGCTAAGATCAAGGGCAAATTATTGGTATGATCTCTCTAATTAGACATAATTATAGTCAGACTTGGTCAGCAGTTGTGAGCATCTATGGGAGTCACCTGTTTGCCATAAATCTGGGGGCTTTGGTTGGAGGAAAGCCGAAGCAAAGTGTTTGTTGCTTTTTGAAATCCCATCTTTTGGTTTTTCCATCTGGCCCTGGTTCGGTTAGCTGATACAGTAGAGGTTCTGGGAAAGAGGAACAGACCCCATGAGATTCCAGTGTTTGGTGTAAACCAAAGTTACCACAGCAATGACAGAAGGGGATGATGTCTTTTCATGTCTGAGCATGAAGACCCAACACTTGAGTTTTTTGTTGGCTGTTTATCTTTTTGTGTTGTGTGTATATTTTTACGCCATCCCATCCATCAGCCCCCTGATGCAGTTCACTTGTGAAAGATCTCTGAGCTCTACAGTAGCAGGTAGTCGACAGGGAGCCTCTGTGTTTCTCATTCTTGCCTTTCATGTCTGAGTACGCTGATGAATCACCTGAACATTAGATGTGTGGGCTGTATCCTGTCTCTTAAGCTTTTGTTCAACAGCAGTAAATCTTCCCTCAGCTTGACAGTTTAGCTGGGCCTGCACTAATCCCCATATGCCAGATTCACACTGTCAACATGTCTCTCCAATTACCACAGCCTGCTTCTCTTTACACTATTTGACATCTGTGGGAAAAAAACAGGTCTTTTTTTTCTTGTTTGTGGGAAAGAATTTAAATAATTTATTGTTTTGAGTGTTCACTGATGGCTGATCCCTGAGGGTTTTGACTTGAGTTGATAAAAAAGGATGTTCTTTGTGTCTCTTGTGGAGTTTGGTTTCTTCATTGTTTAATGCTTAATTTCTTTTCACCTTCAGGTCTGCCTATTAGCACATATGCGAAATTCTGCCATCGGAAACTGCAGAAGGTGGCGATCACCGGAGGTAAAAAGGTAAAAAAAAAAAATCTCATTCTTCCGAGATAAAAATAGGATCAGTTTGAAAGTCATGACTCACATCTGAGTCATCTAAGATACTGTCACAGAGAGACATAATTACAGACGTGGTGAACACAGTTGCAGCAGGTAGAGACATAAACACAGACATAGTCATGGTATCGCAGCTGCAGACACAACCATGATTAGTATCACAGTCCCTGACGTACCGAGGTAGTAAATCACTCTGCTTTCCTCGCCTCTCACCCCTCCAGGGTCTTCGTAAGCCCACCTTAGAGGAGATCGACCACAGTAGACGGGCCATCGTCACTCCCTCCTTGTTTGGCAGCTCATTGGAGGAGGTGATGGAGAGGCAGAGCGAGCTCTTCCCAGACAGGAAACTGCCCTGGGTGCAAGTTCAGCTTTCCCAGTATGTTCTTGCTCTGGGCGGGGCTCAGACAGAGGGCATCTTCAGGTAAAATACTCACCAGAGAATTCATGTTACGACTTGAGCAGTGTGAGAAAGGTGGAGTGTTGAAAATATAAGCGGATCTCTTGTACTGTACGCTGTGTATACTTTATTGTATGAAGAGTTAGTGTAAACATATGTGTGTGGTCCTTTCTGGATCCCTGCGTTCCAAAGTAGACTGTCTTCAGTACACACAACAGACAGCAGGACAAACACAACCTTGCTTTCCTCCTGAGATCAGCACTGTTCAATTTGGTGCTTTATAATTTGTGTTTACATTACTGCTTAAGCTCATGAGCACGTGGGAGCTCCACAGACGTGTGTTTGTGTAGGGTTTTTCCTGCAAATTTAGTCCTGTAGCATCATAGTTTGTTTAGAGAAGTGTTCCCTTTGGTTGGGCAAACTTTCTGTGAGTCTTCCTGTGAAACTTCAGCTCAGGGACTTTCCTGAGGACATCTTTATAGTGATCAGTTTTTGTTTTTGTTATTAGGAAGTACAGCAAACAAAGATTTTAAACCGTAAGACCATATTAGAAGTCAAATGGGTGTGCATGAGTGAGATATACACCACAGGGCATGTAAAATCTGTAGTGATGGAGTTAGGGGTCCCTCTTGTGGCAACAGAGTGTAACTGATGTGTTGTGTTTTATCTTATAGAGTGCCTGGTGACATTGATGAAGTAAATGCATTGAAGCTCCAAGTGGACCAGTGGAGGATCCCCGAGAATCTCTCAGACCCCAATGTTCCCGGTAAGGAAACATATATTTTAGTTCAAGTGTGTGAGTCCTGATTATTGTTTTTCTTCATGCATGTGTGAAGTGGGAATATTTACTCTTATTCTGTGTTTTGCTCGTTCAGCCTCTCTGATGAAGCTGTGGTATCGGGAGCTGGAGGAACCTCTCATCCCGATGAACTTCTACAGGCAGTGCGTCAATAACTGTGACGACCCAGTTGCTGCCATTGCGGTGGTTCAGTCTCTGCCTGAACTCAACAGGCTGGTGCTCTGCTATTTTATCCACTTTCTGCAGGTAACCGACTTGTTGAGACACACTCATAATCCCCTCATATGCAATGTTTACTACTTTACCCTGACCAGGGTCCACCTTTCAACACCATTATGACCATGTCTTTAAAAATGTGTTACTCTGTCCTGGTCTTGTGTTTCCATCTGACCTTTAAAGTCCTGAAAAATATTCATGCATTTTTAAGAATATATGTCAATGTCAATGTCAGCTTTATTTTTATAGCACATTTAAAAACAGCCAGTGGCCTGCCAAAGTGCTTTACAGTAAAATAGCCAGAAAAAAACTAAAAAAAAAAAAACTATAAAAACAATAAAGGATAAAATATATAAAAACACAAAACAGCAATAAAGATAAACATAGCAAATAAATAAAATACCCAGTAAACGTAGCTATACTTGAGCTGAGGTTACATACCTAATCCAAAATGGTCATTAAAATATCAATGTATTAACCTCTTGGATAATAAAATATGATGAAAGTGTTACTCACTGCAGGTAAAAGGTCAGTCTGCACAATAAACCTGACTCATTACGTTCTGTCCTGATTGTCTTTAGGTATTTGCTCAACCATCCAATGTGGCAATAACTAAGATGGATGTGAACAACCTGGCCATGGTGATGGCCCCCAACTGCCTTCGATGCCAATCTGACGACCCACGCATCATCTTCGAGAATACACGCAAAGAGATGTCCTTCCTGAGAATGCTCATCGTTCACTTGGACACCAGTTTCATCGAAGGGGTTGTGTAGTCACTGTGCGCTGAATCAGCCATCCAGCCTCTCAGTTACATATTTACTACCAGGCATAAACACTGTTTCTGTTCAGACTACACTGGAAACCCCTGGGGTGATAAATTACACCTCTTACAACACAAGGGGTGTGAACACACCTTGGACTTTGGCCCCTTGTTCTCACTCGCTCTCATACTGAAAGACAATACACAACACATTAAGCCCCACTGTGTTTTTTTGATACTAAAATTCAGTGGCTAAAGTTATGACTGTATTTTCTAACTGCTGCATGTGGAAAGAGAGTTACAGAGTAGTATTATAGATGACAGGGATAACAGTGTAAATCAAAAGTCTCACAATATTTACTTACTAAGTTCTCACTTGCACAACTGAAGTTAAACAGTCGTGTTTAAAGCTTTGCTTTTTTAAAATCTTAAGTTTTACTCAAGCGTGAGTGTGTGTTGTGTGGGTGCCTGCTTGTGGTGTGGATGTAAATCACAGCCTATTGTCTATCATGTACAGAAAAGTTAAAAATATGAAAAGAACTTTTGTTTTATGTCTGATTGATAAGCTTGCCTGTGCTGTTTGAGCTGTTGTACTAATAGATGGTTTCACCTATTTCATTTTTGACACAGAGCCATCAATCTTAAGCACAAGCTGGTGTTCAGAAAAACCTTTTGCAGCAGATGGAGTGATTTTCTAAGACTGTAAACTTGGAGGTGCTTTGATTTTACAACTCCAAAAACAAGAGCCAGACAAGAGTCTTGGTATTTCAGTTTAACATGTTGATGTGTGAAGTCAGTTATTTATCTGATAAGTCCGTCTCTCTATTATCAAGTCTTTGTGTTCTCTTCTGTTTGTGGTCTGTATATTTTCTGGCTCAGGACTAACAAAAAAAAGAAAAGGGTGTTGGAGGTGCTAGCTATACACGGCCTCCCTCAAAGACAATGTTATAAATCTACCACAAACCCCTGGTGTTGAAATGTAGAGCACTATGAGAATGTTGATGAATCAATCTCGTCTCGTCTCAGGCTTTGCCCATGTAAATAGATTCTACATGTACATAGTTTTAACTATCCTAAAATATATTCTAATGATTCATGTCAAGGGTGGTTTAAATGTTGTAAATTGCAATAAAAAGGTGTTTTTGTAAGTAAATGTTATTTCTCTGCTGTAACCGCCTGCCTTTTGAACATAGAACTGATTCAAACCACTTCCTGTGTGTGAACATGTGTGTCTGCATACCTTCTTGTTATAATATGGAATGGCTGTCCATAAATAAAGGTTTGTTTAATTGTAATCTATACATGTCATGTTTGGGACAAAATCCCCTCTTCCTGTTCGTCTGATGGTATATTGAAGAGTTCAGGAACAAAATGCAACCAAAACACATGAGGAGATTAGTAGAGTTTACCACAAGATGAAAACTCTGGGGAGATAAAGGAACCTTACATTAAATAAATAAAGAAATGTCTAATGAAGACATAATAAGCTCAATATACTGTATTTATGGTGCAGGGCAGAAAGATATCTGTGTTCTAAAAAAATGAAGTTATAGACATCAGTTGACTATGTTTTAAACTTAAGGGATCCTCATGACACCTCAGGAAATTATAAGCAGGTCAGGACTTTGGTCTTAAAATAAGATGATGTCATGTTTTTATTTTTATTATATTTGACATACGCCATTTACTATTTACATAGTGTAGAAGGTCTCTATGCAGATAAATACAGTAGAAAATCTAAAAGAATATATAACAGTGAACTTAGATATAAAACTATAACATAACAACGTCAAGTTGTTTTTCAGAATAAATAATTTTTGAAGTTTTTCCTTATTTGTTCATATCATGATGAGGGATAAACTGTGCCAACAACCCTTGAAAATACTATAATGATCTAGTTTAATTTTGACATATTACCTCTACATCCGAGGAGGCATCTGATTACACCTAAATGGGTGAAAAAATGCTGTTGAGTTGATAAAATCCAAACATATTACATAACAGAGCTGCTGTGTAGTCTGTAGGTAAAAATCTAAATTAAAGTTTGGTTTATATAACAATGCAAATTAAACTGTGTTTTGAATTCAGAATCTGCTTGAATTACTCAGTCCTATCAGTTTTTTTCCTTCAAAATCTAAAACAGAGATGCTTGACATTCAGGGTTTATTCACAAACTGATATACAGTACAGGCCAAAAGTTTGGTCTCACCTTCTCATTCGATGTCTTTTCTTTATTTTTTTTATATGACTATTTACATTGTAGATTATCACTGAAGGCATCAAAACTATGAACGAACACGTGGAATTTTGTACTTATAAAAAAAGTGTGAAGTAACTGAAAACATGTTTTGAATTTAGTTTCTTTAAAATAGCCACCCTTTGCTCTTGATGACAGATGTATTTAGTCACGAAGTAACCTGACACAGCACACCTGTGAAGTAAAAACCATTTCAGGTGACTACCTCACGAAGCTCATTGAGAGAACAGCAAAGGTTTGCAGCACTATCAAAAAAGCAAAGGGTGGCTACTTTGAGGAATCTAAAGTATAAAACATGTTTTCAGTTATTTCACACTTTTTTCTTAAGCACATGATTCCACATGTGTTCATTCATAGTTTTGATGTCTTCACTGAGAATCTACAATTTAAATAGTAATGAGAATAAAGTAAATGCATTGAATGAGAAGGTGTTTCCAAACTTTTGGCCTGTACTGCATATATTTTATAGCTTTATAGCAGCCTGGGGTAAGCGCCAAACCCACAATACTGTGTGTTTGTTCAGAGTAGGCTCATGAAAATCTTTTTTCTTAAGAGCTGAGTAGGTAAGAATGATAAATAGAGCTCCCCCTGCTGTTACACAACATCATCATTTTCATCAGACATGCTCAAATTATACACACTTCACTACACAAAACCACCACCCTCCATACCTGTCACTTTGTAGCTATCATGTAGAAAGTCTACTGCTGGTAAAAGGAAGGCCAGTTATTGTAACCATGACTACAGAATAAGTGGTCCTCTGCTCTGCATGTGGGAATAAAGTGAAAGGCCACACACACACACACACACACACACACACACACACACACACACACACACACACTTCATGACAGCCTCCTTCAAATAGCACATTGACATAAGTGATGGAAATAGCAGTCAGTGTTTTTAATCAGCCTAACTGATGAAAAAATAAGTATGTAACTATGTTGCATTTGTCTGCATACTGTAGTTTTCCACTGTGTAGTTTAAGGACAATTTTATTGTAGTCTACAAGCAGTTTATTTTTCTATTTATATCATGCCTCATATGAAATTAATACACAATAAAATCAATTATCTCAACGATTTGATCTACTCCTATTAAAACAACGCTTGTTTCAACATCTCGTCTTTTGAAACAGGGCCTTTCATTTTTGTATAACTGTTTTTCCATGATGGGGACACATTTTTAAACTATCTTTCATCATAAAAGGAAGTCAAACGTTGTTTAAATTGGGGTGACTAGGAGATTACTATATAGGTCAACATATTGTTGGGCCTAATGATGAAGAGAGGTTTCTGTGCGGGTTTTTACATAAATTTATCCAATCAAAATATTGATGCACCTTTCAATAGATGAAAAATAGAAAAACAAATTATCTGGGTTAACTTGGTCACCCTCACGCTGTAAACAAACAGTAGTTGTTTTGGGTGAACAGAGGGTGGAGCTGTACGACCAGTAAATTGTCGATGAGTGTAAACAATGACTTGACATTTCATCACGGCCATGCCTGACTTCAATCCAAGTGGCTTTATATGCAAAAGCAGAGTGGGGAAATTGTCCGCAGATTTAGTATTAAGAAAGGGAAGTCTTTGACATTGTCTTTAAGCTGTTCATAACAGTTTATCTTAAATATACTCAAACTTTATGGGATAACAAGCGATAACGTGTTGATAAAAATACGTTAACATGATGTACAAACAACACAAAGGTAAAATTAAAATAAAGTAAAAAAACAGCCTTTAAATAATGGATACTTGAAGCTGTTGTCCGCGCATGCGTAGTGTAGCGCCACACTACCCGCGCCGGTGGTGAATGCAACTGGGAGAAATTCAACTGCGTGATTTGGAGCAGACAGGCGGAGGCGGCGGTACCTGCAAGTTAGAGGGATTACATCGGACAGTTTTCTTACAAAACCGTACAAAGAGTGACTGAAGACCAGGTAGGAAACTCAAAGTGTACCTCCACCTTCGCTTCGTGGTTTGTAATCTCTAAAAACAGTGTGAATTAGGTGTGTTTGGGGATGCATCAGCGGTGTTGATGGCTCTGTGCCGCATGTCGGCTTTTGGAGTTCAAAACAAACGTGACGAATGAGGTAATACTACTTTATGTCCGAACACATTGGTCGCCGGTCTGATAACTCGTATTCTTGTCGTTTGTAGGAGGATTTCTTACACGTTGTGTCACAAAAACCCTGCCTTTATCAAACGGAGAAGTTAACTGCTTTGTATTTCCACGCTGCTCTTTCGCAGCAGGAAAAACTATGAAAAGTAGGCCTAGCGCGAGGCCCCGGACAGCTTTCTGATTGACAGCTAGACGGCCAATCGGAGTCTAGTATTCCACCCTTACGAGCTCGCAGAAGCCAGTCGTATTGGTTTATTGCAATGACGTAGAGGATTCGCTCGCGCTCTGCACAGTGGTTATAAAACACGGGACAATAAAGAAACATTACTCTCGGACCAAGTTATCAAATTATTGTGGTTAATTAAGACGAGCAGGTGTGTTCTGTTAATATCAGTGCTGGATAACAAAATATATTGATAATGAAGTGGAAACATAAGGGCGTTGAATACTATTTCTTTTATTATTAAAGGGAAATGCACTCTATAACCAAATTTATCAATGCTAATTATTATTAATGTAACATTGAATTTGTTTTCATCAATAAGCGCCTGTCTCCTGAAGCTTGATTTGGTCATCGCTGGGTGACTGCCGGTCCGCGCCTTGCTCGTGTCACCGTCGTCTGTACGTCTTTCTGTTTCTATGCAATCAAAATACTAAATTTTCTGTAAAAATCAAGTGATGCGTATGACACTGCATACTTCGCAGTTCGATAACGTGATGGATACGTATCTGTCTGTTTAGCACAGCTATCCCGATGGGTTGCTGCTATTGTCTCTCATTGTGTCTCTCTCCGTGTGATCGGCTGACAAGAAAACACGTGGGCCGAGTGCTGTGGAGATATCCGGTTAGTAGGTTGCACTGCAGCCGTTCAGCTCCAGACTGTCTCCGCTATGGTGAACCGTTTCAGCTCAAACTTGGACTACAGTAAGATGCTTTGACGACTCTGTGCAATCGTTAGATTTTGATTGAGATGGTGTTGATGTCTACTCTGTCTGTTTGAGGCTCTACGCTCGGCTAAAGAGGCGATTTTTCCTCGGGAGGGAAATCGAATTTTCTCTGGAAGACTGAAAAATGATCCTCCTACACTAAACCCCCCAAAACCGGGGGACTCGGGTGCCGACTTGTTATAGGCGAGACTGCGTAGACAAGAACTCAGTCAAAAAGGCTCAATCCTCTGGAAGTATTAGCCTGCTGCATGTTGCATAATTTTTTTACTTCAGGTGGGGGGCAGAGCAGAGACTGAGAGCAGTGAGCAAGCGTCTTTACTCCTCTGCCTTGTGCAATTATATGCCTGTGGTTACTGACATTGGTTTTGATAACGATGCTTTAATAACGTGCATGAAATCATTTTGGACATCCTCAGTGATTACTGAACAATGCAGTGTTTCCTAAACATTTAACCACCATTTTAGGAGTATGACTCACATTAAGATGTACTTTCTTCCTGCTTTTTTTTCCAAACATCATCTGCAGCTAATGCACTTATCCACTGGAAATGTACTGTATTTTCCAGGCTTTGTTGTATTTGAATGTCTTATTCATGAATACAGTGACACGCTGACTCTTTGACATCAAAATGGCTACTCTGGAGCAAAACCCGTTTTTTCTGTTACCACAATCTTTTGGTCCAATAAGGATCAGAGATGACCTAAGAGAAACAAGACCCTCTGTTGTGACTGTGAGGACAGACCTTCACTTGTGGTCTTACACTGATATATTATCTGTTTCATTGTCTTATCCCAAGGCCATGTCATTGTACCATTTAGTGCTTTGTAAAGTGATAGATTTTGGTGGTGTGTGTGTGTGTGTGTGTATACAGGAAGGAAGCCTTGATGTGGGCAGTATGAGTAAGACGCCCCCTACCAGAAGAGGTATTTCATTTGAGGTTGGAGCCCAGATTGAGGCCAGAGACAGCCTCAAAAATTGGTGAGTCATGGCCCCTGTTATACCCCTTTATCCCTGTGACCATTCACCGCCATCACTCCCTGAAAGTCCAGTTCTCTCTTCTCTTAGCCTGAGTTAGCCACTCCTGTTTTCTACCAAAGGAAAGATAAGAAAAATAGTGAAGAGAGACACCTTCCAGTGAGCATAGCTCCTCAGACATCAGCCTGTTCTTAGCATGTGCCCCTACGCAGCTTTTCACCAAGAGAATAATAAAATGAATTCGTAACTACTTCAGTATGTCATTTATTACTTTTATTGTTAAGAGAAGAAAGAAAACCGAAGGAAAGAGCCCTAGAAAAATGTGACATATGTATCACGGGCACGACAGTGTGAGCAGCTTTTTGGAATAACCCAGTTAACATTTTCACATAACAGTTTCCATCTTAACATATTGCAGTTTGCTAACTTAGACTCACCCACACTCAGTCTTAAAATACAGTGTGTTTATTCCTAACAGTGCTTTCAGCTCACTGTTTCTAAAGTTAATCAGTGTGACATGAATCATTATGCTCCTTGGGGCGTTAACATGAGTCTTTAAAGATTCTTGATTTGCTTCACAAATGCATTTTTTATATTTTATATGTCACGCAGGTATGCTGCCAATATAGAGAAGATTGACTACGAAGGTGAAAAAGTACTGATCCATTACCGTCAGTGGAGCCACCGTTACGACGAATGGTTTGAGTGGACAAGTCCGTATTTGAGACCTGTGGAGAGGGTTCAGCTGAGACGGCAGGGCCTGCAGGACGACGCACCTATACCTGTAAGCATGCTGGAGCTCGGTCTGAATCACTCTGTGCTCTGTGATGCTTGGTTCCTGACAGTTAATTTTTTAAGGACAGAAGGGCTACATGTTTGTCTCTGACAGAGAAAAGAGCTGAAATATGAAGGTTGAGTTGTATTTGCTGAAGTTGAATGGGGATCTGTTGTTTTTACCAGGAAATGAAATTTGATTCACGTCTTTCTTATTAAGATGTTACACCAGTGATGGTAGTTTTGTGAAAATTTAAGAGTTCAATCTTTCTTGTGTCCTTGATATAGTACCTCCTTTATTTCTTAGATGAAGTATCTCTGTTTCTCCTTCAGGGTTTTCATGTGAATGATAAGGTCCTTGCCAGCTGGTCTGACTGCCGTTTCTACCCTGCAAAGGTCATTTCTGTCAATAAAGATGGTGGGTGTCACGACACACAGTTATTTCCTAGCCATATTAGGTTTGAGTTAAACAATCTCAAAATGTCCATTTTATATGTATTTATTATAAATATTTGATGTGTCCCGATGCAACTTTTAAACTTCCAATACGATACTGATATTGTAGCCTTCAGTATTGATTGACACCAATATTGATCCGATATTAGCACAAGCATGAGCATGACTCAGCTGCAATGTCTTTTTGGGACTTAAATGGAAATACTGCCACACGGCTCTGCATGCTAGATCCAAGCACTGCTAGATAGAGGTGCTGGAGCAGAGTCTGGAATGGACTGCTTGTATCGGAGTGCTGATATCTGAGATTTTAGAAGCCGGCCGATATAATTCGATATTCGTTTTTTCTGATATCGGACCGATATCGGATCAGGACATTCCTAATGAGTATAAAGATTCAATCATTAATGATGTACTTTTATATTCTTATCTCTGGCAATGGCAAAGCAAAGAGAAAGTAAAAAAAATCTTTAATTTACAAATGGACAGCCATGAAATCACAATAACAATCCTGATCTTGTCCACAGATCGGGATCAGGAGTGTGGTCCTTTTAGGGATTTACCCTCTTGGACTTACGCAGAATAATAAAAAAGATGTCAGATGTTAATATGTCTTATTGGCCTGTATTAAATGAGTTCTCTTGAATCCTCCTCAGCATCCTACACTGTCAAGTTCTATGATGGTGTAATCCAGACAGTGAAGGGGATACACGTGAAGCCTTTTATCAAAGAGGTAACCGACCATACCTGTCTTGTTAATTTACTTCTTAATTCACAGTCAAACCTGTTTAAAGCACAATTTTCTTCTTTTTTTTCTCCCCTAAATTGTCCTGCTGTTAGAGAGGTAGTGTTGGTGGAGGGAAGTCTCGGTCCACTGATAGAAACATGGTTAGGAAGGCTCCAAGTCGCAGAGATAGGAGGCCACAGGAGAATGGAGGTCCCAAGAACAAGCGAGCCAGACGCAGCACCTCTGACCAGGAAGAGGAGAGCAACAGCGAGGAAGAGGAGCGAGAAGAAAGAGAAGTTCACGAGAAGAACAAGAAAACCAATGGTGAGCTAGAGGCTACTGCAACAATCAAAGAGGAAGAAGAAATGTCTGAGCAAGCAGACCAGAACAAGGACACACAGGTGAAGACAGGACTCACAAATGGGGTGAAGGTGGAAGAAGACCTTGAGAAAAACAGGGAGAAGTGCCACCTCAACGGAGAGGTAAAGAAGGAGGAGGTGGAAACAGAAGGGAGTGGAACAAAGCCATATTCAGATTTGCCTAAGCCATACAAAGAGTTGCACACTCAGTTGTCAGCACAGTCTGAGCAGGTGTCTGTCACTATGACAACCACTGAATCCAATGGAAGTATGGAGCAGAAGCCGAACGTCCAGTCGGAGAGCTCACAGGCTCTAGCAGATGTGCCACCTCCACAACCTGTGAAACGTAAGTGTTCATGACTTAAATAAACAACATTCTGTGTGAGCTCCAGCTTTGTTAAAAATAACAGTGCACTTGATATCATCGAGAAACTGAATATGAAAGCAATAAGGTCTGGAAGTCTAAACCTTTGCTCTGTGTTTGATAGCGGTGAGGAAGCAGGGGTTCCACAACCCCAACAGATTCAGCAGAGAACCACGTGAGTGCAGTTAGAATCTATTTAACACCTACAGTCATCTCTTGAATTGTTTGATGAACTTCCTTCTCACAGGTTTCTGTATGTGTCTCATTTCAGTGTACCGAGTGATCAAAAACCAACCTCCCCCTGTTCTGTCCATCAACCTTGACCACAACCCGTTTAAGTGTAGCGCCCCTGGTTGCCCGAAGTCATTCCGTAAGGCCAAGCTGCTGCACTACCATATGAAATATTATCATGGTGAAGAGCAGCCTCTAGAAGGAGAGCGCAGTCCCACCAGGGGCATACAGACCAGGGCCTCTGACAAACAGGTCGCCGGCACCGGTATGGAGGGTCCCAGAAGAAGGCGGACCATCTCTGCTTCTATGCGTGAGTTTCTCTGTAGTTTCCCTTGCGTCCTAGTGGACACCACAGGAGTTTTATTAGAAGCTGGTTCAGCTGCTATTTCTACAATTTTCAAACCAACTACATGTTATGCAACAATAAAAAGGGAACCAAGTCATGTGCCTAAATCAGAAATCCTGCTTATCAAACAAGACTGCAGTGTTAATATTTCACTTCAAGCTTTGCCTCAGTGGAAAGGGTTTCATCTTGTATTTGCCCTTGTCTTTGATTTTTGTCAGACTCTGTTGGAGCTGCCACAGCTCCCCGTGGTGAGGTGAAGACTGCTGGCAGACGCACTTCAGCCCCACCTGTCGTCAACACTCAGGGCCATCAGCAGAGGGCACTGCTGAGGGAGAAGAGCAAGGAGAACCAACTGGACAGGAATGGATGCCATCAGCAGGACAAGGACTCATGCAGGAGTGGTTTTGACATCGGTCAGTAAAGTCCGGCTCTCCTGAGGTGTTGTTTATTGTTGTCAAGAAGATGACGCCTTTCTTTTTTTTAATGTACAACTCTTGTTGCTTATCTATCGACAGGATCACTAAAAGAAAAACTTAAAGAGAAACCAAAACAGAAGGACTTCCTACGCATCAAACTCAAGAAGAGGAAGAAAAAGAAGAAGGCAAAGTCTGGTAAGACGGGTCCTCTTGCTGCTATTCCCCCCTCGCATATCTGCTGCTCTGCATGTGCACCTACTGTGACATTGTGAAAACGAATAGCCTGCAAAGCGTAAAAGTTCTCCATTCACTCCTTTTGGTGTGGTGGCTGAGCCTTTGTGTGTGAAAGACGTGTCACATCTCTCACTGGCCTCTGTCACTCCATTGTTCCAATCAAAGGCAAAGCTCATCTCTTGTACATCTTCACTTGTATTTCTTCTTGCTAAGTACAAATCAAACAGAACTGCTGATCAAAAGCTTGGTTTCATTTTCTTTCATTGGTCCAAACTCAAATCTTGCAAATTACTTCTAATCTACAGGTTGCATTGACATGTCTGTACAGTATCTTGTCTTTGGTATGCGCACAAATGTACTGCTGAACCTTCCACATTTGTTGATCCTAAAAAGCCTGAAACATGGGCCAGTATGGATTTGATCAAACTGATGTTTCCTGCCTGTCCTTGAGTCTATTCGTTGTCTGACTTTGATGTGCCAGTATTTCACCTCCTGGTGGGCGTTACTAAGCATTTACAAAATTGACATTTTGTTCTACATCTGCTTCCCCCCTATCCTGTATTAACAGACTACACAGGTAGTGAGGAGAATATTGACATCTCAGTATTGGGTCTTCAGTCCAAATTGAATTTGCCATTCAAATCCCCCCCCTCACACAATCACAAGCCTGAGGCCTACACCCGCAGGCCAGGATACAGCTACTCAGAGCAGATACATGTGGATGGTGGGTATTTCTGTGCCTGTGTGAGTGTGTGTCATAGCTTTGGTGTGTGTGACTGTACGTGGCTTCCTCTCCCCTTCATTTTCTGTTCTGTCCGGATTCATTCCATCAGGCTTTTGTTTACTATGAGATGCATTAGACCTGATCTCAGTACTTCAAAGCAAGAGCTTGGGTTAGTATGTTTACTTCAGGTGTTGGTGACCACGCTTGCTTACTTGCCTCTGAGGTAAAAGGCCATGATACCTCTGGTTACCTACCTTACCAGCTGTAGAGCCACTCAGATAAAACTGACCATGCATTTAGTGAAGATCCTTCATTAGACACTAACCCCGAATTTCCAAAGCATCCGGAACGGCTGCGATTTAGTCGTCCGCCAATTCCTACTGGATGGATTTGTAAGGCAAATTTCGTGGCGGATTACAGACAGCGGGAATCGCTAGAATTCACAAGAACCCGCGGATTCATGTGCAGATGCGCAACAATGAGTTATCTCTATAAAGACAGCTATATAACCATATAAGATGTAGATTGTGTCCTTCCAAAGGAGGAAATTCACTTCTAGAATCAGCATCATCTCATCCATGGTGTCATCGGGGTAAAATGCTGTCTAAAAACCTTTCACTTGTTCGTCCCCGCCTGTTTGCATGGTGTGAAATAAGATCCACCTGAAACACAGAGTTTTTTATTTTGAAAAGAAGCTGGGTGTTTTATTTTGTGTCCGCCCAACTTTCTTTCTAGCACGGATTAAATTTATCCGGCATGCTCCGGCGTCCAGAAAAAATAGAACTCTAGTGATCAGCTGTGGAGTTTGGCGATCTGCAGCAGAACGGAAAGAAGCCGGTGGAAGTTGACATATTAACTTGAATGGTTACGATCTGCTGCGATCGGTGGATACGGCCTTTTTGTAGCCGTTCTGTATGCGGTGGAAATTGGGGGCGAGAATGGTCTATAGAATATACTGGTTGAAAAATAAATTTAACCAGACTTTTCCTATGTGAAAGATCTCAAAGTTTTGGAGCTTACCCATTTGTTTTGGATTTGAATATTTAAGTTGTCCTGAGTCTACTTGAAACCTCTGAGATTTCAGCTATAACTCTCCTGCCTCACATAAGAGTAGATCTTCATACATAAATGTAAAAGTAGTCAGATTTGTTCTTGGCCTTAGCTTGTAAAATATGCAGCTGTCCTGCCTTATGTGTGAACTCTGCCCTGTCCACTTTGGATCAGAACACTCTGGGCTGACTTAACTAAGCTGGTAACCTTCAAAACGTGATAGCCTAGGGGGATGACTCTTACCACAGTGGTAGCCTTGCTTTGTTGTACATCATAATGATCTACCATTAAAAAAAAAACTGTAGAAGGCACTGGTTGATTGAATCCTGAGCTTTTCTGTGCTTCTCTAGCTTGCTTTATTGTATTCTTTAAATTTTCCTTTCACCTCACATAGTCCAGCGAAGTTAGTAAACAATGTTGATAGAGCTAGAATTGTATTTAGTAGTTATTTAGTCTGCATCTTCCAGGAGAGAGTTCAATCTTGACAATGGTAAACTGGCAGTTCTGTTTATTCCTGTTCCTGTAGATGAGGACAGCATCAGCGACTGGTCCACTGACAGCTGTGGGTGGAGTGATGACGACTTTGGGGTTGATTTGGATGTCACCACGCCTCCTCTGAGTATCGACTCAGGTGCTGCAGACACAAACGACCAAGAGATAGTTCGATGCATCTGCGAGGTGGAGGAAGAAAATGATTTCATGATTCAGGTGACATGGGCTATTTTTTATAAAGACTTGTAGTTGATCTTTCTCTGGAAGTACAAGCTCTTTTTTTATTATTGTCTTTGCAACACACACCTGAAACACTCGTTCTCCCCATAGTGTGAAGATTGTTTGTGTTGGCAACATGGCACCTGCATGGGCCTGCTAGAAGACAACGTTCCAGACAAATACACCTGCTACATCTGCAGAGACCCACCAGGTGAGGATGAATCAGTAACACATAGCTGTAAATTACTCACAGCTATCTTTCAGTTTGGTGACATCAAATAGTGTGAGATTGTCTGCTTGGTTTTCATTCTACCGTTGGTATAAGCTGCCTTTGAGCGAATGATAGGACGGAAGGTTTTCCTTCATGAGCTTTAAGCATTACATCATGATGCTGTTTTTGATAGCCCAAAATTTGGCAGTCGCTGTTGTACTCACTGTACTTAAGCTTGATAAAAACATCTTTTTTTTTGTGCCAGATCTCTTCTCAGAGTTATTTGGTAACATGTTATTGCAAATCATTACTCATTCCAGGTCAAAGGCAGAGTCTGCGCTACTGGTATGATCGTGAGTGGTTGAGCAATGGTCACATGTACGGCTTGTCCTTCCTGGAGGAGAACTACTCTCATCAAAATGCCAAGAAGATTACCACCACCCACCAGCTGCTGGGAGATGTCCACCATGTGGTGGAGGTCCTAAATGGACTGCAGCTCAAGATGAGTGTTCTACAGTGAGTATCAAGGAATTGCATGACAAGACTTTAAGAAGATTTCCAACTAACTACTGGAGTTAAAGGGATATTCCGGCGTAAAATTAAGTTGGGGTCAAACACACCATGAGTTAGACACGCCCTTTGAGAGATTAATTTTGCAGACCGCTTGCTTCTGTAGTTATACCAACTTTCGTAATGACCGCATGATAGCAATACACAGCGGTCTCAGGAGCCACATGCTCAACCAAAAAGCCACTTTATAGCCACAAATAATGCTCAGAACAGCACCTAACTTCATCAACAGTACATATAGGGTTCCAGCCATAGAACTAGCCACCAAACATCTTTTTAGCTTAGCCTGATTTCTTTAGCAAAGAGACTAAACACAACTCACCCACTCTCCTCCAGCAGCCACTTGTTAGTGGGGGAGCCCTGATGAGTAAATTGCCGAGTGCAGCGGAGTTTAGCAGCTCAAGGAAGAACATTTATGATCATTACTTCATGGAAATGCAATCAGACCAAGATGCCAAGGCAGAAGAACTACTGCATCTGCAGTGCAAAATGATTATTACTTCATAGAATTGATCTGCTGCGCTCAGTCATCGACTCGTCAGGGCTCCGCCCACGAAAAAGCAGCTAATGGAGGAGAGTTGATAGGTTGTGTTTGGACCCTTTGCTAAAGAAATCAGGCAAAGATAAAAAGATGTTTGGTGGCTAGTTCTATGGCTGGGACCCTATATGTACTGTTGATGAAGTTAGGTGCTGTTCTGAGCATTATTAGTGGCTATAAAGTGGCTTTTTGGTTCAGGTGGAGTTGTAGACCATTGTGTATCGCTATCCGCAGTCGTTACTAAAGTTGATAAAACTAAAGAAGCAAGCAGTCGGCAACATTCCTCTCCCGGGGGGGTGTCTAACCCGGTGTTACGGTGTGTTTGACTCTAACTTGATTTTATGCCGGAATATCCCTTGAATCGAAAAGTGGATCTTTATGAGAAAAGTTGCTGTTTTTGTTGTTGTTGTTGTTGTTGTTGTTCATGTAGACCAACACAGATGTCTCTTGCTCTCCAGGAACAATACTCACCCTGACCTGCAGCTGTGGAGGCAGCCATGGAAGCATTTGGAGAGGTCACGGATCAGCCTAGACTCATGCCGTGGCAGTGACGCAGCTCCGTCTCCTGTTACTCCTGATGAGGACATGAGTCGAGGCGAGATTTTAATGTCTAACGCTCTGGAGAAGCTGAGCAGAGCCGCTACAGCTGCTGCCACCTCTACACCCTGCTCCTCCTCCCCCTTCCCATCCTTCCAGGACTCGTACATTACCAGTGAACATTGCTACCAGAAACCACGGGCATATTACCCTGCCGTGGAGCAGAGACTGGTCGTGGAGACCAGACAGGGCTCTGAGCTGGAGGACAGCATGAGAAGTACAGAAGAACTTTTGGAGAGGGAGCAGCGCTATGGCAGCCTCTTGGAGACAGAGAAGCCCAAATCATCTGGCACCAGTAACAAGGTGAGGTTTTATTCCACAACGGACAAGGACGCCTAAACTTATTTTTTGTGCTACATTTACAAATTTCACATCAAATTATGACCAAAAACTAGATTACGTCCCTGAACTTCGCTGAAGGCAAAATCTTGATGTAATTTTATCAGAAACTTTAATCCAAGTTAGAGAGCCCTGCTTTCACTGCCGTGTGCTACGTTCTTGCCAGAATTGAATCAATTCAAGAACCAAAGTTAGATTAGGTTCTTTGACAGGATTTTCTGAGTCATATCATGAGAGGCAAGTAAGACTCAATTGTTCCGCTCAACATCAGGTCTGTAGCAGTCGAGCGCTGCAGCTGTGGTGTCCCTAATTCTCCTTGACACTTTGCATACAGTGCAGATAATGTCATGTAAGAGAAATAATTGTGTTACAGGATAATGTATCGTCTTCTCAGTGTGTTCACAATTTCCTCAGTTTACTCCCATCATTGCTGGTTAAAAGACGTAGTTGTGTTGCTTTGCGGTCCAGACGCAGGTCTCATATGCTCTTTGATATATATATGTTTTCTTGCTTATGATTTCACCTCTTAACCACCTCAGCACCTGAGTTTTTACCTTTTTTTTAGGAACAACTGCTGCACACTTGGTATTTCAACACCAGTAGTTTAAGGTAGAAATGGTACCACATTACCTTCAAGATAAAAATCCGAAGTGAAAGCCTGGTCAGAGAACTTTGTTTGGAGATAATAAAAAACCTTGTGCTGTGACATTGTCACATTTTTGACACCGAGCTCACGTGTTACTGCATAGTTGATCACTAACTCAAAGTTGTAAGTTGGTGAGAAGTGGCAATCATGATCATAGTTTCTGGAATCAAAACTTGATGCCTGAATGCTTGCCTGAAAAAATCTTTGAAGTTGCTGAATTGCCATGACAACCCCTATATCTGAGCTGCTCGGATGACTCAACGTTTGAAGATTGGTCCTGATGCAGTTATCTTTTGGTTATCTGACATTTGTGCGCATGAATAATGTGCATTATCTTGGTTGGAAGATTTTGTAGAATGAGCTTTGATCCTGTTTTAAATGGGAAAACTTGTCTGATCATTTCAACCTGAATGTCTCTAGGCTTTGATGATTGGGTCTTGGTCCCAGACTGACTCAAGAGAAGATGGTGGAAGAGATCCCGGAGAGGCCGCAGATAACGGCAAACATCAGCAGAGGCAGATCAACCTGCTGGATCACATCGATGCAGTCCAGGATGAGGTCTCACACAGGATGGACTTCATTGAGAGAGAGTTGGATGGTAAGACATGTTGTGCCTTTGGCTTTACCTTAATGGAGGGTTTTGCCCAAATGGATCATTAGATCTTATTTAAAGAGGTAACGATGCCAGCTGAAAATCAGTCATTCGTTGTTCTTAAATGCAAGTTTTGTTAGCAGCTAGGTGTGTAATGTTAGTGCAGAATAGATTTCCTGACAAACTATTGGAACAAAATGTTTTACCAGGTGAAATCAAACAATGCTGGCTTGCAAGTATGGATGATATTTTGAACAAGGGTTCATCCCTAAACCAAAATTGTGTTAGACTCAGTGTGTCCAACCTTCTCTCCTGAAGTTAGGAGTATACATAAGTGCAGACGAGTAAAGGGTTGTTATTCCCCCGTTATGAAAGTGATATATGCTTCTAATAACGTCTTGCACAGTATTTCTGGTTAATATTTCCTTGGAGTGCACCGGTCTGTGCAAATACAAAGTCATTGTGTAGTTATGGACCCATGTCTTTAATGGTGCATTAAATTGGGCAATAGCCTAGAGGTACAGATGGTCTTTAGGATGCTCAATACCTCTCATAAGCTCACCTTTGGTTCTTCTACTCATCCTTTTAAGTGCTGGAGAGCTGGCTGGACTACACTGGGGAGCTTGAACCTCCTGAGCCCCTGGCTCGCCTGCCTCAGCTCAAACATCGCATGAAACGGCTGCTGACACAGCTGGGGAAGGTGCAGCAGATCGCTCTGTACAGCTCCACATGAGGGCGCCAGAGAACAGTAGCAGCCTCAGTCCAATGCAGCAGCAGCATTAAGAGTGCAGCGGAGGAAGCCCACTGGACTTTGGCCGCAAAGATAACGACTCCGATTGTTCATCACGTTTGCTCTGACCTGACATCTGCTGCTGTTGTTAGTCTTTTTTAAAGGTTGTGTGTGGATGAATCCAATGCTGCAGCCAGTTAGTTTCATGTCTGTCAATTACATGAACTCTTCTGGAAGGTCAGCATATTAAATCAGGATAAAACACAAAAAGTAACCTCTCAACGGCAGGAGAAAATCCTTAGGACCAGATTACACTTCTGTGGTTCCCATGCAACTTTAACCTTATGAATGCCTTTTGTATGAAGCTACTGCTAAAGGTGTCCCTGTCTCTCGCAGTACACAGTGCTTTACATGCAGAAGCTTTGTACTCAAACTGCAATTGAGTTCTTGGACCCACACAGGCTCTTTGCAATAGTTCTTAAAAAATGTTTTCATAGAGTTGCAGATTTGTGTTAAAATGTCTCAAAGTTCCAAATTTGTCTCTTGTCATACCATACTGCGTTATAACTCTCACATAGGTGTGGATAGACGGTAACTTGAAGACATCCTATATGTAACGTGACTGCACAACAGTCTCTTCAAACCAATTGTTCTGTTTTTGACATATCCAGCTGTTTGTTTAAAACTGCACTGTGAAGTTATTTTTGTCTGGAGTCAAAGGCATCTTATTTTCAGTTTCAGATAGTGTCAAGTGTGATTTCTGTTTTGTCTTGTATTGCTTCTTTTCTGTACGTTCTCATCAGTATACTGGTTTTATCAGTTCATCTTTATACATCACCACCATATAACCCTTACTTAAACCTACTCTTTGCATTGTTGTTGTAGCACTTGACCTTTTTGCTGAAAACTGTACTGTGGACTTGTTTTTCCCTTAACCTAGATTATTGTACTTTGTAAGTTAAATACTACTTAAAAAAATCTTCAAAATGTATTATTTTTCTCTGTTCTGTTTATTTTTGATTTACTGTATTTTGGTTGTATATATGTTAATCAAAAATGTGCTCATCTTTATTGAAAACATCATTCAAATTCAAATATTGTATGCTTCTGTACTGTAAGTGTCTGGCTTAGAAGCAGGGAAATGTAAAAACAATGCAAACATTTGCTAGTACATAAATAAACTTATTGTTACTCCTCACTATAGTCGTATTCTCGGCTGTTGTCTCATTGTGTGTCTGACATGTTGGTGTTTATAAAAACTCTTATTCTCTTGATGGCTAATGAAGTCAAGCTGTGTCAGTCACAGGTCTTGATGTATTGTTTCTTCTTTGTACTGATCTGTGCTCTTACTCAAAGGGGTGGTCTGGAGGGTGAAGCTTTGAACTTGTGACTCAAGTGTTATAAGAACAAGAAACTGTGCTAAAGGATTTCCCACTGAAACCCTGGTGAGTAAGCATCCAGTCCTGTTTTCTCAAAGGAAACATGACCAGGACCTTGACGCTGGGGAGCTGAAATACAAAGACCGGTGTGATCAAAGGGGACTTTTCTAGGTCAGAAAACATCAAAAACAGATTGCGTGCATACTTCCATGTAATGTGTTTTTAGTAGATAGCCGATTTGTGCGGTTATGTAACCAGATTGAAACACAAAATAGGAAAAACTTGATGGAAATTATAATCGGTTAATCTCCAAAATTTGAGCCAGCGTCATGTGACAGAACTGGGAAAATGATATAATTCACTTGAACAGTGTTAAGCCAACATGTTTCTCGTGATTTTAATCAGAATCAGAATGTCCTTTATTGTCATCATACTAAAAGTACAACGAGATTGGAGAGCTTCTCCTTTTCCAGTGCAATAGACAAGTAAAAATAGGGTAGTAAAAGCACAAATAGTTGAAAGAAAGAAGGTCTATATATATACAAGACAAGAATTCTACAGAACATTAAAATAAAACGTATGTATAGGAATAAAATGGAAAGATAAATACTAAAGAGAATTATCAAAAATAAATATACATATATATATATATATATTAGTCTGTATTTATTGTATATATCTAGTATTTTTAGTATCTTGTGTCTGCATTGTACATACTTCTTATATTTAATTTTATTTTGTGTTTTTTGCTGCTGTAACATGAGAATTTCCCAGTTTGGGATCAATAAAGTCTATCTATCTATCTATCTATCTATCTATCTATCTATCTATCTATCTATCTATGTGTGTGTTAGGATATATGTATATATGTACATTTTTTTATATGTATATGGCCATGTATTGCACAGGTTAAGGATATAATTATCAACACAGCAGCAGTAACATTGGTAATATTGCACCTGTTAAGAGAACCAAACTAGGTTGACAAGCAAGTAAGCGATCAAGCAAAAATCTCGATGTCAAAATTAATCAGTAAATTAAAATTCATCACCAGCAGCTGTCTTGAAGTGCGCAGAATGCCCTATATTTTACCCAAGCAGCTCTGCGAGAATAGAAGTCAGCTACAAACGCTACTCAGTATCCATAGAAGTTTATGTACACAGTAAAGGTCTTCTGTAAGGACATGGAGATTCCCCTTTCCTCTTGGTTCCTGTGTCTGAGTGTCAGAATGCTCTCAGTATTTCAGAGCAGAGTGAGACCTCTCTTCTCCTCGTCCTGTCTCTGCAGTGTTCCGCCTCCTCTCATTGGCTCCTCTCGATGTCTGCGACGCAGCGTGTAGTTCCGCCCAGAGTCACATCGAAATACTAGTTGAGGCAGAGGAAGCGGCAGCAGACAAGGGACGTGTGTATTGTGTACTTCTGTATTCGTTTTACCACAGATTTTTTAGCTAAATAACCTGTTAGGAACTGACTGGAACCGAAGGACACTTATTTTAAGCAAAAAGGTAAGTCTTCCATCCGTGTTTTCGCGGTAGCCTTTTTCTAATTTACCATTTGCAGATGTTCCCCCATGCCACAGGAGATTACCATAGCTCGCTGGATTTCCCAACCTGTTCACGCCGCTGCTGTCCAAATATATCATCGTTTGGTGTCTGTTGTCACCGTGAGAAACGTCAAATAACCGCCGTTGTGTTGAATAAAACACGTTTTTAACACCGAGGGGAGTTAACGCTCCTAATTCAATGAGCGCGAGCTCCGCGGCTCAGTTGGAAAAAACTGCAGCTCCGTCCAATTGACTTCATCTCCTCAACAGTGATGATGCGACATCACGGCTACTTCACACTTTACATCCTATTCTGCCGGCCACTCGGTCGTAGGATTCGTTTGTTTTCTATAATCTTGTACATCGTAACTTAGGTTCTGACTTTTTAATGATAAAATGGGGCCTAATTCGCTGCTTTACAATAGAAACTACCATACAAATGTAACCAAAGAAGTGTTAGCCGAATAGCTCTCAGCTGGATTACATTTGTAAGTGATTCACATACACATGATTTCACCACTCCAATCCCTGTAGGAGTGAGTGCAATACTTAGCACCTACACTAATTGTTGATTACAGTGAAATGTAAGTTGTGGATTTATTGGAGGAGGGTATTCTTATTATTTTAGGTCGAGATTTCAACCAGGAACTCTCAGGGAAAGTCAGCTCTGTGGTTAGTGTGGTGCTGTCTTTAATGGCAAAGTAGATATTACTGAAAGATGCTGCATATTTTCCTCAACCATGTCTGAGTCTAGCAGATCCGTCATAATAAATCAGATCAACCACAATGATCTAGCTTTTAGTGAGTGCTACACCATCCAGACACCACATGATGGATGACAATGTCATGAGTGGCCATGCGAAGGTCACACAGGTGGGAAGTGTTAAAGAATGGGCATCAGGTGTTTCCCCTTACTAAAACAGAAACATATTCACGTAGAGAGGTACAAATAAAAGGACACTGTATTCTTCAATAGTGATAGTAAAAGAGACTATAGAGAACAACAAGAACTCTGAAGTACCTGTAGTGACAGAAGGTTTGAATATACCATGACAGAGAAGGTCATGAAAACCTTTCTGTTATCTCAATAGACACAAAACATTTATGTGAAAGGACTCGTTTTCTCATGCAATAGATATAATTCTCGTCTGTGTCTGAAATGAATCACTCAGTCCCTAACCTCTAACCCCCATATGGGGTTTCACTGTATAGTTGACTATGTAGTGAACTCAATCACCAGAGGTTTCGGACACTACATGGCATGACGCAATGCATGACGGGATGCCCGCCACCACCGGTGAGTGACCATTGGATGGTCACTACATTTTGCAATACTTTATGGGAAATTTTGAGTCGCCTATATAAGGCACTTGAATTGATCACTGAGGTTTCGGACACCCCTTAAAATGGCGCTAACCCCCATGTAGGGGTTAGGGATCCATTTCGGACACAGCCCTAGTCTGTTTTTTTTTTTTTCTCTGTGTTGGGATTAATTCAGGTGTTCTATCTCCCATGATGCCCCCGACTGTGTCACATGATCAAGAAGGCATGAGTAGAGCTTACACAACAAGCAACAGCCTTTGTTGATATTCACAACATTGTTGCTCAAGATCGTTGTCTAGATGGACGTACCAACAGATAAGAAACCATGGGCTGAAAACTTCTTACTGTCTGTTGACCGGTTCAAATGAAAGGGAGCAAGTGGATAGTCGGCCCTCAGAGGTTTATTGCCACAACAGGTTGATTATTACAGGAGAAACCTACTGACTAACTAATAGGAGTGTCCAGAGTTGTTTATTAAGCCACTCCGTCACTCCTGGCTTTTATTTTTAGCCCTCTCTGAATTCTTGAATCATACTTATATAGGTTTAAGTGGCTTATCACAACACTCTGTTACAAAGCTATCAGTGTTGTGTTTTTTTTTCACACTTTTTTCAACATTAGGCATCTGAGGGAGAGAACAAAAGAAGCATTAGGCTACAGAACTGTACTTTTTATTGCTGTTATATACTGTTTGTAAATCACATAATGTACTTTCAGTAAGTCAGCATCAAGAGATGACACCATAAATGCCTTTCAGCAGGGATTACAACATAAACATAATTTATCACAGGGATTACAAAGTGTCTAAAAAGTGAGTCGAGCTCTTGTGTCGAGGAGGATTTCCTACAGGAAAAGAAGGGATGAATGTCAGGGAATAACACTCACTGGAGAGATGGAGACAGTAATTAAGCCACTGTGCTGACAGTCAGTCTGCCTTGTGTTCTCTCTCACCTCAGCATTACTGTCGATTTATTCTGCCAGACCTGCAGGGCAAAACATAACCTGTGCCAGCCATGGTCCGACACTTGTGTTTTCAACAGCACATCTGTGCCACTTTTTTGTTAACTTTTCAGTTTTTTGATACAAAGACTTTAATGTTTTTTGACAAACCACACTAATGTTGGCACCGTATTGAGTCTCTGACCCACCTGGGGCTCTGCTGATGTGTTTTTGTAACTAAACTGCATCTGTAATTTTAGCTGTACTGGGCCTAGAGTTACAGCAAAAGCTTTGCACAGCAGCTTTAGGCTTTCAGGGCAAAAGAGCTGATGCATACACACCTCTGTTCCAGGTTAACGTCTTAAATTTCCCTTGTCTCCTTCTGAACAGCATACCTGTCTCCTCCCTATAAGTCTCCCTGCAGGAACTTATTTTAGGATAGATATACTCTCTTACCTCCAAATAAGAAACCGACCTGGGGACCATGCAATTTTTAGACCCTTAACTGCTGGAATTACCTGCAGGATCACGCCCCTGCTCGGTGGTGGGCTCTGCCTGTCTCTGTTTTCTATATCAGCATCAGCAAGGATATCAGCAGGTGGCAGTGAGGCTAGGCAGAACACAGGTGGGAAGCTTGTTGATCCAAAGTGTTGGAAACGAGCCAAGCTGGACCTCTGGATGCCCTGGACTGTCCTTCAGTGCCGCCACTCATTGAGGGTCAAATAGTTCACATGACTTTTTTTTTCCCTCTTACTGTATAGTTTGATTCGCATAAACCATATATTTCTAATTTTCTCTCATTTTCTTTGAGTTTCCATTTCAGTCTCTTCTTTATTCCTCGAAGTCAGAGAAATTATTCCTTCTGATCCTCGTAATGTCTGCATGGTGCTCATGTGTGCGTGAGAGAGATGGTTAGTGAAGAACGAGGATGTTCCAGCTCCCTACTGAGACCAATCCCATTTAGTCATGGATTTAAATAACAAGTTCAAACTCAAACAAACACTCTTGTAAGCAGCACGTTGCATTTCCAGTGTCTCACAATAGGCCGTGCGCAGCATGAATAATTTTATACTCCACTGGCTTCAATGGTCTGGGGAACATCCAAGAATGTTAAATGCTTTGATGGTAGTTATTGTGAAGGAGTAAACAGCAGATATCATCTGCCCATGTGGTTTGAATATCCCCCCACTCCCCAGGATCCTCCTTGCTAGAAGCATTTCAGAGAGAGACTATGGATAAAGTGTCCAAATCACCAAACCTGAAATTTGACTTGGATGGATTTTGGCTGACTGTCTCTGTGTTTGTGTGGGTGTGGCTTTGCAAGTCGTGACTTGTGGGTGTTGCACGTGTGCTGTTGATGCATATGAGGGGGAGAGATAAGGGTCTGTGCCTTTTGATGCTTATTACTGCATGGAAAGTAAAGGACAATGGCTTTAGCATCCTGGTGAAACCTTCATAGGTTGGTTATGAATTCTACGTTGTTGTGTTGTTTAATGCATTGAAGTGAATGACTTCATGTAAATGATAGTCAAAAGGTCACTCAATTTCAGCAGCGCCACAAGCTGAGCTGAGGATGTCTCAGGGGGAGGGCTCCTGTGGTTGCCAAGGACACCGCCGACCTCCACGGCTAGCACTTGCAAGGAAAGGCGCCAGAGGAGCCACCTCTGTGTTTCTGCGGGAGATTGAGTTGTCAGTAATCAGTCAATGTGACAGGCAAGCTGACCACATGGACAGCACTATTAGCGGAGGCTGTGTTCTTGTGAGGCAACAGGCGTCCATGCACTGATTCATACACTATGAAACACATTCGAGTCAAAGGCCTCAGACGTCTCTGCTGTTTCAGCCTGTAGAGCTCTCATGTGTCGGTGCTGTGTTAATGTTTCATGGAAGTGTGTCTCCTGTTTCGCACCCGAACCCAGCTTGTTGAACAGATCATGTGCGTGCCCGAGTGTTCGGGCTACACAGATGGTCTCACTGCTGCCTCCACAGCTGCCCTTCGGCTGGTCTGTCAGTGGTCTACAGATCCTGCTGAGCTTCCAGCAGAATCAAGCTGGTCCAGAAACTTTTTCTGCTCACATCACCCTGCTTGGACACACACACACACACACACACACTGACACGCACTATGCATCCCTCTTACTTTTTGTCTTCCTCTGTGCTTGTGGGCTCCAATGAGCATGGCAGAGGAAATCCCCTCTAAGAGAGCAGCAGCCGGTGTAGCGTGGTGGAGTAGGGGCAGGTACTCTGTTAGCAGCACTGGGTGCAGGGCTGACACTGGCCATTCACTCTTATTTATTGCCAGATACCAGGAGCAGCTCAGTTAGAAGAGCTGGGTTCACACCTCTCTCTGGCCCGTCACAGTAAATACATCAGGATTCATTTGCCTCTTGGTGAGCCCCGTACTATTAAATTGTTTTTCTCTTTATCCTGTCCTCCCGTCCCTGCCTTCCCAAGACGCGTTTACGCTTGTGAGAATTGATTTATTGATGATGTGTGTCATGTAGCTACAGCTATCTAAAGTGCTGTCTGTATTGCTCTTCTCTTATTAGTCTATTTATCATTGTATGAGAGGATCAGCTGCGGCGGTGCCTTGCAGGTTATTATGTGAAGTCAAGAGAAAGATGAAGAACATCATTCACAAGCTTGAGCGTGGCGTGCAGAAAAGAAATCCACTGTATGCTCGCTGCTATTGTTTAAACCACTTATAACGTGGAATTCAAGTTTATCTTTTCTTTTGTTGTTGCGCTAGATTTTAAAACTTAAAATAATAAAGTGTGTGAGCACAATTGACTACTTTATGAAATCTCTATTTAAGTAAAATGTTGTGCTAATGCATTTGGGTGGTGGGATTCCCCAGAAACACTGCTCATACCGATGTGGTGGTGCTTTGCTTTTGGTAACACCATCTTGATGATTACTTTTAGACCCGTAATACCACATTAATCTGGTTGAAGTAGTGTCTTTGGGTTGTGCCTTTAGTATGTATTCATAACTACTGGAATAACATCCAAAATGTTGATGACTCACTCTGCATTTGGGAGCACGAACCCATTTCTCTCAAATTTGTATTCCATTCATGACTACACCACAATCAAATTACTAGCTTCTGTGAAGGCCAGTGATAGTTTCCTCTATGACAGAAACAGAAATGTTTGAAGTGTCCTCAACCAACACCAGGGTCCTCTGATGATTCTTTAAGGTGAAGTCTACTTTTTTCCCTTGCACACGTCACGGTGACAGCTCACTTTTCTTGTCAACTTACTCTTCTTGCCTGCTGCTTTTTTAATCCTCATAGAAACTTAGATATGAGGTTTATAAAACTTTAATCTGTTTTTATTTCTTACTAAAATAAAAAAGAGTCTACCTCCCATGATGGTAGGATATATTTACTCGAGCTAGGCCTGTCACATAACAAATTTTGCTGGACGATAATTGTGCTACAAATTATCGCCAATAAACGATATTATTGACACCATTTTTTAAATTATAGATAATGATATTATATGGCATAATAATGCGAGTACACCCTGTCAAAAGTGATTAACTTTAATTTCCACACGAGAACAACACTGGTTGTTTTCGTTGACTAAAATATTTCCCTTTTCTCCCACGACGAAGACGTAACGTTGACGAGCTAAACATAAGTCGGAGATGACTCAAATGTGACGAGACGAAAGTGCGTTTACGTTGATGGGACGAGACGAAAATGACAAACAGAGTTGCAAAACTCAGTCAGTTAAACGCTAAACATACAGGAGCAGCTTCAGTCCGCTCTGACAGCTCTCATCAGCCTGCTGTGCTCCTCCAACACACAGACACACATGCGCGCGCGCACACACACACATGGAGTTTTGTGGTTGACGAAAACAAAACTGGTTTAAAGCCGAAATATTCCCACACTTGGGCTGTTGCGTTCGGTTTAGACACCAAAGCTGTCGTGTTCATTCTGTTAGCTTGCTTTTCACTCACGACGCGCACTTGCAGCACTGTATCCAAAAAGTCTGTGTCTGTGTGCCTGTGCGCGCCAGCCCCCTCGTGACAAAGACACTGAATGACTGACAGGAGGGTTCACTAACTCCGTTCATTCCGCTATAGAGCCAACGCCCCCAGGTGCCGAGAACAATGCGCAGAGTAAGACCTCTTCTCTCATCCAGCGTGTTTGGTAGCGAGAGAGGAGGAAAACAAACGCACGTCAATTATCGAGGCTGGCAAAGTTATCGACCTCGTTTTTATTTATCAAGCGATAAGGCGATTTATTGATTATCGCGACAGGCCTAACTCGAGCCAACATTTACCCTTCATTGGCAAGTGGCAGGTGCTAGTTTCATTCCCTAGCTTAGGGTATGCCATACAGGCGATACAGCATAGTATCGCGATATTTTGTCTGGCGATATATCGTATTGTCTCCAGGGCTGTAAAGTCCTCATCGACTGGTTGACTGATTGGTCGATACATGCTTAATTGACCAAAATTCTGATTGGTCGACTTGATTTTTTTCCACGTCCATTTACAGTCTATGGTCAATTGTATCAGGAGGAACGTACCAAATGCTAATGGGGGTATTTTCAGAGGTTTCACAGGTAACAGCCTGTCTGAGAACACCCCCCTTGTTTTCACCATTTTGGATTTGCCTAACCTCCTGCTCCTGGAGACCAGCCGGAGATAGGAAGATTGAAGAGCGTCCGCATTAATCAACGTTCGGTGATAGCCAACCCCATTAGTCGATTTTGGTCCAAAATTGCAGGGTTTTAGTTGACCAAGAATTTCTTTGGTTGATTACAGCCCGAATCATTTCATCGACAAAGGACCGTTTTCAAGTCTATGATTATGAAAAAATTAAAATTCAATTTTTGTCCAGTCAGGTCGGCAAAGGTGACATCATAGGAGAAAGAGGAACAGGAGAAAGTTAGTATGGCAAACATGGCAACACCTGGGGAAGGACATTAGGAATGCTAGTGGTGCACAAACAAAATGGACATGACACATGAGGTTTGCAAGATGTGCCACATGAAAATAAAATAATGAGTTAATAAGACAAACATAAGAAATAAAATATGCAAAGCAACTGAAAAAAGCACCCAAGTATCGGGATAATCATATCATATCATATCTTGCGCCACTAGTGACTCCCACTACTATAATTGATGGTGGTATTGTTGTTGTGCTCCTGGCTAGTGTAACCTCCAGCTAATCAACTGTTGGTCTAACTGTCTAATCTTTAGACATCTATGATAAAAGCGAAAACACACTGACTTCCAAAACTGAGGATGCAGTGATGAGGAAAAGCGCAGGGATCACTTCTTTACTATTAAACCAGACTAAATCAAATGCTTGAGTGACTCTGTGGGACCATTCAGTCCACTGTAATGAGCAGGAGGGAACATGGAAGGAATGACCCACAGCTAAGCAGACACATACAAATTTGAAGCCTGAGGTATCACAGAAATACAAAATGTATAATGGCTACATTCATGTCCTTGTCCACCACAGCCTAAAGTGAATTTCCAGTTTACCGGTGTGAGACAGCATTTCACCAGTGGAAAATAAGGGTGTTGGTTTCTAGGTTTGTATTAATGCAGTAAATTTATCCTGGCACCAGAAGTTATGACGAATAGTTTCAGAAACCGTAGTGCTGTACGTGTCCTCAGAGACTCCTGGTCATGGGAGAGGCGAAGCATGCTGATGATGTCAATAGATGTGTAACTGTAAATCAATACAACCAGATTCTGCTCTCCAATCTCATAAGACCATTAGCAGATAAAGTGGCCCCTCTAGGAATAATGTAATTCTTTAAAAGCCTGGAGAGAGTAATGAGAGGGGTCCTGCTCTCACTGGACCAGCAGGATAACAGATTTGTCTTTAATGTAAGTCTTATTTGAGGGTCTTTTAGTCGTGTCTGTTTACACACGTGTTTACCAAGACATCTAATTACAAATAAGAGAGGTTGTCCCTCATCTCGTGTGAGGAAAGAGGTCAGGTTTTATGTGAGTTAGCAGGGGCTCCCCTTTTTGGCAGGCAGTGTAGTACGGTGGCTCTCATGTGCCAATGAATATCTTTGCTTATGAACCAGGCGTTTCTTCCCCAGCACCCAAACCCATACACTGAATAATGCAGGTGATGAATAATGAGTGAATGAGGGTTCAAAAAAAAGGGGGGAATTGTGTGGCTCATTAAACAGATGTTCAGAGAAGGAGCGCACTGGTTGGATAGATAGGTTGACTTAGGACACAAGGTCATGACTCTCCTCCCACACACAAGTGCCATCGGTGTGGGTGTGTGTGGGGGGTGGGTTTGTGTGTGTGTATTATATCTAATCCCCCATCTTAGTACAACCTCTACAACATTTTTATCACTTGCATTTGAGTTATAGCTTGCCAGAGGCTCAGGATATTAAATGTAATAGTGACTGAGCGAGCCTGCCTTCAGATTTGGTTTTCCAAAGGGGGGATGAGTCAATTATAGTAATGCAGTATTTAGCATTTATTAGACCTTTTTAGTTCTGCAAGGATCAAACAAGGATGTGGGTATTTCAGGGGGAAGATTTGTTTCTCATAATAGCTGTCCTAAAATAGCCTCCCTGTCACATAGAGTTGCGCACTGTATCCTTGTTTCTTTTGTCTTTTAAAGATATCTTCACTTTGACATCTATTCTGCGATTGTCTGCATGAATTTCTGCGTGTCAACCGTTATATTATCTCATGAATAAGCAGAATCATCGTGTCTCAAAGCTTGCCTAACCAGATGCGTTTGATAAACCAGAGGTGGGTGATATTTCACATTTTGAGGCAGTGTTTTTTGATTTGGAAAAAAAGAAAAAGTCTTATTTGATCGAGTCGTGATGGATAAAGAAATCACAAAGATGTCTCATGATCTTATTGTTATGAGAACAAAAGGAAAAGATCTGTCAGCTTGTACAAGGAGAATCATATGAGCTGTGAGCAGGATGATGGAGCCTCAGGAGAGCAAGCTGTCAGTTAATTAAGAACATGAAGCAGGGGTGAATGGGAGTTTGTGCGGGTCTGCATGCTGGTATGTGTTTGCTGGCTGTATCAGCAGAGAATGATAGGTGCAATAGGTCAGCCTTTACATGACTGAGGACAAACTCCAGATCAAATGTCCTCTCTTGTCTCTACTCTTTTTTTTTTTTTACCACCTGGGTTGTTATTGACATGAGGTGAAGAGAAAGAGGGAGGGGGTAAAGGAAACATGAAGTGAATGTAATTCAATTTCTAATTTTCTTTCCAAAAGTCTCAGGTAAGAGCAACAATCTGAAAATGAGCCTTGTCACATTCCATTAGCCTCACTTCATCAGGATTGCTACTTCTACAGAATGAGAGCTGTGAGCACAGGATTGGCCTGCTTATGAAAAGCTGAAAGAAACTTCTAGTACCCTTCTCCTGGATGAAACAGTTTTCCATTCAACAGCCGTTGCATCATCGTAGTGGTGACTGTGCAGGAACAGGAACAATTTACGTCTGTTGATGTCCCTAACAGCACAACACGCTCGCGCACAAAGAAGAGCCGCCATGCAAGTTAGGATGAGGGGTGATCTGGAATTTGTGTTGGCCTATTTTCTATTGTGATGTGACGCCTGACTGAAGGCTGAGGCTAGAGGATAGAGACACTTGTGTTCATCTGTGAGTGGAGCTGTCATTAAAATATAACATTATTATAATGTAATTTAGCAGTCGCTTTTGTCCAAAGCAAAGTACATTTGAGAGTTAGTACGACGCAAGCAAAGAAATCATAAAGTTATTTGTATTTTACAAAGAGCCACAGCAAGGTTACTGCATTTCCTCGTGCTGGAGACAATTTTTTTCAGTGGTTGTTTCCCCAAATCTAATGAATGGAGCCTCTCAGTATGTGTCCTGCTAAGGCTTTGAAAACTCCACTGTGCAACAAGAGCTGACAGATGGATAAAGAGTGCAAAAATAAATGATAATTTTCTTCATTAGTGCACAGTTACTCTAGAGGGGTTTTTCTGAAGTTGAAGAAAAATTGGAAACAGATGCAGATCCCTGTCAAATCTCTTGATACCTCAGTTTATGACAGTAGTGAAAATTCAAATGTCACTTAAGCTTAAACTCTTAACTCAGAAAAGATAAAAGGTCTTGTGAAATATCAAAAGAAACCTACTGTGATAACTTGGTAAACATCAAAGTCCCGCTATTTCATCAAAAACTGCAAAAAGATGACGTTCAATTTTTCAAAATTAGAAAACTCAAAATGTTTATTTTTATTTTTATTTTTTTTTATTTTTTTTTTGAAACACTGGAAAAATTGCTCAGTGCCAAAAGAAAACACTTTTGGGATATCTCACAATTACTGTCTTAGGTTTGCCAGCATTTCTGGGAAGGGGTTGCAAAAACTCTGGACCGATTTCAAGCAAGAAATCCCATTGGATTTGCTTTAAAACATTCAAACAAATTTCAGTTTGAGTAATAAAAAATGAGATGTTTTTGTTAACACATCGGTGAATCTGTTGGATAGAGGTTAATTAGTTGAACTTACATAGAAACACTGAAAACAGGTCATGTGTCTCGACGTTGACACCGATTTTAGGCCATATTTTGATCTCACTTTCACATTTGTGTAAGAGTCTCTAGAGGTTGACTTCATTCAACATCCAGCTGCCTTACACTGTTCTTCACTTCTTTAACATCTTGGCTGTGAATCATATTGACTTCAGAAGGTGTCAATGTGTGGCCCGGTTGGGATTTCTGCCTTTTATTACCATGGCAATATATCTGACGGACTGGCTGAGTCAGGGTCTCCAAAGAGACTCTTAAGGTAGGTTAATGTGAGGTCAACACAGTGGCATTCACTTGGGTCCACCTATAGCTAAGAGGTCAGACCTGAAGCATGGCCATGATATGAATGACGATAACGCTGAAGAAACCTTAAGTCTTGGTTGCTATAGCAATAACAACGAAAAAAGCCCAATTAAAGGGGCTAAAAGGAGGGTCACCATCACAGCTGGGCTCCCAGCTGTTCATCATGCAGCCTGGCTGGAGTAGACATCCTTGACGGCCCCACAATGTGATGAAGAAGGGTAGAGACATGAAAAGAGAGTGCATTGACTGGAGGAGGAGGAGGAGGATGTGGGGAAAGGCGTTGGGGTTGTGTTCATCGATCGGTCTGCTGATATGGCAGCTACAGGACTCCTTTATGTTGGCAGGGACACCCTATGAACATAGTGGTGTTTTGGCACTGAAATGCAAATCTGAATTGTGCACTGTAGTGTTGAATTAAAGGCTTGTCCTCTTTCTTCTTAAAGGTAGGATGATGCATATGAGATGCGCGACAGTGTTTGCCAACAGGAGAGAATAAAAGGATAATTACTAAATAAGTTATTCATCAATTTAACCGACAGCTTTCAACATGCCTTTGCTTTTCTTTTATTAAGTAATCGTGTCGGCATTGAAAACTCCCCTGCCTCTCAGGGAAAGCACTGACACTAAGCAATCCTGAAAGCTGACCTTTGCTGCACAGAAAAGGCCTCGTGTGGTTTTTCACTGACACCATTTGTTTCTGCTGTCATTCGTTCGCCTCACACGGCCCTCTTTTCCCTCGCCGCATGACATGATATTCAGCACTGATATGAGACTCAGTTGGAGTCTACATCCCCCTTAGAGAGACGTACCTGAGGAATAGATAAGGGAAATCATGTGTGAGAGCCAGCACATAATGCGCTTGTTGCTCATCTGGTACTAACAGAGCTGAATAGAACAGATTCTGATGTTAGAGACCATTTGGGAGATCAATCCAGTGTAGATGAAAGTCTTCCTGTCAAGGCCAAAGGGACACATTCTACATCATCAGCTCCATCATCAGTCCGTCCCTCATTCTCTTCCACGTCAACGACATGGTGTGAATACGGGATCAAGACCACAATCCTCACTGATTGCATATAGAATTTCCCTCCTGTCATCTGGGACCACTTGTGCGGCGTTTCTGCTCCAATTACACTAAGCTTTGCTGTCAAGTCTACTGATCCAACATGGCTCTTTGAGTCTCCATGATTGGCTTGTGGTAAATGTTGTTGAATGTCTTCCTATTTCTACCACCATCTCTTCCCCATGTCTACTTTCCTCATTTCTGTCTCTTGGGGATAGCCCAGTTTAAAATAAACACTAGCAACCAGCTTCGTCTCTATGGCAACAGCTGCACATTCTGAATGGTAGAGCAGTCACAGAGATGCTGGGAAAGGCTAGGAATGGTAGTAGATGTTCGTGAAGAGACCCGCTGTTCTCTCAGGGGTTTGATAAAAGATTACAGGTCTGTAGGAATCCACTTTCTTTCCAGTGACTGCAGGATGATTGAGGGGGAATGACAGGAGTAAGTTGACTTGGTTATCAAGCAAAAGGGGTCAGTGGGGTTGGGCTATGAGAGCCCCCCAGTCAGATTTCTAGTTGTTTTAAGCTCAGCCTGACCCCGTCTCTCTTAACACCTCGATTACCCGGCTAGCCGACTACAATTAAAGCAGCTTTTACTTCCCTCCAACTTTCTGTGACAGCCTGAGGAAGTGTTGGATTGATCCGGCCAATACGGTCAAGCATGCAGAGTATTTGTTTTTCTTTTCTCCTTCTCACTTGTCTAAATATTATTTAGTTCCACCACTGAGCCGGATTTGTCAGCAGGGATTTGATCGGGCATGTTTTCACTCCCCATGCTGATGGCTTAGTACTTCCAACACTCGATGTTGCCGCATTTTTTTTCTGACTGTTTTATGTAATTTGAGGATTGAGCTCAGTTGTTCCCATCTGCCTCCCTGCCTGTTTCCGAGCAAGATTCAATCTGTTGCCAAAGTAGGCTGACCTTTGACCTGGTTCATGCGTCATTAGACAGCTGTCTGTTCAAACCTATGTCAGGCCATCAGAGGATGAACTGCTGGTAACACAGCAGTTCATCCTTTTGAATGACCTCAAATTTACACGTACTTCCTGCTTTGTTTTCTGCGAACATCATGGCCAGCTAGCCCTGAGGGTCATACCAGCATCTCAAGGTCGTTTCAAAGGACCACTTTGACTCAGAGAGTGAAGCTGCTGCCTCCCCACTCTGCTTGTCTCTTGTCAGATTGGGTTAACTCCAGCCTCTTTTTTTTAGTTGTTAGCATTATGCGCATCTCTTCCATGATAAATGCTATCTTGCAGGTAGGGTTGGCTTTGTCTATCCATCGTAAGCACTGACCTAGAAGAGACAGAGGCACCATCTGCTGTTATGTGCAACATGAGCCACTCTGGGCAGAGCCAGGTAATTCAATACCACTTCCTGTCCTCTCACCTTGTGCAAACAGGCAAGGCCCAAGATGTACCATTCATAGTCAAACTGCGGGGGTGGAGGCGATTTGTTTTGTAATTATGTGCAGGGACAAACGCACCGCTTCAAGGAGAAAACAAACGAGGTGGGCTTTAGAGCTTCTTGCTAAACCTGACCTGATTCCGCATATGTGTGCAGACTACACGCACGTTTGCCTACCATCTGTGTGGACTACTAAGTGTGACCTTTCCCTGAGAATATATGAGGAATTTGCCCCCTATTGTTCGCAGCTCTTGTGTCATCATTTGCATTCCAATATGAAGTCAGAAAGACATTGCACTGGCGTGTATGAAGAGGAGTTGTGTGTGTGTGTGTGTGTGTGTGTGTGTGTGTGTGTGTGTGTGTGTGTGTGTGTGAGTGTGAGTGTGAGTGTGTGTGTGTGGGAGGGGGGGTCTTCACCAGCGTCACCGCCGTGGTCCTAAATCCCTCATGCTTGTATCAGTTTATCAATCAATCAGTTGATCAGTTGTTTTCGCTACTAGATGCAGAGTTACAAAACACTTAGGGCTTCTCGATTGAATATTGTGATCATGTTAATCTCAGTTTTGCGACATTATGAGTTAATAACTGGGATTTTAAGGTATTTTCCAGTCAAAGCAGGAACCCTGACTATGTCACCCTGGACTTTGGGAAACTGTCCCTCCCATTTTTTCATCGTATTCTGAGATTTAGTTGTCTAAACTAGAAGACGCTTAGGGTCATTGTCCTCTACCCACCTGCACCTCGGATTTAACTCCTGAATACTAACAGTCTATAACAAACAGCGGATGATACAGACCACAGCCCTATTTGAACCATTAATACCCTCTGGTTCCCACAGATCCTGAGACACTGTTGTTGCAAAATCCTACACGTCTGTTTTGGTCACAATATAGTAGGGATGGGCAATAAATTATTGTTCACAATGAATCGTCAGAAAAATCCTCCATGATAAATCTTTGCCATCTCATGATCAATACGATAAATGCATATTGATGACATAAGCGTGAACAACGGACTCACAGCCATAGCTTATATAGAGCAGAATAACAAACAAACATGGCTGAAGGTAATGAAGAAGACGTTTCTGAGCAGCTTGTTACTGAACGAGGCTCCACATGAGGGATTTCCTTCAAGATTGGGGTTTAGTAGCCTGGCTGGGCCATCCTGTTGCGTGAATCACTTGCTGTTCCTTCACACAACAGTCGGCAGAAATCGTTTATATCCGACGTTTTCTGCAGATCTAAAAGATTTCTGCAGACTTTGCAAAGTCAACTGCAGAATTAACAGCGTTCTGAATGAACGGCGCTTTGAAAAGTCCCGTAGCATGTGTTAGACGTCACCATCTACACATGGACCAATCAGGGGCTGCCTTTCCCTGTTGTCCGGGTAACAGTGGAAACACAGTCACTGATTGGCCTGGTTATTTTCTGATTGCTAATACACGCTCCCAATTGGCCAAAGTCCAGACTGTTGTGTGAAAGAACGGCAAGTGATTCATGCAACAGGATGGCCCAGCCAGGCTAGGGGTTTAGATGAGTGAAATCACCTGACATTGGACAGTGGATCTGCTGCTGTTCACTCATTGAAAATGTTTTCACATTTGAGACTTGTCTGATGTCATTAGTTTTCTCCATAACCTACCACTTCAACTTGTGGTTCAGTATCTGATTTGACCACTCCAACTGGTGTTCTCAAGACAAAATGAGTCAAAAAATAGGTTGGAATTATAAATATTTTTATTGGGACTTTTATCGTTATCGCCGAAATGGCAAATCTTATCGTGATAATTTTTTTTAGTCTATATCGCCGACCCCTTCTGCTCCCCAGTTATCTCAGAAACTCCTCAATTCTTTCTTTGGTCCATTGAGTTTTGTTCTCCTTGGTTCATAAAGGTGTCCTCTTGTGTCTGCACCAAAGCCACTTGGAGAGACTCTTTTTTTGTTTGTTTGTTTGTGTTTTAATGTCTTCCAACGCCTGAAGACCCAAACAGCTGATCAATGTGCTGCAGGAGGTTAGAACATGCAAGTGTTGTGTCAGACACCAGTTTCAAATATGGATGGGCTTTCTTACAGCGCTAACACATTTCCAGACTGAGCAAACTCTTAAATACAGACCAGTGCTTTTGTTGGAGTCTGTTCAGATGAGTGAAAATACATGATGTAGCTGTTTTCCTCAACGAGCAGGTCCAACAGACCAACACCCTCTGAGGCTGATACAAGTGCTGCTGAAAAGTACCTCATAAAAGCTCACTTGTGAAAAACGAAGCTAGCCCTTTAAGTCTTTGGTTTCAGGCTTGAGGAAGAGTCAGCTTATATAAGCACACGATAAACTAAATCATAAAAAGAATCGTTTTAATAATCGATGATAAAAAAATATATACAATGGCGTCAAACAAGATGGTGGATTCATTCTTGACACTTTTGGTTTGTAGTTGAGATTTTTCTTAAAAAAAAACAGAAACAGCTTCATCTCACTTTCCTCGGATGAACTCACTTCAATGATTCTTGACATTATTGCTGTTTATGCACAGTGCTTTCACAGTGTTCTCTCTTCCTTCTTTAACAGCGGATGTTTTTTTTCTCTCTCTCTCTCCTCAGACAAGGTTGTTTACAGTAACGAGACAAGAAGATGGATGAGTTGCAGGATGTACAGTTGACTGAGATCAAGCCGCTGCTGACCAATAAGGTGAGTTTTAGGAAGGACAGTCGAGTGACCGGCTGCTGGGTAACAGGCACAGAAGTGTGCACCTGAAATAACACGAAGAACCACTCAATGAAATGAAACAGACACCTTAAAGTGAATGAATGATCACCCTATATGATCTCACTAGGCAAATACATACGCTAATACAGCAGGCATGCAGACTCCGCAGTCCCTCTCATCAAAGTGAATTATTCATATCTGCTCGACTGTTGAGAGGAGAAAGAAAAGAGGGGCAAGAGCAAGTCAAGAGAAAAAAAAGAGGGTTGTAGACGGAATGAGGCAAGAGAAGAAAAATGTGGGGTGGATAATATAAGAAATCCAGAGAGTTAGTAAAAGTGTTGAGCATACAGGGAGGAAAGATCAAAGGAGACGCTGGAAGAAACTCATCTCTTTATTTTCACGAGCTTGAAAGAATTCACCCAGAGAGAGAGATGGCAGAAACGGAGAGAAAACAGTGCAGAGGAGAAAAACCCAGGAGCAGATCAAAGCTTCTCCGCATCCTCTGCCTCCTCCTTGTCCTCCTCATCTCCTGCCCAGCCCCATCTCCAAAGCTGATTAGCCACTAATAATTACTTTGTTCTGTGGATTCATGGGAGTGTTTGTTTCCTCTCAAAGGCAACTGTCACAGATAGACAGACAGACAGACAGACAGACAGACAGGAGGGTACAGTGCCTCAGAGGAAGAGTGAGTAATGATGAATCAGGTCTGAGGGGAGGGGAAGCCGAGGAGATTGTGTTGCTACAGTGTTGGTCTGAAGAATCAGAAGGAGCATTTTCCTCCTTGTTGACTCTTTGTTGCATCACATACAGGTTTTGTGTTTGGATAGGGTAAATAATATAGTTAGAAGTATCTTTAAATTATTTGAATGAAGGATGCTGGGAGTGAGCTCTCATGCCCCCTAGTGGTTAGCTTAGTCGACAAAGCAGGAGTCTTCAAGCACATGCAGACACTGACATGATAAACAGTGATGATGATAAAGGCCCATCAGATCCTGTTTAGAGATAATTATACTATGTAATGACTTTCATACAGATAATAAACTTATCAGTGATGCAGTCAGGTTGATGCGGGTGAACAGCACTGGATGCAGCAGCAGTACAAAACCTTTGGGAACCTGTTGAATGGCCTTAAACAAAGATAATCGTGCACAGGATTATATTTGATTCTAATATCAAACATGTTTAAAAAAGCTGTTTTTTTTAAACTCTTCATCAAGTGAAAGAGATAGCTTAACAATAAATGAAACATGTTGAAGTTGTAGTGTGTGAGCTGCACTAGAACTTCATCGTACTTAAAGAGGACTGGTACAGTCTGTGGAAAGACACATTGTCCTGTGATTTGTGCTTCTCTGCTATTTTAGTAAAACAATAGGAGAGCACTGAAGGCATTGTCTTTCTCTACACCCATATGCACCCTACTGGTCTGGACTTCAACTGTGTCCCAGCTGACTCTTCTCTGTTGTTGCTGCCCACCCTCATTTCACTGCCTGTTTGTTCTGGAGCTTCCTGCTGTCTGAAACAACAAAACAAAACAGACCAACACAGGCTGTGGGACCGTTTCATGGGAAAACCGCCGCTTTTGCTGCTATTATGTAGTGTGATACTGAAAACCATTTAGGTCTCTACAATTAATCCCAATATCATAGTCATTGTTGTAGCATGCCCAGTAACGAAATCATAAAGATTGATTTAATCGAGGAAATGTGCACATGATATAGGTTCACTCTCGACTCAAACCTCTCCCAACATCATCAAATTCACAGCTTTAATAGAAACAGTTTTTGACTTCTCATATATGGATGCCGTCTGTGTGAGCCTTTTGTATATTTCAGCTGTTCTCTTTTCTCTGTTTTGCAGAATGCACGCAACTTTCAGGATTTCGACTGCCAGGTGAGTAATTCTCTCAGCTGCTCTAAGCACTGTGCTGGTGAGAGAAGATGCTCATATGTTACAGTGAAAGGGAATTGGGGTTTTGGGACATGGCCCCAATCTCACATCCCTAGCGCTGAACCCATTTGTTTTCTTGCCCTACATCACAGGCAACAACAAGTTTTGCCACAAACCATGCATACGGGATGTAGATGAATCAATGAGACGCTTACACATGTTCTGTATTTACTAAGGTGACCGCTTTTTATCCAAGTGTGTTTGTAAGGTGTTTATTTTGCAAAAAGGACAAAGGTCTTTTTACAAATACAGTGTGTAAACAGTGTATGTTTGAGCTCATGTAATTGTAGCAATGACAAAGTGACAAAGCAAATAATCACAACAGCATTAGATTATACAACTCAGAGCACTGAAGGAGGTTGGAAAAGATTATATATTTGTAATGAAAATATGAAATCTGATCTTGTCATTGCTCACCATTTAGGTTGATTACAGCTCAGTTACACACGTTGGTCCCAGGTTTTCCTTGTCTTCAGTAGACGAGTATTTGCTGTGGATGATTTACTCTACAAAGAATGATTTTATTTACCCTATCTTGTGCATGGTTTGAGTCACTTTTACACCAAAGGCCTGCTGATGGTGTTTGAAAATCATTTGTGCTGATAATTCCTCAAGTTTGAAATCAATTCAGAGACTTAAAGACATAGTTCAGGTTAATTGTGTGTCTGTTTGATTTTTAGATTAAGTGGGGTTGTACAAGATACTCGGCAAAGGTAAAACATTGGTGAGCCTGAGAACTGGAATCAAAGCTAAGCTACCAACCACTACAGACGGGGCCAGACAATAAAGCTAATATTAAAAAGCTTAAACAAAAACTACTCCACTTGGTGTTGAGCACTGGTCCATCAATCTCTGATGTTTGCCACCTGATGCTGAGCTGATAGTGACACAGAAGATCAGCTCATAGCCTATACATAGGGCTGATATCAGGTTGTTTTAATTTTCATTTGACGAAAAACAAAAACTTCATAAGACTAAAGAATGAGAAACCAACTTTAGAAAAAATGCAAGGTAAATAGCTGGGTAAATAAAACAAACCCACAGCCTGATACATGCGGTTATTCTGGCCAGTTATTCTTTTTGCTAGATTTTTAATAAATTCATAGCATAGAAAATACACATGATCATCCTTAAGATTTCAAGCATCTATCAGCAGTAATCAGCCTGTTCAAGTGGTTTGTTATTCAGTCGGTCTGTCTCTGGTGTTGAGTGCCCACTCTGTTTGTAAATTTGTCCATGCCTTATAGGGGTGGGAATCACTAGTTGCCCCACGATACGATATTATCACGATACTTGGGCCACGATTTGAAATTACTGCGACTTTAAACAGTATTTAACAGTATTTTATTTTCATGTAGCACTTCTTGAAAACCTCATATGTCATGTCCAATTTATTTTTCCATTTTTATATACTTGACTCCATATAAGCTGTTAATTTGAAAAAAATCGATACTTGGTGGATGAGATGATATGATATATCCCCAGACAAAATATCGTGATACGATGCAGAATCGACCTTTTTCCCACCACTAATGCCTTACTTTATTGGCATAAGCCCATTCATTCCTTTTGCGTATTTCTTAGAAACTATGCATTGTGTTTTAACCAACTATTTGCCCATGATTTACCAGTAACTGATTTATTGTGAGATTTATTGTCATCCCATCCCAGTTTAAACACCAAATGACAAAGATTTCCTGGTGGGCACAGCAATGGCTGCAGACAGTTTTCCCATGTTTTGATCAAGTAAATATGCTGTACAGATAATGGGTTATGTCATTGTGCAGTAAAAAAACAAACAATAAGAGCTGAACACCATACTTTTATTCTGTTAGTGTGGTATTCTGATTTCACGCCTGGATATAACAGAAGGTTGGTATTAAACAACAGTGTTCAGTCAGACAGGGGGCTCCGGTTCAAGAGCATTAGTTTTCTTGTTTCATGGGCATGGTCTCGGGTAATTTAAATTTCTCTTGATCTCCAGGTTTTGGTTGTATTTTTGTCTGTTTTGAGACCTCCAGTCTCAAACAATGTCTTAGTGTGTCGCAGGTGAGAATCTGTGTTGTTTGCAAATAATGCAGAAGTGAATGGGCTTTCTGATGGCAACATAAAACATCACATTTGCAAGATGGACCAAGATGAGTGCATATGTTGGAGTCTCTAAATGAGGTGGTGGTCCCGACTGTATCTGCAGAAAACTGTAGCCCAGCTTGCATGTGGTTCACCCACAGTTTTGATTTTGAGAGCAGAGCTAGCTGGTAGTCAGTGTGTCTTATACACGTACTAGTGTCATATAGCCTTTTATAACCTTTATCAGCAGTCTAATTTGACCATCTACTCTCTCCCAAAAAAGTGAGCGAAAAAAAAGAGAGCAAAAGACGAAACCTCATTTTTAGGAGTGGAAATTTCTTCATTTTTTTCTCGGCTTTTTAACCACCTCACCATGTTTCATGCGGTATCAGGTGTTATGTTTTCTGGTCATGGTGTAGATTTAATTCCTGCGATATGAGGAGGTGCTTTTCTTTGCAGGAGAAATGTCAGAGAGGGACCTTCATTAGAAGTGTTGACATTGTTATAGGTGTCTGAACCAGCATCTCCACAGTGGAATGTTTGTGCTTGTCCTTTTCACAGTAAAGATCTCAGCCATAGCCGAGTCTTTTTAATGTGGTAATGTAGAAATAATGATCATTACGTAAGAGGGGGTATTGTCCCTGAGCGGGCACTGTTCCAGATACTTGCCTTTGATGGTGTTACTCAAAAAAGGGGATAGCTGCCCTTCGCAGCTGTACTGTGCAATTAGTATTTTCTTTTAAGGATTCTCTCACATGAGGGAGGATTTCCCACAGGCAAGCACTCAGCTCTTTTTCATGAGCATCGTGGCTGCAAAGGGTTAAACCTTTCATCCCTCTCTCACTTCTGCAGTCACGCCGGCTCCCAGCATCCCACCCTTGCTAAATATAGCTGCTGCAGGCAGGGGAGGAGAGTAAAGCATGTAAAGCTGGAGCGAGCATGCTACATCCTCCCCAGCGTCCATTCTTGTCTGCATCTTGTTGCAGTAGTACCTTAACAACTATCAAATACTGCACTCATTTGGTTTTTTAATCTACCTTTTCCTGTTCATCCTCTTGAGAAGCAAGAATTTCCTGCTTTATGAGAGGATGAAAAAATACGCTAGTATCAGTGGTATTGGGACATATTTGACCTTATATAGATGGCAGCCATTTTGACCTCACAGACAGACTGACTCTTTGAACCCTTTCTTGAGAGTTTTTCATAAATTGAATTCTTTTTAACAATAAAGTGAGAACTTTGGATTTATTTTGAACTCTAAAAGGAGAAAAAGTTCAGGTGTAGCCGTTAACTCTACCATGCTTGACACAGTTTAGCTGCTCCTGTGTTGTACATGCTAGTTCACTGCGGGGCTGTAATGGTTTCCTAAGACTCCAGAACAGAGCACTTCTTACGTTTAAGTAAAACCCCTGCTTTTTCCATGACGGGTGAACCTGTGGAGTGAACTTCTGTGGTCACAAATCCAATGACTCATCAGTTGTTGCACAGGGGTACTGGCAGCTTTAAAGACATTGTGCTCTTGGGTTCATTAGGGTAGCAATGTCATGAAAATGGGGGTTAGCTGCAATATTGAGCCAAAGCTTTAATAACAAAAAATAGATATAGGTGTTGTTGTTTTTTTTCCACAGCAGAGAGAAAATATGAAATCACAGGAATGTATTGCGGTTTAATCAATAATTTATGCGTGCAACTACAGAGAAAGACTGAGCCTGTTAGGACATCTGTTTTATGGAACAAGATGTATAATTTATTTTTTAGACTACCGCTCTTACATACTGTAGATTTACACTACAATAAAAATGGGTTTACGTGCAGTACAAGGCATTATAGCAGACTTCCCATGAATACAGTCTGTGAGTGGGGGAGGGGTCCTCGCCGCTCGCTGCACCATCACTCTGAACAGCCAGTGTGACATTCCAGCAGCTGGAGGACAAATCCAGCTGCTCTCCTCTTTGTTTCTCCGCTACCAAAGCTCCTACCACAGGCGGCTTAGAGGTACTGCAGCAGTCCATGTTATGCACCTGTATGTGGGGCAGCGCCGGTGAATGATGCTGGCGGTGAGCGAGGAGAACCAAGACGTTATGGTGCTGCATTTTTGTTTCCCTTATGATGTCTTGCTTACACCTCTGTGAAATAAGGATAGGAGGAAGGTGTGAGTCAGCCTCCTCCACCCATGGGACCTCCTGTGTGTACTTAAGAACGCCGAGTTTCTTTCTGGGCATGGAAAACAGCTGACTGTACACTTTAAAAATAGAACATCTCAGGGTGTTAGCTGTGAGGAGAGGAGAAAAAAGAGAGAGTTTCCACTGACTTGGACTGCTTGTGATGCTTTCTGTAATGTGTCCATTTTTTACCATATATTTTAATCTTTTTTTACTGTTTAAATAGATTTTTCTGTGTATTGTCTGATCATAATTTCTCATTTAGTTATCACCTTGTTTATTTTGTCTACTTAAAGGGACATCCATTTTCATGCGAGTAAAACTACAACACAAAGACCACTAGAGACCTGTCTTATTTATTGTTAGTTACACACAAATAGCTGCTCAAGTCTTTCCTTTGGCTGTTTAAACCTTCCTTGTCTCAATTAGGACAGCAGAGGGCGCCATAAGCCCATTCACTGCGTGAAAACTCTACTGTATTTTGTGGAGCGTTTCAGTGCACAATGCTTCTCTTGTTATTAGTCACGGGTCAAAAATGCTCTAAAAGTAGACTTAGAGGAACACATGTTGCTCAATTATGGAATAAAACCGGAAAACCGTGTCATATGGTGAATTACCTCATACTAAATGGTTTTTAGATTTGAGCATTTTTACATCAGCAGCTTCAGATAAACACCTTGGACTTTGTCTGCTGATAAGGACTCTGTATCAATTAGTAAAGCTATGCAATGACACCATCACTCTGTGCCTATACGACTGCTCAGACTGCAGAGTCCTGCTGAGAGGCACAGTGACTCAGTGTATATTGCAGAGTCTCCTGTTCTGAAGAGGAAACATTGTCTCACACACACACACACACACACACACACACACACACACACACACACACACACACACACACACACACACACACACACACACACACAATGTTAATAACATGCTCTCAATAGTCAGACATGAATAATTGAACACCATACTTTACAACAAGTCATGTTCTTCTCACCACTTGTGTTCTTTGTCACAGATCTGTGGGTCTACATTGTAGGGTTGAGATTTTCTAATCTGCATTATGTTAATCTTCCATTCTGTATTTCTGTATTTCAAGTGTTTGTATCTCCAAATGTGTTAGTGGCACCATCTGTGGGTAAATAAAGCAAACATGTAGAGGAGAAAGAGCAGTTCTCAACCAAATATGCTGCAACATCGACAGACCAATGAAGCTCTCTGTCGAATTGTTGTCCCACCCACTCTTCTTGTTAGGGTTGATGCCATTGGCTGCCGAAAGCAGCCAGTCTCAGATAAAGGCGTGACATTATACACTGTTGTGCTGATGACAGAGGAGAGTAGAACAAGAGAAATCAATAAACTATGTGGATCAAATGACTCAAAAGCACATTCAGGGGGGAAATGGATCCTTCCATGTCCAGTTGTGAATGTTGACTAAAAATAGCAGCTAGTTGTGGGTTCATGGACCAGAAGTTCAAACCTCAGTAGTTCAGAGATTGCTGTAGCTTTAAAAGTAGATGTCTGTTGTGTTGCATTATGAATGAGTTTTTGGTTTGGTCTTATTGAATGTGTTTGACTCAGTTCAAGTCTTGAACGAGGCCTTTATTTGATGACATTCTTACACAGTTATTTGGATGCTAAGATGAATCATATACGACTTAAATCTTTGGCAAGCTGAAGGGTAAATTGTTGTCAAATCTTAGTGATTAGCAGCCATTTTGCTAACACAGAACACAGCCCAGGGTGCGCTGTCATAGTCAGTCTCCTCTCCTCCCCTCTTCCCTCTCCTCTCTATTTTATCACTATCATTGTGTGACGTAAGCAGCCTGCCCAATTTTCAGGTCTGCCTCAGCATCCTTTGCACCCCATCACCCCTCTTCCACACAGCCCATCCCTCACTTCCTACCATTACCCTCTCCTTTTCCCTACTCCCTCTACAAGCCCCACCCTCTCCCTCTACCCACCTGACCCTCTGCAATCCAATTAGAGCAGCAGTGACTGGATGTATGAACGCGCTGTGACTACCAAGCGCAAACTGCAGTCTCACTCTCCTCCCCCTCTGTCTCTTCTCCTGCTCTCTTTCCCACCTCTTGTCTCTTGTCTCTCTCTCTCTCTCTCTCTCTCTCTTCTTCTCTCTGCATCTTTTCCACCCCTCCTCTGCTGCTTCCATTCAGATTATTTACCCATATCCTGATCACTCCCCTCTGCTGTGTCTTTCTCCTCCCTCCCCTCCTTCTCTGTTGTCGCTGCTACTCTAGCTGCCTCACCCTACATCCCTCCCTTCCTACCAACGCTCCCTCCTTCTCCTCCTCCTTTTGGAGATCTTTAAAGCTGACCAGCACACACTCGCTCACAGCATAACACACTCCTCTCCTGCGTGGGAAAAAAACATGTCAGCTATTCTGGACCTGGACCAGATTGCATGCTCTGGGAATGGAGTGGTGAGTGACAAATGTGCCTTGCCTGCCTTGACACACCTTGCTGGTTCCTTGCAGAAGGGGGCTCTGGTTCAGATTGACATTATGGGGGAGGTTGTGGATCTGTTTCCCCACAGATAGGGAGACATCAGCAGGCTCCAGTGAAGGACAAGCTGATGGTGGGTTTTTTCCTGGATGGCTTGTCACCACCTTTAGCATGCAGCTCATACTTAGGGCTTTTTGTCTCTAGGCAGCTGCTGGGTTGGGGTGAACATTTGCTCAGTGTGCTTGTGTGTGTGTGTGTGTCTGTGTGTGTGTTTATGTGTGTGTGTGTGGCCACTGGTCACACATTTCCCATGTTTGCGGTCTGCACAGCCAAACCATGCTCAGCATTCAGGGATGCTTTTTGAATACGCTAATGTAAAGATGCATGTGTAAAAACGCTTTGATGTCTCTGAAACCACATATACCCACTACTATACAGACTGTATACGTGCTGCCATACGGGCGGTCAGTGTTTGTCTGTTCCTTCATGCATGTTTCTGCACATTACAGTTGAAGACTTGCAAAGGTGTGTGTTTTTTCTAAAGGGGCTGACTTGGCTGTGGTTGTTGGTGCATTGTGCTTTGCCATACTTACGCTTCAGTTATCACTGGAAACAGGCATGGAGGTCACTCACCCCCCACACACACTGAAAGCCACTGTAGCGGCTCCCTCCCTTCCTCCCTCCCTCCTCTGCAGAGACCTTGAGTTTTGTGTTTTCAACCCACTGCTTTGATGACACGTGAACTGTGCTGCAGGTGGGGAGGACTGTATTTGTGACACAATCAAGGCACGGCGATGGCATGAACTCGGGATGATCCCTATGGAGAACATGGCTGAAAGTAGGAGTCTGTATGCATTTGCTGGACTGTACACATTGAAGTCATTTAGGATGCTGGATATTTCTGCCCTGTAATGCTGCTCTCAGAGGTGATTGATGCCATTCCTGGCAGCACAGTGAAAAGGGGGGGAGGGATTGATAAGAGAGATTGCGGGAACAGGAACAGCATGACATACTGCTCTCCTTTTTCTTTGTACCTCACCCTCTTTTATTCTGAGACCAAGCCCCAAGTACTTGCCTCCCCAGGCAGCCTCTGGAGCCCCCCTCTCTTCAAAGCACAAACCCCAACTCAGTATTCCTGTCTCACCCACAAATGCAACACATAACCTTTGTCCAACCACGAGCCAACCCCCCGAGAATATATTAAATAAAGAAAAGGGCTGCAGCCATTGCAGCGCTCCCCTTTCACTCCCCCTTGAAGCCTCACCCTATGTCTGTTTTTCTCAGGAGTCTTTCCTGTGTACAGACTGTATATCTACACATATATTTCCATTCATCCGTGGAAAAGAAGAGTGCAGGAGGCAGAGCTCTGAGATCAATATAGCTTTAAACCTTGCCAAGAGCTAAAAAGGTCCTCTGCTTCCCTCCTCATCAACAGCCCTCCATTATTTTCCACCCTGTTCTGTGCCAGGACATGGCTGGAAAGGCATGATAGATTTAAGGCTGCACCCCTTCTGTTTGGAGGCACAGGCGTCTGTTAGTCATACAGGACTCCCGCCGTCATTCCTCTCTTTTCTCATGTTTCTGTCACTCTCTTCCTGCTTGCTTTCACGCTCTATTTCATCCCATCCACTTCTGCTCTTTTTTCTGTGCTTTCTATCTCATCTTCATTCACTCTTCTCCTATGTTCCAATCACCACTTCGTTGCCTATAATTGACGATCGGTATATGCACACACGATAGAAACAGCAGGCTTTATTTGAGGAAGTATGTGTGTTTCAAGTTTTGAGAGCCAAGCTTCTTCACTTTGTGCCCTTGACTCTGTCCTTGTCCAAAACCGAAACATAACGCAGCAGAGCAGCCATGAATATTCCCTGTCTGTCTGTATCAGGTTGTTCTGCCTCTACCACCAGGCCAAGGTTGCAGAATCACTCCATTATCCTTGGAAAGGCTTCTGATGAGTGCAAGGCTTCTTGTCAGCAGGTGACTGTCTTCAAGGTTTATTCCATCTCCAGGGCAGGAGGTTAAAGTGACTATTTGTATTTAATAGTACACTCAGTCACCGGGAGGGGGGCGTTCGGTTGCTTTCAGGTGCATAGTTTGACGTGCTTGTTGCGACAGGCTGCATCATGCATCAACATGCATCGACTCCCTCACAAACGAAGACTTCTCATTTCGATTTCTCGGTCAAGCGTTTTCTCTCCTGTGTTGCCGTGACCATCACAGGTTGCAGATGCAAATCGCTGCAGCCTCGTCCTTGAGAATTAACCTTCATCTCCTCTGATAAGATTGTGACACATTTCCATCAGCAGTGGAGGCTCAGGAGAGGAAACAGCAGGCACGAACAGTCAGGGTCCCGCTCCCTCTGTCTCTGTCAGTCATAACCTGTGTCTCTCTTGCACGCCCAGCCTCACTCTCTCTTTATTATTGATGACCAGTGGGCCTTGAGACCAGGCAAGTGCTGGGCCCCACCCGCTACTCTTGCTCTGAGCTGTACAAACACACACACAGACACATTTAACAACACACACACACTCATTTAGTAGCTACGTCATGAACATCCTGATATGCAGTACTATGTCATGCTGACCTTGGGAGGTTTGTGTGTGTCTGTTTATGTTTGTGTACATAATGCAAACCAAGGCTGTGTTTATGAGTAAAGTCTAGAAGATGGTTTTGTCATGTTGAGTATTTTTATGTCTTTCTTTTCCCCCCTTTTTATTGATTTCAGTTTCTCTCTGTGGCCTCAGAGTTCTGCTGTGTCATTGTTAAAGGATACGAACTAGAAGACACTCTAAATAATAAAGCAACACCTGAAGTTTCCCTGAAGCCGTTAAATACTTTTTTAATGTAGAAGCAGTTTGAACAACCGGTGCAAGGCATCCTCGTGCACAATAGAGAGAGGTATTACCGAGAAAACAACAGAGAGAACGAGGCTCGTGTAAGCCCTTTTGAATTTGAACGGGACTTTCTGATAAGACGCTCAGTTTTGCAAAGTCATGCTTTGGAAAATCGCTGTGAGATTCAGAAAAACGACACAACTGTCTTTGAGAAAAGTCTGTCTCCATGGCAGTCCCTTCAGCAGCTTTTCATGCCCTGCACTCTCAGTCTGAAAGCACAGATTTTCTATTGAGTCTGAAAGGTGAACTTTTTTGTCTTCTAAAAACTTCACTCCTAAAATTGCTTTGATGAAAACGTAGGGTTACATTTGGTTCACATAGAAGTCAAGGCCGTTTTTTTACTTAACCTTTCATTTCTGTCAGGATCCACTGTATCGCAGTTTGACATAATTTTGGTAATTTTGCTGAAATAGTTCCGAGTTAATACCTGATTAGGGAAACCCATGGATAATCTCCTACTTTGTGTTGGCTTGGCAGGTTTATTGAAAAGTGGAGAAGGCTACACATTGTAATAAATGCTTTGCCGCATAATACTTACAGCTGGAGATTTGTTGTCAGAAATCTAATGAACAAAACAACATTCTTATGGTCTGATTTTTTTTTTACAACTCTGTGCCATAGCTTTACAAAAAGTCTTTTAAATGATTTCTGACACTTCAAATGGCCTTCACACTGCACCTAACAATGAACATGTACAAAGTAGACTATTGTAAAAGAGCTCTGCACATTGTTGCACAGACATTCCTGAATGTGCACAAAGTTGCAGATCTCTGTAGAAAGTTCTTTGCTGGTTTGATAAGCTGTGTGAAATAAAAGACATTGCTTACAAAATATGGATTTTTTTTTTTTTTTTGGTGGGTTTATGTGTGTGTGTGTGTGGCCAAATCCCAATCTCCAACCCCACAAAATCTGAGGCCAATTCCTGCGTACTTTGTGAGGACTCATGGCGGTACCGCTACCATTAGGTGCATAAAGGCTGTGCAGCTTACTTCCAAATGTCAAACTGTGACTTTTTTCATAGAGCTCCATGTGGGACTGGCTCCGGGTTCATAGTAAAATCATGACATATAAAATATGATCATCATGCCTGTTGCTCTGTGCACAAAACTCATTGTAAAGCATAAGAAGGAAGTGTGCAGCTTACAGTCAATCTGTGAATCAGGACATCTGTGTACCTTCTGCTGTTGTATGTTGAGTTCGATTCCATCAGCCAGATGCCCAAAAGGATTTACATATGATATCACAAACACTAATACACTCGGGTGGTGGGGCTGTCTTTTTTTGGATTTATGCACTGATTACAAGCAATTTAAGATTTTACAGTAATGTGCTGTATTCCTTCATTTTGAAAGCCCCTGCTTTCACACACACACACGTGCCTTCACACACTGCATATCTTTTGTAAAAAATTATTTGTTTGGGTTTGGGCCTGGGATCAAGACTCCAAATTTAAAGGGATATTCAGGTGTAAAATTAAGTTAGGGTCAAACACATCGTAACACCGAGTTAGACACCCCCTCGAGAGATGAATGTTGCCGATTGTTTGCTTCTCTAGTTATACCAACTTAAGTAATGCCGGCATGATAGAAATACACAGCGGTCTACGTCACCACGTGCAAACCTCAATCAAAAAGCCACTCTATAGCCTTAAATAATGCTCAGAATAACACCTAACTTCATCAACAGTACATTTAGAGTCCCGACACGTAGTACTAGCCACCAAAAATCTTTTTATATTTGCCTAATTTCTTCAGCAAAGAGACCAAACACAACTCACCTACTCTCCTCCAGCAGCCGCTTGTTTGTAGGGAGACCTGAGGCGAGTCCATCACTGAGTGCAGCGGGCTGACGCAGCTCAAGGAAGAACATTTATGATCATAATTTTACGCCTGAATATCCCTTTAAGAGAAAACTGACTCCATTTAGTCACAGCCTCAATGTAAGACAGTGAACCCCAAAACAGGCTGTGTCTTACACACTCGGGTGACTTGTATTCAGGATTTCATGGTAATTTTGCAGCCTGAGGTTTAGCGACAGATACAGAAGTATTACCATGATATAAGTCTGTCCACTCGCACAAATTCTATGTGAGGTAGAAGTAAAGGAAGTTGATGTCTTGTGTGCAACTCTTTATAATTCGGCGTTAATTCCCTGTCATTGCAGGAGCATGACATTGAGACTCCCCATGGCGTTCTCCATGTGACCATGCGAGGTGTTCCCAAGGGCAACAGGCCTGTCATCCTCACCTATCATGACATCGGTCTCAACCGTGAGTCAGCCAAAACAAAATTAAAAAACATTTCACCAAGTCCTGCACCTGACTGTCGCACTCACATTTTGTGTGTGTGTCCTCTGCACCCTTCTAGATAAGTCATGCTTCAACACCCTCTTCAACTATGAGGACATGCAGGAAATCACGCAACATTTTGCTGTGGTTCATGTAGACGCGCCCGGCCAGCAGGAGGGTGCACCCCCCTTCCCCAGCAGGTGGGTACCATACTGGTTTAACACACTCAGATAAATTAAAACACTCTTGAATCATTCAGTGCTGATGGAGTATATTTGTTTCTGTGGACCGAGAAGTGAGTTAGTCATTCGTTTGCTAATGGAACCCTGCAAATGAAAATAAGATATTCTGCAACTCATTCATCAAAAAATGTCTGTGTATGTGGAGTCTACGCTGTGTCCCTTCAGTCATAAGTAATGCCTCTGCATAGCATATGTGTACTCACATGTATACATCCTTTTCCAGCTACCGTTACCCCACCATGGATGAGTTAGCTGAAATGCTGCCCTCTGTGATGACTCAGCTCAAGTGAGTGGCCCTCTTGTCGATAGCTGTTCAATGTTACTATACATAAATAGATTGTTTGTCTTCAGGCCTGCTGTAACCGATGGTGTCTTTTTCAGGGTCAACAGTGTGATTGGGATTGGTGTTGGAGCAGGAGCGTACATCCTTTCCCGCTTTGCAGTAAGTCCTTGTCAACAAGACCCCAAACATTTCCACCCCCTAGCCCTCACCCCCCCACAGTTAATCTCATCCAGTTTCCTTTCTCTCCTCTCTGTCTCGCCGGTTGTGATAGCAGCTTTTCAGGCCTCACAGTTTGTTACATTGGCCATTAAAACCTCCCATCAAGCCCACACAGGGCACCAGCTTTCTCCACAGTCTGCTGCATATAAGCCGCCGCCGTTCCCCAGATGATGATGAATCACCCCGGTGATTCTCTTCTTTGCAGTTGCTTTTTGTCTTGTTTGAACACTCAGGGAAGCTAAAAATAAGGCTGTGTACAGTAGAGCAGAAAGAGTTAGAAGTGACAGAGAGCGAGGAAGCACTGAAAAATGAATAATGAAGGGGAAGATGGTGGTCAGGAGCAAAAACGAAATATGGTGGGGTGAGAGCCTGTGATGCAAGGCTCTCTGCAGAAAGGCTGCTCCCGTTTGGAATTAATGAAGAAAATTGATTCGGAGACGCTTTTGCTCGAACGGTCTTGGAGTAAATTGTGTTTACTCTCGATAGATTTATAGCAGCTGTTGCTGCATTGCATTTGCATCATGTTGAAAGCAGCATCCGCTTTACTCCCAGCGTCTAGAGTGAGATGGATCTTAGATTTCCCCAGACATCCTCTCTGTCTACGGGCAATTCCAAAACCGCACCCCTTCATTTAGACGCCCAAAATTTCATCTTCTTTGTTTCATATCTGTCAAATACACAGCATGAGGTTGTTTAAACAAGAAGTAAATCAAAATTAGATAAACAACCACATATTTTGCACTGTAAATATGTATGCATGATAAAGATTCTTGGAGCTGTCTGGATCAACCGATCGTGTTCAGACTAAACCCACCTTGGGGTTTGATAACTGTAGACTCAAAGCACAGATAACACCATCATAACACTATCTTATTCTTATGTCTTAATCCAAAGTTATATTGTGCAGTAGACATGACTTTCTTCTCTTCTTTCCCAGCTGAACAACCCCACCCTGGTTGAGGGACTGGTTCTGATCAATGTCGACCCATGCGCTGAAGGATGGATCGACTGGGCAGCTTCAAAGGTCTGTATACATTCTTGAACGCTGCGCTTCTGCTTCAACTATTTGCATCTGTCATTTGACTTCAGTCTATTAAGGTTGTTACGAAGAGTGTTACATTCATGGCACCTGTCTTAGCTCAGAGTTTCATGATAACTTCATCTAATTTTGATTGGCCTCATAACAGTTACCTCTTTTTAAATTATACATGCTGATACCAAGCCTTTTCTTAAACTCCAATATACTTGTATAAAATGAATAATTCATCAGGCACAGTCTTAATCCTTTGTTAATTTGGTCAGACTGTCAGCTTTTGTGTTGAGGTCACTTTAAGTTAATTAAAGCAGCCCCCGGTTTGAGCGGACCCAACAGCAGTTCCAGTTTTTAAGGATTAGTTTTCTTCTGAGTGGAATATTTGACCTCAGAGTACAGGACATGATGTGCCAAAATTCTGAGATGTCTTACTCTACTCTGCATAGTACATTTTATGAGGTCTTTACAAAATTGTTGCTCTGTCAGTGCCGCACACAGCTGAAAACAAACAGGTACTTTTTAATGGATCAAGATGACTACAGTATGACTACAGTATGTTGTAAAAAGACTCAACCGGTCAAAATCGTTTCCATAAAGACTTAAAAAGAGGAGAAATGTCTCATCTTTGTAGCCTCACATGACTCTGACAGTAGTGATACAGGCAGGGAAACAGCAGCAGAGGTGTAGTTAACGCAGAGCTGAATCAGTCAGGGAAGGTTGCGCTTGTATAGGTTCATATCATTACCAGATCACCGAGTCACTAGATCTCTCACAGTTTTTGAAATCCAGTCATCTTTGTTTTTTTGTGTTTTTTTTTAATGTTTGATTCCTTTTATGTGTCAAAACCCAAATTACGATATCTGTCAGTACTCTACATGGAGGAATAGGCTTAGCTGTGCAACATGAACCCAGTGTTCCTGAGAAAATAAGATTCAGCTCTGGTCTCTATCTTAACTGCAAATCTGGATCTCTCCCCCTCCCCCCACACCCCCTCTTGTGTGCAGCTGTCTGGATGGACCAGTAATTTGGTGGATATCGTCATGGCTCATCACTTCAGCACTGTGAGTTCCACTTGCATTACAGTGTCTCTTTTTTTCTTGGTGTCGTTAACCTTTTTCATTGACAGCGTGAAACTGTTTCTGAACCTCAAGCAGCTTTTCTTAATTTCCCTCGACAGTTTTACTTAATCTCATTCTGATGGCAGACACTCGCTTATTAATCCTTTCATGTCCTTCTGAGATGGGCAGACAGTGACATCAAATAACAGATACACAATGCAAACACATATAAGTCCCATAGCTTATCTAGATGATGGGTATTTTTAAATGCACCTCTAACAGACACTGTATACTGGATGAACTTCTTATTTCTTTATGGAAAGCCACTTTGAAGCAGCATGGACAGATCAGAGTGGGTAAGTTGTGGTTTTTGTTTAATTTTTCTCTGCTGTGTTCATCAGGATGAGCTGACAGAGAACCAGGAGCTGATCCAGACCTACCGCCTCCACATCGCACAAGATATCAATCAGGACAACCTGGCCCTTTTCTGTGGCTCCTATCAATAGTATGATGCACCACATTGGTCTACCCTGTTTATCTTCTATTGCATTAAACCAGATCTGACAGTAACGCATCAAAACATCAATTTTATAAATGAAATAGCTCCAGCTCTTCTGGCTAATCACAATTTGTCTCCGTGTTCCAGCCGTCGGGACCTGGAGATTGAGAGGCCAATCGTGGGTCTGAACGAGGACACGGTTAACACACTAACGTAGGTTTTGGGATGAATTGTACACAAACAGCAATCCTTTCTGAGCACACGGTTTTATAAATACTCCCCCCTGATCTTTCCAGGTGCCCTGCATTACTGGTTGTTGGTGACACAGCACCTGCTGTGGAGGCTGTGGTGAGTTACACTCTTTCATCTCAGTCAGCGGAGCAGCTTTTGGAGGAACATGTTGTTATTTTCTTTCTTGGCTTAGAAGTAAACTGCTATTGATGTTTCAGGTGGAGTGCAACTCCAGGTTAAACCCAACCAAGACGACACTGCTCAAGGTGGAGCTTTTTACACAACATACCTAGTAAACAAATATACAATATTTACATATATACATAGTTTTATTGTACATATGGTTTTTAACAAGACTGCTGATTTTCTCAGATGGCTGATTGTGGAGGTTTGCCCCAAGTTGTGCAGGTGTGTGTTTTTTGGTGTTTATACACAGATATCTCTCATCTTATGTCTTTGTCAGTGTTATCTGACTTTTACCCTTCATCTGTTTACAGCCAGGAAAACTTGCTGAGGCCTTCAAGTACTTTGTTCAGGGAATGGGCTACAGTAAGTAATCATTCTCACGCTCTGTGCTTCTAGTAATAGAGTGAGTAAAAACCACTAAAATGACTAAAAATGATACTGGTTTCAGCTAGCTTTTTTATTTAACTGAACGTCTAAAACCTATTCACACCTTTTTAGGACTGACGTGTTTGTGGTCAAGGTTTGAGTTTCCTGTTTACGCCAATCTATTGCCAGAGGTTACTGAAAAACAGATTGTTTTCATGGTTGACTCCTGTGAGCTTTTCAGTTAACACCCTGCTGATGGGGTTTGGACTGCAGCCAGCAAGCATACATGTTTTTTTTTGTCAGCCTGGTCACAGAGATGCAGCCTGAGCTGCTCAGTAGATGCTAACGCCATTTCCTCTCTGCTCTTGCAGTGTGTGGCCCCCACAACCCTCAGTAGGTGAGGTGTTAGTGCTTCTAGCATGACCAAAATGACAGTAACACTGAACAGCAACTTACTTCCTGTTCAGTTACAGAGTGGGTGTGAAAATGCCCTGTCCTTTGTGCCTGGTGTGCTTTTCTTTTTCGATCCAGATCTGTTTAAAGATGCAGTCTCCTTCTCGAGACACTTCAAGTGCATACTTAAACAGGCCTTCAGGTTTTCACAGTCATTCATCAATAAAGAAAAAACTAAAGAGCATTTCTTTTAGACCGAAGTGTGACGCACCAACCAGACCCTAGTCACTGGATGGATGAAGTCGTAAATCTAGGTTTGCTTGCTCTAGCCATACCAGTGATGGCTGTCTTTGTGTTTCTTTTTCTTGTTTTTTTTTGTAATGTTGTTTCTCTTTTGCTCCGTCCCGCACCCAAACCCTGCACCGTAGGAGGCTCTCTTGGGTGCGGCTAGTGTGTCAGTGCCTCAGTGTTGCTTTAAAGGCCACCAAGTCCCCCTGTTGAGTAAATGCCACTGCAGGATTAGAACAGATTAAAAAGAGTGCATTCACACAGAGCAAGTGTTGAAAATTAATCTCAACACCTCAGCATGTTTCCGAAAGCTGCTTTTCCTTATTAACACATTGCCACAGAGAGAAAATGCAAACCGCAAAGAGCCGAAAAGCACAGGAAGTAAAGATTGTCGTTTGCACACGTGCTATGATTTCTCGGTCACTTTCTTCACTGACCAGCAAGTTGTAACAGAGTTTCTCTTTGAACCAGAAATGCAACAAGGTGGGGTAAAGCAACATAAAGAGCTCCCTTTTTCAACACTTTGCCTTTCTCCCTCTTTCTTTCCTTCTTTAATCACGGCTTACAGTCCCCTACGTTCTTCTCAGTCACCTGAGCAACGAATCAGGTACCAGGTTTTTGAGCGGCTTTCGACAGAAGGCTTTGAACCCCGACTGGCCTCTTGAAACTCCACAGTGGATAAATGTCAGTGTATGCAGATTCACAGAGAGCGCACTGTTTAGTGATGGCATTCAACAGCAGCTGAGAGTGGTTGATACAGCCTCTATTATACACAGTGAGATTCTGCATACTCTGACACGTTATTCTTCACAGAGGAGTTGAGCTTATTAGCATGCGTCCTGTCCTGAGTGTCTTATTATTTTGCATGACCTACTGCTGTTGCTTCCTGTCAATGCAGTTGGATTGCAAATGCTGTATCTTCCTTTTGTATTCATATTTTTTATTCTTATGCACTAATTTTCTTTAATGCATTTGCTTCACCTGATTGGTCCCAGTGATTAAGTATTGCTTGCACAGTAAGCATTTTTCTTGTTGTTGTTGTCTGAGTGTTCCCACTCTGCACTGTGTCCTGTGTGAGTGGAATATTAATGCCTGTTCCTCTTCCTCAGTGCCGTCAGCAGGAATGACTCGTCTGGCTCGCTCACGCACCACCTCCTCTTCCAGCATCACCTCGATGGACAGCAGTCGCAGCCGCAACAACCTCAACAGCCTGCTGGAGGGCAGCGCCACTGGGGCCCTGGACAGCCAGACTGGACCCCAGACCATGGAGGTCTCCTGCTAAACCCCATCCCCACCCTATCTGTATGCACAATCCCATAGTAACTTATGTACCATCTCCTTCCCTCCTTCTCTCCCTCTGTTTCTGTCTCTCACACCCCCTTCTCTCTTTCTCTCTCTCTCTCTTTGTCTCTGTCTCTCTCTTTCACTCTCTCTCTCTCTCTCTACCTTTCACTCTCACACATTCTGCTTCTGAGCAGACCAATGCCAGGAGGATCTGTAATGAACTATGAGATTAGAAAAGAGGATGTAATAAATATATTAACAGATGCATATTATGAAATATAAAGTACTGAATACACTGTCACAGTCACATTCCTACCAGAGACCATAACTACATTTAGACATATTGTATATTAAGATGGTCTAACCATTCAATTCGCTCAGCTGGTCCACCTCATCCCCTTGTATTTATTTTTTTTCACAATATCTTTGTTTTAAGTGTCTTCACAAACTTTGCCATTGTGTTTTTTTTTTCAACTTGTCTATCGTGTAGCGTTGATTGTGAGTCATTGTATCTTTGTTTTAAACACTATGATGCTGCAAAGAGATACTGAATCAGTCATGAAGTATACAGAGGGATCAGTGAACCTACTGTAGCTGCAGAGATGAAGGTAAAATGATGTGTGTCTGATGGATGGAAGAAGAATTGTTGCTGCATGAGAGCATCGACATAAAAAAAGAACAAAAAACCATAGTGAAGGTAGTCATGTTTAAGTGTATCCTTACATATTTTGGACTCTTTTTGAGCTCATTTCCTTCTCTTTGTGTTGTTGTTTTTGTTCACTTGAATAGATTCTACATTTTTGTTTTAACAACTTTTAACAAGAGGGACCTGATGTGAAAAGTAGGAGTCCCTTCAGTGAGGGGCCCACCGGTGCTTCTCACAGTCTGCTGATTCAACTCATTTATATTACTACTGAATAAAGCTTCAACATGACAACACGCCTGATCTTTTCTATAACCATTAAACTTTTTTTGTTTAGCTTATAATTTGCATGTAAATAGTAGGTGAACTGAATTATCTGGATGAAGCAAAGCAAAAGTAGAGCACTGTGTTTATCTGTAGTGCTGCGAGTGCTGATCCTTTTCCTCTCCTGTTGAAGGAAAGTGAGGTGACTGTGGCGAGCTACTTTCCGACCACACTTGTTCTTATTTTTGACTGCTCTGTCGCCACAGATGATGCAGTCTCTGTTCAGCGCATGTTTAAAAAAAGAAAACAATTATGAGCTGCAGTGCAAATGAGATGAGGTAACGAATGATGAGACATTTTATTTATGATGTGTTTTTACAAGTGCTCAAAGACACTTTGCAAGGAACACAATTAAAATACAGAACAATGTGGAGTAATACACCACCAGTGTAAAAGGTTAAAAAAGACATAAAAGAACAGTTCACAGGTTAAAAGCCAATTTAAAGGTGGGATTTGAAGATACGGGGGTCTGTACAGTCTCTGAGTGGTTTGGGGAGTGAATGCCAGAGGGTGGGGGCAGCAGTGGACAAAGCTCTGTCCCCCCAAGTTTGGTTCTTGGTTCGAGGGGGGAAGGGCAAGGAGTGCCTTCAACTGAAGAGAATTACAGTTTTATAAAAGTATAGCGCCTAATTTTTATCTCATGTTCACATCACACACTGAAACTATTCTAATGATGCTACTCCATAAACACTGCTGCTCCATTATGTGCCACTCTGCAAAAAGGCCATAACAATGACCGTCCTGTACTGTGTATGTTAACGTCTGCGACAGTGAGAGCTGATGACTTGATACTCTTTTAAATGTTACCATAAAAGCCTCCAGTAATGGCACGTAATTGTGATCCATTTGATAAAACGACTTTGAAAACCATTTTAATAGGTGGCCTGTAAAGATTTCATCTTTGATTATGGAAAGGAAAAAAAAAAGTTTCTGCTAATATACAGTTCTCAGTGATGAAAGTAGATCCCTGACCTTTTTTCTGAGAAAGAACCTCTTATTGTTTCCATCTGTGGCAGAGTTGTTCCTCCGCTGCTTTATAAACCTCCATCTGATTAATGAGCGGAATAAGAAGAGATCTGTGATTATTTGGACCTTATCAGTGTGTTATACAACTTTGTGTATGAACTTTCCTAGCAGTACTAATCCGCTCTGTCATATCTGATGCCCATAAGTAAATCTTGAGGCTGCATGTCTTTCTCTGTGGTGAGTTCTTTTCAGAAGCCATTTTTAGACTTCTTTAAAACCTCGGGTGTGATTTGACACTGTTATATTAGCATGATGGATGATCTGGGGGATGTCGATAAATCAGAGGGAGAGAAGGATGGCAGAGGAATTTTATTAGCTAGAGCTGTGGCTTTTCTCTGATGTGTGCATTATTGGCATCGTTCAAACATGTCCCACATAATAACTGATGGGAACTCTGGACTGAACGGCTGCTGCCAAGTTTTTCATCTACAAAAGTCAGTTCAGCTGCAAAATCCAGAGGAAGTTATAATGGAGGGGTTTTAATCAAGCTAATCTGTCGGGGTGAAACAAGGTCACTGCTCCAACCACTGCATTTCAACACTGTGCACAATCAGAACTATGTAAATGCTGCTTACGTATGCACTCAGTTCATTCCATAAGCAAGTGGTGTACTGCAAACTCTTCATGAAAACATTTGACATCAGAGCAATCAGCTTGAGCTGCTTTGAGTAGGGATGTCAAAGTCTCGAGCGTCACAGGAAGCTGCAGCAGAGTGACACATAAAAAGGCAGTGCAGGAAGCCACGACTCTCTAGTCAGACCCCCCACCATAAACAGCTGCAACAACACGCTGGTCTTCCTGGGAACAGAGCAGAGATGTGAACAAAGTCATTTTGACAGATCAGCAGGTCTGAGGGGGAACCTGAGCATACTCATCTATAACAGGTTTCCTGTGTGTGCCTCGAACTGAAGACGTACGAGTGTTTATTCCTCAAGATTTGGAGTTTACAAACCGATCGGAGAAGGATCTGCCTCACTGCTTGTGCAAAATATCATTTTTGAGCTCTTTTTTTCTAGGAAAGTTAAAGAAGGTGAGTGAAATCCTCTTTCTTTCTTTCTTTCTTTCTTTCAGTCATTTAGATCAATTGGTTTTATTCAAGAATTATGCACTTCACAAGAAAGAAGTTACCCGCTTAATTCTTGGAGATAATTTATTGACTTGCTGCTACTTGTACAAGATTTTGTTTGTTTTACACGAATTAAACTGAATATCTTAGTCGGTTTGACACCATTGCTTAGGTGTAAAACTGCACTTCTCTCAAACGTGTTCGTTGGAAATTTATCACAGGATATCAATACCTTTTGTTGTGGTAAGGTGCCTTCCTGTGTCATCTAGGTGTTGTTGCCTTGGTTACTAAGTAGAAGGTACCAGTAAGCAGGCGTTTTTTTTTTTTCACAACAGTCAGAAGGTGATAACTAAGAATATTACGGTAACTGAAGACACAAAATTTCTCACTTACGCTTCTCATCTGTCTTTTTCCACCACAGGGACAATCTTTCTGCTGCAGAAGCCCAAAATATGGGGATCTGCCCCATCAGATGTCATTCCAACATGACGATCCTGGAAAACTTATCTGAACCTTCATCTCAAGGTATTTTTTACTGTTGTTTATACTCACAGAACAAAGGGAGAATGCAACAAGCTGAACTTAGTCAGTGTTCATCTCCTTTTTTCCTCCTGCAGACCTCCATGAGACTATGATTGTATCTCTTTGCAACTACCCATCCTTTGGAAATACAGATATGACCATGTGTTTTGGAGAACAACTCACCGTTACATCAGAGTATGTGACTGAAGTTCAAATGTTTCCTCTTTATGGTGTATACCCTAACTCAGTGGTTCTCAAGTCCAGTCCTCGAGCCCCCCCGTCCTGCATGTTTTGGATGTTTCCCTGCTCCAACACACCTGATTCAAATGATCAGCTCGTTATTCAGTCATTACAGAGCTTGATAACGAGCTGATCATTTGAATCAGGTGTGTTGGAGCAGGGAAACATCCAAAACATGCAGGACTGGGGGGAGGGGCTCGAGGACTGGAGAACCACTGCCCTAACTGATGAAATATTAATTTTTGTAATGTTTATTTTCTTGCAGTGATGGTGATTTTATGATGGTGAGATCCTCCACAACAGGCTGTGAGAGCTACATTCCCACCCATTACACCGCCAAGGTGACAAACAGGTAAGGTTACCAGAAAACATAGAACACATGTTGAGGGTCACCATTTGCGTGTGAGAAAATGAGAAAGCAGAGGTGTAGTAGTTCAAAGGTAAAAAGAAAGGACGGGAGTTCCCTGATGGGTAGGAGGATTCTCTGTGTAGGTGATCGTTGCCTCAGTGGAGAGGCAGGTTTGGAACCACACTTTCTGTTTTCTCTGGTGCCATGACATCAGTCTCTCTGCCTCCAGAAGTTTCAGACCTCTGATATTATTACAGTGGATTTTCCAAACTTGAAATACATAATTATTAATTATTTTTTTGTCCTTTCTTAGGTGGTTATTCACAGGCATCAGCAGGAACAAAGCAGTGGAACTGTTAATGCAGCCTCAAAACCTGAGTGGAGCTTATCTGATCAGAGAGTCAGAGACAAATGCAGGTCAGGCGTGTGTTTTCTTGATTCTTCTCTATTTTGTAAATCACATCGTAAATCATTTTGTCCAAACTGTATAAACACTTTGTATGAGGTTTTAGCATTAATAACAATTTAATTCCATTAAATGAAATTAAATTTAAGTAATTTTCTCCTAGAATTGACATTTAAACAGCTTGATTTCTTTTCAATAAAACCATTAGTTTACAGAAATATTGGTTAAAGCTGAACTGTTGCATTGATCTGGTGTTTCAGGTGGTTACTCGTTGTCTGTCTTGAAGAGGACTAACTCAACATATATGGACTGCATAAAGCACTACCGCATCTTCAAACTCCCAAATGGTTGGTTCTACATATCCCCACGGCTAACTTTCCCCTCCCTGCAACACCTGGTGGACCATTATTCAGGTTAGTACTGATGCTGTGGTATTTGTTGTGTCAAAGGTAAGAACATCTCCACTAAAGTGATGTGAAAATGTTGCCTTTTTCTCTTTTAGAGTGTATAGATGGACTGTGCTGCCGGCTCACTGGACCGTGCTTTATCAAGGGTTTAAACGATCCCAGAGAGGCCAGGCCTGTACCAACAGCTATGAGGAGGCCAACTTTTAACTGGAAAGACATTAGCAGGTGATGGATGTGTAAGGTTTTGAGAGTGAGGACTAAAATGACTAAAAATAAGAAGCTGCAGTGGATAAATAAAGGATACAAAATGCAGCCTTCAATAAACCACAGTTATAAAGGGCACACATGAGTGGGCCAGTTAATGTATATACAGTCTTTGAAACAGCATTCAGATTTATGACTTTTTGCTAAAGCAGATACTTAACAGCTTTTCAATCTTTTACCCATTCAGGTCTTTAAAACCCTTTTTTATGTCCATCCCAGGTCAATGATCATGCGGAGGAAGAGAACAGAGTCAGACAACTCTCTGGTGAGTGAGGGGCTAAGAGAGGCCATCACTTCCTACCTCCAATTGACAGAGGGCAGCGACAGCAGCTGGGACACATGAGGAAAGGACCCTAACCCTGGACTGTGAGACAGAGCTCAGATGGATGATAGTGCGCCCCTGTCTCCTCTGCAGCTTGAAAACATTCTCGGAAGTGCTCACCAGCACACCCAATCTGACTCCAAGGACAGCAGTGGAGAATATGAGATGTGCTGAGACACTAAAATGTTAGACGATATACTGAAAGACATATTTTTGTCTCCAAAGTGGAACCTGCAAGTCAGTGAGATAAGAATAAGAAGGACTTTATTGATCCCTGAGGGGAAATTCAATTGTCTGTCGTCTCATTTGTCATGTCTCTAAAGTCATCTACTATTTACAGAAGAGTTGTAAAGTCTGATGGCTGTGGGTACAAAAGATCGTCAGAATCTTTCTGTCCTGCAGCGAAGAGAGAGGAGCTGTCCACCACTATTGGCCCTTTGGTCCATTAAGGTGTTATGAAGTAGGTGATCCATGTTCTTGAGAATAGTCTCCACCTTCCTCACTGTAGATCTCTCCACCACATCCTCCAGTGAGTCCAACTTGGCTCACATTTAGTTTCAAGAAATGAATGTTTTTCTGACTCTATCACTTACCATTTACTGTATCTCAAAAATGTTAAGATTTCTTTTGTGAGGATATTGTTGTCATGGTTATATTATTATTGGCATCCAATAAATGAATAAGTAAGCTTGTGTAAGCTATGTGAGAAAATGAGAAACATACACGAATGTAACTTCAGATGTGAAAGGTCGTGTCTATGTTTTGAGTGTAAGCATAATAAACAAGAAGTTATTAATCCTTTTAGGCCATAGACTGTATATACTAAGGACAACTTGGTTCCGCCTACCGCCTGGGTAGGGGGTTTGAAGTCAAAAAGCTCTCAGTATTTCCGCGATTATTTTTTCATTTCCTGAAACCAGCATTGCGCAGTAGCATTGTACGCATTCGGCAAGAGAGTCGCCACGAGTCGCCGTGATGCAGCTCGGCTCAAACATTGTGTCCCCTGGGTGAGCTATGCAATCTTCGTACATCCATAGGCTATTTCAAGTGTCAATCATAGAAAACATGAACCCCCTGATAACTTTAAAAATGGAGCTGTATAGAAAAAAAAGAAGACTTGAGCACAAACTAGTCTTACTGTAACCACAAAATTTTATATTCTGTGCAATTAATGTCTAAAGTTTGTCCACAGCTCTATAAGCTTTGCTGGCAGAGGTGGGATTTATGACCTATACTGCAGCCCATCACCAGAGGGTGCTGTTCTCTGGGTGGCTTCACCCAGCGAGAAAGCAGACGGCGTCCAATCTATGAACAGTCTAGGGCTGTGTCCGAAATAGATTCGTAACCCCAATATAGGCAACTATTTGGGGGTTAGGGTTAAAACTTGAGTGATCAATTCCAGTGCACCATATCAGCGACTCAATTTCCCATAAAGCATTGCAAAATGTAGTGACCATCCGATGGTCACTCACTGGTGGTGGGCATCCCATTATACTTTGCGTCTTGCCATGTAGTGTCCGAAATCTCCTGTGATTGAGTTCACTACATAGTCAGCTGTATAGTGAAACCCCATATGGGGATTGGGGTTAGGGATTGAGTTATTCATTTCGGACACAATCTATGTTTTAGCCTGTAAAATTAACAGTCCGCCTGATAATTTTTCTCTCTTTTTTTTTAGCTGTTATTGTGTCAAAAAATGTCTTTCGTGTGAAATATTTTGCTCCTTTTTTGGGGAAAAAATTCAACTTTCAATATCTCTCAAGAATTGTACGTTTTTTCATGTTATATATATTTAAAAAAAAGGGAGAGAAAACGATAGTCATGTGGTTCTCGCAGCGTCGGTGTACGGTCTCGACCAGCAGATGTCGCTTTTTCCCTCCGACGATTTATCAAAGCCTTCCACTTCCTGCCCGAACAGTTCAGTTCAGGAAGAAGAAATCATGGCGACGCTTTTGGGGTCCGAGTCCCCTTGTACTGGAGGAAAACGAAGAAATTGTCACAGCAATATCGTCACAAAGTTCACGGCCAGTAAGATTACCGGTCAGGGAATCAGTCGAGGAACACAGGTAAGACATATTGAGCGTGTTGTGACGGTTAAAGACGTTAGAAAGTTGGTGGACCGAGGCCGCGGACTAGCGCTCGGCATCAGCCCCGAAATGAAGACGTTTTCCTGAAGACTTGACTGGCCGTGTTGTGTACTCCGTCAGCGTCGGTGTTACAGCTAGCTACAACATAATGGTGTATTTTAAAACCCTCTATATCCAGCACCAAAGCTAACGAATTCAGTATATCATGATCCGCTCGCTGTCAGTGAATATAAAGCCAGTTTCGTTTTAGGTGTCCAAAGGCAGCTCCGTTTTAAGGGACTCTTTTGTTGTTAGCCCCACTTGAGCTTAGCAATAAAGAACAGGTTGACTTCGCTGCAGAAAGCCTTGCCTTTTGGGTTTGACGCTTATGGTTCGTTTTTTTTGCCTACGTTTTTATGTTAAAATTACTAGTGGTTTTTTTTTTTGTTTTCTATGTGAATTGTCTCAATCATGTTATGAACGGTAGCAACACTAGCTTGTGTTAGCCACCGAGAACGTCAGCTAGCTTGCTAAGCCAGCTGAACAGCTCAGGTGATTACGTAACGACGGACTAACCACAATAATAACTACCGTTCCTTAAATGGAGACACCACAGCAGCTGTCCACTCAACTCTAGGACTTTTACTTTTATTTACACTAAAGACAAACTCATTTACTCGACATTTGTTACCGTAAAGACCTAATATTGTGTTTATTTTGATGTAGCAGTGTCACCATGCCAACTGTTTTGGTGTGAACGACGTAATGCATATGAATGTGGTACCTGTCCAGCTACCCGTTTTTCATGCACACTCGTAACTTTAGCTCTTTTTGCAGAGCCAGACATTTATCTGAGGTTGTGTTGAGACAAAAGATAATAAATAAATGAGGATAACAGACAGATTAACTCATCTGAAAAAAAAAAAAAAAACTCAAGGAAGGTCAAAATGTGGTATTACACAAGTTTTTAAAGACTGCTACAAGACGGTTTACGCAATCAAAAAATTGGGAAAAATACACTTTAATTGAGTCAGGTCTTGGAGGTTCTTTGGAAGTTTTTTTAAGAGTGTGTTGCATTCGAAACTTTCGCTGTTTTTGCAGAGCCAGACATTTATTTGAGATTGTGTTGAGTCAAAAGATAGAATGGCTTATTGAGGAAATAAATGAGGATAACACACAGAGTAACTCAAATAAAAAAAAGTTAAGTAAGGTCAAAATGTGGTATTACACAAGTTTTTAAAGACTGATACAAGACGGATCACACAATCAAAAAAATCGGGAAAAATACACTATTGTTGAGTCAGGTCTTGGAGGTTCTTTGGAAGTTTTCTTAAGAGTGAGTTGCAGTCGTAACTTAAACTCTTTTTGCAGAGCCAGACATTTATTTGACATTGTGTTGAGTCAAAAGATAGAATGGCTTATTGGGGAAATAGATACGGATAATACACAGATGAACTCATAGAAAAAAAAAACTCAAGTAAAGTTAAAACGTTGCATTACGCATGTTTTCTGAGACTTCAAGACAGACCACACAATCAAAAAATTGAGAAAAATACACTGCTGTTGAGTCAGGTCTTGGAGGTTCTTGTGAAGTTTTCTAAAGAGTGTGTTGTAGTCTGTTTTTTTCGGATATATGTTTATGAAATTTTTCCAGCAGCAAAAAAACAAACACATGATAAAAAAAAACCAACATACATTTGGCTCGCACATACACACATTATGTTCAAATTTATACAGGCGAGAGATTCAGGGATCCCTTTATACAAATAAAATAGGTAAGTAAAATAAATCAAGTGCACATTATCATGCATAATAGGTTCATATGTTCAAAGAGAGATACACAAACATGAAATAAATAAGACATGGTTTTTTAAGGCGGCATGTTCAAAGCTATGGTACCAACCCTCTGGTGAGAATGGTAGAGATATTTAAACCAACATATGACAGAAAGGGTTCCCATGTTTTACGAAACACGTCACCTTTGCTGTGTAGTCCAATGCAACATACTCAAGAGTCACCCTTTGCCACTGAACCTTGGATGGGACTCTATCCACATTCCAGTTTAAAAGAATACACTTCCTAGTGCAGAAAGCATGTGTTTGATGAAGTTTCCTTCTAGATTAATCAGTGATGGACAGATCAAATGTGCCAAGTAGCAGACATAAATGATTATTATTTGTATAAGTAGATATAGATTATCTTATTAATTTCTTGTCCAGTGACTTTCCAGAACTGTTGTATTTTCCAACAATACCACAAATAATGTGTGAGGCTACCAGTTTCTATTTTACACTTGGGGCACAGTGGAGATGAATTAAGGTCCTTACACACCGGGGCCAAAAAGAAGACAAAAATGGAGTCTACTTTAACTTCAAGTGATAGTGAATTGGTACTCCTTTTGCTTTCTCAAAAGAAAAAGAAACGTAGCACATGGGTGCCTCCAATATTACAAAAAAGAAGAGAACTTGGTGAGTTTCACTGCTGCCTTCAGGAGCAAAAACTGCACCACGGTCGCTGATTGTTTTCAGTCCTGATTAGACACTAGTGTTGAGATGGCTTTCTGTCATGATAGCTGTGCTTAGTCGGGGCCAGTACCAGATAAGCACATGAAACTATGGTAACAACCGTTAGCTTATGTTGGCACAGATGAAAGTTAAAACCAAGGCGTTTAGCAAACCATTAAAGCACACAAACCATCGTCATATGAGAGAGCCGATGCTATGACTCTCCACAAGTTGTCCTTCCGGTCGTTATCTTTGTAATGTTTGTGTCTTTTATCAAAAAGCACTCTGTTTCCGGCACGTAAATAATCAGCCGGTCAGATATGTTGAATATGTTGGATATACCGATGAATCAGACATTGCAACAACACTCAATCTGATTGGTCAGAAGTGGACACAGAGCATGCGAAACTTTAGAAAAATCGACTATGATCCGAAAAAAATTAATGCTGCAATATCGCAGAACGGGAAAACATCGCTGATTTGAACGCTTATATTGACAGGATACGGGTTCGAAAAAAAATTTGACGTCTGAATAATCGCATGACAAAAATGGTCCCGGTGTGTAAGGACCTTTAATCTGCATTTCTGCCGGGGGTAGCACTCATTTTCTTTTTTTCTCACCGACAGTGCTGTTGGCTTCTCGCATTAAAGTGCTATGGCTGCGTGTAGCTGCAGCCTGCTACTACGCAGTTGTTTGCTACTTGGTTCTAATTCAGCACATGATTGGTTCAGTGCAAAGCGGACCCAGAGCATTGGCTATTCGTATAGTCTACCAAAACATGGCATCGTGCCAACTATTGAAAAGCATATTGACCATGTTTTTTATTCATATCGAGGGAGATTAATTTTCGATATATATCATTATCGTTTTATCGCCCAGCCCTACATAACAGGTAAATATATAACATATGTATTGCCTGTCTATCAAGGAATAGCAAAACCTACAGTAGATTAATTTCACAAGCTTCCTTATTTAAGAAATAAACTATTTTGGTAAATGCTGATATTATTTGAAATAAAACCCACTTTCTTCCTCTTGTCTAGAGTCCTATGTTGGACTTAAGTTGATAGAAGTGTGCACATTTCTTTGGAGAGGTGCTGTTCTCTGTATGTAACTTGCTAAGTGCCTTTTTTTGTCCCACAGCTTCCAGTAGGCCTCCTCCAGGAAAGAGATAAACGGGCCAAGTGGCATGGCATCCCCGTTCTGCTGCAGAAGCTCTATGAGAGCAGCCATCCCAACAGTGACCTCTCACATGCCCACAGCTTTCTTAAGGTAGCCACTACCGAGCAGCACTTCTCCTTGAGTAGTGAGATGGTGAAATTAACAGTAGCTACCACACGTCACTGAATGTGTCTCTATGGAACCGTGGTGATGTACATTAAATGTAAATGATTGTTTCTGTCAGGTTTTATCATCCCAGCTCTCCATGGAGGCCATGTCTTTTGTCACAGAGGACAGGAAGACTGCTCAGGAATCCACCTTCCCCAACACACATACCTTTGACCTATTTGGTGGAGTTGATGTAAGTCTGACATTTATGGTGTTGATGGTCTCTGGTTACCTGGAGACGTTTAAGCTTGATACCTAAGAAAAATTAGTTGTCGTATTGTACTGTTAATACCGATGCAGTTTTAGTTATAAAAGGTCAAAACTCTAAAAACTCTTATTTTCTGTTTCCTGAAGCTGCTGGTGGAGATCTTGATGAGACCCACATTAACAATGCAGAAGAAGAAACCAAAAAGTAAGTAGTACTTGCATCTTTCTTTGAATATAGCACATCAAAATGTGTTTTTGTATTTCATTAATTTCATCTTCTTACATTTATCCCTACTTCTGTGCTTCTGTTACAGTGAATGATGACTTGGTCAAAGACTGCCTTAGTGTTCTCTACAACTGTTGTATTTGTGTAAGTCTCCTACCATATCCCACGGAAAAATCAGAAGCCCACCTTACAGTGTCTCAGTTTAATTCATTTAAGTAGCAAGACATCTGTACAAAGCCAGATACAAACATTAAACTACCCTGCAATCTTTGTCTTTTCATTCAGACGGAAGGGGTCACAAAGAGCCTGGCAGCGAGGGATGACTTTGTTCTCTTTCTCTTCACCTTGATGACAAACAAAAAGACCTTCCTGCAGACTGCTACTCTGATTGAAGATATTCTTGGAGTTAAAAAGGTTAGAATTACATTTCCATTCAGTGCTCAGCAACTTGAACAGCATTTGTGGCCTAGGCAACTCCTCTTATGTCTTGTTTTTAAATGAATTTATTATCCCAAGTGTGATGGAGAAATTAGTCTTATTTTGTTGCTTTGTTTTCAATGTTGTGACTCAACAAACTCCAGATGATGTGCCACACAGAGCCTGCTTGCACCTCAGTGTCACATGTGCTTTGCGTCTTAATCATGGTGTGCTCTGTTGAAATGAGTCAGTGTCACCATGACAATACCACCCCAATGTAGGATTTTTAGAAGCATGTCAGATGCTCAAAAATTCAGCGGATATGCCAAACCCTGGAATCATGAAATAGGTTTACAGTTGTAACATTAAACTCAACAACTTCTGGGTCCAGTGTGTTGTGAAGCAAGAGCAACAGGAAGTCATAATTTTCAAAACAATGGCAACGGTCATTTTTTACAGGGGCAGATCATCCATTCGGTGTACTATGAAGTTCAACACCTAGGACTTTGTCATATCAACGAGTGTGTGGAAATTATATTTTGACATTTTCAGTATAGTAGAGTTGTTGCTAAAGACATTACAAAAAAACAATATCTTTGAAACAGAGTCATTTTAGTGGATAAAATACAGAAACACTGACGAAGTATTGAGATCAAACAGTGCAGGATTGTTGAGTCGGTCTTTGTCTTGTTGGTACCCCAGCTGATTGGTCGTAGTTGGCTAAAGAACCCAAAGTATTTCAGGTTCTTTATATTCTGTGCAGCGATTTATTCACAGATGGTTAAATAAGTCAGTTGTCAAGCTGTCTCTTTTGTAAACTACCGTCTGACGTGGTCTTTAGATGGGCGTCTATTGAGCAACAACCATATTTTTGAAGTCAAACCCCCGCCATGCAAGTAAAGGTAATCAATGTTCAGCAATTGGATCTGATAGTTGATTTCAGCCATGCAGGCAGCCATGTTCACTCAGCTTGTAGTGATGAGTAAATCACAAGCGCAGCAGTCTGCCCTACTATGCCTGATCACACCATTTTTCGGGATAATGAGTGACATATTAGATAATCTCGTGCATCATTTAAACAGCAATTAGATATATTATCTTAGGCAATATATTTCACACACAGGGATCCGCCAAACAAAGCTTTTCGAACCTCACTCTGATCAATATGAGAGGTGGTGCTAGTCACGCACAGTTGTGTTGAACATGATGTCCATCCGTCTGTTGTGATGGCACTCATTCAGCTTGAACAGGAGATGAAGCATAAAAATAATGCAGTTAAAGAGAAAAAATGATAATAACAACAACAAGAATCAAAATTGTTCAGCAATAATTAAAAAAAGAGAGAATATCACGGGAATAAAACAAGTAAAAGAAGCTGAAATAAAATGGTTATAATAAGGAGGGAAAAAGGAATAGACTTTTACATACAGACAAGTTTGTGAAATTGAATTTGAAGGAAAGGTTTTAGAGATGTCAGTGACCTCTGCATGCCATGTTTCCTCTAGCATGCTGTTCCAGAGTGGGCCCCTAAGGGAAAAAACACAATCTGAAGATTTTTGTCTAGCTCTGGAACGCTTTAAGTGGCCCAACCTGAAGATCTAATGCTTTAGGCGAGCTTCTACATGTCAACGTTTCTGTCTAAAAGGGAATTTGGAACCAGACCCAAGAGTGCTTAGAAAGCACTCTGTCATAACTTAAAATCTATGACAAGAGAAAATAAGATGATGTGATATGGTCTGTTCAACCCAGTAAAACACCTTTCTGCTATAGTCAGGACAAGTTAGAGGTGTTTTTTTTTTATGTATATAAGAGCAAGAAGAGAGTGACAGTAATTGAGTCTTCAAATTAGTGCATGGGTTGTACTTTAAGTGTCTGATTAACAGATTATGTGTTTTATTTTGGCAGAGGTACGTAGGAGAAATATGACTGTACAACCTTATTGACGTGATCATCCGTTACACTTTGTGTTAATTACCTGTTTTAATATGACTCATTATTGCCTCTGTAAATGATTTCTTGGACAATGTTATCCTCCTTCTCATCATCATCATCATCATATACTCACATTCATATTGATCTAAACTTTTTGTATCGTATATAACAATAACTGTATTTTAATTTTCAAAACAAGGGGCATTCAAATGTGTCTTTATTTTCTTATAGTCTTCATCTGACTATGGAGAACACTCCAAATTTACGGGGTTTTTGAGTCCATCAGAACTTCTTTCAGTTTGCCTCCTGAATTTTTTACAAATTTTAGGGAAATCCCATTTTATGTCTGTTTGATAGTTGGGTAATTTCTCACGTATTTGCATCTTTCAGGAAATGATTCAGTTAGAGGGCATCCCCAACCTGTCAGGACTGGTCCAAAGCTTCGACCAACAACAGCTAGCCAACTTCTGCCGTATCCTGTCGGTCACAATCTCAGAGCCTGATGTAGGTAACGATGACAAGCACACCCTGTTGGCTAAAAACGCCCAGCAGAAACGTAATGCCAGCCCGTCACGTGCAGAAGTCAACCAGGGTAGGTCATACGTTGGGTACAGCTGTCAAAATAAGTGTAATTGTGTTTGTTTGTTTAAATTAAAACTCTGAACATTAAAAGTGTTAAATATAACATTTTTTTCCCCTCGATAGTAACCCTTCTGAATATTCCTGGCTTCATCGAGCGGCTGTGTAAGCTGGCCACCAGAAAGGTGTCGGAGGCAACAGGAGCTAACTTCCTGCAGGAGCTGGAGGACTGGTACACCTGGCTAGACAATGCTCTGGTTCTGGACGCCCTCATGCAGATGGCAACAGAGGAGCCTGAACAAAGCAGTACTGGTGAGATAATAACCACCTAACCTGACTTATTCAGATTTTTGCAAACTGAAAAATCAACTCTCAAGACTTTCAGTCACCCCTGAAGATAGTGTAATTTATCTTGAAACCTCTGTATGATCAGAGTATACATAGTTGAGGGCAGCTGTGTATCTGCATGCCAGTGACAGTGGGTTACCATAGTAACTGGGCACCCTGTGTTTGGCACGCTTAAATTTTTTGATAACTTTTTATTTTGCTGCCATTAAGTTTGATGTAAAGAAAAGAAAAAAACAGAAAATATCCATCAGCACTTTTGAAGGTTAATGAAACTCTTTTAACAGCTGAATAAGCTGTAATGATACATGATTACAAGTGCCACACCCTGCTGCTCTGCTGTCTGTATATATTTTCCTGTTGTATTGTCCTTCCTGACTTCAGCTGCATTTTCCTAGCTTATTAAATCTTCTGATCTTTGCTTGATTTAGTTCTGTTCCTCTTTTCGTCAGAGTCGTCAGATGAAAGTTCTCTCGCCACCAGCCCGCTGAGACACCGGCTGCCCCAGTCCATGAAGATTGTCCATGAGATCATGTACAAAGTCGAAGTGCTGTATGTGCTTTGTGTCCTTCTGATGGGCCGACAGAGAAACCAGGTACTTACCAGTGCACACACTCCTACTCTTCTTCTGTTGACAGGCGAGATGCAGTGGTTGTGGTGAGTAGATTTAAAATGTGCCTTTTACCGACCTCTTGATTGTGTCTCTCTACAGGTCCACAAGATGCTGGCAGAGTTCCGCCTCATCCCGGGGCTCAACAACCTGTTTGACAAGCTGATCTGGAGGAAATACACCGCCTCAAACCATGTGGTCCATGGCCAGAATGAGAACTGTGACTGTAGTCCAGTATGTACTGAAAACCTGCATATGAACACTGCTTTGAGGCTGGGCGATAAAACAATAACGAATTTTAGCGAAAATTAAATTCCCTCAATATCGATATAAAACATGGTCAATATGCTTTTCGATAGTCAGCATTCTTCCATGTTTTGGTAGACTATATGATTAGCCAATGAAAAGGGGAGTTGCTCCAGGTCCGTTTTACGCTGAACCAATCATGTGCTGAATTAGAACCAAGAAGCAAACAATTGCGTAGTAGCAGGCTGCAGCTAAATGCAACCATAGCAATACCTCAAATCTTTTTAACCACCTGAAGCAGCGCCATGCAGCAGAGCACACACACTGCAGAAGGTTACAAACTCCCGAGTGGAGTAAGGAGCCCATGGTGCCTGTGCAGCCGAAACAGCCGACCATTCAGTCCTCAAAGACCTCACAGATGCAGTAGTTTATTGTATTGCAAAAGACATGCTACCAATACCAGCACGGTTAAATTTCATTTGTTATATTGTGATATATATCGATATTGACTGATATGAAGAAAATATATAGTGATAAACTTTTCCCCATATGGTCCAGCCCTACTTTGGCATGATCATTTCCACTTTTTAAGTCAAAGATAAGCAGTCTCTTTTCTCTTTGTGCAGGAAATATCCTTTAAAATCCAGTTTCTTAGGCTACTTCAGAGTTTCAGTGACCATCACGAGTAAGTTACCGTGACTTCACTCACATATTTAGTCTGACTTTTTTTCTAGAAGTTGTTTTGTTTACACCTTTTCCCCTTGCTTTGTAGAAACAAATACCTCCTGCTGAATAGCCAGGAGCTGAATGAACTGAGTGCCATTTCCATGAAGGCCAACATCCCCGAGGTGGAAGCTCTGGTCAACACAGACAGAAGCCTGGTGTGTGACGGGAAGAAGGGCCTCCTCACACGCATCCTCACTGTCATGAAGAGAGAGCCTCCAGATTCATCCTTCAGGTAAGCATCGCAGTCGGGATGTGAAGCACTCACTGCCATTTTTAAGTAGTTTTGTCTCTCTTGCTCTGCTGTTTAAAGCTTGGCTGAAGCTCTCCGTTGTGTTTGTAGATTCTGGCAGGCGAGGGCAGTGGAAAGTTTCCTCCGTGGAGCCACCTCCTATGCAGACCAAATGTTCCTCCTGAAGAGAGGACTACTAGAGGTAAAGCTACAATCCAAGACTGTTACTCTCATTATCCACTGAGCGTTGTAAATAATTTATTCACATTGCACAGATCCGTCATATTTTGACATGTACGGGTTGCTTCTGTCTCTCCAAAGCACATCCTGTTCTGCATCATAGACAGCGGCTGCACTTCACGGGATGTCCTGCAGAGCTACTTCGATCTGCTCGGGGAGCTCATGAAGTTTAATATTGATGCCTTCAAAAGATTTAACAAATACGTCAACACTCCAGAGAAGGTAGAATTAATGTACAGCTCTAATACAACGCTTTAATATATTTTCTGCTTCTGTGGGAAAAGTCATAAATGAGTGAAATGATGTTTCCTTTGTCTTCAGTTTCAGACGTTCCTGACACAGATTAACAGTTCTCTGGTGGACTCCAACATGTTGGTACGCTGCATTGTCCTTTCATTGGACCGCTTTGAGAGTCAGACCGAAGATGTGAAAGGTAAACAAAGGACTGCCTTTAATAAACGCAGTCTGCTTTGCTACAGGAAATTCCAAAGAAGAAGTTGGCAGTATCATTTCTTGATTCAGTGAAATGAAAAGTACTTTCAAAATCGCACATAGATGGAAGTTCTCATCCTGTTAGGTGCTGACTGTGGACTGGTGTGTATTTTTTTCCCCAGTGGTGGAGGTACTCTCTGAGTGCTGCCTGCTGTCCTACATGGCTCGAGTTGAGAACAGGCTGTCTTTCCTATTTCGACTGATCAACATCATCAACGTCCAAACCCTCACACAGGTCTCCCTTAGTTTTTTAATGTGTCCGATTTATTCGCAGAAAATCAGTCAGTCCGTTTACATGACACTTGAGAAAACCGAATTATTTCCTTACTCCGATTAACACTGGACAACTGAAGTGCATGTAAACACCTTAGTCCAACTATAATCAGAGTTTGAGAACTCTGATTGAGACACCCAGATAATGCGATTGGAATTCGATTTTCTCTACCATGTAACCAGCGTAGTAGGAGTATGATAGGACAATGCATGTGTGCGTGGGCCACGCCCCCCTAACCCCCGAACAAAAACACCAGAGAAGAGGAGTAGCGCGAACCTCATCTGCAGAAAAAGGAGCGCGTACATCATGTACGACAAAAACAACGCTGTACGATGCTCCATCTCCTTGCTCGAAAATGTCCTAGCAGCAGTTTTTGCCACTTCTGACGTCTGGCATGGACCTGCTGTTTTTGCCGTTGGTTCAACTGGAAACGGCACCGCTGAAAAGACCCATGTCGACCCCTAGTTTTGGGTAGGAGGACACGGTCACGTCAATAATTCGATTTTCTCAGCTGCATGTATACGCAGACAAAGGGAGAAGTCTGATTTGGCAAAGAAACCAAATGATGAGCTTAGTCTGATTGAGCTGTTCATGTAAACGCACTGACTGTTCCAGTTCTGTAAACCATGATTATTCAAATGTATACTTGAGGTACTGTGAATTTCATCAATGAAGCCTTTGTTTCCCTCTACATTTATCTTGTCTCATTTTTTTGCTTCAGGAGAATGTGAGCTGTTTAAACACCAGTTTGGTGATCTTGATGCTGGCCAGGAGAAAAGCAAAATTGCCCTTCTACCTCAACGCCCTGCGGGAGAAGGAGTATGCCGAAAAGTACCCCGGCTGCCTGCTCAACAACTTCCACAATCTGCTGCGCTTCTGGCAGCGCCACTACCTCAACAAGGACAAAGACAGCACCTGTCTAGAGAATGTGAGTAGCTCTTTCCAAACACAGGTGAAACACAACTTGAAACAATATCGTCATCAGTCTTGACAAGCTGCACCATGCAGACAGCATGTCAGCAGCACAATATTACCGAGCGTTTGAGTGAGCATGGTTATAAAAAAAAAAAGAGGAAACATTTGGGGACTTTGCGTGTTGCCTCACACATAAAAAAAAGAGCAAAATCAAAAGTGAAAGACCATCGAAAGAATCTGCATGCAGAGATAATCACAACAGAACACCAGTGTCCATGTGTTTATGATTTAGTGAAAAAAGTACATCAACATTTACAAAGGGCTTCAAAGACAGATACAGGACATGCAAGCCCAGCTTTGTTCAACATCAGAAGTACTGATAAATGTTGTGAATGGGTCACCGACTGTGTAGGAACTATAGCAGCTTCTCTCACACATTGCCTCTTACTTCAGTTCAGCTTTTTGTGCTCATTGTTTCTGTTTCACACTTTCCAATTTTAATCAGCATTGTTTCCATCAACAACAGCAAGAAAAGCTCAGATAAATCCCATAAGTAGTACTTGATGAAGCACCAGATAAAGCTGGTAACTTGCTGTAGTTCAAGAGAGCATTTAGCGGCTCTACAGTGTGGTATTATTTCAGCAAGGTAGGAAACACACCAAAGTTAGCTGTCGTCAAGAACTACTGGTCAGGTGAACCTCAATATCAGTCTGCATTTGCTGAATGTCTGCAGGTAACTTGTTAGAGGGATGTACATGTTGAACTTTTTGCTGTTCTGCTGCCATCATGTGGTGGAAAAAATGCCTGCTTCTTTTTAAAAAAGATTTCATAAATGTGATGAATGTATATGTATCTTTTTTTAACCTGTCTACTACATTAGGGTTAGTAGTTTCATAGTGTTCTGCCAGAACATGAAAACCATTGATCATTTGTATAATATATGATAGAATTTGGGGGTCTGTGTATTTGGTAGGGTATGAGTATACATGTCCGAGTAGGTGCTGGGTTGATCTCTCTTTAGTCCATGTATACAGAAGGCTCTAAATCCTCACTGGTTTCCCTTTTCAGAGCTCCTGTATTCCCTTCAGCTACTGGAAGGAGACGGTATCTGTGCTGCTGGGTTTAGACAGGACTTCTCTGTGTGCCATAGCGAGCTACATTGATGAGCCCTTCATGGACCTGGACAGAGACCTTTTGGAGGATTGACCTCCAGTGTGTAAACTCGGGGTGGGGCAGGGCAGAGGGTCACTGAGAGCAAAGACACCTCCCGCTGGCGAAGACTCCTCTGAGCCGAGCCGTTCAGGCACTCTGTGACTGTGCTCTGGATGTACGGACTCACACAATTGGTGTCGGTACCTTCGCATGGAGGCTGTCGTCATGGCTTTGTGGGGATATGATTTACACTAAATTACTGGGCTGTTTTTCTGAGGAGGAGGAGGAGGGGAAACCTTCATGCCCACTCTAGGTCACCCACATCGATTAACAGACAATTAAGTGACTTAGTGAAATGACACCTGCATTGGTTGTTTGTTGTAGGTGAACTTCAGATAGAGCCTTTTATATAACCTATACAAAGTTCTATGGAAAAAAAAAAAAGTATGATTCATTAAATTCTATGTTAGATAAAGAAAAATATCCGTTTTACGCGGTTGGCCACAGAGTAAACTGTCAGCCTGATGCAATGCATTGATGCATCACAAGGCTGCCAGGAGTCACCAGCCTCAACCACCCACTACCTACACGCACCAGGCTGACTTTGTGCCAATTCACCAACTTTACCGGCAGGGTGGCGAACTGGTGAATTTGGAGTTTTTACAGGCGTACTCGTGAACAGCAGTTTCATTTAACCTTTCTGTGGGTCTACTATGATTGGTGCTTTCTGGCTCTTCTTCGGCACATCGAGATAGCTTGTGGGCCGGATGACACGTTTCACAAATCACACAGGGCTCCTCATCTGAAACCATCCCCCTCTGTTGTGGTGTCTGAAGGTTCACCTGGGGCTCATCTCTTTACCAGGTTATTTTTGTTGATTTACTTTTATCCTGTTTGAAATATGGCTTTTAGCTTTGAAAACAAAACAAAAAAACAACTGTAGAATAAAGGATGCACAGGTAAACTTGTTTTTGTTTATATATTTTAACACATTTGTTGATTAAAAAGGTCTTCATTTTGTAACATGATTTGTATTGATGTGAGAGATGCTTTAGAAAAAGAATAAACTATGCAGGCACTAGTGTTAAGTTACCACTTTCATTGCTCCAGTCCTCACAAAGTTCGTGTGTAACCTTCTGCCCAACAGCATCGCCTTTGAGGGTTTTACGACTTTCTCTGGTTTCTGCTATTTCTCAAAAATCTTTGCTACAAGTTAAGAATGACAATCGCTCTGTGTAATGGCTCTTCTTTGCATGGCACCACTTGAGCTGTCGTCGAAACAAAGACAAAAGCGGTGGGCGAGGCTATGTTGTTGTGACTGTCCATGGCCTGAATGTGCAGCTGTTTTGGTTGAAATTGAAAAAATGCAGACATGAATAGAATTTTTGGTGTCTCAAATTAAACAGACCCAACCTGAGATAAGTACAAATGGTTGAGCTACCTCATGTTTTATCCTGACAGCATAAAGATCAAACCACTTCTGATGATGTGTACAGTTTTACTCCCAGCATGTCATGGTTCATAGTACATGTTCATGTGAATGTATAAAGACATTTCTACAGCTGGCCCCTGATGCCATGAGTTCTTAGTGCTATGCCGCCTTGGGATGCAAACACAAACGTCCTTTACACTTTGAAAGCCTTTTATTTGCTTTAAAGCTAACCAACCAGAAATGCTTTTCTTTCTAGCTTTCATTCAGCATGTCTTAAATCTCTTGGTAGGTGTGCACATATTTGAATAAGTTCATCTTTTTTGCTTTGCAATGAATATAATGCAATTACACTTTACAAGTGCTTCTCTAACAAACTCCCAGTTTCTGCTGCCTGAGGTAACTGCAATGATTTCTTGATGACATGATAATAATGATGATGTAATCTAGCACTGGGTATTTCTGCAGTGGTGTCATATTATTAAACTGATCAGGTGTTACCTTCTTTCCAAATCCCTATTATCACTCTTGTCACCCATCATGACAGTTAATCACGCTATCGGTATAGAAACATGAATGTTGTGAGCACTCCTCTGGGGCGACTGTATTAACTATCTCTGATACCTGTAGCTTTGTAATCTGAATGAGAGAGTGGCCACTTTTGTATGATGCACAAGAGGATTTGTTCTGCTGTATGTGGTGTGATGCTCCTAGTAGGCCTTAGATTTCATTCATTTTTTATGTAAAGAAAATGGTGAAATGTTATGCCCTCTGGCCAAGAACATGCTGCATTGTGTTAAATATAACACTATTTGGTTTTTTTTATTTTAGAGTTTGGATCCCTGATATTTTGACTTTTCTCTGTTTTTGGCATGGAGATATCAGTTTTGCAGTCATTGATCACAAATGTTAAAAACTAAGACTGTATGGTGCTTCTTTGGTCAAACATGTAGGTCCCCCCCTTCACCAGTAGCGTTTCTTAAAAAGAACAACCTTATGGGATACAGAGGGTGGCTTCAACATATAGTGTAAAATCATGATAATTCCTCTTAGAAAACAGTTACCCTTTTTTCTTCATTAATCTTTGCAATCCCTAAAATCTCACAGTGGTTGTATTTGAACATTCACTTCTGCACCCTTTAGTCTTAATAACCTTCTAGCCGGGTATAACTCTCATTAACTACCTGATACATCTTTCAGTTTCACATTCTATTCTCTCTACTTCTGTAATCAACTTTCACCCTTTTGTTCTTCTCTAATGCTGGTATTGAACTTCATTTTCCTTATTTAAAAGCTGTTTGTCAAACAAGTAATATAATAAATTCTGCTTTAGACCTTCGTTGTCGGACTTCCATCTGTCTGATATTCATGCTGAGATCAAAATAAAAACCAAGGTAGACATAGAAAGGTTGATAAGTCTTTATTTAGGTGTGTCCTCACAGTTGAGCACAGCTGTTGCAGCTGGGTGGCTGTGATATGTTTGGACACAGATTGCAACCTCAGGACATCACTCGGCGAGCTGGAATACACAAGATAGGGGTGTTTATTAGCAACCACATACACAGTATTATAGAGTTACTCAAGACTACACAACTACACTACAGATCACATGAGGGGGCTATGTGAGGTCATCGTCAACAGATGATTACATCTTGTCCTTTCTAAGATTAGGTCTTTTAATGAGCCTGCAGGCTAATTTTAGTAAATACTTCCAAAGGTCATACGACATGACTGCATACTGCAACAAAAACAATTATATTTAGTTCACCAACCTTGCTAACTTGGTCGCGGGTGCGGACCCGCAGCTTGTTGACCTGTGTTTCAGCCATGTCAGCCCTCTCCTCTGCATCATCGAGCTCATGCTGGAGCTTCCTGAACTTTGTCAGGCTGGAGTTTGACTGCTCCTCCTTAAAAAGGATGACACAAAGAAAACTTAGATTTGTAGTGAGCTGTAAAAACACTCCAGTACCCCAGTTACAGTTGTCATAGTCATTCATCACTTATCATCTACAATAATCAACTCCAAATAATGGACTCACCGCTTCTTCTGCCTGTCTCTTGTAACTCTTCACCTTGGTCTGCAGCTTGTCAATGAGGTCCTGCAGGCGGACCAGGTTCTTCTTGTCTTCCTCAGCCTAAACCAACACAACAGCGACTTCTTACTCTACTTTCAAGGTAACACACCTGAACACTTCCTGTACAAACACAGTGATGATTTACCTGGTAGGCGAGCTCTTTGATTCTCCTCTCATACTTGCGTACACCTTTCTGGTACTCCTGACTCCTCTTTTGCTCAGACTCCATTTCACTCTCCAGTTCTTTCACCTACAAAGTGGTTCAGAAAATTACCAGCCTATTCACCGCAATGAAGTAACCTAAGCTTTCACACCAACACATCTCTCACCCTGGCCTCCAGCTTCTGGACCTGCTTCTTGCCTCCTTTGAGAGCAATCTGCTCAGCCTCGTCCAGACGCATCTGCAGATCCTTGACTGTCTGCTCCATGTTCTTCTTCATCCTCTCCAGATGAGCACTAGTGTCCTGCTCTTTCTTCAGCTCCTCTGCCATCATGGCTGCCTACAGTTTAAAGGATCATGAGTCTACTTACCGAAGACAAAAATCATGATAATCCAACCTTTCTATGGCTGGTCTTTAGTTCCTGCTCAGTGAGGATATATTGTGAATTAGGGGTCTTACATCAGTGATGGCCTTTTTGGCCTTTTCCTCAGCATTGCGGCACTCCTGCATTGCATCATCCACCTCATTTGACAGTGTGGACAGATCAGATTCCAGCTTCTTCTTCTGGTTCAGCAGTCCTGTGTTCTGAAAAACAAAAAACGAAATGCTGACTTTAATCATGACATCATCTTTAAATGTTCATTAATCTCTTTTTTCGTCAAGTGATTTAGCTGTTTCAGATGCATCATAGTGTAGGTGTATCCACATTAACCAACCTGTGAGTGCAACAGGTTCACTCTCTCAGTTGAGCTGAGCAGCTCGTGCTCTGCTAGCTTGCGCGCTCGATCGTTCTGCTCCAGCAGAGCTCTGAACTCCTCCACCTCGGCTGCCAGCAGGTTATTGCGGCGTTCAGTCAACGCCATCTGCTCCTTCAGCTCCTCATTCTTGTGAACAGTGTCATCCAACTCCAGCTGAAGGTCCTAGGGTCAAAGGTCAGGTAGAATTAAGGATTTTGCCTAGCATGTCGACAATGATGTTTGTGTCAATGAGTCTGGCAGCAGTGAGGTTCACTGTCTGGCTGTGAGATGGACTTACTTTGATCTGAACCTGCAGGCTTTTCAGCAGTTTCTGAGACTCTGAAGCCTGCCTGTTGGCATGGTTCAGCTGCACCTCCATCTCATTCAGATCAACCTCCATCTTCTTTCTCAGACGCACCGCCTCATTACGGGACCTGGTCTCTGCATCCAAGGTGGTCTGCATGGACTCCAGTGTTCTCTGGTGGCTACGGCTAAGGAGAAAGGCAACGTGGAGAGATATTTTAAGTATCTATGTTGGTGGAAAGACTCACGATGAATGAGGTAATCAATAATTCTCACCGAAGGTTGTCAAGCTCCTCTTCCTTCTCTGCCAACTTCCTGTCAACTTCAGCCCTGATTTGGTTAAGCTCCAACTGGATTCTCAGAGTTTTGCTTTCTTCGTGCTCCAGAGTGCCCTGAAACAGACAGACACTTAAAACTTGACAATCCTTCGAGGGAAATCTCAGCCAAATAGACATGAGATGACTTAGTCAACAGCTTACTTCAACTTCCTCCAGGCTAGCTTGAATCTCACTCTTCTCTATCTCCAGACCCTTCTTAATTTTTTCCAGCTCATGGATGGTCTTAGCTCCATGACTGATTTGATCAGACAGGTCAGAGATTTCCTCTAAAGAAGCAAAGAAAGAAAAATTGTTTGTTTTTCATCTTTGAGAGGTATGCTGTCAGTTTGAATGCATCTTTTACTCTGAGAGCTGAATGACAGGTACCTTGGAGATTCTTGTTTTCCCTGTTGATGGTCTCCAGATGATCCAAGGTCTCCTCGTAGGAGTTCTTCAGTTTGAAGAGCTCTGTGCTCAGGCCACGGGACTCTTTCTGAGAGGTCTCCAGCTCCGACTGGCACTCCTCATACTTCTGTCTCCATTCAGCCAGCACCTGAAGGACAACATATACACATTTGAGCCATGCAGAAACAAATGAGATGACGTTGTCTCAATGCCATAGAGTCCTCAGGCCATAATGCTGCATTTGAGTTACCTCAGAGTTACCAGTGTTTCAGTTACCAAGTTGGAAAAAAGCAAAATCGGAGGCGGAAACAAGACGGCTACATCTAAGAAAGTTATTTTAGCACTTGCCTTGTCCGAATATAAGCAAGGACAAGGCAAGCCCTAAAATAACTTTCATAGATGTAGCCATCTTGTTTCCACCTCCGACTTAGCTCTTTTCTGACTTGGTCACTGAAATGCTGGTAACTCAGGTGTGACGTCATTCCCAGCTCTGACATCTGACTTCCGAGGTAACTCAAACGTAGCACAAGATACACATTAACTATTATTCTCTAAGGACAGCAAAATCAATTATCTGTACAGTTGGTGTTTGGCTAATACCTTGTCAAAGTTGCGTTGCTTCTTGTCAAGGGCAGCAGCCGCAGCATTGGCACGCTCCAAATCAATGACCAGATCTTCGATCTCCATCTGCAAACGATGTTTGGTCTTCTCCAAAGAGGAGCACTTGGCATTACAAGCCTCTACAGACTCTTCAGCCTCTTGGAGACGCACCACCACCTTCTTCCTGATGAGAGGCAAACACAGTTAATGCTCATGAATTCAAACAGTCATTGTGTGCCATCAAATAAAAAACATATTAAAGGTGAAATGTGTTTGAAATACGTTCAAACTCTCACTAACTTGGCCTCTTCCAGCTCCTCAGTCCTCTGGATAGCATCAGTTTCGTACTTTGTCCTCCACTGAGCCACCTCTGCGTTGGCCTTAGACAGAGCTCTCTGCAGCTCAGACTTGGCCTCCTGCTCCTCGTCATACTGCTCTCTCAGGAGATCACAGTCGTGTCGAGATGACTGCAGCGAGTGGGCCAGAGCGCTCTTAGCCTAAAGGCATAAGTCATGATGGTTGAGAACAATTACTCAAATGTTAGAGACTCAGAGCTTCTGCAGAGGCAGCTGCCAGTTTGGTGAAAAAATACAGTGATGATGCAGGGATGAGGTACTGACCTTGTTCTCCTCATCCAGCTGTTTCTTGAGTTCCTCAACGTTCTGGCTGAAGGAGTTCTTGGAACGTTGAAGCTGAGAGACCATGGCTTCCCGCTCTTCGAGCTTTCTGCCCATCTCACCTATGGTTGTGAGAAAGGTGTTCCTGCATTACTAATTTGTTTGTGAAATGTGCTTCTGAAGTTCTTGATCTGAGGAAAGTTCCTCACCACTCTCAGCCTGAGCGCGGGCTCTTTGGGAGTTGGCTTCACTGAGCTGCCTCTGGAGCTCATCAACCCTGGCTTTAGCCTCATTCATCTGGTCTTCATACAGCCGGCACATCTTCTCAGAAGCAGCCTGCAGACCAGAGATGGACATTTGGAATTTGATCAACCTTGCTCTTGGTCTTCTACCAAACCACTCAGTTTGTTGCTTCTATCTGATCCACCTACCTTGCCTTTGGAGAGCTGCTCCACAGTAGATGTCAGATCATCTGCCTCCAGCTTAGCCTCGCTCCTCTCCTTCTCCAGCTTCTGCTTGACTCTCTGCAGGCTGTCGATTTGCTCACTCAGCTCTGCGATGGTGTCGGCGTGCTTCTTGCGTAAGGCTGCTGTGGTGGCCTCATGGTGCAGCATGGCCTCCTCCAGGTCTCGCCGCAGCTTGAGGAAATCTGCTTCCCTCTTCTTGTTGATCTCCACCTGGGCTGAGGTGGCTCCACCAGCCTCCTCCAGGCGCTCGCTCAGATCTTCGAGTTCACGAGCCACGTCACCACGCTGCTTCTCAACCTTTGCCCTGGAAGCTCGGTCAGCCTCCAACTCTTCTTCAAGCTCTTCTGTGCGGGCCTGGAGGAAAGAAGTTTCTCTTAATAATAATTCATTCAGGGCAGCTCTGTTGGCGTGTAATATTTAGAGACTCGTGTTCACCTGCAGCTCCTTTATCCTCTTGTGAAGCTGAATGACCAAAGCTTGCTCATCTTCAATCCTGGAGCTTATCTCATTCATCTCAAAGTCTTTCCTAGTTTAAGAAACAAAGGAACATTAACAATTGTTAATTTAATAGGAAACCCTTTAATAGGAACCTGAGGTATGTGGTGTGAAAATGACAACTCTTACTTTTTCAGCTTCTCTTCAAGTTGCTGCTTGTCATTCTCCAAGTCCATGACCGACTCCAGGGAGAGTTTCAGATCCCCCTCCAGCTTGCGTTTAACCCGTTCCAGGTCCATACGCAGCTTCTTTTCTTGTTCCAGTGTGCCCTCCAGCTGTTTCATAGTAGGAAGTTTCAAGCTGTTAGATTTTATGTGTGAGTGATCACCAGCTGAGAAGAAAACACGCAACAGCATCTTTTTCCTCTTGGTCTGCTAAAACCACTCACATCATCTACTTGTTGCTCCAGCTTGACTTTGGCTTTAGTGAGAGTGTTGACTTTGTCTTCCTCTGTCTGCAGGTCGTCCAGAGTCTGCTGATGAGCCTCAGTGAGAGCCTTCTTCTCTTTGGTCAGCTTTAGGATGGTTTCATCCAGAGCTGCCATTTCTTCGATCAGGTTCTTCACCTATGTGCCAAGAGAAAATCATATTTGATGATTATGTCTGTCTGGGGCCTCTGAATGCCCACTTTAGTCAACTCACTGATCCACGCTTCGATTTTTCCTTACTTTGTTCTCAGTGGCGTGCTTCTCCTTTTCCACTTTGGCCAGTGTGATCTCCAGATCATCAATGTCTTTCTTCAGCTCGGAACACTCATCCTCCAGCTTGCGTTTTTTGGCGAGCACATTAGCACTCATCTCTTCTTCATCCTCCAGCCTTTCCGTCATTTCTTTGACTTTGGCCTCCAGCTGGATCTTAGTTTTTATGAGCAAGTCACAGCGGTCCTCAGCATCTGCAAGATTATCTTGCTCCTGTGGCAGACAGCAGAGAAGGGGGAATATTTAGTGTTTTCAAACATTTTCATGCTCTATGTCCAATCAGGAGTGCCACTTACTGCCTGCAGCTGGAGAGCCAGGTCATTCTTCTCTTGGATCAGGCTGACCTGCTTCTCCTCCAGCTCTTTGCGTTTTATTTCAGATTTCTCCAGAGCCTCCTTCAGCCTGGCTAGCTCCTCCTTAAGAGCGGCAAGCTCTTTCTCTGTGGCTGCGCTCCTCAATAGAGGCTTGATTTTGAAAAAGAGTTTCATCCAGGGCCAGTGCTTGACAGCGTTGAAAGCCCGAATGTTCCACTGGATGATCATCAGAGCCTCCCTGGATTGGGATAAAACGAAAGAGGAGGAAAGTCAGAAGTTTGCCACCACAAAAATTCTCTTTTTGGATTGGACATTAATCTTGAAATTCACAGAGTATTTTAAGCAGAGGTATGTTAGCTCAGTACATCAAAGCTGTGTCCACCAGCTGCTCTCAAGTATCAATAACTTGTACAGTACGGCCTGAAAGCTACATGATGGACCGATCAACCCCTCATTTTTTACCTGTCTGTGCTCTCTCACAGCCTAGTCCTACCAGACACACTTCAATACATCAAAGAAAAACAAACTGACTTCAGCAAATCAAAGTTTTTCTATTTGCTACTTGTTGCCCTGCCTGGCAGCATAGCCTTGTCGGAGCGTGGGTTTGAGTGGTAGTGGACAGCTGTCAATCAAGGAAAAAGAATTTAGCAGCATTATGGTGCACAGACACTACCAGAGTGATTTTTCCTGTCAAAACAGCTCTGATAACCCAGAAGGCTGAAGAGTGGCTTGGACAGTCAGCTCTCACCAGACCTGACTGTCAAAGATGGTGAAGTTGGGAAAGAGGCCAGTGTTCTGGTGCCTGAAGTCCCACTAAAGTAGAAATACATTTTTTTCATTTTTCCAGCTTAGAAATTTGCTCTAATTAGACTAAAAAAGCTGCTTTACTTCTGTGTTTGTTGTGTTCAGATTCGGCCATCATTAACAGCTATGGCTTCTTCTGAATACTGACAACTGTGTGTTTGTTGGTGTGTAATGGAACTGGATTGGTCGACCTCTGCAGACCAGTAACTTTTAAAAACTGGATTTTGGTTTAAAAAAGAGTGGACACTTCCAACCCCCCTAAACAGACTGAATAAACACATTTAATCCTACAATAACTTAGAACCAAAGATTTGAAAGCGATCAACAGCACTAGGGGGCAGGGTTTTTCTAAAGATGGGCCACCCAGCCCCCCATTTGGCCCCGCCTAAGTGACATATACTTCTAATACATGATTCAGTTAATATGAGTGCTGAGAGACCGACTACTGACAGAGTTTAACAATGACTTTTTTGTGACTCCACCAGTAAAGGTTCTTTTTCTGCATTTATGTTTAATCTATAAACACAGGAGTCTAGTGGTGGTGGTTTTGATAGCAGGGCTGTTGAAACATGAGAAACAAAAGGTCAGGACTCGACGATGTACACTGCAAGGTTCTTTAAAGAGCAGTATAAGTTAAGTTCAAGTAAACCCAAGAAGGTCAAAAAGATTTGTTCTGAAGTCCCCCCGTCTATTTATTTAGTTACTTATCCTTGGCGCTTAATTTCTGCCACTAATCCTACAACTCTGTGCTCCATGGTGCCTAATCATACACCGAGGAGTGTGACATGAAATCATAGACCTGATGCTGCTTTTGATGTTTGCTAACTGGAACCAAACAGGGCTACCAGGTTGAGTTGGTCTCAGTAGAATGGCGTCTCACAGCCCTAAATATGGATCCAGAGCAGACCGGTCAAGGACTTCCTGTCAGTGTTTAGAGGGTAAGTTTGAGTGAGCGAGCACACGCCAGGGTGGGAGGTGACTGAATAAGGGTGGGGGGGGAGCTGATTGCATTTTTGACATGACTCCATGCCGGGTGCCTCTCAAAGGTGAGCGTCTGTGTTTATTTAGAAACCATAGACCTCTGTCCAACGGCCGACTTAAATCCTCTGTCACCCGCCACATATCCTACCAATGCACTCACTTAGAAGTACAGGCGCCGCGGACAAAAGGGGCCAGGGGCCATCGGGCACGAAGGGGGCTGGTGGTTGTATTTTTAGGGAGGGCCCGCGCAGCTGCCACTTGACACATGTCACCACCTGGCTCTGTGGACACCGTCAGCATTGTTTAATTTAGAGAGAGTGGATGGAGAGAATGATCGGAGACCTGCAAGAGGGGTGTGTGTCTGTGTGTGTCAGTGTGTGTGTGTCAGTATGTGTGTGCATGTAAGGGAGGGGGCCCTTATTAACAGTATGGCCACACACATGCCTGGTAACCAAACAAGGGCAAGCACACGCCTCACACACGCCGATAACACTGCCCTTGCATGCCACACATACTGGAGCGAGGGAGTGAACTCTAAGGTATAGTGTATCACAGGCTGAAAGGCTCGCAGCTGATCGTGTTGCTATTGAACCTGTTCAGAGAAGCAACTGTTGAGGGAGGCCTTTTTGTACTCATGTCTTCACCTTCTTGGCATTGAGTGATCAAGCTCAAGGGCTCTCTCATACCTTAGGGTACATGTAAAGTCTACGCAATTTATTTTTTTAAAAAAGGTTCATAATTTAAAAACAATATTTAAATCTTTTTACCTTCTTTCCATCATCTTCATCAGCTCGATCCTCATGATTTTGCCTCGAGCGACTGCCTGCAGCAGGGTCAAGACTTTGGCCAAACGCTCATCTCTCAGCTCCTCGAGGTGGCCCAGCAGACCCGCCTTGAAGAACACCTACATGATACAGGATTAAACTATCAGGTATTTAGTTTAACAGCAGCTCCTTACTGCTCTGTGTTACCGATCAGCTCCTCCGCCTACCTTTGTATGTCCAAATCTGTACTGGTTATGGTCGATATCCAGGGAGGCCAGCAGCTTCTCTGCAGCTTTCCTGCTATCCACAAACTTGTCATCTGGGATGGCCTGGGGGTTCAGGATGCGGTAGCTGCGTGAATAAACACACAAGTGTTTCAGTACCAATTATCACTGTAATTTCAAGTGCAAGAAACAATATCCAAAGTAATCTGATCTCGCTCTGTACCGCTGTTTGAACTCGGCGTAGAGGATGCGGTTGGGAAAGCCTTTTCTGCAGATCCTGATGCCTTCCAGCACACCGTTGCAGCGCAGCTGGTGCAGCACCAAGAATGGATCCATTATCCCTGTGCAGATCAGGTTGTAAACATGTTATTAGTCCCATCAGTTGAGCTCCTGATGGCATGTGATGCTTGTATTCTATGTTACCTGGAGTTTTGGTCTCATTAGGTATAATGCAGCGTACAAAGTGAGGCTGGGTGCTACGCAAGTTGGTCATCAGCTTATTCAGATTTTCCTGGAGAAAAGAAGAAAGATGAGAGTTAAATGAGTTTTTATTAGTTTAAGTTCTAGTGTTGAAGCATCGATGCGCCAACTCAAACAACAAAAGCGACATGTTGGGTTTTTTGCACTCTGCAGTTTTGGTGTGAAGTCCTTGATGTGGGGAGGAGAGGAGCCAGCACAGACTTAAAGTGATGTTCATGTGATCAATGCCCTAAACATCACTGCAAGTCTTAACTGCCTCCAACCAGCTTTCCAGGGACGTCCACAATTTATCTTCTCACACAAATATAGGATGTCATGTTCATTCAAACACTCTTCTGGACTGTCAGTCTCACCTTATGGAGCTGAGACACGGTCTGGAAGGAGGCAGCTTTCTTCCTCTTCTCCTTTCCACCAGCCTTGTGGTCGGGAGCTGGAAATCAATTTGCAGAACAGTCAATGTGGCCCCTGTCCTTTAGTCGTCTTAGTCCTCCAACAGACTCTAGTCTACTGTACCTGAGTCAGAGCCGACGTAGTTCTCATATAGAGAAGCTAGCAGCTTGTTGGCAGACTTCTGAAAGCAGGCCACTACTGTCTCATTCAGCGGATCTTTGTTTTTGTCCAGCCATCCAAAGATGTTATACGGTACCTGTGAAGACAGAGAGGAAATCTCATTTTTCAAAGGTGTATGTCAGAGCAACTGTTGTAAGAGTGTCACTGGACTTTAGAGGGCACGCACTTACCACTCCGGCATAGTGCACCAGCTCAAAGTGGGCTTCGTACTTGCGCTTCTTGTCCGGTCGTGGCTTTTGGAAATTGGGCGACTTGCCAATGTGATTATCATACAACTTGGCCTTGAAGCTGCTGTCCGTGGCTTTTGGGAACATGCACTCCTCTTCAAGGATTGACATGATGCCCAGCGGCTGGTTGACGAGCAAAGTGTTAGTTAGTTAGGCCCACGCTATTTTATAAAAATATACATTACTGTCTACATTTTCATTTTTCGTTTCTACCTTCTCAATGAGATCAATGCAGGCTTGCAGATCAAGCCCAAAGTCAATAAAGGTCCATTCAATGCCCTCCCTCTTATACTCCTCCTGCTCCAGGATGAACATGTGGTGGTTGAAAAACTGTTGCAGTTTCTCATTTGTGAAGTTGATGCACAACTGCTCAAAGCTGTTCAGCTGCAATATTAAGCAAATGAGTGAAGAAACATTATAAGTTAGAAAGATTAAACCCATAAAGCAAATTAAATATGAAGCATGAGCAAAGCACCTCAATATCAACGGTAAATAGGTAAAAATCAAGCTCTAATTGCGAAGTATGGATGTACTTACATCAAAAATCTCAAAGCCAGCGATGTCGAGGACTCCTATGAAGTATTGACGAGGCAGAGAGGTGTACAGGGTCCGGTTAATCCGTCCCACGAGCCATTTGAACATACGGTCATACGTGGCTTTTGCCAGAGCGCCAACAGCGTAGTTAACCTACCACACCCACGCACAAATCCACACACATTCCCGACAAAAAAAAATACACACACGCAGGAAGAATACAGCTGTCATTCACATGGATCCACTCTGTTGCTTGGATACCAGTTTCTAGAGTGTGTGTGGAGAGGCGAGTGTATTGATCAGCTGAGAAATAAGAAGCCTCCTTGTATCAGCAAACACCCAGCAAAATGAAGTGAGGGAGAACACTTTGGACTTTGTAAAGGAGCTTTAATGCTGCTTCTATGGTCTTGTTGTATGTATGTAATTTTAGACCATTTCCTTTACGGATAACAGAAAGAAATAGAAACTATTCTCCTTTTAATGCAAAATAAACAAACAAAAACAAAATAAAACAGAGACAACAGCAGAATTTGGATTTCCTCACCTGCTCAACATTTTGTCCCTTCACCACGTATTCATTCCCCACCTTCACCCGCGGGTGAAGCAGACCTTTAATGAGGTCAGCTGAACTGACCCCCATCAGGTATGAGGCCTTGTCTGCACCTGATGAAATTACAAGAACAAAAATCTCAAATTCTGTTCAATCATTTGCTTGTTTTTTTGTGTGAACGTGTCTGCCCTTACTTTCAGTGCCGTCAGCCTCAGCCTGCTCCTCCCGCTGCTTCTGTTTGAACTTCATGTTGCCAAAGTGCATAATGGCTCCAACTATTTTATAGCAGCCATACTTCTCTTCAGGCAGGAAGCCCAGGATGTCCATGGCATGCTGTGAAAAACACCAAGCAAAGCCGTCGGGCTCCAGAAAGCGTCTTCTTTAATGAGTCATGATGTCTTTTTTTTGTTGGAAGAATAAAGGCTCTTACGTCAGTGGCCATCAGCTCCTCTCCGTCATCCAAGTTCTCCACCGTGGTCACTCCCTGGGAGCAGAAGTGGTAGTCGTACGGGTTGGTGGACACCAGCAGCATGTCTGAATCAAAGAGTTTAAAAGATGACGTCACTGTCCTGCAAGTATCTGTGATCAAATCTCAGCGCAGCCAGAGAGACTCACCTAACAGTTCTGGTTTCTTCTGCGACATGATCTGGTAATAGATGTGGTAGCTCCTCTCTCCAGGCTGCTGAAATATCACTCTGGATTTTTCCAGAAGATCTAAAGGAAAAGAGGAGTACATGTTTGTAAAAGGTTTGAAACAGAAAGGAAAATGTAAGATCGAAAACTATTTCTGTCTACTATTTACATATGTCAATATCAGACGAGGCCAGTTTGCCGGTGGGCCCGAAATGGATCCTGATGAACTTTCCCTGTAAGAAAAAATATATTTACAACACTTCTGAAATAAACTAATAAAAAAAAAACAAATTCCATTTAAAGAACTATGCTTTTAAATTATAATATCAGAATGTAATTTTCTGGGTACTTACAAAACGGGATGAATTATCATTCCTTAACGTTTTGGCATTTCCAAACGCCTCCATGGCTGGGTTCGCCTCGATGATCTGATCCTCCAGGGTCCCCTGGAGCGAGGGTAAAATCATGGAGACAGTGAGTCACATTAATATTATTATTATTACTATTACTATTTTAATTTTAAAATTTTTACTATTATTATTATTTTTTTTTTTAGAGTTGAATTTTAAAAAGCCAAATATAGTGGAAAAAGTCTTTTTGCGGCTTGAACTCACCCCTGTTTTAGTGGCAGGACTTTGCTGCAAAAGAATAAGACGAGGGAGCAATGAGAGCCGTATCATAGGAAACATGATCAAATAATGCTTTCACTACCAACGGTAACAACCATAATCAACTCGAAAATTAGAGAGTGATTGTTAAGGCTGAGGTAAAAATCAATGGCTGCTTCGTTTTATTTGATGAAAAGTGGTGAACGCAGGGGAGAAAAAGGTAGGAAAAGTGAACACAAAGCAACACTGAATAATCAAATCCAAAACTCAAAGCAGAGGGAAAGATAATGAAAAAATTGGAACAAAAAGGGACACAAAATTATATGGAAAGGGTAAAAGGAAAAAAAAAAAATCAAAGCAGAGGAAGGAGGCTGGAAAGGGCAACACAACACGTGGTAGAGACATGAATGTAATCAGTTCTCACATTTACCAACTTGACAAAGAGGAAAATGTATGGAGATGGTTTATAGGAAATACACTGAAGGGTTCCTGGGACCAAATAAAAAAAAAAAAAAAAATGCATACAGCAAAAAAAGCCAGGAATGAAAAATACGGGTTGCCACATCAGCCTTACTCCTTTTTTGGCAGGCGTGTCTCCAAGTGCTGCCACAATGGCAAAATACTGAATCACACGTTTCGTGTTGACAGTTTTGCCAGCACCGGATTCTCCGCTATAGGAGTGTGAAAATGACAAAGTGTACATACAACAGGCAAAAACTGGTCACAAAACTTGTCAAGGTAATGTGAATCAAAATTATACTACATCTCACAAAACAGAGAGAAAAAAAAAACGAAAAAACAAAACAAAACAAAAAGGGCAAGAAATGGATTTCAGTAAAAAACAAAAGCCTTGGGGTGAAAAAAATCAAAACTTTCAAAAGTCTGAGTGTGGGCAGTCTACATGTTACAAGATGTCCCTATTTGATCAGAGGCTTTTTTTCTACTCCTTTAATTGTACCTGAAACAAGACCCAAAAATCAGCAGAAACTTACGTGATGAGCATGGACTGGTTTTCACGATCTGAAAAAAACAACAGAATAAGGCTTGATTAAAATCGCTAAGTTTGTGCATTTAGGATTGTTTTATCTTTGTGTTTGTGCTGGTGTACACTGTATGCTTTTACAGTATTTTCGAGGATTGAGACACTTACTGCGCAGCATATCATTATATGCATTGTCTGCTATGGAGTAGATGTGTGGTGGGGCCTCAGAGCGGCGTTTGCCCTTGTAGGCAGCGACCACTGGAGCCGTGTAGACGGGTAGCCACTTGTATGGATTCACCGTCACACAGAAGAGCCCAGAGTAGGTCTGAGGAAAAACTCGACATTAACCATCTATAGTACATCACCTCAAGCTAAGACGACCAGTTCTTCCTCTGACAGTCTGACATTGCTGGAGCTTACAGCTGAACCCAGTAACTTAATCTGGATAATCATGCCTCTGAAGGGAGCATGGAAACACAGGAGAGGGGAAGTTCCACAATGTGATACTCACATAGATCATCCAGGCAGAGTAGCGTCTGCGCAGGTTGTACAGCACAGAGGCCTCGTTGAGGTGTGTCAGCATGGCCATGTCTTCGATCATGTCATACTTGGGGGGATTCATCTGCTGGATGTCACTGTCTTTTACTGTCAGAGTCTATAGAGACGGAGACAGGCAGTTTGGAGGAGGGAAACATTAGTCTTCTTGCAAGGGTAAGAAGAATAGGTCTAGAGAAGGTTAATGTTCATTATTGCATGATGATAACTTACTCTCTTATCTTTGGTCTCAACGATGACTTTGTCATCGCTGAGCTCCTTGATCTCAATCTCAATGTACGCCTCTTTTTCATCTGGTATCCAAGCTCGCTTCTTACCTAAAAGTGGAGTAAAGGATGTTTAGAAACAGACAAAATCTTCCAACTGAAAATGCTTATAGAGACAATAAGTTAAAGGAAATAGTCATAATAATTACAAAATCAAAATAAAACACACAACATAAGGTTTAATCTCAGAGTAAATTCAGCTGGATAACTGATGTAACTATTTAAAAAAAACACGAGCACCTTTATTTTTGTTACTGAATTATGACAATTTTTCATGCTATTCAAAAAAGAGTGAGGAGACATTGCTCCAGTAATTGCGGAGTACATTATACAAATGAACACTTGTTATGTTTTCTCACTGCTTTAAACACAGTGTGACGCATAAAACACCAGACCAAAGTTAAATGTCATAACCTGTCCTACATTTGGGACTACATTTAGAAGAGGTACAACAATGAAATCAAATTAAAAACGATTTCCTCATCATCTGTAAACTTGAAATGATTGGTCTCTTTAAGATTTGCTTTCATTCTACTCTCCTTATTCGGCCTACCGTCAAAAGGAATCGTGTGCGCCGTCAGAAGCTCCAGCTCGGATTTGCGTAAAAACGGTGCAGCCTCCCCGAACTCCTTCATGTCAAAGCGCGACATGGTGGGAACCTCTCACCGATACCCCCAAAACCCAGAGGCACCAGCGGTTCAGGAGAGATGAAGAATTCCTTTGGTAAGAGAGGAAAACCTTGCGTTAGGGTCAGAAGTTCTTTTGAAGCTGAAGTTGTTTTTTTGTGTCTGCATCCGGCATGGTCAAGACAACAGTGCCTGTGCGTAAAGGGCGCAAATCTGCTACCGCCAAACAAGATCAAGACACGAAAGAAACAACTAGTTAACTACTAACACGTGCCAGATAAGACAAACAGTATTTCAATACTGCTGTAAATGAAATCATGACTCCATGGGCCACTTTAAGGGTCAGCCAACCCGCGCGTAAAATGCGTAATAAACAACCAGCTCAACAAAGGCAAAACTTTTCTACTGACCTCAGGACGACCACAACCAAATAACAGCTTGGTGATATGTGCCTTCCTTTATAGTGTGTTTCTCAAGGTCATGGTCAGTGGACATTTGTCCCTCATTAGCATATGCCACCTCCTCCAACGCCCATTGGTGCTGAGCGCCTGTCTCAATTGACACAAAAGGAAAGCTACGTTTTTGTCATTGCGCTAAACCCAAGCCGGCTATTTTTGTATCTCAGTTATTTTATGCACTACACACACTGCGAGGGAGTGGGAGAGAGTTGCATTAGGAGCATCCCTGTAGGGGAGAATTTTAACACTCCATAGATTTTGAAGGACGGTACATCATTGCCCCAACAAGGACAATGATGCGTGTCCACACCTAGAAACATAAACTGGCAATTTAGAGCAACACTATCAGGGAAACAACATGTTTACATGCATGAAATTCCAAAATAAAAGCTACAGGGGTAAGTTTTGAGTAATGTCCGTTTTTATTTGTTGTTTTAAAATCTTCCCTCCTGCTGGACACAGATGAGCTCTTCCCACTTTAAGTGAGGAGGATGTTTGAAAACTTATGTTTCCCTTGAGGTAAGAGCCCTGCAGCTTTTGTGATACTTGTGCCAACAGGGATGTTTGCTATTGTGTGTGACCACAGTGGATGCAACCTTAGAAGAGATTATTTCAGGAGCAGAGTGGCATTAAACATGCTACTATAAATACACAATATTTTATTAATAGAGTGAAACATGCCACCTTGCTCTGAACACGCAATAATATAGCCTGTGTGAAGTGAAGAGCAGTTAACATGAGGGAAATTTTATCCGAGGTATGTAGTAACATTTTTTAAATTCAAATCGAATTTTCCAGATTGTTCCTGCGGAGCTGTTACAATGAGTACCTGGAGCTTTCGCACCTCTGGCCTACGATAAAACAGTGATGTATCTGAGTAACTTTTCCTCTGACAGCACTGTGTGCTGTGTTGTCACATGTAGCCGCTGTGATTTGTTGTATCCAGTAATTTTGGCATAAGCACTGTGCCTCTCTCACTGTGGCTCCACCAGATCTGACCTTCAGAGCAAGGGGAGAGGTTGGTGCCTGGTATGAGAGCAGGGTGACAGTGCAGCATGGGGGAGGGAAAGGGGACCACAGTTTCTCAGAATAGACAAAGCCAGACTCCAGCATTCCTGATAGGGTGATTGACTGTTCAATGTTGGCAATGTCGAAATTGTGCAAAAGCAAGACCGAGAGACGGAAAGCAGTCACCTGCGTCATCGAGCTAGGAATTTGTAACTTTTTGAAATCATGAGAGGTTTTGCGGGTGCTTATAACGGGATGGTAAGAGTTTTTTCCCCCCCGACACAAAGCAAACAGAAAGGAGAAGAAGGAACATCAAAGATGTCTTGACTTGAGGCAGCCATCTTTGTTGCTGCTATCTGTTGCCGTGGCAGACTGAGAGGTGTTGCCTTGATGGCTCAGACTTTCTCCGGCATCAGTTAGATAGAGCGGGCCTGAGCTATTCTGGGACAAGGGGCTCTTCAGAGAGGCCGAGGCTGCTTTATGTACTGTGTCACTTGCTGCACCATTTGAAAAGCTGGCATGCTGATAACACATGAGGAGGAGATGAATCCCAAAGTCCCCAGAGCTGCTGGCTTTAAATAAGTCCACATTACCCGACACATAAACACACACACACACACACACACACACACACACACACACACACACACTCACATAATGAAGTGCATGCAGTGTTAGCCTGGTCCTTCTCGCACATCTCTCTGCACTACTACACTGCAGCCCACTGCAACAGCTGACTTCTCAGAGCCCCAGCTCTCCTTACGTCCCCAGTGTTCCTCAAAATCATTTAGACCCTAATGTGGCCAGGCCCATCTATGCTTGTGTTTGGATTATTAGACATTTGTGCAGCTTTGAATTACCTTTGCGTTAAAAAGTAACAGTCAGTGTGCAGCTGTAGGCCTAGACTCTCAACGTGGAGCCAAACCTCCAGTTCACAGGGGACTGTCTGCCCACAGTTTGGTGATACGTAAGCAATAAGCCAATATTTTGGGAATCAAGACTTGATCTGGGGGTCTGCGACAGTTGTTTTAGATCATCATGCACGAAATGCCAGCAGGCTTAGGCTAGGAGATGGACAGAGATTGGGAATTGTGACTGCAGTCATTCTCAGCAGTGTTCAGTCACATATGACATGTGTGTTCCTTGCCCCGAGTTTTGCCTGTGGACAAGTGGACTTAATTATCAGAAATGACACTGTAAAAGTTAAAAAATTTACCCCCCTAGTAAAATCAAACCATTGATGGATATTCTTTTATGTAAAGAGGATCCGATGAACGAACTCCCGATCAGCAATACCCACTCGTGTACTGCACCGGCAGAACGGGGTTTTTAAGCACTGACTGATTTGATGAACGAATCTTTTGAATGAATAATTTAAATGAACAGATTCTAAAGATTCAGTACAGTCATAAGAACTGTTCTTCCCATCACTAATCCTACGGTATGGTTTTGTTATTTTCGTGCTTGTTTTCAGGCAATTAATCTTGTGAAAAAGTTGTTAAAGTTGTGAAGCTCATTGTTACACTTTCATCAGTGATTGAAAATGACTGATTCTGGAGTAACAAAAAGGTCAACACAGACATTTCCACCCAAAGTCTGTTTATCTGATAGTCAAAATCTCACACAGAAGCTCAAAAAACCCAAGTCTGTGCACATTCACTCTGTAAAAGCAGATTTTAAAAACATTTACGTATATACACGCTGTGTTTCATCAAATCCTTGCTCCTACTATAGAAATGTTGTGAGTCTCATTGCTTGGTTGCAAGAAAAATATTATGACCCCTGTATTGCTTGATAGCAGTAACCTAAAAATGGGCGGTGAAGTAGTGTTTCATTTTGGATCAAAGCATTCACTGAGGGTGGATATTTCTGTAATCGCCTCGTGCCTGCCCACAATACCTTGCAGCAACTGTGTGGGCTCAGGTCTTAGCCGCCAGTTCATCAGCGTGGAGACTGGCTGACGCGTGGCACAAACACACTCCTAAGCCCCAATTACCCCTCCACACCCGCTCCGACCCCATGACATCTACCAATACTCAGGCAACAATAACACACAGCAGAGATAATCAGTCTTTTAGCGAGCCGTTTGAGGGTTTGATACCTTAGCTATTAGCCTCTGGCTCCAGACAATCACCCGTCTCTCATTGGGCTAAGTTGTGGTCTTGGTAAGCGGGCCCAGCCTGACCAGCCAGCCCTGCCCTCAGTATGCATAGCAGCCCTCAGCTGTTTTCTATTTCAGGAGCACGGAGGCATACCTCAGCCCAGCTGGGGCATCAGAGACAATGGGCATGCTGCCTTATCCAAACACAGGCCCGCAGACAATCTGACGCACTCCAGGATCCCAGTGAGAGCCGCACTGCAGCCCCTCCTGTCCAATAAAGCACGAGTAAAGGGTTAACAAGGCTACGCAGACGCGGAGACAAATCACTCAAGAGCTCTAAGGCTTTCTTTAAACATACAACAATGACCATCCATAGCATAGAGATAGAGATCAATCTTGTGGATAGTGTAATAATAATACACCAGAATGTAGAGAAGCATGGCCGCTGTTTGACTCTTTTGGTCAACCTCTCCTGTTTAATAACAGACAGTTTTAATAACAGGCTGGTTCAGTTCCTCATCATGTGAAGCGTGTCGATGATTGTTTGTTGAAGAACCTCAGTGCTGGTGTCTGACCACACTGATGGATATTGATTATTTCTTGCACAGCTGAACCTGTCCTGTCTCATGTTTTGGAAAAGTCACACGTCTTGCGTCTAAATACTTTAATTTTGGCTTTGTGCTAACTTCTTTAACTTTGAATCCACCCTCAATAGTTTCAAATCTTTTATGTTTCAGACTAAATTTCTGTTTCTGATCTTCAAGCCATGACTTGAGCTTCTCTCCTTGACTTAAAATAGACCTGGAAGGGAAACCTGTCTGGCCACTTGGAAAGACCTTCAGTTAGTGACCTACAGCATCTCACTGTCAAAGCAGACATAGCTTCACCTAATTTACTGTCAGTCCTGTTGCAGCTCTGTTAAAGACATCCAGTAATGCAGGTGGCAGTGCCCGGCTTCTGACCATAATTGCTGTTTAGACAGAGCTGCTATCACAATGAGAGGCATTTAAGCAAGCCGCGTGGCGGCTCTTTCACAGTTTACACAGGCTCCAAGCCCTCATATATTTCCTTTATACACACACACACACCCCCATTCACGCACACACACTAACACCATCACCACCTCTGCTACAGAAAACGATGTCACCTGTTGCCTGTGGCAACTGCTCAAACAGAGAAAGAGAGAGAGAGTCAGATGTAGCAACACATGTGTTACAACATCGTATTTTGAGTTCAACTAGTTCACTTAGTTGCCAGGCAGAATCCGAGTAAATGGACTCAGATCACTCAGAGGAAATCTCCACAAGAAATCAGACTCTCCGTGTAACACTCAGATCAGAGGCCTCAGTAATAAAAACTACATCCCATAAGACCTTCAGTAGAAGTAATATATCCAATATATCTCTCTCAAAGTCTGACACAGTGTGCCAGCAGTGGTATGTTTTATGTGATCATATGAAGGAGAAGTGAACACAAGAAAAAGACCAGAAGACACAGACAAGAGTGTAGTCTGAGGGGGAATCATAAGAAATGAACAAGCAGATGAAATAAAACAACCAGACAGAGGTGTTTATCTCTAGATCTGATGTGATGCTCTGATTTGTCATGGCTGTTGATACTTGTTCCTCGAGATCTGTGGCTCCAGGATTAATGACATGTTGATAAATACATACCACAAGTTCAGACAGAAGATCAGTTTTACTCTTTGGGAATAATGAATGTGTCCATTCGTGTCAGATGAAGGTATATCTTTTTCAGAAATTTATTTGGATGGTTTATGTGTGATCTTAAGAACAATGTTGAAGGTAGTTTATTGTTTTTGCTCATAGTACACCACCATCCTGTCTGTAGGGAGTCTTTCATCCTTACATCCAAGACCACAATTTAAAAAGGTCTTAATGTGGTCATCTTTAAAACTGATAATGTTGTATGTGATTCGCTGAACTTTCATATGTCTTAAGATTGAAACTTAACTAAAAACAAGGTCCACATTGTGGGCTGCGTGTTTCTGTGGGAGGTCTGAAAAATAAAAATATTTGGGAAGCTTGAGAGAAGGTGCCAACAGCTGACATAAACCAAAGCATTCTGGGTTAACATCTAGCCAAGAGCAGTTGCCATGGATTATTCCTCTCTCATATATGTGTTTTTACCTACAACCAAAAGAAGAAAATAAACAGTCACACATTTCTTACATTTAAAGAGTCAACCTGGCCTACAAGATACTCCTTTTTCTGATCATATCAATACTGACTCCGTGGTTGACTTTTTCATGAAATATTCATTGTTGCTTCACCTGAAACACCTCCCACTTCAGTATGACTTGTTTGTTTTCAGAACCTTTTACAGCAGAGGGCTTCAGCTCCAGTCCCACCTAAAGTTCCCTTCTAGGCCTCTGAGAGATCCTGCCAACATTTAACAGCTAGTCAGAGCTATGTGGGGCCTCAGGATGTTGGGCAGTGAGAAGCTGGAGCAGGAGCAGGTGAAGGGAGTCCTGAGGGAAGACTCTTTGCTCCTGCTTCACTCTCCGAGACGAAACAGGAGGATCAGCTTGGCATTCAGGGAAGTGCTACTCTGCGGCAGCAGGCCAGACACTCAGACAGCTGGCACAGTGTCTGTCTCGATCCTCCTCTCCTCTCACACTGCATTTAGCGCACAATATGACAGTGTGTTAGCAGTCTGTTGTCGTCTGCTAATTGGAAGCACCAGAATAGTGTGAACATTATAGGTTGGAGTCCTCTTACCTGTGTCTGTAGCTGGAAGTGTTTGAGGTGGGGGCTCAGTATGAGAGGGTGTTATATAGGAGGGTATTAAATCTAACTCAATAATTCACAAAAAGAAAGTGTTATGGTTTGTTTTGTTTTTTAAAACTTTATATCACCAAAAAACTTGCAAAAACCTTCTGTAGTTTTCCCCATTGATTAACACGACTGAGATCCTGACCAATACCACCCTCTACTGCCACAGAGGTTAAATCACATGTCCCCACCACACAAGAGGGTTTAAAATGTTTTAAAAGGTTAAACTAGGGGGGCATGGACACGGCATAAAATGATGATTTAGTAACACTTTACTTGACTCCTATCTCTATAACACATTGTAAATATATTTATAATGCCTCATAATGCCGTTATAGCACTGTATAACTATAGTTATAAACACTCATGAATGATCATAATGCTTTATAGCAATAATCTTGACACATTATAAAGCATTTTATCATGACTTACAAGGTCAGGTATTATAATGTAATTTGCTTATTGTTATAAAACCTTATAATAATTAATGAGAGTTTATAATAATAGTTATGCAAGTTTATAAGCAAATTATAACACATCATATGTATAATGCATTATCTATGTGGACATTGTCAGGGAGTTGTTAACAATTATAACACATTATAACACCTGACCTTGTAAGTCATGATAAAATGCTTTATAATGTATTATAATTATTTCTATAAAGCATTATTATAATTTATGAGTGTTTATAACTCATAACACTATAAGTCATACAGTGCGAAAACATGATTATAACGCATTATACACATATTTATAATGCGTTATAGAGATATGCATCAAGTAAAGTGTTACTGATATTTTTCACACACACACACACACACACACACACACACACACACACACACACACACACACACACACACACACACACACACACACACACAAAAAAAAAACTAATCCAAGTGGTTTTCTTAAGGATCGTATTGGTCATCATATTAAGAGAAAAATTAAGATTAAAGTTTGGTTGGATGGCATTTTGATGACATCAACTGAAGTTGAGTAACATCATCACATGTGACCCTTACAAATCAACAATTTTTGCAGGCTTAAAACCACTCATAGACTGTTAAAATCCAGTTTTGATTCTGATGGTGATAAACTGTAATGATATACAGCCAGTCAAGCGTATTTCTGGGAGTCAGTCATTTATCAGCACCAAAAAGGCCTTTTAATCTGGAGTATCTGAAGCAGTGAAAAAATGAAAAAGTGCGTTTTTGGATGAGTGAAATATCGTCTTCACTTCACTCTTTTCTTGTTGCCATAAAGGTATTGCAATAAAAATCAATGAACTTTGACCCAATGTGCAGCGACCTCCATAGTTTCACACGTTATGACCCCTTTTTAATTCCAGAAGCAAGATCAGTCCATAACAAATGGACAATAACACCAGTGTGACTGAATTAGGTTATTCCCTCTAGAAAGTTCTGAGTTGTCCTAGAAAAGAAACAAATATACAGTCACAAGACACAGCTTGAGGCTTTCCATTAGCTTAGTCAAACATTTGGCAGCGTTCAGATACAAACAATTACAAACTGCATAAAAAAAAGAAGATGGGGCATTATTGAATGGAGTTTGGATAGTTTTGTAAATTATTTCGACCCTCTTTTTGTGCATAGAAACCACAAATCAAATGTATAAACTGTATTTTTTTTTCCAATAATAACCACATGCTTGTTGGGACCTGCTGAGAACTGTTTCTGGAGTTACTCAGTGAAAAGTTGTCCCATTCTTGCCTGATGTAGGAACTCAGTAGCTCAGCTGTTCTTGGTTGTTTTCTCTTTCTGTTTTGTGATACTCAATACTCTACATGCTTTTAATTAGTCAGCAGGCCGATCAATGTGGCACCTGGACTCCTCTGCTATGGAGCCATGCGGTCGTGTTACATGTAAATGTGTTTTGGCACTCTCTGGCTGAAATATCTTTTCTAAAAAGGTGAAGGATTGTCTGGGTAGCAGCATTTGATGCTTAAAAACCTGCGTGTTACCCTGCATAAGTGTGTCTTCCCAAGTGTGTATGCTAACAATAAAAATGGCACTTGGTGCACAATGGTGCGTCCCCCATATCATCAGGGATTATGACTCTTGAAATGTGATCATATAACAAATTAGCTGTTCCCTTTGGTCTTCAGAGTGACACCGATGATGCACAGATGATCCAAATTTTGATCCAGCACACCTCTGGAGAGTTTGCCAGTTTATGCCAGTCCATCTTAAATGTACCAAGAGAAGTCACCAGCATTTCTGTAGGTTCTGTTTATATATGGTACTGTTAAACATGCTTAAATAAACTGTTAATGTGGACGTGAGCTCATGCAGTGATTTCCACTGCAGAGTAGTGTCTATTCTTAATGCAACACTTCCCAGGGCCTTAGAATTCAATCCAGTATTGCTTTTCAGCTCTGTCCCTCTTTAACAAAGATTTCTCCTGATTATCTGAGTCTTTTAATGATGTTATTTACTGTAGATGATGAAACTATGTCATTTAGCCAAAGGAGCATTATCACAGTCTCTCACTCCGCCCAGCTTATCTTCTTAGAAACTCAGCCTCTCTAGAAGGCCCTTTTCATACCCAGACATGCAACTACTCTGTGGCAAATTAATCTTATAATGCCAGTGAAAAACCTCAAGGTATGTGTGCTCTTTTCCTTTCTTTTTACATTTCCCAACTTTCTCAGTCTTGTGTTGCTCGTGTCCCAAGCTTTTGAAATGTGGTGATGGTTTTGGATTTAAAGTATGCACTTTTTTTCCTCATAAAATGAGCATTTTTCTTTTCCAACATTTGGTATACTGTCTTTGTGCTATCTTTAATTAGGTTCAGGATTTATAGCTTTGCAAAACAGCAACATCTGTGAACCAAGTAAAAATAGGCCATGTAAGGTGTAATGATGCTCACAAAGCTATATTATTGTAACATGAAGGTTCGATGTAAGGTGGTTGGATAATTCTAATGATGAGAAACAGCAGGATGGAGACAGATAACTTTTTTAGCAGCACTTTCACTCTTCAGCCATCTTGTCATCCCCACACCATAACCCAAAAACATAACATCCTGGACTACCCTGATCACATGTCATGGCACCTACCAATCAGAGGCTAGGACCTCAAAGTAAATGTAAATGAACTTCAGAAACACATTCTACATAATCTGCTAACCCTAACAAACAGCTGCAGAGAGAAGCAGTTAAACAAATATGTAAACATGAACCTGTCAACACTTAGTTCTCTGTGAATTCTGTAAACACATTTTTTTTTAGCTTAACTTAGAGACAGTTAACAGTAATAGTTAACAGAAATATATGGATTGACTTCATTGTTTAAGCTTACATTATTCAACTGGAGGGACGGCAAGCTAGTGTTTCAGGTAACATTAGGTTGATATGAGGTTCAATATTAAAGAAAAAATGATAAAAAACATACACAGTCAAGAGGATAAACATCTCATAAAGTTTACTAGAGTTTTTTTTATTTTATTTATGTACTGGCTGTAGACAAAAACACACGCGCACACATGCTCACTCCTGAAATACATTTTTGGTTGAGGAGAGTCTTCTGCTGTGTTGCTGCTCACCAGCAGAGGGAGCCAAGTCCCCGTGTGTGTCCTGTAACATTCCAGTTAGGGAATCTGTTCACATGTGGTCAGCCCAGTCTCAGAGGAAGCACAAAAGGAACCTTGTGAGTGGACTGCACCTTGCAAGCAGCTGGTTTTATGCCTGCCTGAGACAAAAGCTTCATTTTACAAAATAAAACTCATGGTGTGCTGTTTTTCTGTAAACCCATGCTGGACTCATTGTTGAGACCTAACTGCCTGATTGTAAACACTTGAAAAGTTATTCCACTTTATGGTCATTACCAAGGTGTTTCTCTACGTTTCTCAATGACAGGAAGGGGCTATCTCACAGGAAGTGGAAGTAGGAGCGTCCCTCTCTTTCTCACTCACACACACACACAAACACACACACAGTCGTCCACTTGCCTGCCCATCCTGTAGCTGTTAGCCTGTGAGCCAGGAACACCCCCTCTCTGCAGGGCTATGGCTGCCTGCTAGTATTTTGGTAATCGTCATCCTCCCTGACCTGCTGGCCCGATCCTGGCGCCAGGAGTCTCCTCGCCTCCCCTCCACCTCCCCAAAGCTGACTACCCCCGACCCCACGGATAATTCAGACCAGCTGTTGTAAGGTGCCTTGCTTACTCCCACCCACTCACACTCACACTTGCCTCTTCTACAGTCTTGAGTTTGCATCAGTGAAAAAAAACCCGCCTGACTTGGAGGCCTCTCAGTCTTTGCATGGGGTCTCAGTGGTGCATAAAATAAATCCAAGTCAATCTCAAGCCTGGTTCCTGCTCTGCAACAAATCAGCGCTGTGTCTGGATATGATGTTGCAATATGGAAACAGACATTTAGTGGATATCGTGCTGCGGCAGGGAGTCAAATGCTGGTATTTGCTTTCCCTGTCCCTCGCCAGTGTCACTGACCTGGATTTCTCCCATTCCTCTAAATGTCCAGTCTTAATGAGGTGGAATGTGTGTCACTGTGAAATCAGGATTCCGCACAGACTTGAGTTTTGTTGTGATACGCCTCTGCAGAGCCATCTCTACATTGGAGTCACATGAAGAGCATGTGCATCCACAGTGATCAAGTGATACTGTGAGGGGAATTGAGAATTATTGCCAAGGAATGTTGAGGAGAAAGATGAGACAGAAAAAGCACACCAGTTGCTGCAGATCGTTTTTTTCTGGTTTTATGTCTTAAAGAAGGAAACGTTTTCAGTGCCTCATCTCTGAGCTTAGTGTTTTTGGCATTTTGGGGCTCTGTGTAAAACAAGGTGCCTCTCTGTCTATGGCCTAACCGCATTGGGACTTTGGACTGAGATGGAGGGGAACCCCAAGCTTTTGATCCCCTCTCCACAAGCCCAGCGCTGCTGAGTAACGGCCCACAAGTGAACTGCATACATGTATGTGTGTGTGTGTGAGTGCATGCTGGAGGTTTAGATTGTTTTTTATTTCATGGTGGTGGCAGCGGTGGTGGTGGTGGTGCGGTTGCCTCATAGAACAGCGGTGGATGGTTGTCAGAGACCTGATAGAGAGGGGGGTGGGGGACTGGTACAAAGAGCTGCTCTGGTGGAACTTTGGAGGAAAATAGTTCATGCTGCACTGGGATTTCCGGCCTTTGCCCTGGCTAGCCCCCCTCCTCTCCCACTACTGTCTACCCACTCTGTTCTTGACGCCCTTCAGCAGCATGGAAACAGTTCGTACAACATTCAGCTGGAGGTGGGTGAAGCAATTGATTTAATGGAAAGGACTGCAGGGATAACAGGGCAAGAGATTGTGTGTTGATCCAGACGTTTGCTATCAGGTTTTCATAATTCCATTTCCTCCCTTAATCTGTCCATGCTCAGGATTTAATGCAGATGACTAGTTCCAACTGTCTCATTTATGACTCACATTGACATGCAACTTTTTAGGGTGGTGTTATCTGATCTCTTATCATACACAGCTGGAATACACATTACTCTGCCCTGACATTGGTCCTGTAAATGAAAGCACAAGACGGTCACAGCAGTGATGCTTGTGTTAAATGTAGAAAGGACAGGTGTGTGTCACCATTTGGCCGGCCGCAGACGTATCGCGTGGGTGTCAAAAAGGAGGCGGACGGGGATGAGGGTCTCCGGGTTTAATGTTTAAACCAGTCCCCTTCTCTTCCAGGGCTTTGATCTTAGGTGTCAGCGGCGGAGCTAGGGGGCATGTGTCACTCATTAGCAGTGTGGTGAGAGTGTGCTGGCTCACAGGTTTTTCTCAGTGTGGAGCAGAGTGGAGAGGATGCTGTGAAAATGGCTGCTCAGGGGTGTTCCTGCTAATAATGGTGTCAAGGTTTGGGGGTGGGGGAGCAAAAACAGAGGGGAAAAAAAAAGTCAGGAAAACGTCGCAGTTCGTTTTTGTGAGTGTGTATGTGTTGAGCATTATTTTCATTACTCTTTGTGGTCCACACTCTTATGTTAAACTGATAGCACAGGAAGTGGAATAGACGATTTCATTGAAAAGCCCTGCTGCCAGCACTCACTGTCTTAGGAGAGGAGGGAAATGGAAACCAGATGTCTGAGATCCACTGTGAATATGTCAAAGCTCTCAGACTATGTCAGTTCCTGCGTGTTCTATTGGTGGACTCAAACTTTTCTGCACAGTCATCAGTAATGTGTATAATACTCCCTCCCTGTGGACATCTCATACAGTCTTGGCCGCAGCTTCTTGCTGGAGACTTCAGGAAAGAAGCCCCACTGTTCCAGTAGATGTTTTTTCTTTATTCCTTAGGTTTCAGACTTCACCACATTCCTCAAATTTCAGGGTAACTTCCCATATCCCATGGCTCAGTCGGGTGGCAAATCTCTCAGCACTCCTTTGTGGATAGATTGCTTTCTCTTGCTTGGGAAAATAACAAGCTATAGAGTAATGACTTAACAAGCAACAGGATAATGGCTTCAACATGTGCAGGACTATGTGCATGTGTCTGTGTGCGTGCATAGATTTGGGATTGCAGGAGTGCTCTCTTACTGTGTGTGTGTATGTGTCTATTGTTTGGGAACCGACTGTGCAGAATCAACTGGTTCTCTGTTTGGTTGGAGTTGTTTGAAAGCTGGGCCACTGATGAATAGATCGTTCTGCTTGGGGTCTGCAGCTCTGGAGCCATTGGGTGTGTTACAATGACAGAGACGGCCTGTGGGGTGTTAGTGGGAGTGCTGGGTGTTTTCCATCATAACCAGCTGCTGCACAAACCTTCCACTCAGAAAAAACACAATTGTCAGAGTGCACGTCTGTGTTCACCTACATCTGTGTGTGTTAGTATCTGGAGATGTTGAGCTGTGTGACACCAGTGTAGTGATAAATGACTCTGTGTCATCTGTCAAGTGAACTGAGTGTATGTACATGAAGCAGATTGTGGGTGTTTTCTATCCTCTCAGTGTTTTGTTGCCGTGCATCTGTTCCTGTGGCACGCTGCCTTGTTTCTTCACTTTCTTTGATCTCCATTGGAACAAATGGGAAGCACTCACACCTCAGCTTTGACAAACCACACTCCTGTTCCTGCCTGCCTCCCATGGTGGTGGGGTTTGAATACTCAGTAAACCAACAGGGCTTTTTATTGGAAATGACTGGCTACTGACACAATCATGACTCAATTACAGGTCCTCTTCCTGTCATACAAATTCATGTGTGCGACACAGTCGGTCTTGGCATGATTCAGCTTGCCCGGATAAGTCGTCTCCCTTTCACACACAGCTTCTAAGTTTCAGCAAATCAAAACCCTGAAAACTAAGCACTAAGCAGGGAGAAAATCTGTTTCCCAGCGCACTGCCTGATGCTGTTTACATACAGTTACACCATGACATGTCCTAACAGGTGGGCAAAGATCTACATCACCTCTTTCGTAATGCTCTGTGAAGGCCTTGGGCTACAGCTCAACGTTGCACCTTGTCTGGGAAAATATGCTCAGGTGCATTCCAGTTTGGCAAACAGGTGATATTTCCTCTGCTCTCAGGTGAAGAGGAGTTTAGCATGGGCTTAACAGGCCTAAATTTCCCTGCTCTGGTGGTGGCGTGGATTAATGGATGGCAACCTCAGTCTCCTGTTCGACTGTTTAACCATTTTAGTCAAGCCTGAAATATCAAAGCAAAAATCTGATGAATCAAAATGAAACCATAGGAGGAATTCAAACGACTTAACTGATTTACCAGCTCCTACTCTACTGCCACCATGCTTTAATCTTTTTAGTTCTTTTTAGCAAAACATTCGTGTCTACCTCAGGATGACACAGATTGCTGTGGGGACCACTTCGTTTTTATAGTCCTCCCATTAAACAGTCAGTATTATTGTTATCTATTTGATGTCTTGGTTGCTGACGAAAAACCCTTAAGCTAATGACACTGTCACCAGAATCAGCTGATATTTGTTTGACATTTGTGCCAGGGCGCATATACACAAATACAAGCAGTGTATCCTGTTGGTTTCCAAATACCACTTCCTGCTTTGAGCTGAGACGATTCTACGTCGCGTTAGAAGAAGTCACATCAGAGTTATAATCGGCTTTATTTATTGGTCTGTGAAGGACAAAGGCAAATATTTCTCTTTGCTTTTGCGTTGAGAGGAAAAGACTTCTTTTTACGTTTGCTGAAATGCCACACAAGAATTTGGGAGTATTGATTTTTAGGAAAGCTGGGTCGAGACAGTCTCTGAGATTCTCCTGTTTCCTGTCCCAGGGTTGAAGTCAGATTTATTTTCTCCCTTCGTCTCTCCCTCTCCCTTATCCCTCGAGGCCGTGTGTGAGTCAATGCCCAGAAGGACACACAGCTCAGGCACCATCCATCCCTCTACCTCTCCCCCTTTCTCTTCGCTCTTGCTATGCTTCTCACTGGCATGGAGTCCGCAGCAACACATGTCTCTGATCAAGTCCAGCCTGCGTCATCAGTTAGTAAACTCCAGGCTCCAGGAAAACCAACAGAGAGCACATTCATAGCTGGCGACCCTGTGACTGAGTGTGTGATTCATTACTCTTTAATATGCACCCCCTACCCCCATCTCCTAACCCACCCAACCACTTCTCCAATCCAGCCTCTGGGCAACTCAACAGCCTGATCAAATCCATCATTAAGCATACTTGTGGTGTTACCGCTGCTGGCCTCCTTGTTTACCAGATGCAGCAGTTGTGTTTCTGTTCTGTTTGCAGCTCAGCAGAGAGGTATGAGCTCTGTATTCTGACATTTACACCAGTACTCTGAACTTTCCTGCGTCTACAGGAGGACAAGATGGCAGTCAAGATCTTTTGGGGACATGAACTCTCAACAAACACAGAAAGAAAAGTTAATATCACTTTTGGGAAGTAGTAATGTACTCAGTCCAGTGACAGAAATTAAGAGGTGTTCGGGTGTATGAAGACTAAAAGTAACCCTGCAGATGAGATGGTGTGTGGATGAAAGGATAGGATCACTGATAAGGTGATATCAAAAAGGTGAAGTCTTTCTGTTGGTACACATAAAACATCCTGATAGCTTTATTTCCATTCCCTGAGATGACTGCCATTCACATCCCTCAGCTATTGAGGGTTAAATTTTGCACAAATACCAAAAAAGCTTGACATGGTTTGAATGGATTGTCAGCTGCAGATAATTAATTTACTATCAAGTGAGTGTAATGTATCGGGACATTGTCTTCTTACAGCCAGGTGATAGTCACAAGCATGAAAATGATCCGTGTATTTCAGTATCTTTCTTAGGATTCATCATGTACAGGCACCAGAGAGAACCACAGTCTTGGGTTTAATGTGCGTTTAAGGGCTTTTCCTGGGAGAGAGCTCTCTCTCTCCAGCTTTTGTGTGTCATGAGTGCAGGATGAGTCCTGTTTACGAGACGCTGACAGCTCTTTCCTGTCTCCCAGGCCATGAGCCCCAACTGCTGCTGCTCTGAAGGCCACTCTATAGTCCCTGGCCACTCAACTCCACCCTGAAAATGTTGCCAGGAGAGCAGCTATGGGTGGAACAGCTGATAGGGGGATGGGACATGGTGCTGGCGGTGGCAAAGTGCAGCAGAAGCAGCGGCAGCAGCAGCAGAAAAAGTGCTGGAGCTCTGCAGCGCCACGACCCAGGCTGCTTTTTTTGGGTAAAGTCGTCCAATGTAAACTCCTACTTCCTGTCGGCCTTGTCTCAGAGGGGGAGAGATGATCCTCCTGTGAAGAGGGAAAGGGCTGCTGCTCTGTGGGGACCGTTTCCACTCACTATCCACACACACACATAAATAGAAATACAGCCAGAGAAGCAGAGTGAGTGGGAGAGAGCAAGTGAGTGAGAGAGTAAGGAACACACAAACACAGTGGGGTTCAGGAATGTTAAACACATGCTTTATGGCATAAATAGCAGCCACTTTTGGTAAATTACAGTGAGTGCTCTGGCACTGTAAAGCGCAGCAGGAAAACGCTCTCAGATTTCAAATCCAGGCCCTCCACTCTTCCTGAAGAACATGAAGCAGAGCATTTTGTGTTTTCTTTTCTCTACAAAAACGCAGGAATAAGTCAAGGAACTTGTGATGCAGCAAAGATTCAAAATACAAGCAGTGCGTGGCTAAAAAAAGGCTGAGCCGCTGCGGTTATGTTGACCTCACAAGACTTAAAACACAGAAGACAAAGAAGTGTGGAAACTGTACAAGAGACACAGCACTTCATCATCATTGGCTACAAGAATGAAGAGACGAAAGATGTGACTATGTGATGAAAACCTTTAGAAAAGTAGAGGGGGAAAAAAGCCGTCCTCCCAATCAAGTTTGAATGAAAGATGTTCCACTTGTATTTGTGAGCAGCACTAACACCCTCACCTCAGGACACGGCAGCTGACATCATCAAAATAGTCCTGAGATAATCTTAAACAGCTGACCCCTTTTTTTCCAAGCGCATCCTGGGAAAAGACACAGGAATATTAGCATGAAAGAAACCGCAGTCTAAAGCTCTCACATTGCTTCCACACTGGACCAGGTTGGTGTTTGGGTTAGGATGTGAAAGGGTTTGCTAAAGTAGTTTGGTCAGAAGAACAGAGTGAATGAGTGAGGTGAGTGTCTGCGTCATGCTGCAGTGGTCGTCCTGACTGGTAGCTTCGAGCACATTTCCCTGACTCAGAAGGAAATATGGAACTATGCCGTGGAAGAGTTTACCTCACTCTTTGCTGGACGGACTGGCTGGGCCTCAGCCCACGCACACCAACTAACTGACTGACTGACTAGTGGCCTGACTTACTGACTGTGAGCACATAGCCATGGGAACCTACAGCCTTGGTCTGAGCAGACTCTGACTCACTGTCTAGGCGGAGGAAGAGGAGAATGTTATACTCTCCCTGGGGAGGAAAAAAATATACACACTCACAGAAATCACTGCTATAGCTTATGAGAGTCTGAACTTCGGACATTTTCAAGAGCTGTTGCATATGACTTCATATCAAAACTGAGGATGAGTTAAAGTGAGAAGTTAACTTTCATTCAAGCTGTGTGAAAATGCACATGCTCACATCCACGCACCCAGCAGTATTTACACAGCAACAGTAAGAAGTAGATGGCAGGTGCAAACTGGAAGCAGGTGCAATCAGTTGTTCTCGTCCATCACAGTGTGCTCACCTGCACATCTGTAATAAAGCTTTACCACAGCGGTCACCTCACCCTCCACGCCAAGATCTGACTGAAATCTCCCTGTTAATGATCAAACAGACCTTTTACAACCACCGTATCAACTGCAACCTAGATTAAGGTATCGAGGATAAAACCACTTCAGTTTTAATAAACATAAATTACTTTATTGAATGAAAATGTAACATTGTATATCATGTACAGGAAACTGAAAAAGAATGAACACACAAGAATGGTACAAATTGAAATAACACATAATCAGCACATTGCACTGTTTAAAAAAAACTGCCATAAAATGTTTAGGAAAGTTTGAAAAATTGATGTTTGTACTGTCCATTTACGAGGCTGCAATCACCAACAAACAGCCATGTCTCCTTAGCGTAAACCTGAAACAGTTTTGGTCCCAGCCTTAGTACATTTCAAACTGTTTGGTGCTAATTTTAATAATACTGCAATCAATGTTTGTCTTAAAGCTACAAATACTGAGGTAAAAATGGCACATTTTCTTTTAAAAGTCATACAATTTCAAGGCAAAAGTTTATTTAAGTAATAAAAATATGGCTTTGGTTGTTATTAAAAATGAACACTGTGGTAACTTCGAGTGCATGGCTTGCATTGTCATCCACATTAGTGTGGTGCTGCAAAGTAAAGCGTTTTTGGAAAGCAACAGACAGGTTTCCTCGTATCTCTGAAACCATCGGATTAAAGAGAAGGTTTGGATGTAGACAAAATAGAGGCTTATAACAATCCCCACTGGTCAAAACCACTAACTGATACCATACTTTTGTCATGACATGCTTCCTCTTTTTTCTTAAGCAAACCAAGGGCAGTGGAAGTCACCTGCTATCAACCAGCGAAGGTCATGGCTGTAGCACCTGTTAGCACCTCGTCTATCTACACTACAGTACCAGGGACAGCTGTGTGTGCATTTGCTTTTGTGTGAGTGAGTGTGTGTGTGTGTGTGTTATGAGGCATGCTGAGAGATTTATTCCACCCACGCACCCCTACCTCTCAGCAGCTGTGTCTTGGCCATGATCCTGAGCTAGCCGGCACCAGGACGGAGACAGGAAAGAACACCTCTCACCCCTATGAGTTCACTCTATACTTTTTCTTTGGAATGGGCACAATGGCAACAAAAGGGGTTGATACCAAAAGTGAATGTTTGCATTGCTCAGTTCAGCTTTGGTCCAGCCTCATGACCTCAATCTAGATTAGAATAAAAAAATCTGCTCCTCAGATGTTGTTTTACAGAGCAGAGAAGCTTAAAGACTTGTAAAGTCAGATCCAATAATTAGGCTTGATTTCCTCCAGGTCTCTTAGAGCGAGCCATTTCATGCTCTTTGCGGCCTTACAGATCATCATCAGGCCGGCTGGGCTTGTGTAGACGCCTTCTCCGGGGGCAACTAGACCCCCCACTGCCCTGAGTTCTGAGTGGGTACCCTTTATCCACGTCTGAGGAGTCTCACACCGTAGTGGAGCAGCACCCTGATGAGCTGTGCTTCTGCAGCAATGACATGCGGCTGAAGGTGCGAGAGCAGATGCCACACTGGTACTTCTTCACCTCGGCGTGTGTCTGCAGATGAGCCCTCAGGTTAGAGCGGTCAGCAAAGGCCCGGTTGCAGTGTGGGCAGGAAAACGGACGTTCGCCTTTGGCAAAGAGAAAAGGGATGGAAATTAGCACCACATGACTGGCACTCTGTTTAGATGTGGCATTAAGACCAGTCCTAACTCAGTGACAGTCATATGTCTGTGAGTTCACAAGAACCCAACATTAACACCTCACACACACACACTTACACACATTCAGAAGATAACAGGAAAGCACATGGTAGGGTCAGAGCCTGACTGAATTAGCATGATTTAATCAGAGCCAAATCAGATTAGCACACTAACAAGTTGCTGCAGGTACTAAAAGCTCACTGATTGCAAAGAGCCTTCAGGCATTTTTTTAACCTTTTGTCTCTCCTGTCCCCCCAATCTACTGTCTCCCCCAGCGGCAGTGATAAGATCATTAGCTGATGAGTCATTGTTGCAGGGGCATTAAAATCAAAGAGTGATCAATAAGGACAGGATCTGCAGAGGGCCTCTCCATGTGGTAACGTCTGTTTATCAAGCGTTAACCTCGTCAGACTGATTGTCATGTATATTCCACTACCTCACTTCACAGCTGAAATGATGAAGGAGCGACCTGCTGACTCACAATGACAGCAACTCAAATGCAGATTTACAACTTCACAGGACCAGGTACAAAGATTTCCTAAGTTTTGAATCACTGATAAAGTGGAAATGTATGTGACCAGTGAGGATGTGTCATGTAAGAAAACATTAAAAACTAAAGGAGTTGCTGTTTTGGGCTCCTTGGCTGTGGGAAGACCTGCCTGAGGATCTCTGATTCACTACTACAACATCTTCTTTTAAATCACTTTTTCAGACATCTCTGTGTGGAAAGGCCTTTACATAATTTTGGTATTTTACTCATGGTGCTTTATGTATTTTTATTGCTCTTTTTTCCAGCCATTTTCTTGTTATTTTATTCTTTAGACATTTGTCTTTTTATTTGGTTCCCTACATAACAAGGTACATTACTGCTATGCTTTGACATTTTTTAATGATTGTTTTGACAAGCCCTTTAAATAAACCATATTATTGTGATTACTGTCAGACATGAATCTTACCTGTGTGTGTGCGGATGTGGCCGCGCAATAGCCAAGGCCTGGAGAAAGCTTTGCCACAGGTGGTACACACACAGGGCAAGGTGTGTGATCGGATGTGCATCTTCAGCGCCCCAAGGCTGTTGTACTCTTTGGGACAGTGTTTACAGAGGAAGGCTGGCCTTGCTGCTGAGACCTGTGTCTCTCTTTCCTCTTCTTCCTCTGGGGGGCTTATATGAGCCATAGAACCTGTGCATTTCATCCTCTGGCGAGGGGCATATGTGTGTACAGGCTCGGGGCTGGGGGGGTCTGATGTGCGTCCTTCATCCTCCTCTCCACAACTGCTAGCACTGCTGCTGAGGCTGGACGGGGAGCTGAGGTCCAGGGGGACGGGGGTGGTAGAGGGCCCAGTTTGGGAGGTGGGTAGGTAGAGGGTGGGTAGGACACTCAGATCCCACACTATACCTGTTGTGAAGCAGGTGCCAAGGGAGGAGGTGTTGTCCCCGGATGGAAGCTCAGCAAGAGGAAACCTCTCCAGTGAAGTGTCTGAGATAGAAGGCAGAGGATGGTACACAATTATCCACTTCATCTCAATACATGAACGGTTTGGTGTTTTTATAAAATAAGGATTGAATCGGGGAAAAAAAACATTTTATGTATTTAGACAATTATACTGTCAAGTATTGGATGTGCAAATGAAATCAGTTCCTCTCAGCATTTAATAAGCGTACAGCCGGAGCCATGAGATGGTTTCATCGTCCGTTTCCTCCCACGTATTCACAAGAGCTTGTAGCATGAATGAAGCTCTGTCTGGTTGCAGAAAGGGGGGAAAGTACGTCTAACGGGCCCCGACTTGAACGGGGAGTAGCCGAGTTTGAAGTTGAACCAGAAGAAGAAGAAGCACAAAACTTTGTCTGCTGGATAACTTTATATGTGTAAAATACCAGGACTTCACCTCCGAAAACAGAGCACTTTCTCTCAAGATTGACACCTATGTAAGCAAACTTTCCATAATTCATACAATAAATAAAAATACTCTCAACTTACCATTCTGACATTCCAGCTCACTGTAGTTCGGCTTTTGTTTAGCGAAGTACTTTTTGACCAAGAAAGATCGAGGCATCGTGCTGGTGAGTTTAAAACAACTAAAGTATCCTGTTGGAACGACGCACACTTTCTACGAGAACAAAAGAAGTAGGTGGTCCACTGATCCTGAAGAAAAAAACAATGTCCAAGAGTTGTCAAAAAGTTAGTGCGGACTTGAACGGGAAAGTTTGAGTGCAGCTTCCATGCACTGTGACAAAATGCTGGCCTGTGTTCTGAAATACTCTGACACAGGCGGTAGGGGTGTGCTCGCCCCGAAGGCCCTCCCCACCTCCTCCTCCTCCTCCCCCAGCCCCCTGTATCACCGCACAAGTGCGCAGGATGAAGCCCTCACGCTCATTACTTAAAAAACACGATCATTTCACACCTCCTACCCACGAGGACCCAGTGGCGTTGTCCTGCAAACTAAGTCAATGGCACAGCACCATCACCTATCCCTCGGTACAGTGATTTATCCTCATTGGGCCCTCCCTGTGTGGCTCTCTTATGGAATTAAACTTACCAGTTTTATATCATGGATCAAATTCATTTTTAAACACTGCAGCCAAACGCTGAGGAAAATAATAGTTTACTGGAGCCATTATTAGACTAAATCAGTCTGTTTTTTTGTCAGCCTATCACAGCATGAATACAGTTAAATGCGCATTTAGAGTTATTCTGCCACTGAATGCGTAATTCTCATAGTTTGTTTCTTTAAGCTTTGGTCGTTGACTTCCTCTATTCACCCATATTTTATTAGATTCAGAGTGAAATCAAGTCTATAAAATTATGAATTCTAAAATAAACAAGAAAAGCTTAATTTCTTGTCATTTAAGATTACAGTAAGGAGGGTTACAGCAGTCGGTTAAAATTGTTAAAGCGTTGTCTTCCTGCAATCGCTGTTGTAAAATTTGTGTTGTCACGGTGTCATCAGACCTGGCTCATTTTAATTGGATTCACACGCTGGATCAGTCTGTTCAGTCTCATAGGTATATCGGTAGAGTATTTGCGCCACCTTGTGGAATAAACTGAGTGACAACATATGTTTATTTTTCGACGAATGAACAAACGGTGGCGCTGTTACAAAGGACACGAATCTGATCACAGTTAATAATAGTTTCCATATTAAAAATCTGAAATAAATCTGTTGAATTAAATTAGAAACACATGTAGTAGATACACATTTATGTGTAGGGTCCGTGTCTCTTTTGGTAATTGGATATAACATTTGGAAACAGATATCAAAAACACACACACACACAAAAAAAACTTGAAATACAGCTTGATTTTCTTTTTTGTTGTCTGGAACAAGTAAGGAAAAGTCACATAATGGTTTAATTTTCAATTTTTGATTTCTAAAAATTTCTTTTTTGGATTTGTACATTTAAAGAGAACTATTTCTTAATTTTGGTACAACAATGGACTGTAGTAGACAGGCTGGCTTCTGTAAAGCTCAGTTTAACAGCTGGTCTGTAATACTAAATAATCTTATTTAACTCATCAACACATATAAATTCATTAAGAATCTGTAACAAAAACCACTCAAATCAATGTGGGTTTGTAGTGTGGTCAGACTGTATTCTGGATGAGTTAATAAAGTGACAGTTATTTTTTTCAACACTCCCTCTGCTTTTACAAGTAACCATTTACTTAATACATGTAAATGTTTTGGACCACCACACAGGCCTACTATACAACATGCCCGTCACCTGTCACACAGCCTGCTGACAATAGTGAGGTGACTGCTGAGAAAATAGTCTGAACACAAGGGGCACAGGACAGACGGCTGGCTGCAGAGCTGGAAGAGACCAGGTAACGTCAGTGCCAGGCAGCAGCTGGTCCATGCCAATTATACAGTCCATGGTCTTGTGCGGTATTCTATTTTCTTTTTTAGAAATAAATATTGAAAATCAAACCGTCATGTGACTTTTCCTTACTTGTTCCAGACAACATAAAAAGAAAATCAAGCTGTATAAGTTTCGTTTTTTCTATTTTAAAACAAAAATCAAATAACCAGTCGTTGTTCTATTTTTGATATCTGTTTCCAAATGTTATATCCAATTACCAAAAGAGACACTGACTGTGTAGCCTAAAATATATCATTCACACAAGCCTCTGCAACAGATAGATAGATAGAGAAGATATAACTAAACACCTCTCTGAGAAACAAACCCATTCAAAGTTGTTGGTAGCCTAATCTAGGAGTCTTTTTTTTTTCAAACTTTATTTGAATAAACAGTTTGTTGTACATTTCAATTTGAAATGAAGTACATAACAATCGTCAAAGAACTCATCTGAGGAAATAACTGTCTGCACTCGAAACAGCACAAACACATAACACATTAACTGTAAAAAAAAAAAAATAAAATAAAAATGATAAACAGGGGGTGACATTTCAATAACAAGGGCTTTAAATGTGTTAAAGAAATGGGATTAAATCTAAAGAGCAAGAGACTTTGACATTGTCTGATACAATTGATTCATAGACTAATTTGCCTCTGACAACACCCTTATAATAATAATAATAATAATAATAATAATAATAATAATACCTTTGTTTTTAAAGCAATTTTAAAAACAGAAGTTTACAAAGTGCTTTAACAAACAGTTGCAAAGCACAGAACAAACAAGGCCTCCAAATTGAAGGCCAATTTCATTTGTCATAAGAAACCCAGACAATACAAGAACCCTACAATATAAAGTGAGACCATGAGGACCAAAATAAAAACATAAAATAGGTAAGAAGAAGAAATGTTATAAAAAAGGGGGGTAGAAAGCAGGAAACAGGGTAGTAAATATAAAAGAGGATAATATTAATAATGATAATAAAATAATATTGATGGTGACATTAAATCAATAAAGGGCCTAAAAGGTAAAAAAAGAAAAGATTGTAAGTAAAACAAAGGCTAAAAGGACAGTAAGTCGAAATAAGATAGAGGTAAAGGAGATAAAAGATAAAAGAAAAAAGGGAAAAAGGGGGAAAGACAGCATCACATAAAAGCAAGTCTGTAAAAGTGAGTTTTTAAACGTGACTTAAAAGAAGTGACTGTCTCTGCTGTACGCCTTATCTCCTCTGGCAGGTCGTTCCAAAGTTGAGCACTTCTGATGGAGAAAATTTAATCACCTTTAGATTTGAGCCTCGACTTTAACATCCTTAGGGATGATATATAGCTTTTAATTTAATTCTTTAAACAGTTTGAGGTTGATTTGCTGTTGTTCCATTTATTCTTGTGTATATGATATTTTCCCATACTGAAAATAATGTATAGATCAATAGATCAACAATTAAAATTTGTTAAACAGAAAATCATTAACCCCAATATTGCCTACCCTAGGAGTTGTTGTGAGTAGATGACATTCTCACTCAATACCCAATACTACTTCACAAAGGAGAAACTCAACTAATTCCTCCCAGTTTTCGATGCTATATTCGTCTCAACAGTCCAGATAAATTGACCAGGACGCCATTTACTGAAGACCACCCTGTGTATGTTCCTTAAATTTAAACTCGAGGGTAACAGGGTGGACATGCGCAGTACGGCATTTGTATACTTTTGGGAGATCTCGTTTTTTTTGTCCTGATGTTGAGCTCGCGAGAACCAGATCAAATCCTAGTCAGCGGCCTCTGATTGGTCGTTCACCCCTGATGGGCGGGGACACAGGCGGGTCATCTGTTGTCTGTGATCGGTTGAAGGTTTGAAACACAAAACAACAGCCTTGTTTGGATTTACCAGCTGTAGTGTTTTACTGGTTTGTAAGGGATCTTACTCACTCGTAATATTTTCATATCACGGCTCAAGAATGATCTGCGGCTGAAACCGAAAAACGCTATCATCAGGTGAGGACACTGCATGATTGCAGTTTATTGAATGAAATTAAATACCACAGACGAACCATAAAGAAATCGACTGATATTTTAGATGCTGTTTTGTCAATTCGATCATAATTGTGAATTTTAATGTCTTCTGTGGCGTGACATTGATTGTCTCAGAAGCTCACAGCCTGGAAACCTAAGATTTCTGCAAACCACCGAGGTCTCACTGTGACCCAAATACCTAGATTATCATTCCCTATGAAAATACATTATAGCTTATTTAAGTGAGTGCTACAACCTCAATTGCATGATAATTTGACCTTTTTTCCCTGCAGTAGTGCTGTCTGTGTTTATTTTTTTAGTTCATAGTTTTCGATGTGCCTACCTAACTTGGTAAAGGTAAAATATTACAATAATAAGACAGCATCAAAATACTTAGTTTTAAAGTAACCTGAGAGGACACTGTATTGCAGGGTTTTACATAGACACACAGTGCAGGATATTACATAGAGCATTACAGGTCTCAGAAAGGTGCAGGAGATTCTGGATGAAGGAGCCCCTCCCCCATTTATCAAAAGACAGATGGGTCCTAACAATGAAAATCTGAGGGAGTGGGTACCATTATTTTAACCAAGAATTCTCATTGGACAGACCTAGTCAGCTGACCCAAACAGCTCAAATTTGAAAAATGATAATGAATGAAGAGCTTCTTTAAATCACCCACACCCAAACAGTCAATGAGAGATTAGAGCTAGTCTGACTGAGGGCAGTTATGATGCCTTTTATGATCCTGCATAGGCTTAAAAAACATTTTTATGAAGAGTGTTTTTCTCATCTATAGCAGATAAAGACTAAACATCCGAGCTTCCTGCTATACAAAGAAAAGGAAAAAGGAACAACAGGAAAATCTCAAGAAATCAAAAGGAGAAACCAGTGATGTTCAGAACGTTGACCCGTCTGCTCTTTGGTGGAGAGGAGGAAGCCCCTCAAGAGGTCAAGTCTGGGGAAGTGTTGGAAGAAGAATGGCTAGTTGTGAGCCATCAAGGTCAGTTGTGAGGCGTGTTTTTGGTATATATTTTATTTAACAACAATACACAAGTTTACACTGGTTCTGACTGTAAAAAGCAAATCTTTTACAGTCAGTTATTTAACATTTTCATGCAATTTCACAATATTTATTCACACAGATATGTGTGCCTGTTATACTATTAAAGAAACAAACATAAAACAATCTACTTAACTCATGTAATGTTGTTAGATTTTTTCCATCTGTTGTCCTTTTTTTTGTTTAGTTAAAGAATTGTGTGCCTAAATCTAATGGATGTGTGTGCTGGACATCAAATCCACACATTAAAGTGATGTCCACTTATATGATTAATATTGATTTTGTCCCTACAGAGGCAGTATCAGCTGAAAACCAAGGAGCAGAGCTGAGTGAAACACAACTAACATCAAACTCTGCTCATCATGAAGACACTGTAGCGGACATAAAAACTGATAGCAGGTTAGCAAGCCATTTACCCTTTACCTTGCATAATTTTTAACATTGAAAAAGGTTCTTTATTGAAAAAAAAAAGATCTAAATTCATGTAAATTCAGGTATACGAGAAAAGAAATTTGTACTGAAGGTGTGTTTTTCCAATCTATTTAACCCCTCAGAGTGCTTTTATACATGACTGTGCCTGCTAGGAGCTTATAAAACACCAGATAAAGCTACAGCTGCCTTGTTGCTCATTTTCTGGTAGAGTTAAACTATTCTGATTAAAGCTGTGTTACCATCTTTAAAAGAAATACTGGATGTAATTAGATCCTCCATTTATAGTTACAATGAACAAAACTTACAACAAGGAGGACCAGAAACAATTCCTGAAACATGTAGATTTAATGAAAAAATTGATGGCCGAGTAGAGAAGAAGTCAAAGAGAGAAAAAACATCGGTGAGAGCAGTCCTGTGGTGCAGCATCCTTTAACCACCACTTGGTGGCGTCTGTAACACACAAGCTGTACAACAGGCACCAGGAAAATACTATTTTTTTGTTGTAACCTGCTTTTAATATGACATAAGTAATAATCCCACATCCTCATCAATATTCAACTCTCTACCCAAGGCTGTGGTTAGCAGTAAACATGGTCATCTATTTTTTTTATTTTACTGACTAGAAATTCAGCAGGCTTTTTTAAAACATGTTTTCTGTTCAGTTGGTGCACTTTTTTTTTTTTTGCTTTATTTCCCCTTAACTCCAAATACACACACACACACACACACACACACACACACACACACACACACACACACACACACACACACACACACAAAAATACAAACTTAAGGTTATTAAATTCTAGTGTTTTCTTTTATTTGTCTCCAGTGTGTTGGATCAAGGGACCACAGTTCAGGAAAGTAACAGCAGCAGCTCCAGCCGGACCACCACAGGCCCTGTGTTTCATCCTAAAGCCTTGCTAGAAGTGACACAATTAACCTCCGTACAGAAGGCTAAAGCCTGGGCAGACCGGCATCACATGACACGTAATGCCATTCAGCGCCAAAACCGTGTGCGCCAAGGAGTCCACCATCATTCTTTCCCACTCCAACAGCCAGGATACCGCAACCTCAGCCACTGAGGCCTCTGCTTTTCAATGCTTGTTGTCGACAGAAATGTTCACAGGGAAATATCTTTCAACAGACATCAAAGTAATTAAAAAACATGTTTGCCACATATATCAGGCTTGTGAAGACTGAAGCTATACATCCTGTTTCGATGTAACCCATTATAACACTTGACAACTGTTACCCAGGTAGTAGGCAGCTACATTTAAACTCGTACTGTATTTAAAATCAAGATATTCACCTCATGAAATAAGAAACACCATGTGCTCTTGTTTGTGTGTGTGTGTGTAACTTTATACCTTAGATTTTAAAGAATGCAGCCTATGCAAATGTACCCTCTAACTTTATGGATAAAGTGATGTGATTTGAGAATCGACATGTATAACGCTCTCTATGTTCTTGATTCAAAACGCTTTTTGGCAATAAAATGATGACTGCAGCTTGTGCTTTTTTGTTTGTTAAACTTGCTGAGTGTCCAAATAAAAATAACCTGAAAGATGCAAATGCTGGGATCTGAGATAAATAGATAATTGAAATACCTTTGCAATCAGGAAGCGTTCTGTTTTTTGACTTTGGGCTCAATTAAAAAGTATGACAGACTACTTGAATCAAAACAGTTTGATTGCTTTAAAAGTGACCATCACTATAATCCATCATAGTATCTCTTCTTATTTGTAAAGGATGTGCCTGATCATGAGTGCTGAACAGCACATGGTCCCCTCATTATGATGAATCCAGCTTGGGCGCTATTGGGCTGCATGTCATGCAGCAACATGTGTCAGGTGTTGATGGGTAGACATGGTTTTTATATGGAAAATACAAATTAATCCATCAGTTTACTCTCTGTAGAGGGGAGTGATGCTAGTTCATGACATCTAAATGAATAATTTAGATTATTCAAATTAAAGAAACAAATTAAAGTAACCATTAATGTTATGCTTTTAATTGAATCTGACGATATTGCAGTGTTGCATCAGGGTTACGGGCTGTGTGTGTGTTGGGGGGGTAAACAACTTCACATTTTTTCAGACTTTCATCACCCTTGTCAGTCAAACACATCTCTGTATGCTGTTATGAGAGGATGCAATTTGAAGAGCTGCCACTGTTACCACAGAGGATGTGTCTAAGTCTTGATGGGTCAAACTCTTCCTATTCACATTTTCTCCTCTGAACCATCCTCCCACCTTAAAAAAAGATGATGTCATATGAGGATGATAAACCAGGATGTGACTCATTTGTATCTTCCTATAGCTGAGACTGTAATCAAAGCTACAAAAACAATTCAGTGACATTTCTCTCAACTTCTACAGATACTGCAGCCCACCTCATTCCTAAGAAAGCCCAGGTGTCTGGCAGACTCATCTACTAAGCCATGATGTAAACTACTTCAAGAGATAGAAGATCAGATGAGAGACATCTGTACATTAAATGTGTCTTGTTTCATGGATACATAAAATTATATGTTTAACATCCACAAAGGTTCAGGTAGCCTACTTGTGTCTTCATCTGTTTCTTCTTACAAGCTCACAGAGTAATCCTCTGTATCTCCAGTGAGGATGCTTACAACAGAGTGCAGCTGAAGCAGACAGTGGAAGGCCTGAATGATAATAAAGACTGCATGCAAATTATAGCTTTAAATTATACAATTATTGTATTATTTTAGACTTACAGTACAAGTTCCTTCTGGTGCAGTGTTGATATCAGATCTTAGACTTTTTCATCTCAATGAAAACATAAACACAGAAATTTGATAAAAATCTTTTGACTGCAAAAATACATACGGATTGACTGGATCTGTTACACTCGAACTTAAAGGTATGAATAATTTATTATAATAACAGCTTCAAATGAAGAGTATTTCTGAGATTGTTCAATATGGCTACTGCCTTGAATATTTGATAAATGGATTTGTCCAAAAAGGTTGAAAAATGTGAAACATCCGCTAAGGAAGACAACTCTGATTTGTCTTGTTCCATCTGTCTAAAAGTAAAATTCATCTCACAATCATATGTGACAAACAAAAGTACCAAATCTTCAAACTAGAGGAGTGGGAAGCTTAGATTTGAACTAAAACAGTTCAACAGAAAGACAAACAAACTGATGGACAAACAGACAAATTAAGAAATAATAACACTGACATTCAGATAAACAGGCAAACAGAAAACCTAAGTGAAAGACTGACAGGCAGAAAAACAAACAAAGGAACTGACTGATGATTGATTAAACAAAAAGACACAGAGATAAATATATAAACTGGCTAATGGATGGGCATGAAAACAACAACAACAAAACAATCAAAAAACAAAGAAACAAAAAAGGTAAAGACTGACAGACCAACAAAAAATAAACAAAAAAATAAAAAACACTGACGAGCAAACAAACAAACTAATAGGTGGAAAGATAAACAGACTATAATAAACAGACAATCAAACAATTAAGCAGACAACCTCTGGAGGACAGATTTGTTGTAAATTGGCACTAAGGATTAAATAACAGACCAACAAAAGAAAAAATAGCAAAAATCAAACATCAACACAATCAACACAAAAGGCAGATATGCAAACAAACAAACAGAGCTTCGTTAAAAACATGAGGACAGATGGATGTTAAAACATACAAATGAAGACAATCAATCAAACAATCAATCGATCAACATCAATCTTTATCCATGAAGTACGGATTCAAGCATAATCCCAAGGAACTTTAAAAAAAAGCTGTTAAAAATCATACTCTATTTACAATTCACAAAGACCCAATGTAAACCAACTGTTTCAATAAACATCTGGGCAATCAAAAGGGGTGACTATCAATCAACTATTTACAAAAATCAACAAACAAACAAAATAAACAAACAAATGCAAAGATGGCGGACAAACAAACCCTAAATTACTGGGAAAATAAGGACAAATAAATATATAAACACTGAAAAACTAACTAACTAACAGAAATACTGAGGAACACACAAATAGAAATGTCCAGCTTACGATCATTCATCTTTCAAGTATTTTTTACTCGATGTAATTAGTTGCAGTCAAACTTTATATTTGCTGCCGTATATGTCCTGGGACCAGACGACCCAATGGTGTCAATTTTAAGATGATGATGTTACGGCAGACAGTCTGACGTAAACGGTGGATATGTGCGGTATGTGCTGCAGCATTCTTTTGTCTTATCACTAGTCTCTATGAAATTGTTTCCTGGGTTACTGATACTGGAGCAGAACCATAATGCTGTCAGGACTATTCTTAACAGGGCCGTTTTTGACTTCACCTGGCCAAACAAAGGTCAAAAACAGCCATTAACCAACTCTTAACCTAATAACCTCAAAGTTAATCAGTCAAATAGATCCGTCAGTTATATCAGTCTAGCATTGTTTTGAATTACGGATCACTGCTTGCAATTGGTATAGAAAAACCAAGTCAAACCAAGAACATGCCCACATCATTTCTCATGCACATAACAGTGGGTGCCAGCATGGAGTCAGTGAGGGATCCACGAGGCCTAAGTCAGCTCAGGTGGACAACAAGGTGTTCAGTGTGATAACCTTGATTTATTATTCACAACTTGATTCATTGAAACCTGAAAGAGCGCTAAAGCAAACTGAGGATGAGTGAGCTATTGTTGATTTGTTTTATTAAGTCTGAGCTGGTTTGGTGCTCCAGAGTTATTGTAATCACCAGGAAACTGAGAGCAGACCTCTGACAGGAGCTTGACAGACAATAAGGGAAAAATGTCTGGTCATATGAATCATCTTGAAAACTGAGGTATTATCTTTTCATACCTGACCTCTGATCTGATATTTTTTTATGGAATTCTGACTGACAAGCAAAGTTTTCATGCTGGTTGAGTACACATGGTCGCAATGCTGAAGAAAATGAGGGCTGTTACGTAAATAAGATGTGCAGTCAAGATACCGACACACATTCTTACTAAAACACATCACAGGGTAGTGCATGTCACATGTGTTAGGCAGACAAACATGTCACTCAAACATAGGATTCTGGGTATTTGTGCTCAGTATGTCTTGACATGGTTTAGCTACAGTTTTATAGGAAGATATAGTGAACTTCCCTGAAGTTTTAAAATGACAGTAAAGCCTCACTAAACACCAGATACTCCCTTTTTATCTACAAAACATATTAGGAATTTTTAGGGGTGTATCCTAATGTCAGGTCAAATGACACAGCAGCTTGGGTTGATGACATTGAGACAAGAGTCACAGGTCATGAGACTGATATGAGAATATGTCACAACAAACTCTAGACAGTAAAAGAAAACAAAAAAAAATGAAGCTAGAGTAGGTCTTTTTGAAAAAATACTACTAAAATGCTGGATTTTGCAGAAAATAGGGAAATTACAAGGAGCACTTGTTGCACATTCTTAAACAGTTTCGATTGAGTTAAGAAGTTTACTAGAGAGCACTTACAGAATTCGCAGCTACTTGCAGAGAAAAGATTGAGTCAACGCGTCACTTTCAATTAAACATGAGAAATCGTGCGTAATTGTGGTAATCTCGTCAACTCGCATCAACTTCAAGGCGGAGGATCTTGGAGCTTTAAAGAGGAGGGCGTAGTCGATCAGCAGTTTTGTTTAAATGCTGCAGGTTGTCCCACCCACCGACTTCATTCAAGCATAGAGGGAGAAGAGAAAAGCCAACGCTTCACTCAACCTGCCCTTGTGAGGAATTAATCCAAACAGCAGTCCGGGAGGAACATGTCGTGCAGTTACAGCGGTTGACAAAATAATACAGTAAGTAAGAAATAATGATAATCTAACTTAACAAATGAAATCTCCAACGACTGAAAAACGTAAAAAAGCATCATGTTTTGTTTGTCTAAAAAAACATTGCTTATGTTAGAGCTTTTTAAATAACTCCGCATTTTACGCGTAAACTATTGTGTTCATTGTGCTATTGTAGTTGTACTCTTCTTTCTCTGTGAAACAGAAAACTATTTTTATGTCACTACTATGTGTGTAATCTTTCGTTGTCTCACCTTCAGTTTACCTAGAACATAGCATACAAGGGGCTGTTGTTACATTATTGACCCAAATGATGACGCTCACTGTTGTTCAATCACACAGGTTAACTCATTCAGCGGTATCTACCCAAAGAACCTCCTTCAACACACTATCCTGGAGAAGGTGTAGAGTTCCGATGGAGCCCAAAACAAGTATACTAAAGGAAAAGTTTTTTATTGTTGTACGTGGGAAGTCAAGGAAAGGCTTCTGCAGAGGATGCATTGGCCGTATTGAGGCAGAGACCCAGCAGGGAGAGCTAATGGGATTGCTGTACAGCGGCAGCAGCAACGCAGGGAGCCCCAAGAGCGGAGGCATCGTGAAGAGGGAAGACACGTACCCTCTGACCCGACACCAGGCCCAGCTACTGCTCTTCGTTTCCTCCGCAAGCAAACGTTTGGAGCTGCTGTGTAACCCACAGCTCTTTTCAGCTATCTGTGAGCTATCTCAGGATGACCTGGTGGTGGTGAGGCATAAGAAGGGACACATGCCTGCGCTGGTGAGGAACCTGATGCAAATCGGGAGGAGGGAGAGTAAAGACGACCTGCAGATGCTTGGCTTTGAAGTGGAATTTGTGGTGAGTCAAGTTGTTTGGTTTACTTCAAATTATTGGAAAAGGGGAAAGTGTTGTAGTCAAGTCAGAAAATTGCATAGCCTATATACAAACTACCACTTTTGACAACCTGCTTCTTCAAAGAGTGATTTGACTATAATAACCTTAGATGAGTTACTTCTGATGTTATTTGTTTTCTTTGTTAATCCACAAAATTGTTTATTCTGTAATCTGAGAATGCATGTAATAAGTGTCTGTTTTCTTTGTGACTCTTGCAGGACCACGATCACCATTTGTCTTCCAAAAAACCCGCTCCTCTGCCTTTGTTTAGTGCTGCAGATATTGTCCAGGTTGTCCCATCCTACTCCGTTCCCCTGGGACCGTATTGGAAAGATGGCCAGTGTGGGGGTAAGTAAACTTATACACAGTCGACATGTGACATTTCTAAGAAACAGTACTCTGAAGTGATATCATGGAGGTTCTTAAATGGTAAATAAACTGTGTTTACATTGGTGTTAGTCTTCTGACACCTCTCAGCACTTGGAGATTTACTTATTCTTTTTTAAAGACGGTTTGGTCTCGGTCTTAATGTATTTTTTCCTAAGACCCTTTAACATGCAGACTTAAAGGGTCTGAATTCTAAATATTAATCTTCCACTTTGAGAATGATTAGCTCTACCTCCCATGCCAAGTCCTCCTGAGCCAGATCAGTGTTTTTTTTTTTTTAACTATCTCTGTTACCCACAGTGCATACAGTAGGTCTAATGTTGCCAAACGAAGTTTTTACAAAATTCTCGTGACTACAGGAAAAATGGTGTCCTAGTACACAACTAGAAAAACTGGTTTAGATACACTGGAATGCAAACAGGTGGATTTGTCAAATGGTCTCGAGTTTTGCACATTGTGAACCCTGAGCTGTTTGCATACCTCATATGTAGACCTTTGCTGTTGCCTAAGGTCAATCTGATGAAGCAGCATGTGATGAGCCAAATACAGTCATATGATTTTCAAACTATTAACTTTCCCTCCCCCACACACCCTCCTTGCCTCTCCCTAGGCCTAAACAAAAGAGCGGTGACACGCATCAACTCTATGCCGAGCATAGGATCACGAGCAAGACAAGCAAGAGAGAACCATACATATCCGAGCGTCTCTCAGAGCCAGTATTCAAGGACATTACCTGTAGTGTTGGAGGTTGGATCTATGGTCGAGGTGGTGTCCAACACAGGGGTCACGGTGTATGGGGTTGTCCGGTGGTTGGGGATCCCTCCAGGGAAGCTTAACGAATGGGCTGGGATTGAATTGGTGGGTGACCATAATTTGTTATGATTATAATTTTCTTTCATTTCTGGGTGTCTAAGACTCCTCATGATTGTTGTTATTGTTTATATTGCTTCAGGACTATGAGGTAAATGGCTGCTCTGACGGGAAGTATGAAAGTCAGAGGTATTTTACCTGCAAGGGTAACCGAGCCTTGTTTGTTCCCATCACCAAGTGCAGCCCTGACAGCAGGTTTGTCCACTCATCTTCGGGAAAAGAAACCCCAAAACCAGCTGAAATACCTCCAGGTAAGAGACTTCTCCTGATATGATGGAAGATACACATGCAGTTCAAATGTATATATGAAAGCATTTGGTATGGCTGTTATATTGTATTAACCAGTTTTATCCATCACTGAACTAAGTGAAATGAAAGATTTGACAAAGGTTGTCATTATTTATTAATATCCATCCTGATCTGTGGTGGCCTGACTAGCGCTGGATAACAAAGTGTTGATTAGGGTTAGAAACTGGTGGCTGTATTCTGGCATAACTTTACAGTGTGTGGTTTGAGGAATTTGGCATTGTGTTGAAGTGTCAGTTCCCACTAAATACTTCTGAAAGCCATTAATCATGCTTTTATATTGGCTCAATGAACTTAAGCTTGGTACATTTAGAAACTTCAAGTTATGACTGTTTGAGCACAGTGAGGGGCTGGTACAAGGAACTTAATTTTGCAAATCTCTTCTTCCTGAAACATTAAATCAGTGCTAAAAGGCTTTTCAAAAGGAACATTTGGTTTGATCTGTTTATTTGTTGTTCTTAGTTCCTCTGTTTGAGGACTCAGGGGAAGATGCACCACCTATCCCTGAATCAGAGGCCTTGTCTTTGTTAGAGGGGAAAATGAAAGGGATCCAAGGACACGTCAACTCCTGTTATCTGGATGCCTCACTTTTCAGGTAAAACCGGTTCATTAGCCTTCAGGGTATTGAATTCACATCCTCAGCACAGATTTATTTCATCTTTTGTTATCTGAAGTTACTTTACTGGCAGGAGACCATGTACAACTTACAGAGCACAATGAACTCCAGTTAGATAAGTGTGTGATTAAACCATGTGTTTTTCTGTCTTCAGTTTGTTCAGCTCTGCTGTGACCCTGGATAATATCTGCCAGGAACCTTCAGATGCAGAGAAACCCATAACCTGCACTCTGAGGAAAATCGTCAACTGTTTACGCAGGTAAAAAACACCATATTCAGGAAAGTCTGTGTTATCATTTGCTCTTGAAACATTTAGGTTCTGGCATTTCATTCAGTAAAGGGTACCGCCTGTTTCAGTTTCAAAACAAACATGGGCTAATTCTGTCGCATCAGAGGAGGCAAGTTTTTTCTACTCATAACTGTTGGTGTTTTTTTTTTGTTTGCTGCTACTTCAGTGTTTTAAGTTTCTGTGATTACTAACTGATACCTCATGAATGTTTTGCAGACAGGGGTTTGTGCCTGCTGAGAGTGTGATGAATTTCCGCACACAGCTTGGCTGTGACACCTTTCAAACTGATGAGAAGGGTATATACTCACATTTGTTATTATTATTGTTAACAATATATATATAAAAAGCTTTTGACCATGCACCCAACTTGTGTACCATCCTAGTATTTTGTGTTTTCATTGCTTTACTTCATTGCAGACCCAGAAGAGTTTATCACAGTCCTCTTCCAGAGGGTACTTTGCATGGAGCCTCTCCTCAAGCTCAAGTAAGATACTAGTCTACTTTGTATCAAATATTTATTCTTATTTAACAGAGCAAGTCTGAGTGACATTCTGCTTCATTTTAGATCAGGACTTGAAACGTCTCAGGGTGCCTACACATTTCAGATCTTTCTGGAAAAAGAACAGACGGTAAAGATGCCCACCGTCCAACAGCTTCTGGATACGTCCTGCATGTCAGGTGACCTTAAGTTTGAAGAGGTGAGTGTCCACTCCTTTTGTCAGCTACACAAGCTCATGTGGGGTATTTGATTTTTCCTCTCTTAAGTCCTGTGCCCACAATTTTGCCTCTGATTGGTCCTCAGGTGCCATCCTGTCTAATGGTCCAGATGCCAAGGTTTGGAAACAAGTACAAGATGTTTTCACATATCATCCCCTCCACTGAGCTGGACATCACAGATCTTCTCTTCAACTGTGAGAAGAAGATTTGATCACCAATTATTTGACATATAATAGATTAAGATAGAAAACATCTTAATAAAGAGTTTTTGAGGTGCTCAAAGATGCTTTTGTATTTCCCACTTTCCCATCAGCTTCAAGGGAATGCTTCATCTGTGGACGCTTGGCTGAGTATGAGTGTCTTCAGTGTTTAACCGATCGCAAACTGCAGCCAGGTAGAATCAAACAGTTCTGCCCTACCTGCAACACACAGGTGAGCCAGATAGTCATTTTTGGATGTCAAGTTTCACGTTTACAGAGTCTAAGCCTATGTACTTTATATATTTCCTGAAGGTGCACACCCATCCATCACGGCAGGATCACTCCCCTAAAGCTCTGCCACTACCAGCAGATGTAGTGGCTGATAGTCCTGTGCCGAGACACAAGATGCAACTATTTGCTGTGCTCTGCATACAAACCAGCCATTATGTGTCCTTTGTCAAGTATGGCCCAGATTCTCAATCCTGGCTTTTCTTTGACAGTATGGCGGATAGATGTGGTAAGTTGGATTCTAGCTTCTCCAGTTTGTTTTCGAGGTTTTCTCTATATTTTGGTGTCTGTTGACTGGTTTATATGGCTTATAGTACTCTACTTGAGTAAGTACTCAAAGGTTCATGCAAAATCTGACTTGTTTTGCTTTTTAACAAGCGTTTCCACATGACTGCCTTTCTTCTGATAAGAAAGCCTCAACAACATTAGATAAAGCCACATTCTGACGTCTGCGACAAGTCTTTATCTTTCTCAAGCTGATGTCTAATCTTCTGGTCATTCCTCTTTTCAGGTGATGATCAGCATGGTTATAATATTCCAGAGGTCCGAGCATGTCCTGAGCTGGGTGACTTCCTGTCTCAGCCAGAAGAAGAGCTAGCTCAGGCTAACCCCACAGAGGCACCTGAACTAGTCCGTCGACTGCTTTGTGACTCCTACATGTTTTTATACCGGGACCCAGACAGGCCACTTTCAAAGTCAAACCTTCAAGAGTCTTAAACTTGTCTGAGGAAGAGGACACAATGTTCTCATAACAGTGCCTTGATAACCTTGCATCTCTGCTTTATCAGTTACATTTTGTGCTAGTTATAGCATCCATACAGCAGGAACTGAGACGGATGCTTTCACCATAGGGCATAAAGATAATATTGTTAAAGAGCAAAAAATATCTTAATGCAGGGATTTGACTCTAATGACTGTAGTCAAAATGTAAGAGAAGTAGAATCTTTAATATATCTGATGTTGTAGTGATTATTTATTCCAATAATTTTAAAGTAACTTCAAGTGTGTTGGTAATTTTGACTGCTTTTTTTCCTGTGTTTTTGCCTATTGTAAGGCAAATTAAAGTCTTTTGAAATACCTATTTTTCGTGTGGTGTTGCATTATTCTGAATCATCAAGTATAATATAAATAAAGCACAATGATTTTGTTTTAATCTTTAAAGACACTCTCCAGAAGGATACATGAACACCTGTCAACATGTGTAACGATTCTTAGAAATGTAGTGTGTAGAAATGGCCATTAAGATTCAAGAGACGCTAACTTGCTCACCCCTTCCACCTGTGAAACTACAGTGGCCTTAGAGGTCTCTGACACAGGTTTAGTGTGATCCTCAATCCACCTATTATCATCATTATTATTATTATTATTATCCTTCCATCCATCCATCCATCCATCCATCCATCCATCCATCCATCCATCCATCCATTTTCTCCTGTTTAATCCCGTTAGGGGTTGTGGGGGGATGGAGCCTATCCCAGCATCTTCGGTTGAAGGCAGGGGACACCCTGGACAAGTCGCCAGTTCATCGCTGGGCTGACATATAGGGATGAACAACCATTCACGCTCACATTCACACCTATGGGCAATTTGAAAGTGGCCAATTAACCTAACCCCACTTAGGCATGTTTTTGGGATGTGGGAGGAAACCGGAGTACCTGGAGTAAACAGACACTGGAAGAACATGCAAACTCCACACAGAGACGCCCTGACCCGGATTTGAACCCAGGACCTTCTTGCTGTGAGGCGTAAAATAATAATAATAATAATAATATTATAAAGTTTATCAATAGTCCATCCATTATGTGACATTAAAAACTGAAGTGGAAGATGGCAGTGTCAGTGAAGATGAATCGGCTGACATGTTGTTATCAAAATAAGTTGTCAAAATTATGAAAGATTTCAATTTTCTGGTAAATTGCACAAATTTTAAAATGTTTTCCGTTGCTATCTGGTCTGCTCTGCCTAAAGTTATTTGATTCTACATACTGGGGCCTACCTTTAGCTGTGTGGATAAAGATCCATCAAATTTGAAAGCAGCAACTCTTTGAACTCGTTGAGACTGTGAAAAGAGGTATGGATATATTCATGGACCATACTGCCCTCCTGTGGATGAATATGGTCATCATTTCCTCATATCTTCAGTCCTTTATCCCTGAGAAAGTTTGTCCTGAACAGCAAGAGTGCACCCGTGACCGTTTAGACACAGTTATGGGAACGCTATTGGGGATAATCAGCTTGATAGTGGAAATAAAGGAATGATGAGGACTTAATTAACTTTACTCTACTTACTTAAACTAGCCTATTTGTTACTCATTTTCTAATGTTATTTTCATCCATGTATGGCCCAATATGACATTATGAATTAAACTGTTGTAAATCTTCACACCATTTATTACACCATTAAGTAGTAAATCTTTATATGTTCACTAAATGACCTTTGTTTTATCGATACCATTACTCATAGTCGTATGCACTGGAGAACAGCAATATCCATTGCCCTCAGTCAGTTATCAGTGAGAATGAATCGGATAACTAACGTGCAGGCGGGTCCTGCAAGGGGCGAGGACCTAATCTTGTGTTTCTGAATTGTGTCACCCACTCAGGACTATGTGTGACAATCGTGGTGTTGAAGAGCAACACGTTTTGGGAAGAGGAGGAGCAACGGTGCCTCTACCATTTAAATTACAGCGCATGCGTATTTGAGCACAACTGGGACTTCTTTCTCTTACACAACTGTGTCTTTTCTTCATTCTGCCTACATCTCCTGGCCGGTGTGTGGGAACCCCTCCACGTTTACTCCTCTTTGCTACTCAATTAGACAACATTTTTCTTTGGAAATGAGTGGGGACCTTTCCCACAGTGAGGACCAGGTAATGACATGCCCGGTGTTTAATAGACACCGTCTTATTTTCTGGGTTGTGTGTGACAGGGTACCTCATCAGTATCTGCTAGCGCGGGTTAGCCTGGTAACTCATTTTGTTGTTAACAGGGCACTGACACGTTTCATCATACGGTTATTTAATATGTGTTGTAAAGGTGAAGTTAAAGTGGCTTTCGGACTTGTTTGGCAGAGGATAAACAGCAGCTGAAGCAAAGAAGTAATGCTACATGTTAAATGTGTGTCAGCTATAGTGTTAGCGGTAGCAGCCACAAAGCTATAGCAGGCAGGCTAGCGGGGCAGCTAACAACTGTCGCTTCAACGTTCAGCAAGTTCAAAGTTAGTTAGCCGGCTAGTTAGCAACTATCATATTTAACATGGACCTCTTCTTAATTTTTCAGGTTGACTGTGGCTCTCGTTATAACGGTAAGTTTCCCACATCGATCCAGTAAGTTCAAAAGAGGTTTGGGATCAGTTTGTTCCTCTACTCCACAGTCGAAGTGTTAACGCAGCGTTAGTTTCAGTGGAGGACAGAAATGGCGTCCAGAGACTAAGTCCTCTGTCTCACTCACAAGCTCCTATTGTTCAAAAGGGAGCCCATATAGAAGCCTTTCCTCAAGTTATTTTCACAGTTTGAGTCCACCTTGGCGTATACCTGGAGGTGTTTTATCAGTTTGTCACATTAGAAATTCTTTTTGGCCGCCTCTTCATGCCGCATTTCTCACCTGAAAGTAAGGGTTTGGGGGTTGAGGACTTAGTCTCTGCGCCATTTTCTTTTTCGGTGTAGCGGCCTGACTGACTGTACTGCGAGCTGAACCCAGGCTGGGAGCTACACACTGAGACAAACGCTACTAAGGCACAGTGCGGCGTCAAGATACCATGTGGTGACCACGGCGAGTCTAGTCCTTGATAAGCGGTCTTGAAAACGCACTTTCATTGATAAAGGTTTTCTTTTAAGAAATAAATAAAACACTGATACAGGGACTTATATTTTCCTGTTACAAGGAGAAAGCGCACTGTAACAAGTCAGATTTATACTTGGAGTTCATACAGAATCATAGCCAAATTCATCATCGCATTGTCAGTCAGAGTAATAAAGTATTTTTTTTTTAAACCTCTTTTTTAATGACCCACTTTTAATGTTTATAAGTGCTGCTGCCATAAATGTGAAGTTCTTAAGTCATACACCACTAATCAGCCCAGCTCCTGCAGAAAAGTCAGTGTAATTTAAGTAACATTTTATAAAATATACAGAAAAAATGATATCGGATGTTATGTCTAGATTTGGACATATTGTCTAGACATTTAAAAAGATGATGTGGCCACCACACATGGAGGAGGATGGATCTACTTTGATTCTTATACATATTTTTTGCTTTGTAAGCTTCATACAAAGCAGTTAACCAGTTCAGGAATCTTGCACAAGACTTGGAACAACATTGAGCTATATGACATACAGTGCCTTGATACCACAGAGTATTTCATGTGTCAGCTAAATGTCTGCAAGATATGCTCTCCAGTTTCCCCTCAGTCACACGAGGAGGCAACTAATACAGCAAATAACCCCCACAATATAACAAAAAAAAGTATGTTAAGAGGGTTTGTTCTACAACGACAAAAGGAACAAGTAAGATGAAACCTCAGTCTGCTGTTGCACCCATATAAATCACTGATCACTTTTCAAGCTAGGATTTCTATATTGCTTGTTTGTCCTACTCTGGCATACCAGCAGGGTACTGATATTCTGTGGGACCGTGAAGTAAACTGGGCATCTGTCATGGGTGTTTGCAAGAGGTTTAAATGTTTGAGGCATGCATAACCTAATATTTTGATGTTTCTTTTGTTTTTTTTTTAACCCCATTGAATGACTGATGTGAACTGGCGTTCTAAAAGATGGTCTACTTTGTTCAGCAGCATGTTTCAACATGCTTGTCTCATAAACAATGACGTTGGTACAGGCAGTAGGAGGTGCTATGCTACTATGCAATAGATTTTCAGATGTCTCAGTAGATGATAGTTGGACACTCACACATACTCATGCATCTATTGTGGCAGTTTGATTTGTTTTTGCTTATGTGGGTGGAGTCCCTCCTCGTTTGTCAGCTATTAGTATTATCTGCACAAATCCAGATTAATATCCAGTAAAGACAGTACAATGTTTGTTTTTGCCACCTTTGAACAAAGCCACACTTGTAATTCTGTTTCTATTATGTAAACACTGCCTATAATTTATGTACACTACAATTCTACGATTAATTGCCCATTGTAGGCCTGTGTCAATGTTTTTTTTTTAACTTTTGAAGTGTTTTCTTACCAGATTCTCACAAGCATAAAGACAAGTACAAAGACAAGGAACACAAACATAAGGACCACAAAAAAGATAAGGAACGAGAGAAATCAAAGCATGGCAACAGGTATGGAGCGTGTGCCCCCGAGTTACTTAAACATAATGTAGAGTGATTGATTCTATTTGATCACTTTTTAAGAGTCACTTGAAACTATTGAAATAAATAGCTTCTATTTGTTTTTGTAATTCCAGTGAGCACAGGGATCCCTCAGACAAAAAACACAGAGACAAAGAGAAGGAAAAGGTGAAGCACAAAGATGGCAGCACAGACAAATACAAGGACAAGCACAAGGAGAAGAGGAAGGAGGAGAAGGTGAATTGAGAAACTTATAATTCATGGGGAAAATATATGTGGTTGTGCTGTGGGAATATGCCTGTGATATGGTTTCAGAGTCTGGAGTTGGGAAAAATTCAGCAGTATTTTACTGTCAAAGAATTTGCTTGTGTGCATGGCCCTAAGCAATTTTGAAATGGAACAAATCAAAAATTGCTCTTCATGCTGAACCACGTATTTCTGAATGAACCAAAGATTATTATACATTTTTATGTGGCCAGAGTTGACCATCAGCTTCATTCAAAGTTTTCAATTTTCATTTCCAGATGAAGTCCCTCGATGGTAAAATCAAAAAGGAAAAAGAGAACGGCTTTGCCAGGTATACCAGGACCTCACATTACATTTCACTGCCTTGTAAGGGCATCAAACGATGCCTTTTTAATACGCCAGTAGTTTTCACTTTGTCTTCTCTTTTGTGCAGCCCTCATGTGAAGTCTGAGCCTGAAGATAATTTTTACCCCTCTCCTAAACACGAGAAACCTCTCAAAAGAAAACGGGATGATGATAATGAGTGAGTGGGTCTTTCAATTGGAGTTCTTTTGTCAGTCTTTATGTTGTCCAGGTGTATTTGGATGGCTGTATTTGTGACGAAACTACATTATATTTTTAGCGCTGAATTTAAGCCGAAGAAAATCAAAACTGAAAATGACAAGAAGGCAAAGAAAAGAAAACTAGATGAGGTAAGAAATGTTTGTATGCAGGATTGTAATATGAATTATTATGGAATTTTTTTTAAGAGTCTTTTTTTGGTTTTCTTTCTTTTGAAAACATAAAGCCCAAAAAGACGAAAAACAAAAAAGGAGAAGTTGCTGATGGAAAAAAGAAAGCAAAGAAAGAGCCAGAGGAGAAGTGGAAATGGTGAGTTGTTGATGTCGGCCAACTTGTCGTCACAGATGTGTTGTTACCTCTGAACAGAGTTGAGGTTTCTTTCTCAGGTATATTAAAAGTCCTCCGTGTTTTTAGGTGGGAAGAAGAGAGATACACAGATGGTAGCAAATGGAGGTTTTTGGAACACAAAGGACCAGTGTTTGCGCCTCCATACGAGCCTCTTCCCAGTAATGTCAAATTTTACTACGATGGTAAGATGGTGCATCTCACTGGACTTCGATACATCTGATGTCAAAATGGACCAGAATTATTCGTCATGTCATAGTTTGAAGAAAAACATTTTTTTTCTTGCTGCTTTTTAAGGGAAGCATATGAAGCTCAGTCCAGAAGCTGAGGAGGTGGCGACATTCTTCGCCAAAATGTTGGACCACGAGTACACGACAAAAGACATCTTCCGCAAAAACTTTTTCAAAGACTGGAAAAAGGTAACAAAATTTAGATTTTTAAAACTCATTCTCAATGTGTTTTGCTTAAAGATCATTTCATCGAGTATCCTATGTTCTGCTTCTGCAGGAAATGACATCAGAGGAAAAGAGTAAAATTACGGATCTAAAGAAGTGTGACTTCAATGAGATGAGTGAATACTTCAAAGCCCAATCAGAAGCCAGGAAGGCCATGACTAAGGAGGAAAAGCTGGTTAGCTCTACATGAATATTGTATAAATTAAGCTGATGGACCTTGCGTATGACAAAACATGAGCTAAAACCAATTTAATGTGGCCTACCGAATCATGTTTGTTTCTGTTAAAACACACAACTGTCATATTATTGATAATGTTTTTTCCAACAAAGCTTAGTGGCCTTTATGAATAATATATGTTTCTACATGTCAAGGGTTTTGAATGAAATATGGCATTGTAATATGAGTTTTTCTCCTGTGGCATCTAAAAGAAAATAAAGGAGCAAAATGAGCGTACTCTGCAAGAGTACGGCTTTTGCATCATGGACAACCACAGGGAACGTATTGCGAATTTTCGCATTGAGCCTCCGGGTCTGTTTCGTGGACGTGGAGACCATCCCAAGATGGGGATGCTAAAACGTCGCATCAGGCCACAAGACATCATCGTCAACTGCAGCAAGTGAGTTAAACCACTTTCCCTGATGATGATAATGAACTGATAATAAATGAAAGGGGGAAAAAAAGAGACATTTTTTTAAATGTGCTCTTCATAGGGACTCCAAGCATCCTGAGCCTCCTCCAGGATCCAGGTGGAAAGAGGTTCGTCATGACAACAAGGTGACTTGGCTGGTGTCATGGACTGAGAACATCCAAGGCTCCATTAAGTACATCATGCTGAACCCCAGCTCTAGGATTAAGGTAGGTTGGTGGTGCACCTCAAGAATCCAACTTCCAAAATCTCGACATCAGTTAGTGTTAATGTTGCAACTGCATTGTTGTTTTTTGTAAAGCTCTCAGAAGCACTTGCGTCACCTAAGGGTGGGTTAATAGTAAAACAAGGGAACGTTGAGTTTATCAGAAATGAATAGTTCCTAAAAGGAAAAAAAGGCTCCATCAAGTTCAGTCATTCATCCCAGAGTCATTCTTAAACACATTTTTTTATCTGTTTGTCTGTAGGGAGAGAAGGATTGGCAGAAATATGAAACCGCCAGAAGACTGAAGAAATGTGTCGATCGCATCAGAAATCAGTACCGCGAGGACTGGAAGTCGAAGGAAATGCGCATCAGGCAGCGGGCTGTTGCTCTCTACTTCATCGACAAGGTGAGGCGCATGATTGCTGTTTACAAAGTCCTGAAGTGTATGCAGCTTGAGGGAGTTTCTAAGAACTTCTCTGTTGATGTTACAACGTGAGTTACAGTTAGAGTAATGAGTCCAGAAGCAATCTCTAATCCAGCTGTCCTGGTGTACTCCAGCTGGCTTTGAGAGCAGGTAATGAGAAGGAAGAAGGAGAGACTGCTGACACTGTGGGCTGCTGCTCTCTGAGAGTCGAACACATCAAGCTCCATCCAGAAAACGAGGGTCAAGAGTACGTGGTAGAGTTCGACTTTCTGGGTAAAGACTCCATTCGCTACTACAACAAAGTACCTGTGGAAAAAAGGGTGAGGACTGGAACACAGTGTATTTTCTTTTTCCTATCTCAATTTTGAGTGTGCATCAACTACAAATCTGTGTTTTATCTATTGAAGGTGTTCAAAAATCTTCAGCTGTTCATGGAGAACAAGGAGCCTGATGATGACCTGTTTGACCGCCTGAATGTAAGCTAAACATCACCTACTCAGCAAATCTTCTTTCTTTATATCTTGATAGTATTTTTATCTAGGGGATTGTTTCATTGACATAGATGTTCTTTAAGAGTTCTTGGTGGGCGCATTGTTGACTCTCAGCACTATTATTAAACAGTTTGATAACTTTGATTCCTCCCCAGACGTCTGTTCTTAACAAGCATCTTCAGGAGCTTATGGATGGTCTGACAGCCAAAGTTTTCCGTACCTACAATGCCTCATTCACCTTGCAACAGCAGCTGAAGGAGCTCACAAATGGTATGTGTATATCAGCTGCCAAAAAATGTACAATGTAATAATGTAAGCATCTGCTTTGGACACATTGGGTTTGATATAGAATACAAAGAGCAGATAATCAAAAATACATTTTAATTTTGTAACCAATGATTTGGGAGAGCAAAGAAACTCATCATTATCACCGTTTCTCTCTCCAGCGGATGAAAACATTCCAGCCAAGATCTTGTCCTACAACAGGGCTAACAGGGCTGTAGCCATCCTGTGTAACCATCAGAGGGCTCCACCGAAGACCTTTGAGAAGTCCATGCAGAACCTGCAGGCCAAGGTAAACACATGTTTTAAATGTAAATTGTGCATCTGTTTGTTGTCTGTGTGTTACAAGTAGACTCTCCTCAGGTTTTACATTGACTCTAGAAATTCAAAATATTTTGCATGTGCATACATACTGCCAGACCGGAGTGGAGAAATGCATTCCACTCCACCTCCGGTCATGACCTGCGTGATCTGATGCCAATTTATCCTCAGTGTGCCCCGGGTGAATTCAGATGTGTAGTTTAGGCAGTCTCCATCTACATGTGTCTTTGACTGCCATGTTGGGGTTTTTAACCTAAGAGAAAAAAACAATCTCTACAATAATACGGACTAAACCAACTTTCTTCTTAGATTGATGCTAAAAGGGACCAGCTTTCTGATGCCAAGAGAGAATTGAAAAGCTCCAAGGCAGATGCCAAAGTACGACGAGATGAAAAGTCTAAAAAGTAAGTGTCTAAATAGCGGTTTGAGTAAACACTCGTGTTCTTTTGTAACCCTGTCTACAAAGTTTTCAACCTTGTGTGCCGCCGTCTCCTCTATAGAGCCGTAGAGAGCAAGAAGAAGGCGGTTCAGAGGATAGAGGAGCAGCTCATGAAGCTGGAGGTGCAAGCAACTGATCGTGAGGAGAACAAGCAAATTGCCCTTGGCACCTCCAAGCTCAATTATCTGGACCCTCGCATCTCTGTGGCTTGGTAAGGTCCAATTCTTAAAGTTTACGTATTTGGAGAAGACATTTTGTGGTGTGTTCCCTCCTGTCTACACTTTTTGAACCAACATTGCTGAAATATAATTAACCCTGCCTTTGTTACTCAGGTGTAAGAAGTGGGGCATCCCTGTGGAGAAGATCTACAACAAAACACAGCGTGAGAAGTTTGCTTGGGCTATCGACATGGCAGATGACGACTATGAATTTTAAATCCCAGTTTGTGGTTTTAACTATGATACACCCATTTTTATCGGATACTTTTTTTTAGCGTAAGTCAATTTTACTCAAAGGCCAGACCTGCCAGGAATTTAGACAGTCTGAGAAGAAAATCAGTGGCAACATGGTAAGATGAAACGTGGCCATGTTGAAGTGGCTGGAGGGGTTGTGGGTAGTCTCAATCATCTGATCAGAGATCAGGCTTCAAGGCCGAACTAAACCCACAACTGAGCATCAAGGCAAAGTCCCAGTAATTGGAAGACACGTCTACCTTTTTGTCTTGCTCCCTCCACGGGTACAAAACCTGACAATGCCTGAACTTTGAACTCTATCATCCTACAGCTACTGTATTCAAGCAAAAAGAAAAAAATGCTTTATCATTTTATTTTTTCTTAACTTGCTCTGTATTTTAGCCTCCCATGTATTATTAATGAATTCTATATTTTGATAGACAAAGCTAAATCAAATGAATCCTTGACTACACCCACGCGCCTTTCGAGGAAAATGGAAATGTGAGTTTGACATTTGAGGGGTCTGTGTGTGTGCGCGTGCCTGTGTATGTGAGTCTTGACCTATGAAGCAATCTGTGTAGGTGAATATTTGAAACTGGATTATGTTGGATTGTTCGGCATGAAAGAGGATGTCTGGGCAGGCAAAATAATGCAACCATGTCAATATTAACTTAAGCAAGCAGAATGTGAATATCTTGTTTTACAGCCTCCATCAGGGACTTATATTTTTGTGTAAATGTGAACCATTCATTTTTATCATTCTGAGCTGCAAGCATCCTCTGAATCTCTGCGCAGCCCTGTCTACATCTGATTTTTAACTTGATTTTAACAATCGCTCCCAGAAAAGAAAAAAAAATCTCCCATCTGTTACTTGAAGATAATGCTATAATAATGTATTTAAAGTCAGTGATGGAAAGTCTTTCTTTCCAGAAGGGTTTGTGAGGGATATCCACTTTGCCAAAAAATCACCAATCTGTTACAATTTTAGGCTTTGTTTTTTAATTGTGTAAAGAATGAGGATAAAACATGTAACATTTAATGTGAATTCAGTTCATTTTATTCCACTCTATAGGAAAATTGATGTAAGTAGCTGTAAAGTCAACATCCTATTCTTGTTTTACCTTCTGTCATAGCCTTCGATCATGTTTTATTTGAGTTCTATGCTCATTGTAGGTTGAAAACTGAATAAAACCCTACAAGTAAACAGGAAGTGTGTCTTCATTCTCACTCGTTACAAATCTTAACCAGTAAACGCCAAGTAAAGTTAAGTGAATGGGTGTGTTTTCCACAAGGCCTTTGTCTCTGAGCAGATCCTTCAAGTGGTTCACACCTGAAACCTTCACAGGTTTTTGGACCAGCAACCTAACTGACAGCCTGACTACCAGACCCGCAGCTTTCATGTTTGCTTAGTTGAACATACTTGATCTCTTCTACGCCTTTTCTTTTTCGTGTACTTGTACAAAATGTACCCACAGTTTCAAGGTTGGTGTAAAAACAGATGTGAGGTTCCAAAAGTTGAATCAGATCCACAAAAACATGAAGCAGTCGTTTAACTTGAGATGCAGAAAATATTTGATGTGACAAATGGTGTTTCTGTTCAGGAAAGCTCTTTTCTGTTGTAAATCTTATTATTGAGATAGAGTACTATCTGCAAAAATATGTATTTTAAAACCTTACAATCAGGAGAAATTGCTTGTGGCAATTGCCTGTCGCGGATAAAGACTAAGGCGAGGCCACACTATTTCAACTGACTGTATTGCCGGGTGTTGACCAGCAGATGGGGCTGTATACACTTTTCAATCCAAGTGTGCTGCAGGACACGTTGAAATTTCTCACTGAATAAATTAACTGGTATCCATGACACAGTTTGTATTTACTCCTGGTGTAAGGTGCGTGGCAGAAACTGAGACTCCTCTGCTTGGTGTGTATTCAGTTTATTCTGTAAAGATTCAGAAGTGTAGAAAGGATGATACAACAGTGCTTTATGATCAGAATATTTCATAAAAGTTTTTTAAGTGATCATAACACCGCAAGTCCAGATTCCATTTATCGCAAACCAAAATAAATTTGTAACATTCGACACAAGTGCATACACTGCTGGTAGGAGATCAACCTCCAATTTCACTTTGGATGGTATAGCACCGTTCGTAGCTATTAGCAGCTTGACAAAGATGCAGCTTAATAGGATTCATGTAGTGACTGTATGTTCATATAAACACAACAAAATTCAGAGGAGAGCAAAGATCTCCTCATTTGGCTCTCTAGCTAGCACAATATCTCACTCTGTCAGTGTCTAGGGATCAAATTGATAATTTTGATTGAAACAACATTTTGCCAGTAACAATAGTTGATACAATTACAGCTTAAAGTTAAACATCTCCAAGTGTACAGAAAGCAGCACAAGATTTTTTTCACAGATATTGACAAACAGTGACCATTGATGCACTGGCATGTTTTAATGCTTTTTTTTTAGGACAGCACAGTAGCTGAAAAGCAAGGTGATGGACAGATAGGTCATATAAACACATGGACAGAGCTGAGTAAGGCAACGTTAGCGTGACAGGCTTGTCTCTGTTCAGTTTGCAGGGCAGTGTAGTGTATTGATCTTAACAGAGCTGTCAATACCTTTGCTGTGGGGCAGTGTGATTTTTAGCATTGCTGTCTTCATTAGTGCATTGTATATAGTCTCTTGCGTGTAGCTGAACTGCAAAGTGATCACCAACATTAATACAGATCTAAATAAACCATGTTTGATTGCATCTGGACTTACAGTGACTATAGAAGAGTAAATAGAATTGAAAAACCATAAACGGAAAAAGTAAAATTCAAGGCAGTGCTGAAGTACTGGTTGCTAAAAAAGTAAAAAATATCACAAAGCCAACAATAACATTTCCATGACACATCTTTTGTATGTCCAGTCAGTACAAACCCTCCTTTATAGTGCAGTTTCAATCTTATATTTATATTTCTCCATCCAACCCAAAAACAATATCTCTCGGCCTCATCCTATCTAGCTCATTCAAGTCAGTTTTCCAGTCAGTGTGCGTCTTTTTCTCTTTCTTTTCTTTGATCCCTCTTACTGACCTCATTGTGCACCCTCCCCACACAACCACAAAGAAGCATGAAAGGCTTAAACATCACAGGACTCAAAGGTGAGAAGTTCTTTCTTTTGACGATGGCAGGAAGTGATGGCAGATGGAAGAGGAGGAGGACGCAGAGAAGAAGGAGGGGTGGGGGGTATTCACAGTTACAGTCAGAGTCCAACGGTCCAGCTACAATCACATCTGCTGTCATTATGAACACTCTTTTTAGACCACGGAGAAAAACGTTGTGTTCCTCTGGCGAGGTTGGGCCTGCTCGCTCACACCTCCAGCAGCTCCATCCTTAAGCCATCCCTATCAGTAACACACATACACACACACACATAAACACAATATTCACATATTAAGTGACTGGGCAGTTCTGTTGAATTGTAATACAGCTGCACAACTGAGGTACCTTTTTATAAGAGGGCAAAGCAAGAAGAGGTCTATGTAAGCATTAACATGCCCCTCCTGATTCCCTCTCACCAAAAACAATTGTCATGATTTATTCACATATATTAGCATGTGCTCTAAATCTATAATTCAACGGCCCAGACTCTTACTTATCTAAAAATAGCTTTTGAAACACAGACCTTTGATTGCAGGAATAAGCTACGCAGCGCAAGTACCTGTACACACTTTCCTCGCCTCCTTTTTACTGTACATCACACAACAGCGACAACAAACAACAAGCTGTCATGCTTTTATCAGCCTGCCTGTCTTACAATGTTTTGGTTGTCTTGATTGATAACTAGCCCCGAGCTTGTAAAACATCACGAGGCACAGGCAATGAAAAGCTCATTTTACCTCAGGTACTTTTGTTATACTTTGTAAATTCAAGCATCATGACCTTAGTACCTTGCCTGATTTGCTTCAGCCTGTTGTTCAATGAGTGACTGACTGGCCACTGGCTGCTGGTGGTCCTCTGCTCTCTCTGACCATGGATCCTGCAGAACTTCTGGCTGGACTGGCTCCTCAGAATGGCCCTGGTCTCCATTTCCCTCAGACCCCATCAGACCAGGCAGCGGTGAGTATGAATCCTGCCACACAACCCGCTGGCCTGAGTTAAGTCCTGCTTCTCCTTCAAGGTGCCTGTTCATGTCTTTCTCAACAAGTTTCTTTTTTGCCACTGGAGAATCCTTGGGAGACTCAGCTTCAGTGTCCCCGTGGCCCCTCACTTCCTCTGAATCTGCGGGTGGCCGTTGATAGCTCTCCAGCCACTTCAGTTGCCCATTCTTGTGGCTGTACCGGCTGTCACTGAACCAGCGCACAACTTCTGACTTAGGGAGGCCTGTCTGGACGCTCAGATCTTCATACTGCTGACTGCTTGGCCAGCGTGTGTTGGAGAAAACTTGACGGAGGACGTGCAGCTGCTGGGGAGTCTTATTTCCCCATGGGGTTGAGAAAGCTGGTTGAGAAGCAGACACCTCAGCCATCTCAGCCTTCTGTTCTTGATGTACAATCTCAGATGTCGTCTCTTGTTCATTCATCTTTAGCCTCTTGAAACTGATCTTGATGGGGTCAACTTTCAACTCTGGGCAGCTTCTGTCTCTTCTGAGTGGGTCCTCCTCCTTAATGAGTTGTTGTAAGATTGACATACCTTTAATGGGAAAGTCCTTGTTGCCTTTACCCTCATCTACGCTGGATGAACCACTCTTTGTAATGACAGTAGTGCTGGTGCTTTCGGTTGGGGATTTGCTGGCATGGTTCAGGTAAGGGACACTGTCATTACAGGTAGTACTGGGGTACTCGATGCTAATACTGCTGTTGTTGGTCTTGTGTATGTAGTTGTTGTGTTCATCGCCACCTTTTGTGGTGAGGGTCTGCTCTTGTGGACTGGTTATGCTGCTGCTATGACTGTTGCAGGCGATGTCGAATTTGCTGGTGTAATCAATGATCACTTGACTCTTGGTACTGTTTGAACTTTCCGATCCCAGTGGTGAACTGTGGTTTTTGACATTTGGTTTCCCATTGGTGTCAGCAACACAGTGCTCATCATTATTGCTAATGTTTGCAGAGCAAGTGGTAATGCTGTTGATGCTGTTGGTTGGGCTGCTGCTTTGAACTGGTTTCCTGGTGATGGTTTCACCACCGTTACTACTGCTGGAATAGCTGCTGATGCTGCTGCTGCTACTGCAACTACTGCTGCTACTGCTGCTTCGACTGCTGCTGGTGCTACTGACACAAACGCTGCTTCCGGCCATGTCCAGGCTGAGGCCATTGCTCTTGTCTGGCTCAACAGTGGGCTGAATATTCTTGGTCAGTACCTTTGTTGTTCTGATTGCCGATGGAAACTTTGGGGGGACAATTGGAGTAGAATACGAGACCCTTGTGACATTGGGGTTGGTTGACAAGCTTGCCTGGGTGGTTATGACTCCAAGGGGCCTGGTTGTTATACTGCTGTATGGTACTTTGGCCATCTGAAAGTTTGGTCCTTTTGAGCCTGGATGGGCAGTGACAGTGTGGTGGGTTACTATGTGATTCATGTGTCGTTGAGTAGGAGGTTGCTTTTGAGGTGCTCCGCCTTGGAACACAGTGTTGAACATCTTCCTCCTGGCCTCTTCGATCTCTTCAGGTGACCAGCTTATGCCCTGCTTCAGCCTTTGAGCAGTAAACCACAGTTTGATCTGCTCCTCTGGGAACTCTGAGACCACTGTTAGGTAGCAAAGTTCAGCTTTGGTCGGGTAGGGGAACTTTCCAAAGGATGTTTTGAGAAAGCTGCTGGTGTCCATAGCAGCATCATAAGTAGGGATGCTGCTAAGAGGGATCATCACCTTTGGAAGGTCTTTATTAGAACCGGTGGAGGAGGGAGAATAAAGGGAGGGAGTGTGCTGGTGAAAGACTTGGTTGGACACTGTCTTTGTAATCACATGAGTGACAGTGGTCCGCGGCATAGCTGGGGCACCAGAAACACTGGGAGCCCCGTTTTGGAGTTCAGGCACATTTGTCAGCATGCTGGAGTCTACATCCTTTCCAGTGTCTATCTTTCGTACCTCAACAGTGTGAGAAACCACAATCTTTTTGTGCTCCCCCTTGGCTTTCATCATCTTTGCAATTGGTGTTTTGGTGAGGGAGATCCCAGATTCTTTGTACTCTTCTCCATTGTCCGTGAAGAGGCTTTGCTCCACAGTTGTTACTCCATCCCTCTGGTTGACAGTTAGGGAGGCAGTGACCAAGCCCTCCATTATCTTAGGGTGGGCATTAGCATTATGCAGAGCCAAAGCCTCAAAGCGAACAACTGACTCCCCACAGTTCAGGCAGTAGAAGGTGGGCTGGGCCCTGAAGTCTAAGTGGTAATTGTGCATGTGATCCAAAAAGTAGTTTAGATCTCTGGACACAAAACGGCACTTTGGACAGCTGTATGTACCTCCTTTCTGCGTCTCGTTGCCACCTTCTGATTTGGAGGAGCTGTGAGAGAAATGGCCAGAGTCCTCTCCAGAGATGCTGAGTATGCTATCTTCTGGGATTGTTGGTAGGAGTTCTGGGAGCGATCCCAATATGATTTCCTCACGCACATGTTTGGATTTGGATGGTATCATGCAGGGTACGGTGGATTTCCTCTTGCTAGCCATTGTGCAGCTTTATGTAGAAGGGAAAGTGAGTGGTTGCTTTTCCGGTATGATGAAAACAGAGGGCAAGTGGAGAGTGGAGAGGGTTGAATGAAGTCATGGACCAGCCACTATGATATCACAGTGTTGCTTCATGCCCTCTGCAAGTTAATGACTCCAGTCACATGGACAAGCTTGGCAGCACCAAGGATTCTGTTGGAAAAGAGTACAACAAAGAGACATGTGACTCTTTCAGGCCATTTTTAATTTGATATCTACACGAGAGAAAAGGAGCATGCAGCATGGCTCATGAAAATGGTTAAAACAACAGATAATATGGTGCAAATATACAGTACTTTTTTGTCAAGAATTTGTGAGAAATAAGAAGCTGATCAAATAATTAAACATCACATTTAAAAGTAAGCAGAATTCAGGGAGAGCTAACAGCTTTATGCATAGTAGTAAGTGTAGGTGGAAATACTGTGTGACAAGTGTAGGTGGTTTCATCAGAAATTACAGCACTGAGGAAAAAGAGCCTTCAAATTAGCCTCTTCACCATCATCCTGCTGAGTAGTTATTATATTCAATGACACATTCATTTAATGTACAGAAAGGCACTACTTCTGAAGATATCAGGAGACTACTTAAAACATAAAATCCCATCCTGGTGCTTACTTACAAACTAATATTTTAAAGTTAAAATGGTTATCTTTAAGTATATCATTATTTACAGCAAAAAGCTTTTAAAAAGAAATATTCCACAGATACAGTGAACCACCCACCCACACAGAGACACACAGTCTCTCAATCAATGCAGCCTGTGTGTGTGTGTTGTGATTATTTACTTAGATTTACAGACTTCTGTCTAGCTGTCACTTATTATGAATTCAGAAAAAAGAACATGAAGGTTGACAGAGCCAGGAAGACAATCTTATCTCAGAGATATTTGGTTGTTTTTCCTCACTGTTGCCACAGGTGTGGTTCTTTTCAGTTTTGACAGCGTCTGTCCACAATTTTTTGTTCTGACATCCCTAAACTTATAATAAAAGAGGCGGACTGGTGCAAAGATGAGTGTTTCTGCTACAGCTGTAAAAGTGTGAGATAGTATTTTTGAACCAGAGCAAGCATGGTCAGATACGACTTGCCCCTTACAGGAAAGGGTTAATCTCAGTAGATAGATATTGTCCACAAAGTACCTTTAGGGATTTTCGCATTTACTGAGTGGGATGCACCTCACTTCACTCTAAATTGAAAGGGCTACTTTTTTCTAACCTTAACAGCTGTTGCACATTGTTTGCGCACACATTTATGCAAAATTATGCACACAGGTTTGTGTTTGTCTGGGGAAAAAAATAAAGTTGTCTAGAAATTATTTAATTTATATTCTTTTTGACAACGTGAATGACAATTGGGGTTAGAGACAGTCCTCTATATCAGATGTTTAAAATGTATAACGTTCTTGGTCTCTCTACTTGGATTTTCTTTGTTTTGATGTCTGTTTAAAGCAGACATATGAAAGTTAAATGACTTTCCAGGCCTGGGGTTGAGTATTTGACTACCATTCTTGGATGAGAGCCATATGTTTTAAATTTGGAGCTTCAGTGAGCCTTTCCAAAAAGATGTAGAGTCCAAAGGGGAAATCAGGTGAACAGTGTGTGTGTGTGTGTGTGTGTGTGTGTGTGTGTGTGTGTGTGTGTGTGTGTGTGTGTGTGTGTGTGTGTGTGTGTGTGTGTGTATCAAAGCAGTCAGCCAACAATAGCTCTGTTACAGACCTGAAACATTCTTACAAGATCTGAGAAGGTTACTACTGACACATATAAAGGCATTTAAAAGCCAAAGGCTCAAACCATTAAAACTCGCATCTGTTCAACAAACAGCAACGGCAACCCATTCATGTATCCAAATACAATCCACAGACCACTGAGTGTATAAATCCTTTGCAAACCACATCTACAGACAATCTTTCCTTGTAACACACACCATAATGGTTGTCTCTGCAGTCTGCAACATTTCTCCTCGTTCCTCTCTGTATTATGAAACGTTTGCTCTCAAAACCACAAATATTTTAACAAAGATTTAGGACAAAACAATAGATACACTACAGCCAGTATTTCATTAGAGTAACAGCTGGTTCTTATAGTCATTCTCACGTAAGTCCTAAACATGGGAAAGCAATGACAAGAACACTTTTATAAAAGTAGAGAAATAGCCTTTGCCCTCTGCACAAACGTTTGACACACAAGGTGTCAACAAGTCACCCTCACACTCTTTCTACAGATAGAGAAATGTTTGTATGTGATGTGATGTTAAAAACCGCTCTCATTGGATCAACATCTTTCTATATTGCACAGACCACTTTTTTTTGCAGGCTGAATATTCCAGAAAAAAAGCACTAAAATGACAAATTTCACCACCATACCACCTCAAACCTGGTTTCTGCTGGAATTCAACAAGCCCCAATATCTTGTTCTGTATTTCTACGTTACATAGGAAACAGTTTTTCATACTTTAAGCATATTTTTCTTTGTCCACTGCATTTGCACACAGTGAAAGCACTTCTACAGACTTTTACCACATCCACGTGCATGTTCAACACAGTCGGCTGGATGGTAAATAAAAGATGAACCTGTTCCAGAATTAAAACCCTCAAATGACTGCCCGAAAGTACACACTGATCCCGGACAGACTGTGATGTCCTCCATGTGACTACCTCTTTTTTTCAGTCCAACTGATTTTTGCTGCTTTTGGAAAGAAAAAAAAAAAACACAAACAAAACAAACAAAAAACAAAAAAAAAAGTAGGTCACCAGCATCTTATGCAGTAATCCTGGTTCACTGCATCCAGACGTGGGCATGTGCTGTATGTTTTGCCGCCAGAGAGGTCATGGCATCCTCTGACAGCACACTCGATTAACCCCTGGTGAGGACACGCGTTCATGGCGTTTGTTCCACTGAACAAGGGATTTAGAAGTCAGCTTCGCGCAGCAGAGGAATGCAGTCATATTCATCTGAAACATCTGTGTAACACACGTCATAAAAATGCATAACTTTGTGAAAAATATGGTTACCTCTGATGTGATGATTGTTTGTTTGTGCCCACAAAAGCCCACAATTTGAGTGCATGGTTGTGAAAAGAAAGAGGTGGAGAAGGTAACCTGGTCACGGTGTCGGGCTGTGACTGAGAGGAAGAGGGTCTGCGATGAGACAGACGCTGACCTAGTACACAGGCTACCCTCCCAGGAAGAACACTGTACTTCCGACAAGAGAAAACCCAGGACAAGCCAAAAGTTTGGAAAGGTTACATAAAGAATCAGGTCACCTATCAAAAGAATGGGCTGCTTTATCTGGCGAGTGAGACGTGCGATCCGACACATGACAAGGACTCCCCAGACAGGGAGCCATTGAATAGTTCCCTCTGAAAAGCTAGGCCTTATATTTCAGCTGCGAGGTAGACGACTCTCAGACGGTCACTGTCCCCGGTGTGTCGTATGTCCTTGCACTGGCACTGACTCCATGTAGCAGGGAGAAGAAACAGTTTTCATCTCTTTTGACTGGGGGACTTGTATCTCATCTAAAGTGGGGGGAAAGTGGCAGAGCTCTACGACAAGCTTTCTGAACACCCAAGCGCAGCAAAGGAAGAGGGGCCTTGTTCGCTGAACTAAAACCGCATTTGAACCATTCAACTTTCTTACAACAAGCGTTTCAAAACAAATGGGATTATTCTAGGTTTAAATTCTGATGGGGTTTATACGTTCCGGCTGATTTAATAGCAGCTTTAAGATTTACAGGAGAGCCTCCCTAATGTGCCCTTACACTGTAATTTCCATAACAATATAATATTTACATCTCATTAATATTTAATTATCACCCCCATACTTTTAAACAGAAAACAGCTGAGTGTGCTGCTTCCATTTCAGCTGACCGTCTGAAAGAAAGCTGCATGTATTCTCTTTCATCACCTCATAAACTGCTGCAGTAATTACAATATTACAACAAAAAAAAAAACATGCCCAATCTACAGCAGGCTGCTACCAGTGGAAAGAGAGGCGAGGCTGCAAAGTGGTTGCTAAACATTAAAATTTAATTCAAAACAGTCCACGGCTTCAGACTCTCCCAGATTGTTGGGTCACCTACAGTTGACATTAACAAATAGAGATCTGCATTTTTTTCAGCGCTGCCTGTCAGATGAATGAGAAAGTGAAGGCTGGAGGAGGAAGAAGGACAAAGGAAGACAAAACTCAGACATTTGGGAGTGAAGTGAGAGGATGACTGATGGTGATGACAGGCTCTGCTGTTTCAATACTCCTCCCTGCTGACACCTCGTAGGCACACATCTCCACACATCCTCCAAACTTGTGCTCACGTACACATACACACACACGTGCGCGTTCGCACACAAACACTCCTTCCTCACTTCCCAACATTTAGCACCTGTACTGTTCTGAGAATCTTTCTCTTTGAACAGAGTAACTGGCAAGGAGTCTCTTGATGCGACAGTCGCGGAGGAGCTCAAAAAATTTGCATAAAATTCTCTCTCTTATGACAATATTTGTTTTGCGTGTAATTTGCTTTGAAAGGGATCCAAAACTGTCTTGGGAGTTTGCTTCATAAATCAGCCAAAAAATGACCTGCTGTCTTGTGGGGTTTGGGGCAGAGAGGGGGGGACTCCTGACAGACACGTTTGAACGATCAAAAAATCTGTTTAGTGGGAACATTTTCTGCAAAATGTCCATTAAATAGATTAACGTCATGTGAGTGGATCAGCTGGACACTCAAATATAAGCCAGAGGCCGAGAGCAATTACTGTCTTGCACAGTGGAGGGATTGGGAACAATGGTGCCTCATTTACAGGGGAAACGTGATCCAGCGCTTGGAGCTTTTAGACGTCTGACTGTCAGATTGGGATTGTTCTGTTTCCCGCTCGTCTGCGAGTCTCCACTGTCCATCAGGCTACCAGTGTGAGGCTTTTATTGACAGTAAGCGTGGACAGGTTTCAGTTTGGGGACATCTTTGTGCATGAATGGCACTGTACGCCTGCCAGCATGAATAAGTGTTGGGCTCCAGCGTTACGTGTACTGAAAAACAATTCAGAGTCTTCAGGGTCTTTAGCACAGTGCTAATACAGTACAACACGTCAGTCCACGCAGTCTCCAGCACCCGACCAGCCAAAGACATGATTTTTTTCCCCCTCTTTTTTACATGGGCGAGATTTCGTGTGTCTATTAGTGTCTGGATGTGTGAGATGCAGGTGTTGTCAGCCATCTCATCCACCTCCTCCTCCTCCTTACACACACACACACACTCATACGCACACACACACACACTTATCCACTCCCCCCCTTACCTCCATGACTGCAGCCTCGTCCACTGGGAGACCGGTCGGTGGTGCCACTCATGTGTTAACATTGCCATGGCAACCCCTCTCTTCCCTTTGCCCACCACGCCACACACACAGCAGAGTCACTTGCCCACACCCACCAACCTCAAGACACACACACACACACACACACACACACACACACACACACACACACACACACACACACACACACACACACACACACACACACAATTCCACAATTCCCCAGACTGCATCCGGAGCAGGACAAACTTAATCCACATGCCCTGCCACCATCTTTGAAAAGTCGATTCATGGTTTAAGTCTCTTTTAGTCAACTTTGGGTGAGGTCTACAACAACACTGTCTCTTCTTTTTAAGTCAGGGCGTGACAATTAAGAAATGTCTGTTCCCCTGGTGTGTATGTTTACGGCTGATGGTGATGAAAGAAATGTAGAGCTGAACCAACTGTAAATGACCCTCTGTCAGTGTTTTTGTCTTGCTAAATCAGTGCAGTGTGTGTGTGTGTGTGTGTGTGTGTGTGTGTGGCTGTACACTACATACCTTCTGCACTCAGCCTGTGTGAGCATCTTTGTTGCACTCTTCTGTTTTGTGTTAGTGTGAGTGCTCACGGCTGAAATCTTACATTGTTCCCTGAAACCCTTGTATGCTTAGACCAGAAGAATGACAGACAAATAAACCATGGTTGTGGAGGAAAAAAAAAATTCTGAGTCATACCTCTTTTTACATCACTTTTGATGTACAACTTCTTCAGTTCTGTTGCCAAGACTAAAGGCATTCATTTGGCAACTTAAGAAAAAAAAGGAAGAAAGATGGCGGCGTACCACACATTGTACTGTCCATCCTAAAATGGCTGACATCACAGCCTCCTCTAAGTGCCAAAGCCTGGCAAATGCCAGCTCCTGCTGACCAAACCTTTCTTGTATGGGACAGAGAAAGTGGCAGGGGCTCTTTCCCCACCAGCCCAGAGGTTTTTTTCCCCCCACCATTCCATTTCTTTTGGTTGGAACTGTGCAAACATGCTGTTTCAGTGAGGCTTCTTTCGCAGTCTGGGCTAGGATGCCGCATTGGTCCGATGACAAAAGCAATACCAAAAAGGATAGAAGATTAAAACAAAAGTAAACCTGTATAAGACACCATCTTTCCTTCTGGAAAATAGGATCCTGTCTTGTGGTTTGGGGCTTATTCTGAGGATAAGGAGGTACTCCACTCATGAAAGCTTATTTGTGTAAAAATCTGCCAGAAAATAGATCTGGTTGGCATTAGATAGTTGATTTTCTTCTCTGAACTCAAGGAATGTTATACACTCCATGCCAGTTACATCTACAAATCATGACCATATGACCTTCCTCTGTATTTTCTGGCGGTGGGTTCGTTTTGAGCTGGGGAAGGCGCACAAAAACACAACATCTACAGTGACTGCTTCTGGAAAATAGAACAGTAAATCCTGAAAAGAGCAGTTTTCCAGGTACATAAGGGGTGGCTTGTGCAGGGATGCTGCAGAGGGGAGTGGGCAGCCTTGGCCCACTGCATTGTGTCTGTGTATACAAACACTCCGCTGTGGCCATAACGAAAACTGTGAGCTGTGCCTAATTGCAGGGAGTGAGGGATGAAAGGCAATATGCCTGGCCTCATTAGAGCAGTTCCGAGAAGGGAGATGGAAGACCGTTCCCAGGGATCCACAAAGGGAATTGACATTCCCCAAGTGTAAGCGTACTGCTGGAGTGAAAAACTCCACACACTGAACCCACCGGGCCAAGCTGAACCCAATCTGCCGGATCCGCACAGCGAGAGCTCATTTACCTTTGTTTAGCCGGTCTTCACACATGCAGAAAAATGAACTATTTGAGTGCTGAAATGTCTACTTTAGGCTGAACTGTACACCACACTTGGAGACGCTGTCCCCGGTCCAAACACCTACTCTTTGGCTGAATAGTTGCACAGTCATTTCCATGACCTACATAATATGTAACAAGCTTACATAGTTAAATAATTAAAACACGTTCCAAATTTTACCAGTGATTCATGCCTGTCTCGATGCCTGCTTGAATAAAATGGGGATGTCTCTAGTGTTATGGACCCACACATGATCCACCGAGGCAACATTAGTCAGCACAGAGGTCCCTCCCCTAAAGGCAGTGGGAGACACATGGCATTAAAAGCTGGGTCAATATTTATGTACAGTAACAAAATGTGACCCCAGCTGAACTGATCTTTTCAATCTCACGCTTGGCTTGTAATCCTCAGTTTGCTAAATATCTGTGTGCCTCTGAAACGAGCAGCTCTTATTCGAGTACTGTATATGTTTCGCTGTGTGTGTGTGTGTGTGAGAGAGAGTGTGTGTGTGTGTGCGCGTAGCCTATGAGTATGAGTGTGAGTAGGGCAGCAGCACATGTTGGCAGGAGGAAGAGGAGGAAATGAAAGAAAAAGAGTCCTGTGCATAGATATAGGGCCTACCCTTCTGCTCAGGCAGGAGGAAGAAATGTGTAGAGAGGTAGCGATCGATAGATGAAAATTGATACTTGGCGTACAGTTTGAACGTCTATGGACTCGGGGGCTTCTTATGTCAGTCGATAAGCCCGCTATAACACTGTGTTCAGAAGTCTTTCACAACTCAAAGCACTCGCACTCACGGCACAGTGGGGAAACACAGCGCGTTAGGCAATAAAATAAGCAGATACGCCACATTGTATAGCGCGAGAAAGCGCGCAGATTCAGCCGAGACGGGGGACCCGTTGTTGTAACTGTAACAAACTGACGAGTTAACCCGTTTCACTCCATTCACAGGGCTGAGAGGCAACATACCGCCTCGAAGCCTACTTCTCTAAGGCGATCTGGCTCTCTATATAACCTTATGAATATTCCCCCAAATCCTCCACCCCCTCCTCCACCTACTGTCGCCATTTTATACATTGGCGACTTCATATAAACTGCCTTGACTACAGCACCAGATGAAAATTCAATATTCAATAGCAAGGCATAATTTCAGTAAACAACTTTGGAGATCGCACCTCGCCAATACTGAGAGGCATTTGCGTGTTGGAAGAGTAGATGTGTCCTTACCTCAACAGTCGGTGGGAAAAATGGAATCCGACATTAATACATAAATGAAATATTTTGGATTAGCTCCGATCGTTGCGTTTTGAGAAGAAGAGGAGGCGAGCAGGGGGTGGGAGCTCTCCTCAAGTGAACCCGGTGAACTGGCGTGAACCCGTCACTGACCACGGCAAGGTACATTACATTACATTACCTTTCCACCCCTCTGCTACACTGTATGGAGACGGCAAAACAACTATGGTCGGCGGTGCAGGACGAGGCAGCTCCAAAAATTATAGCGAGTGTATTTCCTATGAACACGTGATTCGGAGCGTCATCCAAAATCCAAAAGCCCTTTCATCTAAAATTTTGGAGAGGGGCGGGGATGAGATGAGGATATGTGAGTGAGTGTACGTGTGTGTTTTTGTGTGTGTGAGAGTGTGCAGTGCACATTTGGGTATGTCGTTATAGGGGTAAGGCAGTGCTTTAACAGATTGGGTTATACATAGCTGCAATGGCGTCGCGGAGCACACACTGAACAGATGGATTGTATTGTGTAAATTTGGGATTTGACAGGACTTCAGTAATCTGCCGCTCTGAGGCAAGCTTCAGTGCCCAAAACGTCCTATTAATTAGGTCACGTTTTTTTTTCAGTAGATTGGTGCCGTCTTTAGGAGCAAAAAAAATATCTCCTGATGGGCTACTATGAATGTTAATCATGGTGGGAATTGTCATTTTAAACAGGAGTCTATTAGCCTACCGTTTTAAAATAGACTTTTACGCACACGCGTAACAGTAGTAGACTAATGTACACAGACACACGGTGAATGCAGCCTATCTTTCTGTTTCATTTTTTAGATAAAAACAAGAAATGTTATTAAATGTTGCTTATTAGTCATGTAGTTTTGTTTAAAGAGAGAGATTTTCCTGCTGTGACCCGCGTGACCTTCTTGGCCCCGAGTGTGTCAAAGCCCAGTGAGCTTGAGTGCCAAAAATCAGACAAACATGCTCAGAATAAGGCAATACGTGAACTATGTCAACAAAACAATGAAATATTATCACCAACTAAGCAGCAAGAAGAAAACTTAAAGAGCTCTCTCAAGCCACTGACTTTTCTCTGAACATCATGTAAGTGTTCAAACATATGCGCGCGCTGGCTGTGTGTGCGGGTCTATGTACGTTTGGGCGTGTAGTCTGCAGCATATGGAGCGCAAACACAGCATCCTTAAAAGGGGTTGTACAGTAAGCATATACAGGCCCCAGCGGTCAGGAAAAAAAGAGGGATTTGCTTTTCCCTCCCACTTTGTCCCGAATGGGTTCAAACCTCCCCTAGAGCTATAGCTGTATACGATCAGGAAAATCAAAGATTATATGCAAGTAAGATGAATCACTCAGTGGCGAAACGAAACACCCAGTGCGCGGAGGCAGTCTGCGGCGAGGGGGTCCTTATCCACGATGGCACGGAGTCAAAAAGATCCGTGCGTAAGCCGATATTTTGATCAAATGACAGATTAGGGTACCATTACTTTCTGCTAATCAAAATACACGGAGCCACTTGAAATACTTATTTAGCCAAGTACAACAAAACAGTCATTTTCTGGGATTGGAGAAAAGCCTTATCAGTCGGAATCTGCTGGTACTGATGGCACTTTGTCCTTCGTTAGGGGCCTGCCTCTCCAGTGGACCATCACGGGGTAGCTGGGAGCTGGATTTGTGCAAATTCAAGCTGATGTTTGAGTTATTAGACTGCGTTATAAAGATGCAAAACGAGTGGCGAATCCAGTTAGGAAAATGTGCCGCACTCGTCAAGTTTGGACTACCCGTAAAAATGCTCGCCAACATACAATATTCAGTTTCTGTAACCGGCATTTTCACACAGCACTGTATACAAATCCAATCATAAAACCGAATCTTTATGTCAGGCTGCAGGTCTATGACAAAAATAAAGACCATGCCAAGTCCATATAGTGGTCATTGAAATAAATCAAACACAATAGGCTACTATGTATTTAAATGAGCTGTGTTTAAATCCCAGAGCCTGTCTTGTAGGTAACTCGGTTAAAGTTCACTCGCAGCATCCAAGGTAGATCCCGTCGCCATGGTTACCAGAGTCTTAACTGCGCACAGTTTTGGGCAGATGCTTAAATGTTTCTGGACGCCTTTTGATAGGTGTAACATCTGTGAAATGATCCTTACCTTGTATCTTTTAGACAACATGAAAAGCATTTTTGGGGATGAAGTCAACAACACGTCCCTCACATGCAACATTTAGTGTCTTTGTGAAACATCCTCACATTAAAATGCGCCGTCCTCATAGCTTGGCTGAGCGCAGGTTATCCAAATTCTAGTAGCATTCAACAACAAAGGCCACATTTTATCAGGCTTGTTTCACATGGTTAACAAACACAACCACCGACGAGCTTCATAGGCTACTGTGGGCCAAAGACTCAGGTGTAGTGAAACGTTTTACACCGTGTGTGAGTAAGTGCTGCTCTTCTTGACTGCAAACAGCTTCACGGGCTTCAAGTTTCTCACCAAGGCAGGTGACAGGCAAAGTGGGAAGATAGGGAAATGACTTTTTTTTAACAACTACAATGCGACAGCATCAGCCATATTGAGAGTTACACTCTCAAAAGTAACATTCAGGGTTTTATTATTTGTGTTTGTGCCGTTTTTATCTAACATTTCAGCTTCTGGGTTTAGGAATTTCCACCGTCCTCGATACCAGGAAAAAGAGTCAGAGTGGCGGCTCAGCGTGTCGTGAAGCCGTGTAACCGGATCAGGGCAGAGCAGTGGGGCGTACAGGAGGATTGTTTGCCTCCAAATGAGCCAATAAGATCCACTTTACATTAGATTGACACTGCAGTTTAGCGAGTCCGCAGACACCATTCTGGTTTGACAACTATTTCACAGCCAATGCGGATCCACGAGGGACAGGAACGGAGGGAAAAAACAAAATACGAATTTTTCTCCCTGTAGGTCAAACGGTACCTGCCACCTGCGGTACGGTAGCTGGTAAGTTTGGAACAAGGCGACAACATCCAGAATCATGGCTCTGTCGCAGCTTCTGGACGACTCACCTCTGAGATTGGATCAAAAAGCCACCGGGACCGGTGACCTGACCCTGCAGGAGGTCTACAACGAGAGGCACCGGCTGGCTCTGGAGGAGTTGGTGTCGGGAGGTGTGGGACAGTTTCAGAACTTTCTCGAGAGAGAGAGGATCCCGAACTTTTTGTCTGACGATGAGATCAAACAGATCAGGAGCGCCGCTGTACCCCCGCGATGCGTGTCTTTCCACGGGGATGACCCGGCTCTGGAGCAGTCGCTAAGCAGCTCTGTAGACTGCTCCTCGGTCACCTATTTCCCCGAGGTGTCAGACGTGGAGCCGCCGCTGCTAGAGATGGGCTGGCCCGCCTTCACCGCCGGCTCGTACCGGGGCGTTACGCGGGCCGTGGCGCACTTCCAGCCCAGCTATGGGGAGTGCATATACAGCTGCAAGGAAGCTGCGAGGCGTATGATTAAAAGTGCCAAAGAGGTAGGCACAAAGGCAGTATGAGAACACATCTGTGTGACTGTAAAGAACCTGTTAAAATCTTAAACAGTATGAAAACTTACAGTGGAGAGGCCTTCCTACACACACAGATGCCATTTTAGACTTCTCCTTCAGTCACGCGTTTTATGTGTGAATATTTTTGTGTCCTACCACCCCAAATATTTCACATCTGTGGGACCTATAGCCTAAACGTACTTCTAGGCATGTAACCTGGTGTGTATCCTGGGCCCAAACATAATTTTGATTTGGGTGAAATCAACCCCAAAAACTGGATTTTTATTGAGGCTATTTTGTCAAATTAACACAAAATATTGTTGAGTGTGTGTGTATATTTATATAATTGATAATTAATATATTCTGTCAGGAAAAACTTCTTTGTATCTTTCTAAAAATACTTGCAGGCTTGTCCCCATGGGATTCCTTTGATCAGTCTAAATATTTGAAGTTCAGGATTTTGAAATCTTTATCAGAAGAAACGCAGTGACCGAAAGGATTAAGAAACAGTGCATGAATATTCATGGAGATGTTGCTGATGGGAGCTATCAGTCTAGCCGATGGTTCAAGAAATTGTAGCATGAAGGGAGTATGTGGCTTCTGCAGCACCTTAGGCTTGTGAAGGGCCTGCATGCCAGATGTGCCTCAGCTTGCTTTTGCTCCCCTCAATGAAAATTTGCAATCTCTTTTATTAGGGAGCTCTAAACGCTGGATATTTTCTCTGCTTTACAGCTATAATGCCAGGGTGTACACACTGTCCTCGCAATCGGTCGAGACCTTGGAAGAGTTTTCTTGTCCGAGGTTATCTGTAACATTGTCTGTCTTTTTGTTGTGTGCACAGTTTTTATTGTGCAAGTGCGTCAGTTGCTGGAACAAAACACTGCGGAGCCACATCCTCAATGTCCAGCTCATCAGTCTGGCCTTGTCTTTCCATGACCCCTAAGGCTGTTTTAAGAATTTTTCCCAGAATAATCATCCACTCTTATTATCACAATCATCCAAAGAAGGAGTGGAACTACAGACATCTGCATGTGGATAGACTAGTTTGAAGTGATAAATCTGAGATATGTAAACACCCGTGTCTAATCCTCCACACACGATCTTTACCAGAGCATGTGAAATTCCATTCTTCTTTGCAAAAAGGAGAATCTCAGTGCAAACCTGAGCGTAAGAAAATGGAGGCATGCCCTGCAGTGCACCTCCTCGTCCCCTGTATAAAAGTAACTTGTTTGCTGACCAAGCATTACTGCTGATTGCCATGGTAACAGACCACAGTCGATAGAAAGCTCATCAGCACACACATTATTGGGAGTGGGTCTGGCAGAGATTCACAGCTCTGTTTGAATAAAGCCTTACGTTTGATGATAATAAAAACACAGTCATGTGCGACATCTGGGAGAGCACTGCTGCAGTCTTACAAAGATTTCTGTTATATTACCTCTGTAATTTTCCACTGCAGGTGATTGCCATAGTTACAGACTCCCTGACAGACCTGGATATATTTAAGGATCTTCAGGAGGCATGCTCCAACCGCAAAGTCCCCGTCTACATCCTGCTGGACCAATCATGTGCTCCTGCTTTCCTCAAGATGTGCAGAAACGTTGGTGTTCGTGTGGATGACCTGCGGGTATGTGGTTGGTTCAGTACGGCTGGGTGTGGCTCTGTGTGCACAATACCAACAGAAGATGGCATCAAATCAAAATATATCCTTTCAGGATTCACTACAACAAGGCGGGTTTTCATTAATCTGTTACGCCTGTGCTTTCTCTGTCTTAATCCTCACAGCAAATGAGAGTGCGAACCATAACTGGTACCAATTATTACATGAGATCAGGAGCGAGGATTACTGGGGAAGTTCATGAGAGGTTCATGCTGATTGATGGAAACAGGGTGGCAACAGGTTCTTACAGGTATGCCCGCAAAGTGTTTTACCTAAAGCCAAATGTCTTAGCTGTCAATTATGATGTTGATAGGGGGAAAAAGCCTAGATTTCTCAGACTACCCAGGCTTTTTCTTTTTGCTGTGTTTGGAAATTACAGTCAGTTTACTTTAAAGGGATTTTCCAGCGTAAATTTAGGTTATGGTCAAACACACCTTAACACCAAACTAGACACCCCCTTGAGAGATGAATGTTGCAGACTGCTTGCTTCTCTAGTTACACCAACTTCAGCAACAACTGCATGATAGCAATACACAGCGGTCTACGTCTCCATGCACAAACCTCAACCAAAAAGCCACTCTATAACCACAAGTAATGCTCAGAACAGCACCTAACTTCATCAACAGTACATATAGGGTCCCAGCCATAGCACTAGCCACCAAACATTTTCTTAGCTTTGCCTGATTTCTTTAGTAAGAAGACTAAACACAACTCACCTACTCTCCACCAGCAGACACTTGTTTGTGGGGGAGCCCTGACAATTTGATCACCGAGTGCAGCGGGGTTTCGCAGCTCAAGGAAGAACATTTATAATCATTACTTAATGGAAATTTAATCAGACCGAGACGCTAAGGCAGAAGAACTACCTCGTCTGCAGTGCAAAATGATTATTACTTAATAAGAAATGATCCGCTGCACTCAGTGATTGACTCGTCAGGGCTCCCCCACAAACCAGTGTCTGCTGGTGGAGAGTAGGTGAGTTGTATTTAGTCTTCTTACTAAAGAAATCAGGCAAAGCTAAAAAGATGTTTGGTGGCTAGTGCTTTGGCTGAGACCCTATATGTACTCTTGATGAGGTTAGGCGCTGTTCTGAACATTATTTGTGGCTATAGAGTTTTGGTTGAGGTTTGTGCGTGTAGATGTGGACCGCTGTGTATTACTATCGTGCGGTTGTTGCTGAAGTTGGTATAACTAGATAAGCAAGCAGTAGGCAACATTAATCTCTCGAGGCGGTTTCGAACCTGGTGTTATTGTGTGTTCGACCATAACTTAATTTTACGCCGGAATATCCCTTTTTAATCATGCTTGTTGTCATATGTTACTCCTGTACAGGTTCAACTGGACTGACGGGAAACTAAACAGCAGCAACCTAATTGAGCTCTCTGGTCAGATCACAGAGAAATTTGATGAGGAATTCCGCATTCTCTATGCACAGTCATTACCTTTAAACATTCGAGGACCACCGAGCGTCCGAAACAGTGGCCTCTACGAGCATCTCCTCATCAAACACTCAGTCACATTCTCACCTTCCCAAGCTACTGAGAGGCCAGCAGAGCTGTTGTGTATAACCAGCACACCCAGACGCAAGCTGCAAACCTTAACCACTGAGCCCCCTTGTGAACCCTCAACTCCAAACCACTGTTTGACCAATGAAATGCCAGCAGTATCCGACGTGGATGAGGGATGGATGGAGCAACAGCATATGCAGGAGGAGATCCTGGCTGGTGGCAAAGCTGTGCACCTCTCTTCTGATGAGCAAGCAAAGAAAGAGTTACTGATCCCCATCTCCTGCCATGCCTTCACTCAGACCAGCCATTCGGTGACAGATAGTGACACCCAGACTGACCCCCAACAACACTCCGACACTGTCAACACACTGCCAAGCACAGCTCCAAACCAGGTCATTTCCCCCTCTTTTGAGTCTCTGGAGTCAACTGCAGATGAAACCCTGAAGGACTGTTTCCGCAAGCTGTCCAAAGAGCGCCAGCACCACTACTCCGCCATCCGCTCCAAGCTGGAGCACATGGTGACCAGCTTGTCTCAGAGGAGAGAGCTCGCAGACCTCACCAACATGACTCAGGGGGCTGTTGCTCTCAGCAGGCAGAGGGTACACAAAGACTGTGGGCAGGAACCAAACCCCAGACTGCTTGTTGAAAGTGCAGGCATGGGCATGGGCACATGGCCAAGAGCCAGATGTGCACACTAGTTTGTTCTCAGGGATTTTGGTGATGAAAGGTAATGGGGGAAGAGCTATGGCAAGGTTTCTTCTTCTCTGTTTCAAATAAGTGCTTTTGGCTCATGGGGTGGATTCCAAAATTCCTCTGTTTGTCTTCTTTTCCGCAGTGCCTGCTTTTGTCCTTCTTATGGTTATGTGCTGTCCTTGGTTTTTTAAAGTTTGGTGTCAGAATTCTTTATGTCATTAATTTCTCTTGTTAATGGTAATTTCAACCAAAGACATTGCATGAGTCATTTTTTGACCCTGGCAGTTTTATGAGTATGAAACACTGAAAATGGTTAACAATGTATAAAATCTGCTGTAGTGCAAGTTAAAATGCAACAAAGTGCTTTTTTTTGTAAATCACATTTGGCTGCATGAACTGCATCTGATCAACATTCCTGAGAGAAACTGGCTCTCATTGTGCTTTGTTAATAAACAAAGTAGTACTTTGCTAGATGAGTGGTGGTTTGTATTTTTTAATTCACATTACTAATGTGTCCCCTGTGTTCATTTTTTTGCCGTTAAAGACCCAATCTATCTTTTTGAGAAACATCCTAGAAAACATTTTATCAAACGTTTCAGAACACACGAGGAAGCGTACTGTGCCAAAGTGACTTTACAAAGAAAATGAGCACCTGCGCCTTGTGCGCTGCAGTGTCTTCATGTAATTAGTTGAGAGGCAGCATCTGTGATACTGGCACCTCTGCTGATTAGGCAGCCAATCACAGTTTGTATCCAGGGAGGATTTGGAGGAGAAGCTCTGTCACAGATTACAAACACAGATTAGGAATAATGCTAAATGAAGGCTTCTGCATACGCACAGAGAGGATTTTACAAATGCAAATTCTTTGTTGATGTATTAACTTTTATATTTGAGTCCCAAATAGAAATTGGTCAACATTTATTTTTGCAAAGAGGGATTTTGGATGATGAATCAGAAGAGAAATACTCATTCTTATGCAGCAATGAAGCAAATGGTTGGCAATTTTGCAAAGGTCCACATTATTAACAATCTACTTAAAGTTATTTTGAGTCACTACATAAATTAAGTTGTGGTTTACCAGGCACTCTGCGGCTCAGCTTGGCACAAACATGGTTTCAGTCTTCATATCTCGTACCTAAGCACAAAGGTCCCACTGTGAATGATCAAGCATGTCAGTATCTTGGCTGTGGTGGGAGGTGTGCTCAGATTGCCCTGAGCTATAAATGTATTACTCACTCCCAGTATAATGTGATTAATCTTTAACTATGCAAGAGATACGGTGTAACTATTCCATACAAAGATAAACCATATAGCTTTACACATGTGGGGTATGAATTCAGTCCACGAAGAGACAAAACCAGCAGGTGCTTAAACGGTTGTGTCTGTGAAGATTAAGTCTAGACTGGGATTAATTTCTTTCAAATATTCAAATGCCTTTAAATGTAGAAATCAAACATTTAAGGTTATCTTTTTCATTTGAGGTAAATTAATTCTAACAGATTTGATTCACTCAATATTCTGTAATTGAAATAAAGATTGAAAGGATTTTATAATGGGCTTCAATAAAGACTTTCTGGCGACACCTCATATTTCAGAATTTAGAAGAATTGGTGTTGTAACACTTCAGCTTACACAAAGAAAAAAATAGACAAAAAGAAAATTTATTACTGATTATTTAATGAATTCGATCCAGTTATTTATAATCATCCATAAGCCAGCTTCTGTAGACATGGCATAGATAATCAAGGACATTAACAGAACTACCCTGAGTGTGGCAAAAATGTTAAGTATTTAAAGTCAAACTGAGATTTTTTATTTGAAACTATTTTACATGTATTGAGCTCAACATTTAATAAAATGAACCTGACAGCAATAAATAACTCAACTCATGAAACAATTTATTATCAATTTACTTAAAAGCTCTTGTGTGGAATTTTCAAGTCATATCAATTTTGGCACCTCCCTGTTGCCAGTGTCGTGTATCTTGTTCTCGACATGCTTAAGTTGTATTCACTTACAACAACGAGTTTTGACAGTCAAATATTTCTTTTATTATGAATATTTTATGTTTTAATCGTTTCTTCAGATGCTCAGCTGACACCACGCACCAGTTTTAAGTGCTAAAATCAAAGTTTAGAAATCACTACTCTTACAACTGGTAGTCTTGAAAGTCTTCACAGGAGCTTTAAGACAGAGAAACACAAAGCACTTAAATCATTGAATTTATGCACTGGCTGGATTATCTGCATCTTCCTTTTCATGAACCACAAAGATGATTTACCAAATGTGTTATTATTCACTGGTTTATTCAAGTTCCACTTATAACACTGTGGTTTGATTTTTGATGGCCCCATCTGCAGCATGTTTGTGGAAATACCAGAGGGCCAAAATAAAGCAAGCTCACACCCCAAAACTCTGTCTTGTATTGAATTTTGTCATATATTATGGAAAATAAGATTTTTTTTTTCCAGGATTGTGGTATCCTATTATTATATCAAGACTTCTCTCAGCCCAGTTTCAACCTTAACATCAGCAGGGTTCTTCATGGCTCCGCCGGCAGTGTGTGTGTGTGTGTGTCTCCTTCCAGGCAAACACATCAAAACTCTCTTCATTATGTTGAGTTGTGCATTTGAAGGGAGCTGATCTGAGCTTAAATGCAGTGATAGTTATACTGTATGTGAGATTTTCAACAATAATAATAATAAAAAAAATTATCACCTCGTTTTGATGGTCATTTTGGATCATGTTGCATTGACTCCCATCAGATGTTACCCTGGCAGCATCCAACCACAAGAGGGAGCCCTTTGCAAAGACATGCTCACCTGGTCGTTTTTTATTTTTTGCCCCGTCCTGTGTTTGAACTTCAGAGACACCAATGCATTATTTCTCAGGATCAAACATCACAATGACACCGTTTTTCATCGAACACCTCAGCTTGATTTATATTGAATTTTAGAGCAATACATTACGGATTGTCTTGCTTTAAATCAGGAGTTATCTTGGCTGTCTGCCTGTCTGAAGCTGTAAAATGATGCATTGACATGTTTAGAAGAGACAGCCAGCATCTGATGTCCTTTTCAGGTCACGTTTGACCCTAGGAGAGTTGTTGTGGTCGAAACTATTCTGTGGCATGCTGGGTAAAGGTGTAACGTAATAGCCTACTAAATCTTGTGATGAAACCTAATCCTGTCAGTCAGCATGTGCATGCTATTGTGTATAATGTCTGAATTCACCCATGCAGGGGTGAAGAATAGAGGAAAACGACAGTTATCTTGTGCTTCTGCAGATCATGGGTGATGGGTTCATACTAGATATGTTTTTTTAAACTAGGATGCACTAATTTTGCATAAATATTTGTGTTTCATGTTCTTTTTTTATGTAAGCCTGTGACTTTTAATGTGGGACTTGCAGATTTTAAGGCAAGGTTGTGTGTAGTATTAATGCAGTATTTAACACTAACAGCCCCTCTACCCTTCTTTATAGGCCTCCAAGAGTCCCACAGGACAGAATAGATCAGTATGATGCAGACAGACAGCTCTCGTCATACAATTGATTATTGGATTTATATCCATCACCATGTATATTTATGAAGACTCCCTCTGCGCCTGGGCGTGAATACAAAGACAAGACCTGTAAGTGTGGCACAATAGGTGTTTGTTGTGCTTAAATTGTCATAAAAGGTAACTGAGAAGTCAGAGCGATGCAATCTGTACCAGAGTTTTAGATTTTGGTTCTGCCTCTTGTGTGTAACAAAAAATCAAGTTTCTGACCGATAGTGTCAAACGGCTCTCCTGGTGCTGAACATAAACCTTTTAATTACAGCAAACATGGTTGATGAGTTTGAGGCTTGATTACTTGGCCTTCATTAGTCAGATTGTGAGCTATAGTGACTCCCACGGGTACAATTTGGCATCTCTAAATACTACCAGCCTCTGTGTTTAGCAATTACATTTACCCTACAGTACACCCAAACAGGTGTGCAGCCAAAGACACACACTCAGACACACACACAAACCAGCTCATGTTTGTACATTCACTCATTTTGGTATCAGCTTGAAATCCAGCACGGTTGTTTGTAGGAATTTTAGTCTGTACTTTAAGTCAAAGGAGGGACCTGACTAACAGAAAATGCTGATAAAATGTGCTTAGTGTGCTGAGTCCTACTTTGTTTTACTCGGCCTGTCATAATGATGTCATGTTTGCTGTGCCATCTTGGCTTTGTTTTCCATCAGGGCGGCCGGTGGTTGTCACTACAGCGAGGAGGGAGCGTTCTGCCTCGGGCTATGACACACTGATAACGAACATTCAGCCCTTTGGAAAAATAAAGTGTGTCTGAATTATGTGGTCAGGATTTGGCAGCTGTTTGTGTGTGTGAGTCAGACGAAGTGACACCAGTGGATGTTCAGTTTGCACAACAGTCAGTCACTTCCTGTGTAGCAATGCTGATGCCAGGCTGCAATTCGGTTAATGCAGGTGAAATGTATTGTTGATAGGCCCTTTGCGCTAAACTGCACGTTAAGCTTTAACATGCTGTTCGGCCGCAGCCTTGATGCTATTTTTAGATGTGTACAGCTGCTCCTTAGTGCCCAGCCATTCACCAGAGATTTATGGCATCAGCCCCTGAGAAACAGCTGTAGTCCTGCAGCTTGGTTGTCCAAAAAAAAAAAAACAGAAAGAGAGAAAGCAAGAGAGGGTCTATTGAGAGTGACTCTATTTGCTTGTTTTGTTTTTGTTGAGAATATAAGGAGCTATCAGCGAGTGGGATGTCTCATGCTGTTGAACGGTGAAACCACAAGTCTGGAGCGTCCGGTGCTGCAGCGATGAGTCAGACCCTGGTCATGATGCCACCTGGGTCCAACACATGTTCAACACTTGTGGGGAACTTCTCCCCCACAACACCATGTGTCCTGAGCTCAGCATACTGCTACATCTGAAAAATAACAATAGAGTTTGTTCTGATGACGTTGACTCTGTGTTTGCTTACAGGTCCCTGGTGACGAGGCAG